TCTGAACCAAGTTTCACATGAGAGGCGGGAATTCCCGTTCAATTTGATTACCAACTGCGCTCGTCTCATGAAATTGGGACTATGATGTCGTGTGCTGCATTGCATGAAACTTGCCAATAGTCTGTATTTGAAGCTCTCGTTGAGTCACGCGTGTGGAGGAGGACAACGTCAGGCTGGGAAAAGGAGCCAAGATACCCATCATCTAATCGGATAGTCGGTCGACGACATGCTGTCATGGACGCCTCGTTCCATAGGCAGTACGTGTAAATTGTTTGACCACCGGGTCTACTGCTGGGCTGCCACAAGAATGGCCATGTCCGTGTCCATGCATAGCCGTCTGAGAGATTCACATAGTGGGAACAATGCCGGAGAACGAGGAGTGCGGATTAGCGGTCAAGGCATCCTCATGCCAAATTGTTTGAAGGGCCAGAAAGAGTAGTTGCCTGGATTTATTGTTCGTGGAAGGTGATCGGATCTTCTCAAAACCAAAGACCATTTGCCGTAATTTCCCAATGGCTTGTCGGCTATCTAGGTGGCTGGCCCAAGCGACACTCTGAATGGCGAGGAGCAATGTTGAGCCTGGATGACAAGGGATGACTGGTACAGTGCATGGGATCAAGATCGGCGATCTAAGCCAAGGTCCCAATTCCAGGGGTTGGATTGCCCATGCAGCCAGGGAGAACGAGCCGCAGTTTGGGAAACCTGCAACGGTGGAGAAGCTACCACGAGATTGGCGACGGTTGTAGATCTAGTGACTGCACAATCTGGAGTATTCTACAGTCTTTGATCGTCCGGATATCAAGGCATGAAGCCACATTTGCAATAACAACTGATCATGCGTCGAGAAAAACACGGGCGCTGGTGCGTCAGAATTCGAATCGGGAAATGACATGCGAGAGCTAATGCGATTGAGATCCTGGCCAGGAGCCTGTAAGTGATTTTTCGGACCGACTGGGGCCTTTGGCCCTCCGCGTGACGGGTTTTGGGCCATGGGCACATTATACATACAGTTCCATGCATGTTGAGAAGTGGACGTACCAGGATCTAGAGCCCGCTGTTGCTCTAGGACCCTGCCGTCCGGCTCGCGACACTACTTTTGGCTGGATCTTGCAGAAAGTGATTGTGTTGTAGGCAGAGCGAGTGGCTCCAAAACCGAGATCTTGCCGTGAGCCGAAGTTGCTTGCATTGTACGACTGCGGATCTCGTATTGGGAGGTCCACGAGCTGTTTGATTTCGGATCTCCAAAGTACCTCCTGCATATGGCCGCATATTGCTAGCATTCTTCAAAGCAACATCGGAATAAAACTGTCATGACTCGTCTAGACTGTCACCGAGGACTGGTGACTTGTTGGACAGTCCAGCGGCGGATTGACTTGTCAACGCCTCATTATTGCGACCGACTTGATAGGCTCATGAAAGTGTTAGATTGGTCACACAAGTTTTCCTGGCCGTCACGCCCGTTGAACTTGCCGCTGTCACATTACGCCTATCTCTGAATATAGGAAAAATATGATCTCATAGGTCGATCACCAGCTCGATGGCTCGATGGCTTTGTCATACCAAGTCGGCTCTTTTCCTTGATGACAATCGATTGGCGCAACCGGATTGTGGAGAATTATCGGAGGGTCGAAATGGAACCACGGTGATGGCATCTCGTCGCCTGAACAATTACAGAGAATAAACCCCCAATATCCATCAATCTGCTGTTACGGCAAGCTGCGGAAATGAAATGGTCAGTAAAAAATTGCATGGGATGTTGAAGATGCGATGTGACGATCATGGCCAATGACACATGTCGCCAAACAGATTAGCGGGCCTTATGTCTCTGCATATTCCCGTTCGCAGCATCCTGTCAGACGGACGTACGCAGGACAAAACTGTCAAAGATACTTGGCATGTACGGAGTAGAACGACCAAACCTGGCTTGGTCATTGGGATGGCCATGCTGCCAGATAGAGCAATTCATGTCTTGGGCATGCCATTATGCCAGATGTCTGAATATCATTGATTGTCAATGTCCATGAGCCCTGGCCAACAAGCCAGACTCTGCCGCGTGCTGAGATGAAAGCGAGACAAAATCGTGACATGACGAGGGTTCAATGATGCACCGGATCAGGGATGCTCGATTGAAGACCTGAGGCATGACCCAGAAAAAGTGTATGCAAGATCTGGGACGTTGGAAAGGTATTGCAAGAGCCCAAGAGCCTTTTGTGGACGAAAATAGCCACAGGACTGACCTCTGACAACCGTGTGTTTCATACGCCCAAACGCCCAAATGATGATTGATGGCGTTCTGCCACAAATGTTAACCTTGGCAACGCTAGCAAGACTGGGGTGATGAAAGCATTGCAACACTAGCTGTCCAGTCGAGTTGCAAGTATGTGCGCATATGTACACAAGTTTCTTCGCGTGTGCCCATACTCGTAAGACTGGTGATGGAGACTTGTGAATCCTGAGAATCCAAAGCCTGGGCCCAAAGACGTTGGAACAAAAGTTGCGCTTGCCCAGTGCTGCTAAGTAGCGAGCGAGCCGGGAAGGGAGTGTCAGTATTCCCGTGGCTTCGTAATGGTGCTTGGAGCGACGCTGCTAAACCCAACCAAGCGCAGACCCACAGCCCCTCCGGCCCCCGCCAACGACCTGCAAAGCGATTCGACGACAAGCGAAGGGGACCGGTTGGTAGGCGAAGGAAGGGGAAAAGCATTGGAGGCATGGTGTCTTGGCGATTACAGGACTCACAGCAAGGTGGCAGCCTCGACAAACCGTTTTGGGGGATCTGCAATTGATGAGTCTGTGTTGGCTGCAGTGACAGTACTGGTATGGTCGAAGATTCGTTCGTATCTGCACTTGACCCATCAAGCCATGTCCCGAAACAGTCTACTCCGTAATGCCTGGCTCTTAGCCTGTCGAGCCTCTAAGAGGCCCAGTCGGCGAGTTCATCACGAACGATAGGTACAGGGACATGGTCTTGCATCAGGGCTCAGAGCTGGGGACGGTGTTGTCTAGGTCCGGCGCGGATCTGTGGCAGGGGTGGTTCGAGAGGGGAGAATTCAGGACAGTACTCGTACACCATGACTTGATTGAGAGGGAGGATGCAGCCTGCAGGATCAGGTCAGCAAGGTACTGGGAGAAGGGCATGGTACTTTGCAGACTGTAGCACCCGAATGTTAGCAACAATAGCCAGCAGAATATTTGTACAAGGCATCCTTGACCCTGGGCCAAACGAGTGTACGTAAAGCTGTCCTCATGTTGGATGTGAAACTCATGATGGGGTGGTAGTTAATCTTGAAAGTTCGTTCTGTCAGGCCATGTCTACCGAGGCTTCGAATCGGAGGATAAAGGCAAGACGATCAAGAGTTCGTGGAGTCTGGTGTATGTCAAGGATGCCAGCTGTTGACATTGCTGGCTGGCTAGTAAGACTGACTAGGTACTCTAAGGTGCCACGATGCATGATAGCAAGGATCTAGGTACCAGGTAGGGAGGGAGTAGGCTTCGGGCTGTTGGTGAGTGGATGAGTGAGATTCAAGGGGGGGCTCAGGGCTTTTCTGCGACTGCCACAGGGAAGCATGATGCTGCAGTTTGGAAGGTGCAGACGACACTAAGTACAGTTATATCGTTACCGGTGCCCAAATCGCCTCTTGGGCTGGAATCTTAGGTTCTCCTGGCGCCTGTTACTGCCTGTTACTATGGTAGGAGGTATCTTAGGTAGGTACAAAAGGGTTGTAGTCATTTGTTGCAGCTGGGGCCATGGAACACGGCAGCAAATGTCCAAGCCAGCCACCAGCCCAAACTCAAGCCCAGACCCAAGCAGCCCAAACCAGGCCAAACCCAAATACCGGGTGCAGCAGCGAGACAAAAAGAGTCAAAACTCCGCTCGACCGTGACGGATGGTGGTACATAGGTATATGTACATAGCTGATCATCTAGTTACCTAGTGAGGGTTTAGCAAGTTGTAAAAAGAACTGCAAGAGTAGGAGGAATTGCAGGCGTCACAGGCGTGCCAGGCTGCCAGGCTGCCAGACTGCCAGACTGTAGCCCTTGTCAAACCAGGTTCAAGTTGGTGGTGGACGGAATAGTCGTGACGCACAAACCGAGATTTGAGAGCCGTAGTGTGACTTGGCGATCTGGCTGCAAGTGCCAGTGGCTTGGGCGGGTGTGAGCGGGGCGGCCACGGTCTGTCTAGTCTGGCGTGTCTGTGGGTCTGTGGGAGCGAAAAACGCTCTGCGGGCGGCGCGGCTTGGCACAATGGATTCCTTTGTACGGAGTAGTACCGCGTTGTACCTTGTAGTAATTCTGATTGGCTGCCTGCTAGCCTCCCCTCTAGACTACCAAAGTACTCCGTACATTCCGCATGCGTAGTGAAAGTAGAAGGAGCGAGAGTGAACGTATGAGAGAAGTGACGAGTTACCACCAACCTCGCTGGGGAAGGCACGGCAAAGTAGGTACCACTTTCCCATCTGTCATCTTAATCGAAATCCATTATCGTCGTCATCATCATCATCATCATCCTCATCACCACCACCACCACCACCACCACCACCATCATGTGCGAACCACAATATCCCTCCTTTTCATTGACAGCAATACTCGCTGCGTGAGGCGCTCTCAGCGCGAACCCCCCGTCACATTTAGACAACGCTCGATTCCTGACACATCTCCTCCACCTAACCCTTGACGTATCCGACAACCCCGCCCCGAAATCAGCCAAATCAGTTCTCGAACCTCTTGGGATCTCCTACTGCCCTGAGCAGCCCAGCGCGTGTCACGATAGAGTGGATGCAAGTCAAATCCTCCCAGCTTCTAGCCATTTACACCTAGACGTTGGGGCCGCCATGTGTAATTGAGTAAAGCTACTCATTTCTGTCCCTCGCCTCGAGTGCCAATTGTCTCGCCTCACGCGTTCTGGGAGTCTAGTCTTAAACCTGACACTGAATTATGACTAAACCTGCAGCGGCATAATGTGGCTTTGTTGTAATTATAAAGAGTGTGGTATTTTTAGGCATGTATATCCATGTTGCCTCCGCTTTGGGTTTCAAAATGGTCGAGGAGGTTGTCCCACTTGCATATCTGCGAGGGATCGACCTCGACCGCTCGTGTACATGGGCATCCCGAGTTTCATCAAGAGTGCTACCCTTGTCTGCCTTGGCGAGATACCACCGGATCAGCTGAACACTCAATCCGTCCCAATTTTCCCTCCACACTCTCAAGCCTATTAGAAATCATTAATGGAAAAGTCCCACCCATTCCCATATCCTCCAAGAGAGTTTTAATCATAAGTCTGCCAAAACCGAGCAGAGTCCTTCCTCACAGAGTGCTTGCAGTGCTTGCAGTGCTTGCAGCTAATAAATGCTGCTGATAAAAGATACATGATACATAAGTGTAGAAATCAGAGACCCTACACACTTCAGATTTCGTAGAGTACAAGTGTGACCGAATCGTGGCGAGCGAGTGCGTAACTGTGACTGGACAAGTGTTATATCATGTTCATTGCCTCCTCGCTCACATGGCTCGCTTAGCGCACGGAGCATGGTCAATGCCTGTTGCGCAACACTGTCGCTTCATCCGCAAGCAGGCTTGAAACTGTAATGCGATGGTCTTTTGCCCGAGCCCGGCCAGCTTGATCATGGTTCTCGTGTGGTGGACCCCTGTCATCCGACATACGGACAGGCCAAGGTGGGGAGTCAGCCAAACGCCCACGCATCTCGCGTGACCGTGGCAGCTCTTTCCCTGTCTCGGGTGCATCAGTTGCACCAGTTGTAGTGTCTTTCGATCCGTCCAGCACTGGCCGTGGGGATGGGTCCGTTCTGGGTGATATGGAATAATTTGACAAGTTGTCCGAGACCAATGAGGGTGGAATCCAGGGGAAGGTAGTTGAGTCGTCAGTTGTAGTGGGGGAAGGCGCAGGCAGATCAGAGTAACTGATCGGAGGAAGTCGAAATCCACGAATCGGAGGCAAGGATGGAGGCCTCGGGTGGTCTTCTAGGTGCACTGGCGAGGGATGTCTTCGCCTAAAGTCGCCGTGCTCCCCAGCAACCGATGACGGTGAGATCAGAGGCTGACGTGGTTCGTCCACTGCAGGCTGAAACGAGTAAATATCCTCCAAGGGGGGGAGAGGTCTCGGACGCGAGGAGCCAGGAACAATTGCCGTGCTCTCCTGCCTCACAAAGGGAGGGGGAAGTATAATGTCGAGTGGAGGAGTGTCGCGTAGAAAAGGAGGGGCTTCATGATTGTACAGAGGTCGACGGGGCACGGAGGCCGAGATGGGCTGGCTCCTGTACCCAGCTTCCCTGGAGATGCCGTTGGCATGGGGAGGACTTCTCTTGCGGCGGTTGATACTCCCATTCCACCAGTTCTTCACTGCGTTGTCACTCCGGTTACCCAAATATCTTGCAATCTCTGCCCACTTCTTCCCCATGACCTTCACGAGATGCTCGATCCGTTCGCCTTCCTCCGCGGTGATGGGGTCATGAGTCAGCGACGGCTTCAGATTCTGGTGATATCTCTCTCGACACTGCTTGGGAGTTCGGTGTTGCATGTGGTGGGAAATTCGCACCCAGTTGTTCGGCCCTAGAGTTGAGACGAGATGGAGTAGCTTGCCGTCCTCCTCGGGCAGCCATGGTCCCCGACGGCTTGGACGCGACATGCTGTTGATAAATAGAGGCGTAATTGAGACGAGACGGTAAGCGGATTTATAGGACCTGGCTCTGCGCCAGAGAACTGATTATTGTCGTACCAAATCCAGCCTCGGGTTGCCAGCCAGGTGAATTTATTATCGTCGTAGACAGTTGTGATGGAACCTTGTGATGAATGGTTTAACAGATGGAGAAATAAAAAGGGTACAATATAATGAAGAGTGAAGAGGACCTCGGGAACGAATGGCGATGCAGAACCTTGGTCGAGTGATATGCTTTCGGAATCCCGCTCGTGTCGCGACTATGGTCCGCAGGGGCGTGACTGATCAGCGAGTAGCACCTTCGACATTAAGGCTTGGAATGGGCTTGCGCACGTTAGGAGGAGGGTGATGGCAAGTGTGTGAGGAAATAGCGATGGGAGTTTGGACGGAGATGGGTCTTGTTAGTCTGAGAGGTGGGTATAACAAGACAAGAAAAGAGGCGTCAATGGATCGTGAGTCAAGTCTCGCACGTTGGAAGATCCAAAGGCAAGGATCTTGAATGTCTCTTTTGGGCGAAACGGTTGACAGTGTGAGAAGAGTCAAAACAGCTTTCAGTCCTAGTATGGCTGAGGACAGCCAAAATCGATGGGGAGGGAGACCCTGCCTTGCTCTTACAGAGCCTAGCGGGCAGCAGAGTGGGTAGACGACGCCATCAGTGACGGGTTGCCAACAGATAGATCTTGCCGTAATCGCACCAACACAAAGTCTATTGCCCCGACAGACGAGAGTCTAAAGTGGGGGCAAAGCCTCTTTACCAGGTCTGGGACGGTAGCGTTGTGGCGTTCTGGCGTTCGTGAGTGGTGGAGGGTTTGGCCCTTGGTGAGTGGGCTCTGAGGGCCTTCCATTCAAGGTAGAGGAAAAAAGAACTTCAAGTGTCGGAGAGTGGCCGCAAGAACGACGGGGGCCCACCACGTCGATCGGTGGACAGGGGTCTAGCTGATGAACGGCACAGTGTCAACATCGAAAAGTATATCTGACAAATTCCACCCCCTGCACGCAATACAGTGGAGGGCATGGGCGAAGGACCCGATGTCCTCACCAGGGCTCGTGCTTGACTGGAGGGCTGGCAGCGTCGGTGCATGGTGCCTCGAGACTCACGTCGTCTGGGTGGAGGTAACCGATTACATACTGTATCTCCGTGGGCGTGGAGGAACTTCTGCCATCATCTCATGTTCCTCAGGCCCTTCAGACGGCACGGGATCGGCGCCTAGACACTACTGATGGTGCCATCTGGACCGCCCTGCTGGATCATGCCTAGGACTGTGGTTGGATCACAAGCTTGGACCTCCAGACCCGATCGCAGGGCATTCATGGACTGGTTGTTGAGCAGTGGAACGCTCCTGGCCCGTGGTGATCATGTCGGGTTCTTCGTCCACGGTCCATGGTCCACGGTCCACCGCCGTGCCATTAGGTATTATGTGCTAGTGTGCTTGAGCGCAAGAGTCTTTTTTTTTGTCCAGCAAAAAGCGCTCGGTTGGCCTACTTGTGTTGTGGAGGATAGCCTGGAAAACTGACCAAAACCCCCTGCTGTTTTACGCCATAGTCCGTAAGTCCTTGGATGTATTCGAACCAACGGCACAGAGAATTTAGCCTGGTCTGAAGAACGGTCAGAACGGTCTGATCAGAGACAGCGTGGAAGGGGAATGGGTGGTTGTCTAGGTCATACTCCGTAGGTTTGGGTGGGAGTGTGTGGGCCGGATGGCCAGATTCGGACGGCGTTTAGATGGCATCGAAGGAGAGCAAGTGAGTGCGCGCGCGAAGGAAATGCAGAGTGCAGTAGTGTGGCTTGGAAGGTAACTGGGCGACTCCCTGGAGTTTCACGTCAATCGGACAGGAACTAAAATTGCGAAGTTTCACGGCTCTGCAGCCGGAGCGTTTTGACCGTTGAGCTTGCGGCAGAGGGTGATTGAGTGATTGATTCGCCTGTGTGTGTTGGCGTGTGGGTAAGAGTTGGCCACAGGGGCGAATCACACGGGGAGGACTAGGATTATGGGGGATCACGATCTCGTCCAGATCTCATCCGCTAAGCACAGCCGTGACAGCCTAGCGAGTGGTCAGCAGGCATGGGCAAGGCATAGGCAAGGCATGGGCAGGCCCCTGGGCTGGGGACCACAGGCATGCCAGGCTAGCCAAAAGTGCTAGAAACTAATACCAACCAGGCAAGCCAGTCAAGCAAACAAGCAGAGAGGACCTCGACTGAGTAACCGTCACCTGAGACGGTCGAAGTTTGGCCGGCATATACAGGCCTAATCAGGCAGTGTGGGCCTGGGAGGCGCCCTCTTCATTGCCTAAGGGGGCTGTCCTGGCCCCCAATGCAGGCACAAAGACAGCCACGACGGCCGTGGCAAGTCCCCCCCTGTCACCTCGCACTGGTACGCTGGGCGTCCAAGCGGCGTCCACCTGGACTCGATCACCTGTGAGAGTTTGGCAAAAAGCTGTTGATTTGGGCATGTTTGGGCAGATCCTCATCGACCACTACGAGTACCCATTGCCCAGCTTCACCGGCTTTTAGTCATTCTTCTTGTTTCGTAGATCTCCCTACGGAGGTACCTACTTACTCGTAGGTGCTTGCCTACGGAATATGCTAACTACGGTACACCCTGTATTTGCCCACTTTTATTCGTACGAGGGCTATCCCGTCGTGCCCGTATATCCACAACGTAGCTGCGGACAAATCGCCTAACTGAAATCCCCTCAGCATACTCTGTACACCTCCCTTGGTTTCCAGTAGCACGCAAGAGACAAAATTCGGAAGACCATGACACACTCAATAAAGGTGCATACCTTAGGGAGGTATGGCAGTTTCCGCACATCATTTACTGTTAGTAGCTAGTGAAACTTTTTGAGTTGGCAAGGAGAAAGTATGCAAGTACTATGTACTAATAAAGTCAGCAGTTTAGGTTGGAAGTTTCGCACTTGCATCACGCGCAAAAATCTCGATCCAAAGAACTGGTGATGGCTGCCTGGGTACCAGTGAAGACTACAGCGGGGGAAGTCGGCTGTGCAGCCAGAAGCACTAGCGACACGACGAGCTATGAGTCCTGTGCCTACCTAATCTACGGTCATTCTGCATTGTATGTAATTTCGACCTTTTTTTGCCCAGGTTGTGCGTGGATGCAACTTGCAGCGACTAACCACTGTGGTCAACTTGTTGTCGGGAAGAGGAACAGACCACCACTTCACTTTTCTTGAACAAGCGATCGCTAGGAAGGCGAACACGAGATAATAAGCGAAAGATCGGCAAATTGTACGGAGTACGCGTAGTCTACTGTTGAGGCATGGCCGGGGAGCGCCAAAGAGGAGCTTCTAGTCGCTAGTGTGTATGGAAATGCTGTCTAACTCAAGTTGTCAGTTTGAGCAAAGCAGGTCAATAATACTAGGTAAGTACTCTACTCCGTAGGTATGTGGGTGTAATGTTGGACATGACCATCCTATACCAACTTTGCGAGTTACTGTACATAAACAAGTCTTCAACAAAATTAGGCTTCAGAACATATTGGAGAATTAGCTGCCGTAGCCCACATGGTACAGTACATTATATCGAAGGTCCCCTGATCAAGCGGAGAGACACTTGGAAAAGTCGGTGCAGTCGATATATTCCAACATTGGGTCCAACATTGGGAAGTCCTAGACGCAGGAAAAAGCCCTGCACATTTGGATACTTGGGAAACAGTAACTGCCTGGACATACGAGTACCTGTATGTTTCTACCTTACCTAGGTACCTAAGGTACCTACCTAGATACTCTACCTAAGCCGCATACGTACGCACGTTTTGTTGTAGCTGCAGGAGCATGTCGCCGTTCCTTCCCCCAGTGGCCCCTCGATTTGGCAAGGGCTCGCATCGCAGGGTGCTGGCCAGCGATTGAGCAGGAGCCCGAGGGGCTCTGGGGGCACACGGGTGCCTGGCTGCAGGGATTATCCAGCAGTGTTGATCACAAGTGAACAATCAACACCTCAGTGGCCCAAGGCATGCCTTACTTTTGTCGCATTGATCGAACCCTGGCCTGTTGCTGGTGGCGATCTGGTTCACGTGCGTGTCCGCATGTTGCTGCACAGGCCAATGGGTCCACATATGATCCGTGATGAGAACATGGATTGCTGATGGCGACCACTGGAGTTGTCCTCACTGAATGAACTCAGTCACAGTCTTCCTTACAGATTAACAACTGCCCAGAGCCGTGGGCCCAGCTATGATGTTTGATTGCTAAGGTATGTGATAACAATGACATGTGTCAGTTCTGACAATGCTCGTAGCAACTTCAAGGGCCTACACCCTGTTGGTGCCATTCAACTGGGTAGCCGGCAGTGGCCGTATTCCTTGCACGGGCGACCCCTACCCCCGAATTCCTGCGTCCGTATAGAGGCAGCCACCCGGCTCTGCCCAAATCGCTGGGACCATTCATGGGTGTTAGAGGCCACCAAGGCCACTCGGCCTCGCTCTTTGAAGCAGCCTCCGAGCATGGGCTTGTTCTGAGTTGAAGGTCCCGTCACCCCACCCCAGTGGTACGAGGAGGCCGGTAACAAACCAGCATACATCATCGACTCAGAAGCCCTCCCCTGCTTTGTACTCCGTACATATTCAGCTGGTTAGGGCCCATGCCATGGTGTCTCAAAGTTACACATCGGCAGCCAAGCGCAAATCTGAGGCAGTGGATCCGTGCACCACAATTTAGACACAAAAAGTCAGATGGAAGAATATCATCACGTCCATCAGGAGAAGCTGCACCAACACCAGATTGCCAGATTGCATTGTGGGCGTCATACTTTCTACCGTTCTCATGCAGGCCGGCCTACTGGCTACGGTGCATCGGGGCCGCCCGCAGCCAACCAGACACGTCAGTTGGACCCGACGGTTTAGTTCACCAGCCGCCAACGACGCCCAAAAGTCTGGGTAGAGACTAACCAAATTTGGGGAGGTTTTCTCATGGTGCTTTGACCCCCTTGTTGCCCCCAGCCCAAAACCCCGAGGGCCCTGTTTGGGCCGGGCCAGCCACATGCCTTCACCAAAGGATAATCAGCACCATAGTCAGCCACCAAAGATGAACGGGAACGTCTGGCACCATCCACACTGCCAACTACCAAACTGATCCATGGCTAGACTCGCATGATAAAATTTCTCGCATCGGCGATTCTCCTCATCCCTCCAAGGTCTTGCAATCCTACCAACCTAGGTAAGTCTCTTTGCAAATAGACCGCCAGGCCGAGTCGGCGGCAAGAAGGAAAAATCTCGGCTACGGCATGAACATTTCCAACTCATTTGGTGGGTGAAGGAGCTGACAGCCAGACTAATCAGGGACAAGAGGCTCCCCGGGCCCCCGACACGATCGTCGACGTTCCATGGTCTCCTCGACACTACTCCGTACTTACACGGGACCTATTAACTCTAAATCGATCTACACGGTACATGGTGGCATTTGGGATCCTTTCTCCATCGACATGTACGGAGTAGTGCACAGACATTGTTTCGGCTGAAAGGCCCTGGACCTGTCAAGTTCCAAGCTGCCGGTGCAGCTGCGTGGCTATCAACCGTGCAGAAAGGCAAGTGCACGGTGGCCTTGATGGCTCCTGCGCTTTGGGAGCATGGCAAGCACTGCCGATGCATGCCCGGATGCTACACTTATCCGAACCCCGTTCCTTTATCCATCCCAATACTTGCCATATGTGTCCATCGCCATCCAAGTCACTCAAAGTCCATGAAACGCACTGAGCACGTGCACACAGAAAGGACGTCATTCTAGCCCCTGCTGATTCAAACTATAGTACAGACATTCTTATCACGTTGTTAATTTCAACAAGAAAGTCTTTTGTCGGCTGGCAATGCTGTTTCAATGATTGGGACCCTGAGTCAGCTGACAGCGACCTGCCAGATCCTCTATCTTGCATGAAGCCTTGTATCTGCGTCTCCATCACATTGGATCTTGACACATCGATCGGCAGAAAGTGCAATAGCACCTTTCCCCATTTGCAAAATCCCATGGACACGGTCCGTACTACTGACACAAGAGGAATCCTCCATCGTCGTTCGTGTCATCCACCTGTCCCTTGTGAGAAATCTAGATTCGGAATGAACGATAGATCCCCGTGGATTGTGTGAATTGACCTCTGTAGTAGCTTCTCATGCCACATTGACGAAACCCCTCTTCTTGCCACGACTGGACGTTGACTCTTCCTGGATCCACTTGGCCTCATCTACATACTCACTTTGATCCAATTCCCCGAGCCGTCGACCAAGAATCCTCAGACCAGCCAGGTTGAAGCCAAGATCATGCTTTTGCTTTTGTACCGTCCTCCGTAACTGGTCGCGCACGCCCTCTAGCATTAACTTCATCTGCCGACTGCTCACAATCTGCTTTTGATGTGTCTTGAGCATGAAGAACAAGATTCGACACGTCAGGGGGACGCTTCTCCCCTCGGCGGCCCACAAGGCCAGGAAGGTGAATAGCGCGGGCAGTTGCGAGAACGAAAGGACCAGGAGCGCATCTTGGAGCGACGCGGACGGGATTCGCTGAATCGTGTTCAAGACGTACACCGACGCTGACACGTTGTTATTGGCCAGGAACACCGGGTCGCGTTGAGGAACGGCAATCTTGGAATTGCCCGTCTTCATCTTCGCACGGTCATACTCCTGCATCAACTTCAGGTCCACCAAACCTAGTTCAAGAGCTTCACTGATCTTCTCGCCCGCCATCAGTGTCTGGCCAGTCTGCTTGCCCGTCGTCGTTGTGGCTTCCGGTCCACCCTCGTCGCCCTCGCCCTCGCCCTCATTCTCCAACGAAGTGAGAAGAGTGTCCTCGTAGAGCTCTTCCAGTTCCTTCTCTCTCTCTTCCTCCAAGAAGATCTGTTCGTCCGTCTGTTGCCATACTCGGATGCTCTTGTCGTGACTGGCACTAACAACAAAATCTCCCGAATTTGCTATAGCCATAGCCCAGATTTCACCGTGGTGTCCAGTCAATTTCTGAATCTGTTCAAACTTGTCTGCATCATAGTACTTGATCACCTTGTCCTTTGATGCGGAGAAGAAGTGATGTCCATTGCCTTCGTTGTTGTTGGGTACGAACAAGACAGAAAGAATGCTGTCTTGATGCGCAAAGAAGGACTTGTGGCAGTCGCCAAAGTCCAAACCCCAGACCCGCACATTCTTGTCTGCGCTGGACGTCACGATGAGCTTGCTGTCATAGCTGATGTCCATGCTGAGAACTGGGAGCTTGTGGCCGTAGAGGGTTAAGAAGAGCTTGAGGCTGTCCAGGAAGAATACCTTGACAGTATTGTCCAGTGTGCTGACCGCCAGCAGTCTCTCGTCGGGCGAGAATCGCACACTAAGAATATCGTCTGCAACCTTGAGAGTCTTGAAAGGGACCAACGTCAACTTGGCATTCTTCCGCGTCGTACCTAGAACTTCCTCCTGAACAACCTTGAACTCCCACAGTTTGGCCGTTTTGTCGGCTGATCCCGTCACAAGAGATTTGCCTTGAGGACTCACTTGCAAAGACCAAACATCCCGTTCGTGTGCCTTGATCGTATCGAGTAGAGTTGATGCAGCAATGTCGAACACCTCGAGTGTCCCCTCTCTGGTGCCCACCACCACAATCTTATCTCCCGGGAGGAAGGCAAGGCAAAGTGCATAGCCGCACTCCAGCGTTCGCAAGCAAGTCTGGGTTCTGGTGTTCCATATTTTCAAACTCCCATTCGATGCAGTGGCAAGCATTCTATCATCCGAGCTCAGGGCGATACAGCGAATGTCTGACCGGTGGCCTGGCATGTCCACCGACAATGTGCGGTTGTAGTCTGGCACTTCGGTAGACTTGACCTTGTCCTTGGCCATCACCTCAAAGACTTCCAGTTGGTTATTTGAGGTGGCCACCAAAATGGAAAACGACTTTCCAGACCTCGACGACGACCAGTCGATCGATCTCACCTTCCCTCCCGTGCGGATAATCACATAAGGGACCACGATATCCGTGATTGCTGCGCTCGAAATGTCGTCCGTTTCGTCTGCAACGTCGACCCCAGAGTCTGGGTCTGTCACCGCTTCGGACTTTTCTTTTCTCCTCTTCTTCTTCCTCGCCAAGGTTTTTCGAACTTCACTTTCTGATCGAATGCGGAACAGCTCGACGGCTTTCTCTGAGCCGTGAATTGCAATCAGATCTCTCTGTGCATGACACACCACTGCAAGTGGTCTGTCTCTGCCGTGTCGATATAGTGCACCTCTTTCGCGTAGGATGTCGCCGGCGCTATTTGACTCTGTCGACTGTTTTGTCCTCAAAGCCGATTGATTAAGTTCCCAGAATTTCACTTCGCCATCATTCCCAGCAGTGATGCAAGCGTTGCCTTCTCTTGTGATTGCTGCTGCCCAGCATTCGCCGTTGGTCTGGGTCACATGTGTTTCAATACAGTGCTGCGTCGAGAGGTCCCATACTTTGATCAGGGCATCTTTGCTGGTAGAGACTAGGTAAGTGTCCGATTCTGGTTCGTCGTTTCCTCCAGGACTCTGATCGCCATCATCAGCGCTTTCCGACAGGAAATGTAAACTCGTAATCTGGTCCTTGTGTCCTCGGAGCCTCACTAGGCCCACCTCGGAGACCAAGTCCCACACAATCACATCTGTATCTTTGGAGCCACTGGCGAGACGAACGCCAGAGCGATCGAACCTGAGTTGGGTCACGGCTGTCTTGTGTCCATTGAAGGTTATTATGACTGTTGATGTCCTTGAGTCCCATATCCGTATCTTTCCATCGCTATATCCAACGGCGAAGACGTCGGGATCAGTCCGACTCCGAACGAGGACGGTGACAAGGGCAGTATTGTCGGAGGCGGTCCACGTGTCGGTAAGCGTAGCGGTTTTCAAGTCCCAGACGAAGACAGACTCGTTTGCTGGCGCAAATGCTCTTCCTGCACCGTTTCTGGCTCTGCTTTTTCCGGCAGAGGTTTCCTCGCTATCGGTATTCGGCGAAGAGGGGTCCCAGATGACGTTGGCGTTTGCCGTACATATCTGGCCGAAGGTTTTCGAATGCTCGAATTTTCTATCAAGTATTAGCCCCGAGTTCAAATGGGATTCTGACCCATTTCACTTACAAATAGGATTTCACCATGGCGCAGATCGCTTGTCGCAAAACACATGAGGGAGAGAGGCGGGCAACTTTTTTTCTGCATGAGATATTGTCTTGTCTGAACATGGAAGCTTTGCCGACTATCTGGGGAAATCTTAAAGTGGGGACAGTCAGGCGAGTTTTTAGCGTGGCACTGCGTTGGCTCTTTGGAAGTTGACCATAATCAACACTATATAAGCACAATGAATAACGAGACTGAAGGCTTTACTTCTGTCAAGATCAATGAGGAAAGTCAAATAAACCGTTAAAGCTCATTACTGTGGTTGTGGACAGAGACAATGAAAGTTCTCACATGTTCTGTTTCCAGCCCCATTTAATCCACGTGACTCAAAATATGTCTATTCGTACGACTCTTCACCAGCCTCTCCATCGGACATAGACATCTCTCACCGTGTCGGGCGACTCTGTTGACGAATCCACGATGAGGTACCAACCAAACTGTGCTAGAGTGATACACGCATGGTTGGGCCAAATGCAAACCTTTTGGCCATACTGGAGGGGCAGCTCCCTTTTGGCCGATGTGTCCTCAAACCCCAAAATACCGTGCTCTTGCGAAATTCGGCTGATAATTATGCGTGCACTCTTGTCACTGCCGTAGTCTGCAGGCATGTTCCACGGGGTCAAGATGCCCCAACCTGGATACTCCTTACATGGTTCTCTCGCCAGCGCAAGGCAGCCAGCTGAGACCAAGGCTTCAGGCTGCTCGGTACGATTCGGATACAGGGAGCATACTTCTGTCAGAATGGTGCACGCAATAGTGTCATAAGGATCTGTCGAGAATTCTCTACTACACGCAGCGACCTGCTGCACATCGAAGAGAGGGTAAACACCGGCGTGAACTTCGAGTTCAAATCCAGATTTGGTGAGTTGAAGCTCAGCAATGAGATCTTTTGCCGCGCTGCTTCGCACGGTAGCAGGTGACACAATGTTCTGGAGTGAGAGCACTGTTGGTGAAGCGCCCACGGATATAATCAAGGGCTCCACTCGATCTGGGTGGAGATGAGCTGAGGCTTGTCGGCATACTTCAATCTCGACCTTCAGCATCTCCATTGCATCATCAGGTGACGATCCGCCGTAACTGAGACTGTTGTGCGAATAGAAACCCAACAAGTTCAGATAGCCTTGCTTTTCCGTCTTGGTCACTTCTGACACAAGAGAAATCATTTCTCGCGAGTCGGGTCCTAGCCCAGCTCTGTGATAGCCCGAATCAGTCTTGAGGAAAACGCATATAGGATGTCCACTGATGGACCTATACTGCTTAACCGCTTCGAGCTGTCCAATATTATCCACCATGGCAGAAATGGAACTTGCACCGAGCTGTTTGCCTAACTCGGCCAATCGTGCGACTTGAGAGGGACCAAGAGGCACACCATAGAGAACATTGACCTTGGCGCCACGGGATTGATATTCCAATAACAGTGGCAGAAGCTGTTCGACTTCGATCACGGTAGACACAATGAGGCGGACGTCATCACAAGATTCGCCCACTTGGATTCTTGTAATCTCCAATGTCTTGTGTGTTTTTACGTGTGCTCGGAAGCTCACTTGCAGTTCTTTGACTGTCGCAAGCATAGCCTGTGCATTGCTCCTCACCTTGGCGATATCGATGACAGCATTAGGCCCCGATATATCGCTAAGACGGCGGTCTCGATATACCCGCAACAAATCATCTCGGGGAGATAAAGGGAACAATGATGTTGACATGTTGTGCGAAGGATTAGACTTTACAACCGGAACCGAAGGTGTCAATTGTAAAGATGAATCGTAGCTGGGGGTCAAGACAGAGTTCTACTCGCATGGGGCGGATTACATATCACGTGACTATCGTGTGGAAAGCCGTTTCTTGGCATTTGCCCAAGCAACGAGCGGTCTCAAAGTTTGATAAGGGTCTCCCTACGAGTACTTGTATGCGTATGGTATCTTACTAAACATCTTATTACAAAGGAGGTAAGGATACCTGAGGAGACTCGGGCCCTTTTCTTGTGGACGCGTGCTCTCGTACCTACCCTGTAACAGCCATGGAAGCAAGAGAGAGATGCCTAGTTACATAGGCACTGAGAGCCCCTCGGCCCCCGCAGATCTACTCCGTACATAGATAGCTTATGTAAGTCAGCGCCTAATATGTCTTTATTCAAGGTCACTTTTTGGTTAGAGCTGTATTTTTGCCAAGGTGTAGCGGATCCCCGTACTGTATCTGCCCTGTGCGCTGAAACACTTCTACGACTCCCCACACTCGAGCCTCGGTATTTTTCATGCAGCCAAGATAGGTATCCAAGCACTGATCACGGTACGGAGTACTTACAGTATATAATGACTAGCACGACTGGCACGATTGGCACAAGTGACCATTTGTTGAGTAGAAGCCGAGGCGTCCTGGCATCGCCCTCATATCTCGATCACATGTTGCAACTACGTTTTCCTCTTAATCCTTTGACTCCAATGCATCAGACACATTACCAACCGCGTCTTACCGTTTCTTGACTACCGTCTTCATGATGGAGGATCAAGCTAAACATCCAAGGCCAACTAAACGCACGTCATCAGCATGTACAACGTGCCAACAAGTCAAGGTTCGAGCCCGATCACTACTGATCTTTCTCCACAATGTAATGTTCACAAAACTGTTCTAATTGCGATGCGACATTAGGAACTATTTTCCAGGCCCATGCTCTCGCTGTCGAGCATCTGATCGGGCTTGCGTGGTCGACCCAACTTTCCGAAGATCTTCAAAGAGAAGGTATGACCGAATCAGTCCTTCTCATGCAAAGAGAGTCCTGAACTCACCGAGTTGTCAGCCAGCTCGAACGTATGAACAAGCAACTGGCCGAACTCCAAGAACTGGTCGCAAACACTACAAATCCTATTCTCAATGAATCAAGCCGAACCAAGCAGCACATTGAGCAGAACACTGATGGGAACTTACAGCAGGCTGCCTTGGAGAGAAATCAAGATCAGCTATCCACCAAAGAGCAGCCAAGTCTGCAGTCTTCAACCACCAGTGCACTCTGCCTGGTAGCTGAGATCTTCCATCTCAAGTCAACCACAGTTGAATCACTCAAGACTTGCAACCTGGGCGACATCGAGGTCACTCCTAAGCAGATTTTGGATCTTTTTAACTTGTAAAACCCAGCCTTTCTCCCCATTTGGCCCAGAGCTTGACATATATATTCCCTAGTTTCGCCCAGTTCCAATACTTCCACTTACCTATCCTGGACACCGATACCGACATTGAATCGATGCAAAGAAATACACCATTCCTCTTCTGGACAATCATCATGATATCCTGTAGGTATCATCATGTCCATCACGAGCTGCTTCCGCTGCTCCGCGTTCCATACCAAGAGTTCCTGGGGAGGGCAAGGGTAGTAGCCCCCATGTCCTTGCGCACCATCCAGGCACTCCTTCTGCTCTGCTACTGGCCTCTTCCTTGCCGCACACAGCCGCAGGATCCTAGTTGGAATATACTTGGATTGGTCCTCAACGCCGCCAAGTACCAAGGGCTCAACACCGGCTTAGACCATTACTCCCTAAAGTCCCCCACCTCTGAGAGACAACTTCGATCACGGACATGGCTGGCTGTGTTTCTTGTTGGAACATCGTGAGTCTATATGCGTTCGGTTCCAGTTGTTCACAGATGCGTATCTAACCGCCACTCAGGATGGCACTGTATCTAGGTTTGCCACCGCCTATTCAAGGCCCTCATGACTTGACCGTAGTCAGTCAACTGACTAACCGACTGTCCTTGCCACGCAAGCTCATAGAGCAGTTAGAAATACACCGGAAGGTGGTTCATCATCTATCTGTTGTCTCGACTGGAAACGATCCTGTCAATCTCAGCGCCATGAGATTGTTCATTGAAGAGTTGAACGTCATGGCTGCAAGCTCAGGACAAAATCTGAGCCCTTGGGCTCAAATCAGTATCCTCAGGGCAAAGCTGAGTCTCTACACATTGATCTGCTTGGAATCAGAGCATTCAAATGGGAGCGACACGGCAACTCCGTCTACCCGACCTACAAATGTCGAATACCAATTCAGTATAAACAAGCTCCTTGTTCAGAAAGCCGGACTCCACGCCGCAAGGAGTCTACTACGGACGAGCACTCAAATGATTGACGAAATAGCCCAGGAGACCAATTTTTCCACACGAGGTACTGACAGATTTCCTCCAGAGGGTGGCCGCCCGGACGACAGTAGCCCTAGGCCAGCCATCGCGATGCCAAAGCATCACAAGATCGCTGCCAGCTTCGCAGCTTTCTTCCTCATCAAGCACTGCATGTTCAATACGGATCTATCACATTCGGAGAGAGCGCCAGCGGAAGATGCTGTCAAAAATACCTGTACCACATTCATGCGAATCGCAACTCACGCTTTGGACGAAGCTGCATGGACAGCGGAGGTTTTGCAAGTTCTTTGTCATGCTGGCGGTTATGAGCAGCGTATGTCAGATCGCCAGTGTGCCTCGCTTATATTTGATGCCGCACGTAACGCAGCTGAATTGAGAGGGAAGCTCTCCAAGACTTCCCCAGAAGTTATTCAACATACCGCCAGTCCGCACAGCAAGGACAACGGTCGTGGTACGTCCGAGAACGGGGTGACCACTGGAGTCACCATGGCTGAAGAGGAGGTGCACTGGGAGGAGATCTTGGATTCGTGGTTCTCACTCCCCGAAGTTCCAGACGAGAACTGGCCGTTCGGCGATTTTGATATGATTTGCGATCCCAGTGAAGGACTGGATCAAATGGCGACGTACAAGACCTATCTTTAGTCACACGAATAACTGTCAGTACGAAGCGAATGTCAACACGACTGCTTGCCTTTGTCTCGCTGGACGGGATTTCTGTTCAAGGTTCACTTCTACTTGATTCTAATGCAATGGCCAGTGGAGGGTCATCAAGATATGCTCTTCTTGATTTCTAAAGTAGCTCGTACCGTTGAGATAACGGTGGACAACTCCAGAGGATGGTCAACGTAGGGAGTAGACCCCGCGGTAGAGGGAGCCTCACGTCGTAAGCACAAGGCAGCGTCACCTTAATCCTCAAGGGAGGTTGAGCCCGTCGTGAACTTGTTCTCCGTACATTCCAAGCACAAGTGGCGCCAACTGTTGCCATTTGACTGAGGCGTCGGCTGAGGCACGGGCGCACCTACTCAGGATCACCAAAACATTGTAAAATTATTAGGGTTTCCCATCTTATGACTTTGCTCTAGTAGGCTAACTATCAATTGGGATCCATTATATCCAGAGTGAGCTCCTCGAATCAAACAGTGTAGGCGGCCTGGCAGGAGGCTGTCTGTCTTTCTTATCAACATGGCTTTGATCGCAAAGAGTTAACCACGTTGTAGCTCAAAACGCCACGTCGCGTTTATGGAGAACTCGCTGGATCATAACTACGGAACTTCCGGGTCGGCAAACGCGCTCCGAACATTCGGTCAATCTCGATGGGCGTTCTGTTCTTCATCTCGGGAACGATGAACCAGGCAATTAGCGATCCTATAAGTGAAAGTCCAGCGGCAACGAAGGAGGTCTTGCCTCCAAGGTTTCCAACATCCGGATTGTAAATGTAGGGATAGACCAAAGCCAGGTTGAACGTGGCTAAAGCATTTGCAAACCAGCCTACGCCAGAGTTCTTTCCTCTCAGCATCAATGAAGATGTCTCTCCCGCTACAGCGTAGCATGCAGGCCAGGCGCTCAACCCAGCGATGATAGTGATCGTAGTCCAGGCGGCTGCAGTATACCTGAGAAGGAGTCAGCAATTCTCAAAAGGTGAAGAGGTAAAATTGATGATAGAACCCACCAAGCTGCAGGGTCTCCTGGCCATATTGCAACGATCCCAGTTGTCAGGTAGAAGAAGCCCACCACAGCCATGCCCGTGATAAGCAACGGGCGGCGCCCGATTCTGGTAAGAAAGTAGAATGCCACAAAATTGGCAATCAGGCCTGCGACCACGCCACCAATGAAGACAGTAGTGGCATTTTCTGCGGTCACACCGAGCAGCTGAGTGAAGTACGAGCTGTGGCCCAGCAGAGGTAGGCCTGTGAGTGGTGGAACCATGCCGGCAAAGGCAACGATGAAAGTCCGCCTCCTGTTTTCTGGACCTCGGAAGATGTCGATATATGTTGTGCCCTCGTGCTTAAGCTCCTGGCCTTCCAGCAAAACATTGGCACGAAGACGCTAATAAGTGCTGCCAGGGTCATTGGCATGGGCTTTACCATCAAGTCTCGCGGCAGCCTTCTCCGTAGCTTCCCAGCGACTTTTGCGCATGAGCCAGATTGGGCTTTCGGGGAGGACAACACACAGACCTAGTGGAATGATTGAAAATACCCATTGCATAGCAATCGGAATCCGGTAGGCATTTGGATTTGGGTTGGAGGCCTCTGAACGGATGACCACTGCCGCGACGAGCTGTCCTAGCAGCTTGAAGGGCATGAGAAGTGATTGAATGGAACCACGGAGTTGAACAGGCAAAACCTCAGACGCGTAGACTTGGGCGCAAGGGATCAGAACGCCAACTGCAGTCCCATGGATGGTCTTTCCGACGAAGTAGACTGCATTCTTCGCGTGGTAGCCCGAGACCTGGCTTGCTAGGTAACAAATGGTAATCGTTGCAGCTTGGAAGATTGAAGCGATAACGAAGGTCTTTCGACGACCAAAACGATCTTGACCCCAGCCAGCGATCAGAGCCCCGATGACACCACCGAGGGGAGATGAGGCTGCCCACAACGACAACCACATTGCAGACACAATGTATTTGCCATTTTCGGTGATTCCGAAGACTTTCCTGTGATCATGGTTAGCTCATTGTGAAGAAGGCTCAATAAGGCTGGTTACGCTTGGAGTTACCAGCAGAGAGCCGTTATCAGAGAGGTGTGACAATAATTCCGCATGCTCGCTTCAAAGCGAAAGCCGGTAGTGGGTCTATAATGATGACAGTCGGTGGACATTAATGCGTAAAAAGGGTGGGACCAGAAAAAGATCGTCGTGCCTTGTTGTAATTCACTTATTACTCAAAGTCTACTCCGTACACATCCTGACATATCACCCCTATTTAGTTAGATATCAAGCAGAAGTGTGGGTTGCCGATCTCTTCTAAAACCTCTTAGTTCTCCTTTTGACTTAATCACCCACACTCACTATACGACCAGAGAGCCTTTAAGTGGATTACACTACTCGTAGTTACGAGAATGCTTGAATGAGTAAAAAGTGTGACCTCACAAGATCCTGCTGCTCTTTCACGTTCAATTTCAACACTATAAAACACTTGAGATCTATACATCCCACCCCTATCCCGTTGGAACACTGAGATGAAGCCTGGAATAGTCTATCGATTTCTGAACCCTGTCATGCACATCGACTGTGAATTGTTCCGAGGTATCTGCACTATCAGAAGGCTGTGCCCAGAATTCCGCTTCTTCGCTTCGAGGCGAATTTGGAATTTGGGTGCAAAAACGACCCGCACATTCACTAGTACGCGGAACACACAGTAACCAGCAGCCATGGTGATTCTGGGGATAGCCAGGCTCCAAAGCCTTTCAATGTCATGGTCCTTACATATCAATTCACCCGGTAGGGCAAGAAATACAGCACTTCTACGCGAAGCAGCAATATAGCAATTACCAATCAATCCGCTCGATCCTGCAACAAGAAAGATGGCCCCTTCTGACGGATTGGACAGAGCAACACCAGAGAGCTGTGGTGTGCGTTCCAGGGACATCAGGGCTTTCCTTGAGGATGTTGCCACAAACAAGGTCGAGCAGAACAGCTTCATGTTATACCGGTCGGGAAAGGTCATCGCTGAGAGCTGGTGGTGGCCTTATCAGCCTGATTTGCCTCACATGCTACATTTCGCCACCAAAAGTTTTCTCGCTGTGGCCGTCGGGATGGCCATACACGAGGGCTTCTTCAAGCTCGAGGATCGCGGTGTATCCTTCTTTCCAGAACATGTCCCTACTGACCCATCTCCTAATCTTCTGACCATGACCGTGGAAGATCTCTTAACCCAGACGAGTGGTCACGGCATGGGTCATTCGGGAGGAACATGGCGATCAATCGCAGGGAGTTGGATCGCCCAGTTCTTCAAGACACCTGTCGAGCACCTGCCTGGCGAAAAGTTTGTTTATTCGAGCGCAACGAGCTTCTTGCTCTCGGCTCTTATAACAAAAGCCACTGGTATATGTGCTCGAGACTTTCTCGAACCTAGGCTATTCCGACCGCTGGGAATCAAGATGTTAACCTGGGATGCTGGTCCAGAGAATGTAAACCCTGGTGGTAACGGCATCACCTGTTCTTCTTCCGATTTCCTCAAACTAGGCATACTCCATCTACAAAGAGGGATGTGGAACGGACAACAAATTCTTCCCAAAGCCTGGGTTCAGGCTTCGACAACTTCACAACGTGGCAACCCGTACGGCTATCACTGGTGGACATCAGAGGGTCCAGCATGTCGTGCCAATGGTATGTTTGGGCAGTTTGTCATCGTATATCCTGAACACGACTCTGTACTTCTCACCACAGCTGCCGTGGGTCGAGGAGCACAGCCCTTGAACGACGTGATAGGCCGTCACTTTCCCAAAATTCTTTCTCCCACCGAAGGGCTAGCACCAGCACTCGATGACAGCGAAGCTTATGCATCATTGAAAGACCTCCTGACAACACAACGTCTGCTTCCATCGTTTCAAGATCTGCCCTCCTCGCCAGTCCCTCCGCAGGCTCTTTCTATCTTATCACGAGAGAGGTTCGTGGCGAAGTCAAATGAGGACGACATCGTTTCTTTTACTCTGGACTTTCAAGCACAATATTGTATCCTCCATGTAGAGGATGAACGTGGCGTGGCTTTCATCGTGTCAAGGTCGGACTCAAGGACTGGGTCGAGTGCGAAACGAGCCTCTCTGGAGCCAAGTTGCACCACGGGTATGAGTGTGCTCAAATGCGTGCGATCGCTATTGGGCGGTGGATTGATGAATACACTTAATTCAATTCAACGAGACGGTGTTCCGCGACACAATAAGAATTACTTATCTCCCGGGCTATCAGTCGGCAAAGTTGGATTGCGGTGTCAATGTCAATTCTTTCACCACAAAACGACCTACCATCTGGGCCGGCAATCTCATTACCGATGACAAGCTCAGCAAGGAACTCGGGGTCAGCTCCACCAACCAATTCTCAATATCTGGGAGCTCGATGGGAGAGTTACTAGACAATCCTGACGCGCGAGCAATTCTGGAGGACGAGATTCCTCTTGTTCTTCAGGATCCCCGGCTGGAGAAGGCACGAATGTACACGTTAGAAATGCTCGGCCATCGATTGCCCGGGGTTGCACAAGGCAAACTGTAGGTAATCAATGCTAAATTGATGGCTCTGTAGCCTGCCAGCCTTCTATGCAGAAACTCATGTCGTGCAGCGATGCGGAGCTAGTTCAATTGGCCTGTCCAGACCTTGCTGTATTGACCCATCTGTCAATGACAGCATTTTTCGCGATCGAGAGAGTAAGAACAAAGGATGTCGAGTTTCAGGATTGGACTAGTTTCCGCATCAATATGAGATTCTTGGATATTCACAAATTCCTAGTAGACATGGGCTGTTTGTAGACACAAAGACCACATCTAGACGCAGACAACCTTAAGCATCAAAATGCTTCTCTCAACACTCTTCTAACGGCTTATCAGCCATTACTCTGATCTCATAATATCAAGAATAATAGACTCGTTTGCAGACAACGAGAGCAGGGCAGAAGGACAGGCGATGGAGAACGTGGATGAGTCACGTGACTTAAATTAGACCTCAAGGATCTGCGCATCAAAGGGGACCCCACTACGAGCGGCTTGCATCTTCTAGCCTCAACTCAACCACTTGTAGCTCGCTTGCTCGAGCATGGTGGGATCTGCACTTCTCCCTAGGGGTCAAGTTGTCTTTTCCCAACCTTATCTCTCAACTCCTGACTTAGTTCAGGCACCGTTGAATTGCCCAGCCGTGCCAACACGCTTAATCCCCTGACATGGTCGGCAATGCGTGATGCGTGAGCCACGAGCCACGAGCCACGAACCACGAACCACGAGCAGGAGGTGGCTTCATTCTTGAATTTTTGGCACTTCTCTCACCAAACAGTAATTGCTGTTGGTGCAGATCATGAGGCTGTCATTATCCCGGCACCATTTGGTACATGTCAAACTGCGCCATGCTTGCACCGAGATGACTGACATGCGGACGAATCCTAAACCCTGAATCAACCTCGTAAAGGTTTCATTCGACACTCCACACACGGAACCTTCTCCTCTCCTCCGCCTTGCCCGTCTTCAGACCCTATCCAAATCAGAACACTATCACGCTAGAACGCAATGTGACAGAAGCCAGTCTCGACATTGCAGTTCATCCTTCAGTCTCAACGACGATTGCGACGATTGCGACAACTCTGACAACCTCATATTCAGACTCCTGTGCTGACCTATATCTCCTGAGTCGACCGGTCCAAGTAAGGAGGAGGGGTAATCTTCATCATGATTGAGGGGATATGCAACACATACCACCATCGTATACGCAAGACCATCACATAACCGACGGTTGACTACACCCATAACCGCTCCCCGTTCAACAAATATCGACCATGTCCAAGGACAAAGGCAGCGATGGCGGTCACGCCGTGGTTCGAGCCCCTGCGCACCCAGTGCCTCAATTACAGAAACCTTTCGAAGAGTCGATGATGGAGTCAGCAGAAGACGGGCAAGACCATGAAGTTCCTCTGGATGCCATGGCAAGACGTACCATGCTCTTGGACGCCCCAACATATAACAGAGTTATTGCCGGCAGATGGAAACAAAAACCCGGGGAGAAGTACCATCCTCTGTGGAAGCTGGTCGCCCAGATGTCGTTTGGCATGCACTTGCTTGCGCTGAATCTAGCTATTTCAGAAGAGGAGGTCATGAAAATATTGCAGAGCCATGTTGACGATATAGATGGTTTTCTCGAGCGTACCACCGAAGATTTTGATCTTGCCCAAAGCGACATTCATGAACGAATCCGATGTCTCAAGCTACCATTAGCGCATGGGGAGGTCTTTGACCGTATGTTGGAAGATGGTGCGTTCAGGGCATCGATTCTCGACGGCAACGAGAAAATCGAACATGTCATTAGCCGAACGAAGAGAGCAGCCAAAGATGCTCTCAAGGATGTCCAGAAGGGGTTCGACGCTACAAACACGCTAGAAAAATACCTCACTAGCCTGAACTCGAGTTGGCATCGAAAGTCTCCAGAGCACGAAGCGGTTTTGGTGGCAATGCTTGGAAATGTTGAAGGCTGGCGAAGGGCATTCCTTGAACTGCATCTTGAGGGTAACAAGCTGGCCGGGCTGCTCAAGAAGCTGAGTGAGGTGGTTGCTCAGATGGAGAGAAGAGCGGCTACAGTGAGTCGCAACATGATCGTGAGTGCCCACGCAGAAACCATGGCCATGGTTCACTAGAAGCTGACAGTGGACAGACCAAATACCAGCGCCCAGTAAATCTGCCTTCTCAAAAGCCCCATCATATGTCGCAATCAGGCTCTATTGCGCAAGCAAAGCCATTGCCAACAGAACCAGGTCGGCGCCAGTCGTCTCGGAAATCATCACAGAGCACCAACGTAACTGGTTTCTCGAGTCGACCAGGCACCGGACACAAGTCCAGCCATGGCATGACATCGATTGGCCAAACTCCCGAATCAAAACGAAATCGAAGTCGAAGTCACGACACAAATCACCATGCCATCTCAGACGCGGCAAAAGAGTTGAACCAATCCAGACGGCAGCAGCCAGTCGAGCAAGGCCATGAATTTGGTGGATTATTGGTGCCGGCCGACCTCGAAAATCCCATCGAGCTTCCGGCAGATTTGCCTGAGGATCTACTTCGACAAGCACCTGTCTCAGTGAGAAATCGTCTTAGCATGACACTGGGTATCGATCCGAAAACCAAGTCAGATCATCGTATCTCAAGCGTCTACTATCCTCGAGCTTTAGGAGAGCTTCTGAAGTCACCAGAATCGTCCCACATGTTATATTCGCCACAACACGCCACATCGAACGTGGCAACACCAGTGAGTGCTGTCATTACCTCGCCTGTGTATGGGCTGGAGAATAGGGCATCCCATACGGCCCAACAGGGAAGAAAATCTCAGTCAGGCTTGGCTGGGTCGCATGATCAACCCAAGCCGCGGTATGCAATGCCAACAGCCATTCGGGGCTCGGCTCGGGCATCAGTCATTGACCCAATGATGAGATCGCAACGCATGTCAAACCCGGCCTTCACTTCCCATCCAGCTGTCATGGCGATGGCCTCACCTCCGGTTGAGCTTCCAGCCGAAGCAGATGGTGAAGAGATGACTATTATGATGGCTTTGGACCAAGTTTCCAAACCGTCTAGTATACGGGGACCAGGTTCGGAGACGGAGAAAGGAGCGAGAGCTAGGTCGAAATCTTTGGCAGGTGCTAGCCACGCTGCAAAGACCTCGGTCGTCTCAGCACTTGGAGTTCCAGCTTTGGTTGAAGAGAAAAGTTCGGCCGTGGCCGGGCGAGGAGAAGCACGGCAAAGAAGCTCGCACGGAAAAACGAGCCTGACAGAGGTTGCCGAACCTTCGGAATCAAACCAGGACGAGGAAGAAATTTACCAAGACTCGAAGGAGAGTCAGGAGCCACCTGTGACAGTGCCAAAGCCAGATAACGATGAGCCAAATGCCACAAAACAAGATCCGGTGGTGGCGGAAATAGTGGCAGAAAAGACAGAAAAGGCAGAACCAAGTCTTGGAGTGGAGAGAGCAGTTGACGAGTCGGTCAACAGCACAAAAGGCAAGAAAGTCGATGTACAGGCCAAAGGATACGTCGCCGAACTCGAGGCGAATACTCCAGGAGAACCGACAAGGCTAGAAGAGCCAAATCCAACTGGGCCGGTAGAGCTCGAGGCCCCTTTCCATAATTTTGCGTTGCCACCTCGTCCGATCGCAGCGTCTAGTAACCCAGACAAGGAAGTACCACGGGCCAGCATCCGAAATTTGGACGACTTTTTCAAACTCCCTTCGGAGCAAAGCATCACACCGGGGCGTAGGGTGAAGGAGGGCGGCAGATCGAGTGAACAAGACAAGACGAAACCGCTGAAACTAACACTGGCCAAAGTGGATGGCAAGACTGTGCCAATTCGATCAAATTCCAGAGAGGAAGGATGGCGGGAGGGAGGGGAACGACCACCTTCACAATTGTTGAAAAGCGATGTTGTGGCGGACATTATCGGTACCATGTCCTATACGCCACCAGGCTCACCTTTACATCAACGAGGCTCGTCCGGAGCGTCGCATAACTCGGCGCAGAGGTGGTCGCATAGATCAACCCGCTCGCTGGGACCGTCGGAGGTTGCACCTCCACCACCAGCGCCAGGGGGGCGTCCGATGGTCAACCCTGACTTTGCGTCGGCAGGACAATTTGAAGGAGAGCGCAAGCAGAAGAAGAAGAAAAAGATATCGATCGTCAGCAAGGACAAATGGAGGTTGTTCTTTCAAAATGGAAACTCGCGTGCGCTGAACCCTTCGCAGGCTGCACAGGCAGAAAAGGCGGCCAGGGAGTCCGGAAAGGAACCGGGCGAGGGTGGAAGTGAGATGATGAGCGGATCAGGCAAGGACGTAGTATGGTTTAAGGGTGAGAGAAAGAGTGCAGTGGGTGCTGTTTCGAGGAGTTCTGGTTGATTTGAATGAAATTTTCAATGGCAGGCATTTAGCGAGGCGGAGCGGTACAATTGTCTGATGAAAGAAGCCTGTTTGAGCACCTGTCAGATGTAGGGCATAATTTTGTTTTGTTATTTTGTTTCCTGTAGACACATGGTTGGGTTTCTGATGTCGTAACAGCGCGGGCGGATTGAATCTGATGGTTTTTGGCGAGGAATATACCAAGATGAGGGTGTGGATGGATGGAATTGTTCATCCACTGGTCCTGTTGGGACTTAGTAGGGTTGAGACGTTCCATTGGAGGGGGGATACCTGATCTTGTGTATCAGTTTTGTTACTCCAAGGCCAAAATGTGCCTCGATAGCCATAGATACCTAACTGTAGGAGGTCGGTAGTTGGCAGGAGTTCCTGCACGCAACCGTGACTGTAACCAACCAACAGTGAGGAACTCGATGGTGGCTTCAAATGTGTGGCACAACGTCTTGATTTGAATAAAGTGCTCTGGTGTGTCTGGCTGACTGGGCTCTACCGAAAAAGTGGTGATGAGGATGCCTGGCGGTATACCTAGCTGGGATAGGCCGTTGTTGTAAGTGTGGTGGTTGTGGTGGTTTGTGGTGGTTGCAAGTGATGACGGTTAGAGTCTCAGATGCCGAACCAACAGGCAACAGCCGCGATACGAGTCGATCAGATCACCACCATCGCCATCGTGGAGAGACTTTGCCATCTACCAATGAAGATGGCATAATGGTTACATTGAAACGCTGCGTAGAAGCGGGGAAAGACTCGTTGATGAATGTCGACTCTAAGCAAGGTCAGGTATCTATAAATCTGATGTAGAACCTACTCAGCTTCGCTCCATAGGATAATGAACATGTCGCAGGCCAGTTACAGTCCCAGGAAACAGCAAATCCCAATCCCTGATCGAGATGACTCAGGCGTGGTTATGATTCCGCCCTCAAAGGCGCCCCAGTGACACCCAGTGATACCCCTAAGCACTCCAGTCGCACCCCCCAAGTTAGGCGTCTCGGGCTCTCACAGTCCACCACCCTTGCACCACCATAAGATACACACGTACTTCGGTCAAGTCATGTCCGAGTCATCAATTTGTATGGTTTTGGGAAGTTTGCAATCTCGACCATGTTGTAAATCAGCCGTCTCAGTATCAAGGAGAGTTGAGAAGAGCCAAGCATTGACAGAGAGTTCAAAGGTGTATCTCCTGTGACTACGAAATCTGGTATAGAGAAGAGAAATCGAGATTCGACACGACCTCCGCCACAGTAGTGACCCCAGTATCCCCCCCCCGAGGCGGAGAGGCCGCCACAGGCCCCTCGGCCCCTAGGGTCCCCCCAGTCCCTCCCAGTACCTCCCAAGCGCGCCCCTCGGCCCCCTCCAATTCCTCTGCCTCCCTCAAACTCTACTTGAGTCTCGGCGCATCATCATTGATCGCCTCGTCTGCGGTTGCCTTGACTGACACTTGCCTGGCCATCCTCAACTCCTACAATCGACAACTCACCTCACCTCACCTCACTTTACACCTCACCTTACACCTTACAGCTTACAGCTTATTACAGACTTTGCTTGTCACCTGCGAGTTGAAGGGAACTGAGAACTGGGAACTGGGTAGTGTGTCCCATCCACCCATTCGTCGTCCACCTAGTCGAATCCTACCGGCCGTGTTAGCCTACCAACCTAACAATCCGCCAGATCTACCCACCGGCCACTCTCGCTCTCTCGCTCGTCTCTCACTCCCTCCCCACGAAATCCTCTAAACTTAGCACCCACTCTTGCCTCCACCTTCGATTGGCCCACCAGGGCCACTGCCGTCCAGCCAAACCCTCCCTAACCACCAACACCAACTACCAGTACTCGTACGGACTTACACCATCTCCACGAGTCCTCCCTCCAACGACTGGACCCCGACATCAACGACCTGAGTCTCGCAGCTACTCCATGGCTCATGGCTCTTCGACCCTATAGACATCACCATATCGATAGCTCCTCTTAGCCATTCCATTCGACTAGCCTCTATCCCCTCTGACTTCGAGTCACTGCTGCCACACCCTCTCTTGCGCCTCCACCGTTGACCGCGACGGAGCATGCTTGTTTGGACAGTTGTGCGCACGACGCGAACCATCGAACCACATCCTCCGAACATGATTTGAGCAAAAGGAAAGAGAAGGCAACCTCTACCCTCGCCGCTTCCACTGAGGCAGGAAAAGGTACATTTCGAGTCTGTTTATACCTTGCTGCCCATTGCCTACGGCTCTCCGTCCAGCCCACCAACAACATCTTGCCCAAAGCATCTGTTATCAGCTTCCGAACCTGTTACTTCTCTGTCTCAGGTCGAGATTGATCATTCTCCGCCTCCTGCAACAACTCCCTGTGCTCTTCTTTGAGATTCAGTGCATACCACCTCTTCGAAGCTTCCACTGACATGGCTGTAGTCAGTCACTGAACTCTTCCGCTGTCCACGCCTCCCGGCCGTTTTGCATCTCACCGTTCGCCCTTTCTCCTCCGCGACAATCCATCGCCGAGCTTAGAGCCTCACGTTCACCTCGCCATGGCCATCTTCGGGAACAGCTCTTCAACCAACTCTGGCAATCGCCAACAAACGCACCGACAGCAAAGCCCCCCATCCGTGCCACCTCAGGCATCCCACCGAAACAATATTGGTTCCGATATTGCTCCATGGGAGAGCCGACCCCCAGTTGAGGATGATATAGCTCCTTGGGAACGAGACCCTCAGTCGCAAATTGGCGGCATTCGTCCCTTCAATCAGTCTTACTTCAACGAATCCGTCATCCGCGACGTCACCGCCAATCCTCGACCCGATACCGCGAGGACAAACTTCTCCGACTCCCCTGACTATGACGCTGACGCTCGTCGCCCTTCAATAGCCAGTGCCACCACCGTCAGTAGCACAGGCTCAAGAGGTTCTGCCGCTAATGGTCGCTTCCATAAAAGTCTCAAAGGCTTCTTCGGAGACGATCCCACCGATTCAAGAAAGGGATCCACCGCAAATCTGAACGAACAAAATCAAAGCTCTGCAACCCCAGATAAGCCCACTCCGCGAAGTGGCTCTGTGCAGACACAGAACAATGCCGACGAAGTCTCCAAAACACCTGCTCCCCCGCCATCTAGCGATGTCACTCCTTGGGCTTATCAAAATTTCGAAGACGTCTCGAACTTTGGCTCTGCCCCCATCAGACAGCCTCCTCAAGGAACCTCACAATCTCCTAACCCGCCTTCTTCTCAAGCCTCCACTCCTGCTCGCCGCCATGGACTGCTACACCGCCACACAAGAAGCAAGGAAGACCCGCCAAAAGGTCAAAACTCCTCAGGTGCCGTCCCCAAGCGGCCATCCACCAGCCGAGAGTCTTCCACGAGCAATCTCGCCCAGTTTCGCGGCACACCTCAGAACAGCACTCCAATGAGCTCCACGTCAGCCCTTCCCCGGAATTCGAGTCCTGGGCCTTCCATACGCAAGGAGCCACCCGCCCAGGCTGAGAAGAGGTCCATCTTCTCCAAACTCAAATCACGGCACAAAGACAAACAACCACCCCAGCCAGAACCAATCAGAACCAATGTCGAGCCCATCAAGTCCCCAGATGACCCAAAGGGACGTAAAAACACCTCCCTACGTGCCCACACATTCGACACTCCCTCCTCCCACAGAGATCGAGAGACGAGCGTGGCTTCGGTCGACAGTGCATCCACAATCAAAGCCACCGACCCCTCGCCCAAGATTGAGCGCGCATACACCGCCGGCCCCAAATCGAGCAGGTTTGGTCGCCATAATAAACACCGCGGTCCGGCCTCCCAGCCAGAGCCCATCGAAAGACCTCGTGCCGGTTCACATCACCAAGCCACCATGCAGGCCGGTGTCTTCAATCTCGATACCAACTTTGATGATATGTCTGATATCCTGGCCAAACCGCCTGACCCCCAAGGGCCCTCGGATGGCGGCATTTTCGCCGGTGGCAAGATCACTCAAACACCCGCCTCGGAAATCGGTGCTCCCGCCTGGGATGCTCCCGACAGCTGGGCCGTCAAAGGCACAGAGGACGAGATACTAGAGTCGCTCCCAGAAGCCAATGAAGACGGCCTCCCCGCGATACAAGAGGAGGACGGCCTGTCATACTTTATGCGTGTTTTTCGGAGCGACGGCACCTTTGCCACTCTTTCCATGTCCATCAATGCCACCGTGGGAGAGGTCTTACAGTCGCTCGCCAAGAAATCCGTCATGCATGACTCCATCGACAGCTATCATTTGTTGATGCGTAAGCATCAGCTGTCGAGACAACTCGGTCTGTCAGAACGGCCCGTGGCCATGCAAAAGAAGCTGTTGCAATTGGCCGGCTATACCGAGCGCGACCGCGTCGAGGATGTGGGACGAGAGGATCAAAGTTACCTCATCCGCTTCACCTTCAGCCACGAAAAGCAGACCGGCTTTGGTTCTGGTCTGGACAATGACACATCCATCGCCAAGATGCAAAAATTCAGCCACGTTGATCTCTCGAGCAAGTCATTAGCCACAATCCCCATTATTCTATATACCAAGGCTGCCGAAATCATTTCCATCAACCTCTCCCGAAATCTCGCGCTCAAAGTCCCCAAGGACTTTGTCACGGCCTGTATCAATCTGCGCGAGATCAAGTTCACCGGCAACGAATCCTGGCGCCTGCCACCCAGTCTAGCTTGGGCCAGTCGTCTGACCGTTCTTGATGTCTCCAACAATCGCCTCGAACAGCTGGAGCACGCCGAGTTGCACCGTCTGATGGGCTTGGTGAGCCTGAAGCTAGCAAACAACAAGATCTCTCAACTCCCGCCCAATTTCAGCCATTTCAGGCAGTTGAGGAGTTTGAACTTGTCCTCCAACAATTTCCATACATTTCCAGAGCACATCTGTGGGCTCAAGTCTCTCGTTGACCTGGACATCAGTTTCAACAGATTGTCGTCATTGCCCAAAATCTCGCAGCTGACCACCTTGGAGAGACTGTGGGTCACCAACAATGATCTCAAAGGCCCCTTCAACGAAAGCTTTGCGAGTCTGACCAATTTGAAGGAGATTGATGCTCGCTTCAACGGCATTACCGACATCGACAGCGTCACTAACCTGCCAAATTTGGAACAACTACTCGTCGGCCACAACAACATCACTACATTCAAGGGCTCGTTCCAAAAACTCCGTGTACTCGTCCTCGACCATTGTCCCATCACGTCATTTGAGCTCGAACAAGCCGTCCCAACCCTCACAAGCCTTAATATTGCTTCCGCCAAACTCGTCGAGTTCAAGGAGTCATTATTCGACTTTGTGCCAAATTTGCAAAAGTTGAATCTCGACAAGAATCATCTCTCAAACATGTCATCTCAGATTGGCCGATTGTCCAAGCTGGAATTCCTGAGTATGGCCAAGAACCCTTTGAATTTAGTCCCGCCATCGATTGGGAACCTTGTCGAGCTTAAGTTTCTCAACCTGAGAGAATGCAACGTCAAGAGCCTCCCGCCGGAGATCTGGTATTGTCGCAAGCTAGAGACCTTGAATGTCTCGTCCAACGTCTTGGAGACGTTTCCGAAACAGAACGCGGCGCCACCACCAAGTGAGCAGAAAGACCTGACACCGTCCACCACCCCGGGACTGTCGAATTCACCGAGCTTCGAGGAACTCGGCAAGCTCGAAGACTTTCAAGCTCGAAGACCGAGCCAAGCATCCGCAGGCATGATGAGTATTGGAAGCTCACCTGGCGGGCGCAAGGGTTCTATCGCCTCTATACCCGGTCATCGCAAAGCCTCGGTCATATCGCGGACAAACACTGAGTATTCCATGTCCACGGCAACGCGGAAAGATTCCAACCTCTCACAAGCGAGACTACAGAATACGTTTGCCGGGTCGCTGCGTTACTTGTATCTTGCGGACAATCGCCTGGAAGATGATGTCTTTCGAGAGCTGGCTCTTCTCCCTGAGCTCCGCGTCCTCAACTTGTCATACAACGAATTGGACGACTTTCCCCAGGGAGTGTTACGACGGTGGCCCCAATTGAGTGAGCTTTACTTGTCTGGAAACGAACTGACGTCGTTGCCGTCAGACGATCTCGAGGAGAGCAGTAATTTGAAGGTCCTTCATCTCAATGCCAATCGATTCCAGGTATTGCCCGCCGAACTCTGCAATGTCCACAAACTCTCGACTCTGGACGTGGGAAGCAACTCTTTAAAGTACAATGTGTCAAATTGGCCCTACGATTGGAATTGGAATAGAAATACGAATCTAAAGTATCTCAATTTCTCGGCAAACAAGAGACTGGAAATCAAGCCTGCCGCTCATCAGAACCAGTCGCAGTATAACTCGATGGCAGGCGAGCAACCAACGGACCTTACCAGCTTCAACACGTTGAAGTATCTCCGAGTGCTTGGTTTAATGGATGTAACTCTCTTGACAAACACGATTCCCGATGACAACGAAGACCGACGTGTGAGAACCTCAGCATCACTTGTCGGGGCGTTGATGTATGGCATGGCAGACACACTGGGGAAAAATGACCATCTGTCGTCTCTTGATCTCCTCAAGCCAAATTTCCGGGGCCACGATGCAGAAGTGCTGATTGGATTGTTCGACGGTCAGTCCATGTCGAGTGGCGGGTCAAGAGTGGCCAAATACCTACACGAGAACTTCCCCAATGTCTTCTACGACGAGCTGAAGAAGTCAGAGGCCAACAAGGACACACCAGTCGATGCCTTGCGGCGCACATTTCTGGCGATGAATAAAGACATGGCCAATTTCGCGAGCAGTAACTTTGACACCAAAGAGCATCGGTTGGCAAATGGCCATCGCGTGTCTGCGGTAGCGAATATCTTGGGCCCCGACGATCTCAACTCGGGAGGTGTAGCTACGGTCATGTATCTGAATGGCCTGGAGCTCAATATTGCCAATGTTGGTGACATTGAGGCCATCCTCATCCAATCCAATGGTCAACACCGTGAACTGACGCGGAAGCACGATCCGGCGGAGCACCGTGAGCGAGAAAGGATTCGAGAGGCGGGCGGCTACGTCTCTAGGCAGGGCAAGCTGAACGACACTCTGGAAGTCAGTCGAGCTTTTGGATACTATAGCCATATGCCGTCGGTGATTGCGGCGCCACATACGCTCAGCCTCACATTGACTGACTCGGATGAACTGATCGTCCTCGCCACCAAAGAGTTCTGGGATTATGTTACAGTGGATCTCGCGGTTGATGCAGCCCGCGCGGAGAAGAACGATCTGATGTTGGCTGCGCAGAAGCTGAGAGATCTGGCTATGGCATTTGGAGCGAGAGACAAGATCATGGTCATGGTACTCGGAATCTCGGACCTTCGGAAGAGAGGGAGTCATCGTTTCCGCGGCACGAGTCTGTCAATGGCCAAGGAGCTGGGTTTGGACGAAGGAACCATCTTTCCTAGCTCACGCAAAGCTCGACGCAAGGGCGAAACACTCGTGGGAGATTCTCGACTTGCGCGACTCGAAGAACCAGAAGCACCAGTGGGCGATGTTGCGATTTGTTTCACTGACATCAAGAACTCGACAGCATTGTGGGAGATTCTACCTGTACCGATGAGGTCGGCCATCATGATGCACAACGAACTGATGAGGCGACAATTACGCATTATCGGTGGGTATGAAGTCAAAACCGAAGGTGATGCATTTATGGTGTCGTTTCCTACGGTGACATCAGCGCTATTGTGGTGTTTCAGCTGCCAAAGCCATCTGTTGGAGTTGCCTTGGCCCCAGGAGATCTTGGAGACAGTGCACTGCCAGGAGAAGCTGGACGCGGATCAAAACCGGATATACCGCGGGCTTTCAGTGCGAATGGGGATCCACTGGGGTCGGCCAGTGTGTGAGCAAGACCCGATCACTCGACGAATGGATTACTTTGGGCCTATGGTCAACAAAGCCGCTCGGGTGTCTGCAGTTGCGGACGGAGGCCAGATATCTGTGAGCAGCGACTACATTGCAGAGATTCAGAGGACACTGGAAAGCTACGCAGATGATGACCGTCGGGACTCGATTGGATCTCAAGACACGATGAATGAGGATCCATTGGCGAATCAAATCCGTCGAGAACTGCGACAGCTGAGCAGCCAGGGGTTCGAGGTCAAGGATCTTGGAGAGAAGAAGCTCAAAGGGCTGGAAAACCCGGAATATCTGTACTTGATGTATCCCCATTCTTTGGCAGGTCGATTGTCGATTCCCCCAGGAGCAGAGAACAAGGTGCAACTAGGAGGAGAAGCGGCGGGGGCCGGGGATGAAAAGGCAAGCCCTGGATCATTGGGCAAAAACAGTCAACTGAATCTGGAGCTCGACGGGGTTTGGAAGCTTTGGGATATTGCCTTGAGGCTGGAGATGCTGTGCAGCTGTTTGGAGCATCCTGAGCGCGCGGCCGGGTTGCACAAGCCCGAGCTCAGCCTTCTCACGCGAATGAAGGAGCGTGGAGGAGTGCAAACGGACGCTTTCATGATGAACCTCCTAGAACATCAGGTGACGCGAGTCGAGGTAAGTCGGTGTCGTTCGAGGCGCTCGCCGAGTGGGATATTTGGCTAACATGGTGAATAGTCGTGCGTGACCACACTGCAAATCCGAAACATGATGCAGCCATTCCAGAAAGGGGTATCTTTGTTGGACCAGGCTCGGCCAATCGCGGGAATGCTTGCTGAATTATCCGAATTGCTGCAGCAAAAGCGCCAGGAGGCGATTCCCCCGCGAGCTGGGGAAGCAGAGGAGGTCGACTATGAAATTGTGGACGAAGGACTCGATGACAGTGACGAGGAGCCGGCTAGCGACAGCGACAGCACGTGAGAGGTGGGATTCGGCGGCCGGTTGCAGGAGGAGGAATTCATGACTTTGATGATTGATTGCAGACCACAGGAGGCGTCACATGACATTGGGCAGAAAAAGCGACAGCGACAGCGACTGGACAGGATCACGGGTGATGTTTTTTTTTTTTGAAACCAAGATTTGATCTACTGGACGTATTTGGAGGAGCGTGGACATATTTTGATGGGAAATGAACGTCCGTGACGATTGATGGGATTCATCCCTCTGGCATTGTGGTTTTGGAATGGCGCGTTTTTGAATGGTTGTGGTTCGGACGGCCGAGGCTCGAAAGCCTTTGGACATTGAAGGTTGTCGGAAAGGAGAAATGCACATATTCTTTGAAGAGGGGTGTGAAACCAACGGATATGTGAAGGAAATGGATATTATTGTTTATCACTATACTCCGGCCGCAGTGGATGTAAGTCATACAACCAGATTGAGTTCTGCATCCGTCCCAACGGTTAGCAGGTCCTTCAGGTGATGGTCTATAGTCAACGATGAGGCACTGTGTGACTTGGAGATATGGAACGACTGGTGGTGGCTGATGCTATCGTAAGGACTCATATGTAGAGTATCTGTGGAGTGGATGTGGATGTGGATGTGGATGTGGATTTCCCCGAATATTAAACCGGTGCATGTAGGATGTACTTGGTGGGGATTGGCATGACGGCATATGTGACGATAGCTCGCTCTGTTGATATGTGTACAGACCCATATATTGTTGCATGTTCTCTCCTCTCGGTGAATCTATGCTTGGTGAGTTGAGAGTGGTACCTACAATATAGTGACAGCTTTGGTACCCAAGATAGGTACCTCCTGAAATTGATTCTCACGGCTTCAAAGAGATCAGAATTCCTCTCTGGACCCTGGGATCCTCAATCATCCATCTTCAGCTTGGCAAGCCATTCTCGCAAGCCACCGTGCCACTGTCTCCATTCTCCTTGTCATCTTCTTTGAGGGTGAAAAATCAAACACAAACAATCACAAGATTGTCAGGTGGCAGGTGGCAGGTGGCAGTTGGTGGTTGGCACTTGCCTTATCCTGCTTATTCAACTTGGGCAGGTGCATGTGGTGTTAAGTACATCGCGACTGCCTCTCGAGACCCCTTCCTCTCAAATCGGTTCATGTTCCTAATCCGTCCATCATTCCGCAAACACGCCGTCACCTTCTGCCTTCAACGTGGACATCCAACGACATCTGAATTAATATATCCAGTCCAGGTACCAATTCTTGGACGGGGGTGGTGTGGGTTCTTCCATTGGATCATAAAACGTGGATAAGATCTCTCGTCATTCTCGCCTACTATCTTCCTCTTTCCTCCCGGCAAAGTAGTCTGAAAAGACGACTGTTTACTTGCTGTGGCTCGCTCCCCCCATCTTCCAAGATGAAGAACTATCATTTCGAGTCCCATCCACTCCCCAACCCCGAATCAGTCATTTCAGGCGACAACTATCGCTTCACGGTCCTGACAGATCGACTGATCCGCTACGAATGGTCCCCAGACGGCAAATTTGAAGACCGCGCCTCCACCTTTGCCATCAACCGATCCTTTCCAACTCCAAAGTTCCACAAGGTCGAGCAAGATGACCAAATCGACATTATCACTGACCATTTTCACATCACCTACGACAAGAAACGCTTTAGCCCCAGCGGCCTTCTTGCCAGCTTCTCGGCAAAAATAACCCTCTGGGGAGCCCAGTGGCGATACGAGGACAACCCTGGCTCCCTGCCCAACCTCGGTGGCACCGCTAGAACCTTGGATGAGTGTGATGGTCCATGCAAATTAGGTGACGGTGTCTTGAGCAGGTCCGGATACGCTGCCATCGATGATAGCAAGAGTATGTTGTTCGACGGCAAGGGCTTTGTCGCGGGGAGAGAGCTCGGTGACAGGATCGACGGCTATCTCTTCGCCCACGGTCACGATTACAAGGCTGCCATCAAAGATCTCTACGCCTTGAGCGGCAAGCAGCCGTTGTTGCCCAGGTGGGCCTTGGGAAACTGGTGGTCTCGCTACTACCGCTACGAGCAGCAAGAATACATCGACCTCATGGACGAGTTTCGCGGCAAAGACATCCCTCTGTCAGTCGCTGTTATTGACATGGACTGGCATCTGGTGGATGATGATCGAGTTCCACACGCTGGCTGGACCGGCTACACCTGGGATGACAAGATCTTTCCTGATCCGAAAAAGTTTGGCAAGGACCTACACGACCGAAACCTCAAAATCACCTTGAATGATCATCCTCATTCTGGAATCCATCATCACGAGGACTCTTATGAGGAAATGGCAAAGTTTTTGGGTCACGATACCTCTCAAAAACATCCCATCCAGTTTGACCCCACCAGTCCAAAGTTTATCGAGGCATATCTATCGATTCTGCATCGCAACCTGGAAAAGACAGCCTGCGATTTCTGGTGGATCGACTGGCAGCAGGGCGCCCATACCAAGATCCCCGGCATCGATCCCCTTTGGCTGCTGAACCACTTTCATTTCCTCGACAATGCCCTTGATGGGAAGCGTCCTCTCATCTTTTCCCGATATGCAGGACCAGGCTCACACCGTTACCCAGTGGGATTCTCTGGCGACACTGTCACCACCTGGGCCAGCCTGAAATTCCAACCCGAGTTCACTGCCACCGCCAGTAATATTGGTTATGGTTGGTGGAGTCACGACATTGGCGGACACATGTTGGGCACCCGAGACGATGAGCTGGTAACTCGCTGGGTACAATTTGGCGTCTTTTCACCTATCATGCGTCTTCATTCTTCCAATTCCCAATGGACCTCCAAGGAGCCGTGGAAATATCGAAAGGAGTCGGAGATTGTGATTCGAAACTTTATGCGACTCCGCCATCGCATGATCCCCTTCTTGTACACCAGAAACGTGATTTGTGCGACACAAGACGAACCTCTTGTGCAGCCCATGTACTGGTCCTTCCCTGCTCGAGACGAGGCATATTCGGTCCCCAACCAATACTTTTTCGGCGGAGATCTGATCGTGGCTCCAATCGTCACGCCGAGGGATAAGAGGACCAACCTGGGGAGTGTCAAGGTCTGGGTGCCGCCGAGCTCCGGCCGATGGGTCGATATTTTTACGGGGACCGTGTATGATGAGGATCGGGAATTGAACATGTACCGTCCGCTGCATGAGATCCCAGTGTTGGCACATGAGGGCTCCATCATTCCTCTTGATGCTGCCGCGGCTCCCGATAATGGTGGCAAGAATCCCGATGCCTTTGAGATTCTGGTAGTTGTCGGTCGTGACGGACAAAGCAGTGTGTTGGAGGATCCGCAAGATGACTCGAACGACGCAGAACGGGCAGCTCCCAGCAGTGGGGAGAGGGGAAGCTTGATTCAACTTGACCAGCAGAAAGGTGTCCTGACCGCTCATGTCACAGGTCGGACGTGGTCATTCCGCTTCCTCGCAGTCACCGAAGTGCCCAAGGGGCTACAGGTGGAGGTGGACGGAAAAGACATCACGAAAGAGGCCGAGGTCACGGTGGAGAAATTCCCCAACGTTCCATCACTCGTTGTCCATGTGCCAGCGTCATGCACAACCCAGTCGGCACATGATAAGAAATGTCAAATCCAGATTTCTCTGGGCCCGGATCCCCAATTGAGCGTCTTGGACCATAAGGAGCGGATAGCACGATTGCTCTTGGACTGGCAGACCGATTTTGATATCAAGGACCGGGTATGGAGTGTGGTCTCGGACCGCAAAAGTGGAATCAATGTCAAAATTGGAAAACTAATGAGTTTGAGCGTGGATGAGAGATTCACAGAGCCTGTGGCCGAGTTGATCCTGTCAGATCATCGAGGAATGCACCTATAGAGATGGAGATATCTGGGATTTGAGGTATAGTCTGGAAATACAATACAGCACAGAGGGTGTGCTCATGGGTAAATGGATTAAAAACACTGACAATCAATCACACAAACCAAACCAAAGCTATGCTGTAGTTTGCATCTCTCATTGCTATGATGGTCACTTGAAATCTGATATTGCAAGATTTCTTGGACCAATCAGACGACGGGAGCAATGTGATTGGCTGAGAAACGGGGTCCTTGGGCTTAGGAGGAAGGCAGGTTGGCGACGCTCCAGGTACCTGCAGTAACAGTAACTTGCTAGATTATTAAAGGACTTATTAGAGGTAAGGCGCAGGCTACAGATACCATGGAGGTGTTTGTCTGCAATGATCTCGTGCCCTTATGCCTCTTTGTACGTGTCAAGTACATACTCCGTAGGTACCTAGGTCCTTAGCTCCGTAATACTCTCAGGCGACAAACATCTCAGTTTGGTCCCGGCTATCTTGCTTTTTTCTTGGCCTGTGACCAACCATTAAGGGATTAGTCGAGTACTCCAGTACCCGGACTCTCATCCTCTTACCTAGGCTCACAATTCTTAGGTCCCTCGTGGTCCCTCATGGTCCCTCCTGGCCCCTCCACCCCCGTTGTCCCTCCAAAGACCCCAGCCGCCCGCTACCAATTGCCGAGCAAAGGCCCCTCGGCGGCTCGGCCGTTACGAATTGCAAATGGCAATGATGTCGATGCTGCTTGGGGAATCGCCGAGGTTAGATTCTGTCGCCGCTCACAATCTGAGAGTCTCTTGCTCTCCACGATTTCTCAAGCCACAAACCACCTCCTCCAGATTCTCAACCGTGGCTATGATCTCTCCGCATACTACTTACTTTTGTCAACCAGATTCATTCCCTGTCAATGAACTGGTCTTAACATTCATTGCCTCATAACCTCATCACACTTTCGAACCACGACATTCCCAGCTGCTTGACAGAGAGACACATGCCATTTCACCAACCGCACCTGCACCTGCACCCACACCCGTCATACAGCAGCGCACCTTCCACATATGCACATGCTCAGTCGTTCCTGCCTCCCTCGTGATCTCATTCTTCCATCTTCTCTTTCGTCGCAATCCTAGACTTGGTCGTCTTCTTCCGCACACACCTCACCTTCAATATCCCCGTCATATCATCAAGATGGACGTGTTAAAGGTATTGCTCATCACGCCCTCACCCTTTACATAGTCCTTCATCTGCCTGCTTCTGCTGGAATGCTAACCAAATCCCAAGGACCAAGTCGAAGCCATCCTTCTCAACCCCGACCTTGCCCCTCTCCTCGCAATCCTCAAAGCCGCCCGCAATGGCGCCGTTTATGGTGCAAAAGTTCGCTTTCCTCATGCTCTCGTCATGATAATGCTATTTCGATCTGGCTCTCTGAAAGAAAAGATTCGTCTAGTCCTAAGGGCCACAAAACAACATGCCAGCAATCTGGCTCGATTCGCCGTCATTTACAAGACTTCAATGTTGATCCTGAGATTGATCAATCCCGTCCGCCCGGGCAAGGAAGGCCCATATGACACATTCTTCGCTGGTCTAGCAGGTGGCTACGTCGTCTTTGGACGAGCCGCACAGGGAAGGTAACATCTCCTTCCCATGAAGTCACACCAGCGAACCCTCGTACTAATTCATCTGTATCAGTGTCAATCAACAAATCGTCATTTATGTCTTTGCTCGAGTCATCCTAGCCATGGCCAAATTATCCATTGAGCCCACCAACATGACCAGCACCACCCCAACCCCAACGCTCTGGACCCAGAGACTCTCCCCCGAGACCAAGGCCAAAATCCAACAAAATGCATGGCCTGTCTTTGCTAGCTTGAGCTGGGCTTGTGTCATGTACATTTTCCGCTGGCAACCTGAAAGCATCCAACCGAGTCTACGGAGCAGTATGAAGTACATGTATGTTACTTTTCAATGCTTATCTACTATTCCCTGAGCCTGCCACATACTAACCTGTCGACCAGATACGTCAATTCCGACTATTGGGATTCGTTCCGCAATTTCCTCATCCACAACACCTAATCCTTTCCCGGCTTCCCTTCTCGATTCATACGAAACATTGTGGTTGGTATTCGTCATGACCATCGACCGAGGCGCCCATGTTGAATATACACAAAATTTGCATCATGTCTGAGCTACTAGCTTGGAATACACTGGCTGCGACCCGTCTAATGCTTGATCTATCCATGACGCCCTGCGCCTTTGCACCGACGGATCTTGCAGCAGAAATAATGTCGCCATCTACGAATAATGTCAAGAATTCAGCCCCTCGGTAGCACCGAGATGAGACGGGCAAAGGATCCCAGACCATGAGATGAGTTTGGACTATTGATAGAATGGCAGGGATACAAAAATCCTGCAACTGGAAGTGCATCAATTAGGGAACCAACCTAGTTGATGTGGGGCAGACGAGATGTGGGGGGTCTCCATATCGAGCATCAAAGCTTTCGCTTGGATATCATTATTGACACGCTGTGCAGGCATTGACATTCAACAGGTTTCCTCCCAACAGGAAGATACGGAACTACTGTGGTCACGTGCCTCAAAATAGATAGATATGCCAGGACCATTGATCAAATCCTGTGTCCATACGCCGAAGAACTGAGAAGCTGGAAATTCGATCGAGTTTCGCGCCATAGTCCAGTCCAGACTGTGTGATTTGTGCGTTGAAAAACATTGTACAGATGATGTTAGATTGTATGTTGGAGTTATCCTGTGCATGTGTGCCACGGGTAGTGGGTGTGTCAATTGCAACTCCTGACTTTTCCCGCCCGCTTCGGGCATCATACAAGTCATGATCCTCCCCACTCGCTCTCTCCATTCTGTCAAGCCCTTGCCCTTAATCCAATGTCGTCTCGTCATGTGTCGTGTTCCCAAATGCATCAAACGCCCCGGCACGTGACTCCACATTCTGGGTATCAAATCATCCCAAGCGCTTCTCTCAGTCAATGTCAATCATGCAGTCCTCTCACACCCTCATGGGCTTTGTTTCACGAAATCTCCACTGCCAACTGCTTGGCAATGGTCTTTGTCCAGGAATCGATGTCGTCCCAGTCGCGCAGATCACCGAGGCTCCCACCAATGCAAGTATAGAGGGCACGGACTGGGAAGGAGGTGTGGGAGCGCTCGCGTTTGCCGGCAAACAAATGGTGGTCTCTGACCTTTGGAACTTTTCTAGCGACCGAGTCGACGATAGCTTGTGATTCCTTGCGGACCACCTTACTGCGCATCCAGCGAGGTCCACTAGCCGGGGCCATACTAACGCTGAAGGTCCAGACCGGCCGCTTTTGCAGACCCATAGCCTCGATGTCGAGAAACTTGACGGCGTCGAGCAGCCAGCGGTGCGAGTGTACCGCGCTGCCCAGAATCACCGCACTGTAATTGTCCACACTGTACACATGGTCCACTGGTCGACAGTCCACTGCAAACCCGTCCGCGTGTAATCGTGCCGCAATCCGTTCTGCCACTTCCCTGGTCGAGCCCCGTGTCGTCGCGTACGTGATGAGCACCGGCATCTTGTCAATCGTCGTCTCTGTGCTTAGTCGTGTCGTCTCGTACGACACAGGCATTGGTTTCCTGACTTTTTTCGTCTGGGCTGTGTGCTGTGTGCTGTGTGTTGTATCCTGTCGCTGCTGATAGTAGCAGGAGTGATGTGACGTTTTGATTCTTCTCTTCAAGGTCACTTGTTGAGGGTCGGGCCTGAGGCTTTCTTTGATTGGTGAATATGGATGGTTACTGGTAATTCTGTGTGTGGTGATGGGATAATGCGAGGCTGGGTCGGGTCCTCGGTCGGGGTTCTATATCTCCAACACGGAGGCAATGTAGTTTCAATATCAAGTCTTGCTTGCAAACGTGCGGAAGAGGGATATACAGGGAATGAAGAAGAACCTCAGAGTGCGTCTGACCGGCTTTTTACCGTCCAGACGTGTGCTTACCTTCCCTCTTCTCCGCTTTTGTCAAACACACATGCTTATCCCATGTATTAATCACTGTCATTGACCCATCAGCTGACTGAAATTGCCCTTGGGCTGGGTCGGTGATAGAGTGTCCAAGTCGCTTGGTCCGGCCTGGGCCAGGGGCGGAAATCCATTACGTCCGTTGGCCTGCTGACTTTTTGGATTCCATCGGGCATCGCATTCTGTTTGGTCTCCAAAAGTCACAACTCGGGGTTCACGTTGCGGTGATCCGCTTCGTGCATGTCTGGAGCGCCTGGAGCGCCTAGCCTTGGAAACCGACGGGGATACGTCGACAATGTGCGCATCAAGTCGGCATCATCCAATCCGAAGGGCCGAGAATGCCTGTAGACATGTTTTGTGTATCCTAGATAATCACTCCCGAGGCGAATCAGACATGTGGCACACTAGCCTTGCCTTCCGCCCGCTTCCGAGAACCAAGTACGGCCATACTGTCATGGCCCTCCACGGAACCACAAGGTTTGTTTCTCTCGTCTACGTTTGGCGGGGAGAAAATATCAAAGTTTCGTGGAGAGAAACTAGTCTTTGCTCATGGTAAACTCTAGCCATATCTCGCCGAGGAGAGATGCTCTGGTGCCTTGGTCGGTGAGGTTCATGGAATAGTTGGGAAGCCTTGCGAGGCGACCCAAAAGGATGAGGTTGTCAGCCAAGTAGCAAGTGAGGGTCATCTTTTGCCACGTGCTAGGAATACCATTGGCCAGTAGACACGTGATGAGTCAATTTATACATACAGAGTACTGTCTGGGAGTCATCACATTCTCATGCATTCGACCGTGTCTCCGAGTAGCCTTGCTGACATAACCCATACAAATGTGATAGTAATCCGATCGGTCTGGCCTTGATATAATCACAGGGATCGGGGCTGTCCCTTTTTAGGCGATGATATCATGGCCGAGAGGCCAATTCGCCCCCGGATTTGAGAACAGTCTAACCTCCACGGCATGACCTAACTAAGTACGAGTAGGTTCGCTTCGTCCCTTTAATTGGAAGTATGATATCATATGCAATAATCCCATCAATGCCCCCGCCCATCTTCTCATGGTTGACATGTGTATCATTTCGATCGCTCCTCATGCGTTCAAGGATAGAGGTGATGCTCAACTCGAGGACGTCAGCTGTACATGGTTTCACACCATTCAACCTCCTGCGATCAGACGTGAGGGCTTTCTGAATTCCACAGCACCTCTCCCCCGCCAGAGTCTTTGAAGTTCCTCGTCATACGCACCGGCCTCCCCAAAATGATGGACGAGGGATTCAAAAGGCGGTTCGAAGGCTGGCCAGTTCCTCACTTTCACGATTGCCAGTAATCAAGCAGAGAAGGCAATACGCCGTTGCTCTGGTCTCAGACCTAGCCTATCTCTCGGATGTCATCATTTCAGCAATGAGAATCCGGCAACAAGATATCCCAATCTACAGAGCCATCAGCTAACTCAGTCTTGGTTCTGGATGTTGTATTTCATTCGGCACTATCTGTTTGATATCGCCTACGTGGCCCAGGGACATCTCCGCAGCTCAAATCTAGTACATCACCAGCCTTGAGACCGTTCAGCGAAGAACTCGATGGTCTACCAGACCATGGTCACGTCTGCTGGGTCATCTCGTGAGTGAATATCCATTGAACATGGCATCCAAGAGTTGTCCAGGTCCACCCCAGATGAATCAAATCAAAGGACATATTTGCTGAGTATCATTGTACACACGTCGAGGTGTGGTACGTCGGCACGGGCGACCGCCCTGCCACTGTTGCAATTCCCAAAACTCCTCACAATCTCACAATCATTACAACGCGAAATAATCCATAATATCGCCCTCGCCATCCTATATGATTGCAGCAGGATCAAATCAGCGTCGATTCTTCAAAATTGTTCGTAAGGCTTGCCGACGCCGGACAATGCGACGACGAAGTCGTCATCGTCATCATCAGAAGTCGCTCCTTGGTATCCACGGCACGGCTTGCAGCGGATACCGGGAAGGGTATGAAGAAATATTGCTTACCCAGCAATAAATCGAGAACGCCATGCCCGATGTCAACACTGCCAGAGCCCCATAGCTTGTAGCGTCACGCACGACAACTGGAAAGCTCGTTGCGTGAGCCTGTGCCGATGTTGCAGCCTTGGCCAGAATTCTTTGGGATGGAATGTGAAGTGGGTGGTGAAGATGTAGTCTGTGGCTTGCCCTCAAGCCAGCCGATTGACTGGCGAATGATCTGACTGCTTGACCAACACGTGGAAGAGGGATCTTGACTGGCGGCATGGATTTAAGGTTATAAGGTATGTTTCAACGGTATTTGTTATTTGACTTTTGCGTTGTTTGCTTGTTTGTTATTGCTCTTCTCCTGGACAGACTTGACAAAGTCCCAGAGGTAAACGTTGTTCACAAGTATTGGTGTGTGGTTGGTATCTGCGATGAGATGGTGTGTGGCGTACTACTCACCATCATTCTGGAGTGCTCTTTATGATTATACACAAAAGAAACCATACCGTTCATTCCCGACCCGAAGGTGTGGCCGACTGACAGAGTCGTCTTCTGACCGATGGATGCCAGACATGCTGACACGAATTATTACGAACGACATGATAATGGGCTCAGATGACATCTCCACGCTGTGCTGGCAACCCCCAAGTCTCAAACCCACACGGCAGATCTGGAACGTGAGGTGAGGTGAGGTGAGGTGAGGTGAGGTGAGCGATACAGCTAAGGTATAATGTACACTCGTCTAGCCAGATGGCGCACAAGTCTGTCACCTTACCATGTATCACGCCACAATACAAGTGAGTGGTTTTAGCTGCCGGATTTGATACCCGTTATGAGAAATCAGGGATGGCAAGAATCCCGAGTCTGGTCACCTGACTCGAATTGGCGCAGTCATAGCTTGGCGAACTCAGCCTCGTGTCTCCTTTTTCGACTTCTCCTCCGAGGAGGCAAGGCTGCATCGAGGAGGTGCCCGAATGCCCGACTCTCATTACATTGAGGCTTTTGACCTCCCCGTTCTATTCCTATTCTTCTCGGGTCCCCATGACCAAGAGAGTCACATTATTGTTCGGCAATCTAGTCCCTCCAACCGGACGCACGGGTGGCTGACCCTGGATCTTTCTGATGCCTCCCCGAGTTGCGCCAATTCAAAGTCTGGAACACGAGAACAAGCCCACGCATCCACGCATCCACCAATCCACCAAATCGCGCCGTGGCTCCCTGAACTTAACGCTGCGCTGCGCTTCCTTCCGCAGTGGCAGTATCTGGAATCGCCGATGGCCAGTCCGCCTCCGTGGATGGCGTACGGAGTATGGGCATGCATGGAGCTTGGGCTCGAGGCCCTTCGTCGAAGCCGGGGACCTGTCGGTGCTGGTCAAGTGGCAGTCTAGGCATTGCGCGAGCGTCCCAGGTGCCACTGGTAGTGCACTGGCATAGGCTTTGGTGTCCCAGCACAACTCCACTTGATGCCTCGCATACCTGATGCGGAAGTTGCACTTCCGCAGATGATTGGGTACTGCCATTCCTCCACCGCTGCATATGCCCAAAGGGTGCTCTTCAGCAGGGCATCGAACTCCATTTTTTGAGGAGGGGTGCTCCTTCTCGCTGGTTCTGAGCTCTGATAGCCTTGATACAGCGATACAGCGATACCACCAACAGGGCCCAAGGTGTCCCTGATGCCCTGCTATCTGACTCGACGTCGAGAACCGGCCCGCCGATCTGCGTCGCATACCTGCGGAATAATAAAGTCTTTTTCTTTGACTCGATGATCCACCAAACTATGGGTGAATTCCACCGACATTCTATCAAAGTTGTCACTGGTGGGTTCAAACCTATCTGTGTATATCTCAGCACATGAATTCGTACTGTCAAAACTGCGTAGAGGATCGCGGTGATCTACGGACACAAAGTGATTAGTTTCGGGGGGCAGATTGGTCTTCTTACGTGTCCAATTTGCCCGTGCCCCCTGGAGCTATTGGCGGTCCTGCAGTCGAAGTCGTCGCCCTGGCCACACTATCCACGCAAGTGCTCGTAACGGCGTAAGTTGCGAGGACTCGGTAAAGGTTCGCGACCCCAGAAGACCTGGGAGCTCCTTAGATCCGAACTCTCAACTATGCAATCCCATGTAACTTGAGTTGGTCTGAAGCTCTGGAGCCTCACATTGCAGCTCCGCACTCGCTAAGCTGACAGCGACCCAAGACCTGGCCAAAAACACTGGTCTGAACGAAGAATCGAAATGTAACAAGGCATTGGAGCTCGGAGTTTTCCTAGGGTACGACGTCCCTTGTGCGCAGCTCCTCATCGTGAGGAGAGACTGGTGCTGGTCCGTTGCAAGCGACACAGAAATTCGGTTTGCACCTATAGACAGAGCAAATCTTGAGTTTTTGTCCTGAAGCTCCTTCTATAGGTGACAAACAGCACGAAAAGATCAATGTCGTTTCAGTATACTTTGCCCAGAGACGAACTCTCCGTTGGGCGTATCCTACGGCGACGTCATGCGCGCTCGCTCACACAGCTTCATTCGGCAATCTAGTTCAGACTGCTGTGTAGAAGCTAAGGAAGCTCTCTAACTGATTGAAGAACAGTTGTGATGTGCGTCTAACCCCAGATACTTATGAAAACGCAGACCACGCGCAGGCAAGTCATACAGATCAATACGAGTAACCGTTTTCATGTCATACCACATGTTCGAAATGGGGTGTTTTGTAAACAAACCTACGTAGGCAGATAGAGTGCCTGCGGATGCGCGGTTTATTCACGAGGCAGTGGGATGCTTATTTGAAACTGATTACTTGCCGTATAGAGGTGCCGGCACAGAGGTTACTCTGCGTTGACACACAGTTTCATTGATTTCGTAGATCCCTGTTTCAACACTCATGAGAATATGAGTTGGGTTCAACAAGTCGCTCATACTATCGAGTTTCTGTGGTCGGTCTGTTTGTAGACTCGAGGGTGCTGCGCCCAAACCTTACATTTGGTTTGCAAGGAGTCGTGAATTCGGAATTCGAACTCTTAGAGAGCGACAGTGTATTCAATTCAAAGACTCGCGCATAAGACGCCAGGGTGATTGCTTCAATGTCACCGCACTGCCCACTGTGTCCTCTGCTATATGATCCTTGCCCGAATAAATCCTGGGGGCAGCTCAAAAGGCCCTTCTCTCCGGATGTCGTCAAGGAAAAAAACAATAAACGCCATGGTTCAAGTTGAGAATTGGGTCTACCCGACCATTTGAAATTCCCCATGTCATGTCCTGTTCGTGAAACAACTTCCAAGCTGCGATTTACGCTGGCGTGTTGCCTGCGCTGGTAATAAATGTCCCATCCGTTATGTGGCCCTGCCGCACGGTCTTTAAAGCCCGTCGATTGTTGCCGCCCAAATGCCCCAAGAGGGTCGTACAGTCCAAACTCCAATTCATGCGCCAATAAATAGGTAGAAAAGTCTCGTTGAGAGAAGGGAGCCTCGATAGATCACTGTGTAGCTTGTCGTTGTAGCTGTAAGCGCACCATCTGCTTCAGCAGAGTGCAATCCTCGCACTTGACTAGCTTCTCCAAGGCCATGACCCTCTCGGTGAGTCGAGTGATCTCATTAGTCATATGTCGGATCTCGACCTCGCTCTGATGAACGTAGTTCATGGCATCCGTCATCACATCTGATTTGCGTACTTTACCGCGATGTTCTCGCGAAGCGTAAAAGTCGTGATTGGACAAGCCTGAGGTTGAGCGAGCAAAGGCATCGCTGGTGACAAGAGCTCGATGTAGCTGCATAATCTTGCCATTCAGGTTGTCCCTATATCGTCGTTCCACGACAGAGTGAGCTTGTTTTGCTCGAAGCTGAGCCGATTCATCTTCACTTTCGGACGCTGTATGGGTGCGTTTCGACCGAGATTTCTGATCTCGTTCTTTTATCTGTTTGGGAGAGCGGGCGGTGTCTTTGGAGGGTTTGCGTGAGGTGGTCGACTTGGGAGACTTGCGGCTCGAGGAATTAGACATGGTTGGTGTGATACAATGTGCTGCACTGCAGTCCTCAATCTCCCCAAGGCTTGCTGATTGGAAACATGCTGGTTCAAGACCACTGAGTTGGATGTCGTGGTCGGGAGGAAGCACTTGATAGGCAGGACATCCAAAGCCAGCGTTTGGGACAGAACCGGGCTCAAGCTTCAGAGAAGATAGTGTGCTTTGCTGAGAGAAATCCAGAGATGTAGGGGATGTTTTGTAGACGGGCTCTGGTGAGAAGTTGTCGCTTGGGACTGAGAAGGAGCCAACATCTGAGCAGTCGAGGTTAAGAAACTGTTCGAAACCAGGTGATCCTACATCCTGGCATGATGTTTCTGCAGCGTGGAATCGAGAGTAGTCGGTCTGTTTCGGGGAGCCACTATAGTCGGCGATTGCTGGCTGAAGATTGGTATAGTCAACCTCATCCCAAGGTGCCTGGAACAAGTCAGCACGAGGCTACTCACCAGTGCTCACCATCGCCCACGAAGAATCTCCTACATACCTGAGTATTGTAAACTGTGCCTGGATAGTTCTGATATGTTTTTGAGTAGGGCATGTCGCCGGACATGGATAGGGTGTAGCTGAAGATCGTACGTTGAATATGTCACAAGTATTGTTTGGCTTGTATTGATGCTAGAGAAAATGTCCTCGGTCAAAGGGGTCACCCCACGTGCGAGGGCTCGAACTTATCAACATCATGGTGCATGCTGTTCCAACTCGCTTCGTCCCTCCTTAGACTAGTAAATGGAGGTGGGTCGACATCTCGATCAAAGAATTTCCGCCGCATACGCATATGCGTATGCGTGTGTATGGGAACAGAAAACGCAATACTGGGATGGGACGCCAGGCTAACAGGGCCTGGGAGGGGCCCTGACTGGTGAGCAATCAATCAGGCCACTCGATAACGGGCAACCATGAAACCGGCTCTCGCCGCCCAGGTGCCAAATGGTTGTGGGAGCACAAGTTGCACAACGGCTTGTTTAGCTACCTAGGCACCTACTAGGCATAGGGATCTACCTACTAGCTAGACTGGTTGGTCCGTGGGGCCGAGGGGCTTTCCATAGTACCCATGAGCATAGGCTTTGGTGTGCCCGAGTCCGAAATCCCGACAAGGGATTCAGGGTCCATGATGGGCATTTTTAATGAGTAGCTTTACACAAGGCTGGGGTCCTGACAAAAGATTTCTACCAGGCACCCAGGGTCACAGTACATGAGTACGCATATGTCTATGTATTGTTGAACCCAAATACTGCTGCGCATGACATGTCCTCCATCCACCACGCGGTCGCCTTCCCACTCAGAGTGACTTCGGTAACAGATTCAATTTATGGCGCAATTGACTCAAGGCCGTTCTTCGGAGGGCTGGCCTTCTTCTTACGTTTCTCATTCTCTTGTTTACCAGGCCTGGCTAAATGAGTTACATCCGTGCAATGCTAGAGCTACTACTCCGTATTGTTATTGCGTGTAGAGAGATTCTTTGTTGATTCATTCGCCGCGTGGTCTACTTGTGCAGATATGTCAGGGTGCACAGGCTCTTTAATTGCACATTAATATTGGGTTGGCTTTGACTCTTCAGGCAGTGACGTCCTGGCTGGTTGGAGCTCAAGGTTTTTGTCACATCTGCCAATTGACCTATCTTTGAAGACGTCGCTTGGACAAAAGTCAAGGGTCCACCCCATATTGGGATGTAACGGATGTCCAGAACGACCAAGGAGCCTGGACTTGTCCCAACCTTGGCAGACTTACGAAACAATTTGTACTCTTCGTGGCCCCTGTGTCCGTTGATTCTATGAAAACTTGGGTGCCGTTTTTGGTTGCCTAGGCTGTCTGAGGCCCTTGGTATCGCAGCCCAAGCTCCGTCTTTTAGCTTCGTGCATTTTGGTCGATTTCTTCGAAGAGGCTCTGCATCTCCCCCCCAGTTTGCCAACGTCTTTTGATCACGGGCCCATTTAACAGGACGGATTCGTCGACTGACACTCGATTTTGGGGATTACTAGTCGCAAAAAGACCGAATGCCAGTGAAATGCCCGGCTTACTGTAAGCGATAACTGCCCAGTGAGGACACTCAACCCTGACACTACCAGTATTTTTGCGCCTTGGTCCGGTCTCGAGTCCAGCAACAATGAAGCCTGATTCCTGTTGTTGTCTCATCGCTGCACTCGATCAGATGTTAACTTGTATTCGCAGCTGAATTATACGGTAAGAATGAATCGAATCTCTAGATGACCAAGCATTTTCAACCATAACATAATCCGGGGTACGGCGTGAGTCGAGATTCAATGGAAGGTGCATCGTAGGTCTACGTCAGCGGTCCGTGCCCCGTTTGGGAATGTATTCTCGCTAGGGTCAGCGTGGATGTATGAGGATTACGAAGGTCGAGCAACCATTAGCCAGAAGACTGGACACCTGTGGCCCGAAAAAATACAGCACGTACATGTGCACTTTTATGCTGTACGGACTACGGTATGTGTTTCTGGAACTTTGCTGATGCGGTATGAAATATGGACTTGCTCACCCAGGAAACAAGCCCGGGTATTATAATTTCATATGATACATGCCTCAATACGGGCTGGCGTTTGTTCATGGCAACGCCTGGGCAGACATGCGGTCCAATGCCCTTGCTATCATAAAATGTATGCAGACGCTTGCGGTAGCATACCGATGCAGAAGTAGTCGACAATCCGAGAATTCAGGATTGCGAATGCGAATGCGACAAAAAAATAAAAGTCGCAACCAGACACGGTGTCTGTGATCCCCTCAACCCTTGAATAATATAAGAATGGGTATCGAATGATTTCAGCCTGGTGTAGGTCATCGTTCAGATGACATGATGTCGTGAATGAGTATAAGAACAAAGCGACTGTGCGAGGCGATCGCACAAAGTTGGCATTTCAGCCAAACGTTTCAGCAAAAAGGTCCTCAACTTGTCGTAACGACATGATGCGTGGTTGTTCCGACCAGATGACCTGGTCGTCATTTGTTTTGGAGATGGGTTGATTGTAATAGGTTGGAAGATCTGGAGAATAGCCACATAGATCATAGTCTTTGGTGGAGAGGTGTCCTGGTGCATCGTCTTCTTCGCATGTAGAGTCGCTCCAATAATCGTCGTCAACTCCATCGTCCCCGGGCTCCGTACTCGAGTCGCTCTCGTCCTCCCATGGCAGCATGGTAGGGTCTTGTCGATCTGCGCATGGGTGCGAGACTACTATTGAAGCAGTGCACAGTTCTGTTTGGCTGTAGGACCACGATTCTTTGGATGCCAGTTTTGATGGGGTGACAAGATCGACGATGGTTGCTTCTTGGTCAATGTCTTCCATGTAGACAACTTCTGCCTTTCCTTCAATGAATTCCGCATCCTCAATATGTTCGATCTCTGTCGATCCATCTTCGGACTCGTTATCACTCTCCAGAATAGTATGCTCAGTGATGAATTTTCGTGTGCAGTCGAACAGCAAGGCATGTCCTATCAGTTTGGAGAGGCGAGGCTCCGGCCTTCTGGCTTCTTTCCGGATGTTTGCTCCTGAGAGGTAGCCCAACTTGTAGGCAAAATATATATCGTTGGACTCTAGCATCTTCGCCGGAGTGTCACTGTGTAAGGGTTTGGAGTAGGAGACCGACATGGCAATAAAAACAAGACTGCTCGCTGCAAGTTACTATTTAGAGCTAGGCGAAGGAGTCGAAGGTATGTGTGAATAGACTTTCGCAGAAGACGCAGCAGCAGACTTGGAGGCGAATAATGACATGGGACAAGAGCATTGAAATATAACCTTTATGAGGTCAAGAGCCTCGTTCTAGATGTAGTGTAATAATCAAGGACTATCTGGAGGTGTTTGGTAACATGTCTCCGCGACATATCCCCGGTCGAAGCATCGTATGATAAAGCGGGACTGCAACTGCCCGCTTAGACGTTAGGGGGAAGCCAGTATCGTCGTAATGTGATTGCGTCAAGCTGGCCACATGAATCGTGACTGAGGTCAAGAGAGCCAGTTGATGAAGAAGCGAGGACCATGGGCAGTGAACGGTCTGGGATTGGTCGAGGTGCACGTGTTGGAGGGGTCTGTGTGTTCGAGGTCAGGCTGAAGATGGTGGTGTGACGGATTTGTTGGCGTCGCGCCACCCTTCCTGGAGGTATGGATGCGTACGGAACGCTAAGTCAAAGAGGGGCCTACGTATAAACGATCGACTAGTATCTGGTAATCAGATAGCGCGATTTTGTAATTTTGACCGGTGTGTTCCGGTCGCTACATGTCCACGTACATGGGATCCTCGAACGTCGGCTGGTCAGTCAACGCAACACTACTGAATTGCTGGACATGGACAGGTATTGCTGCGAGAGATAGGCGACCAATTTTATTTCTTCCTATCGGCCTATGACAAGAATTCTAGCGAAGGGTATACCACATGAGACTGGAGTTCCCGGAGCTGGCCGTGAAACGATGCACTTGTCTCAACGTGAGAGGGGTCATGTGGATGGGAACATGATATGCCGGATTAATCTCGTCGCACAAAGGACCACGAATTTTGACCGCTTTGCTAGCATCACTATTTCCTCGACCTCGGGTTGAAGATAGTCAGAAACATGTGAGCGATTGTAGCAAGCAGGGTTGAATGCGGGAACATCGAAAGCTACAATCATCTACGATATACGAAATGTCCAAGTCGACGACCGTGCCAAAGCAGGCAGAGTAAGAGATGGCAAGTAGAGGTAGAGAACGAGATACATCCAAGTTTGGCGTGATTAGATAAACTTGTTCGATGCGCAATCTAGAAGTGCCACCAAACTCCGCCCGGGGGGGCCATCCATAACCACGTGCAAGGACCCAATAAGTAGAAGGATGAAGCTGAGATGAAGCCATCAACATGAATAGCTGCCCAGACTTGTGTAGATAGAGTCCCGAGGAGCCTCCGCCCCGCGCCCAGACTTTGGAACTGGTTGGCGGCAGCCCTCGGCCACAGCAAGTCTCCGAGTTCAGTTATCTTTAGCAGTAGTTATAGCGTAGGTCGGGCTACCAAAAGTGGCCGAAGTGCCCCTCGGGCTTATGAAATTTTGGATGGAGAGAAGACCAGTCTTCGCTGCTTCCCGTTGATACACTCATCAATCCAAGTCTATGCCCAAGTCTATAACGCAGAACATCGCCCAAACTGATCGCATACACCAGTTTGTCCTCGATCTTCCCAACATGCTAGCTCTGGTCGCCAACATGGCACTGATCTCTTGTTACATGTGATACAAACAGCAAGTTTTGCCAATTAAGCTATTTTCTTTATCGCTTTCTTTTATTTTAAACCGAAAAACGGAAAAGAGTTGAGTTGGACAACTAAGTACTATTGTACAATATTCAGCAAATATCTTACCGTGTTCTCTCTTCCCCTCCCAATCCGACTCTACCATGATCGATCTCATCGAGATGAAGGTCAGGTAACACCAATCAAAATGGAGGGAATTCATCATAGGTAAATGGCGGTAGGTTGAATCCAGCTGTACGGACCCCAATTGAGCCTCCAACATCACCCCAGCGTCCAGTCAGAGGCGTAACAAAGGGGTTGAGAAATTGCCAGAGTGCTACCACTTAGATCCTACGGAGGATAATATCAGCCCTACAGACAACACAGTGGCGTGTGGTGTGGCACTGACGATTGTCCATTTGACAATAACTACGGGGTAGGGTCCCTCGGCCGTGTGTCATGTCGCTGCCTGTGGCGCAACCTTCTGTTGTGGGGTGGAACGGTGAGCGGTATTATCGTACTTTGTTATAGTGTCGGACCACTCCGTGGTGTGACTAGGCCAACCATGGTTCTGGCCCATCAACCACGCCAAATTCGACGTCTTGCCTGCGACTTCACAACTTACACTGCGCTTCAAACATTGACTTTGCCACAGCTTTCGACAGGTAAGATGAGGTCAATGTGAGCGGTATGCTATAGAGCTCTCCGCAGCCAAGCTTGAGAGGCAAACTTCTGGCCAGTCTGGTCGTGGCATATCAAAGCCCCCTCTTCTAATCCCCCATACCCAGGTTTCCACACAAGGTGACTGGTATTCAGCCAGGACATAACCACTGCTCTGGTCTCCAAGCATCAACATAGCCTAGTCAACCCCGAACCATGCCTCACAAGATGCGATTCACAACCATGAGCACGACGGAGATGACAACATTGCCGGAAGTTTGCAAGCTGGCGTGGCACACCTTCTACGGAATGCAAAAGGCATCGGAAGATTTCGAGAACCTCCGATTCGAAGTGTGGACGGTGGCCATCAGCCTGGATGCCTTGCACAGTGTGGGCACTACTTCATTGTTGATCGATCGACAAGCAGACCATGCTAGATGGGCCCTTACATTTTCCAAGATCCTGACCTCACTGGGATCAGCTCTCCGACCACTATACAATCTGGTCCGTCAGTACCTAATGAGTTCATCCAAGGAGAGGACCACAATCAAAACCTGGCTACTACACACAGACGTGACATTTGACGGACTCACGGTTCAAGATTTTCGACGAAAGCTCTCGATGCTGGTGGAAAGCCTCAACGTCTTTCTTTCCTGTCTGACCCACGCCGAACTCGCTAGAGCCAGAGAATTGTCGGAGTCGGAAGAGTATCGAGTGTTGTCCGAAGTTACACGGACGGTGCTTCACAAATGGGATGCTGACATTGGTACGAATGGCCAGAGATCAGAACAGAACCCGGCTGGGGGGTTTGGCCAAGTCGGATACACCACCACCACCACTACCACTACCACTACCAACACCAACGGTAACAGTAACAGTAACATCAAGAACGAATCTTCTGGAACATCATACCCCCGGCCAGGAGTACCACCATCACCACTCCGCCCAACATACAATCAAACACAATCAGCACCACGACTACCACCACAAAGACTTAACGCCACTACAACAAACACCACGACCACATCCACATCACCTTCCAATACCAAAGGCCTCAACATCGAGGACATTGAAATCGGGTTCCGGACACATTTACATGCCATGAGGCGGATCCGGGAACAACTACACCACCAATCAATCAACAGCGGACACCCCGAAGACCAACATTCGCCACGATTCATGACGGTGAATTCAGGCCGGAGCAATTTCTGGGGTGGACAAGCACCATTAACACCGACGACACCAACACTGCACAATCACCCGATGTCGTCGCCACGACAAGGAGATCTACATCGAGACAGAGGATACCCCGAAAGCACGAGCAGCGTGAGCAGCAACCAAAGCCAACATGAAGGTGGATCGTCAACCAACACCTCGGACAGCGGAAGTGTTGTTGGTGGCACAACAAGCACCACCAATGGTACTGTTGGCGCTGCTACTGCTCCTACTACTGGCATGTTTTCACCGACCCAAGCACGACACAGCTCACGACCACTCGTCCAAACAACAGTCCCATCACCACAAACCCACCGGTCAACACCCGCCGGAGCATACCGGAAGCGGAAGCGAATTTCCCAATATCGGTTCAAGACCGGCGCGATGGATGCGGATCAAGCAGGGAGTCATTCCAGTGACGGCGAAGGATCGGCGGACGGTTCAGATGACCTTGTCGAGGATCATGGCCCCAGAGGTGTGCTTGAGCAAATGCTTACGGCAGTATTGTTCTTCGACCAGTGAGTTTCTGTGAGTCAGTGTGGGAACTAATCAGTGTCGGTGTCGGTGTCGGTGTCAGTGTCAGTGTCAGAGACAGAGAAGATTGAAGCAAATCATGAAATCCTCAGAAATATACGAGACCAGAGGCGGCAAAGGAAACGAAAGGAGGGGGTTGGGTTGGGATTTTATTTACGAATGATATGGGGAGTGGGTGGCGGATTAGTATTGGTGCAGTGTGGAGTACTATGAGGAGGGGATGGGATGGGATGGCAAACCATGCCATGAAGGACACATTTCTTCACCGAAACAACACGCATCTCTTGACTAAATGAAAGAGGCAAAGAGGGATGGTTTGGCGGTGTGGGGGAGGTCCAAAGTAGTGTCTATCTCCTGGTGGGAGGCCTTTTTGCTCATTATTCATCCATATATCCATATATCCATCCCTCCATACTACAACTTTTATAAGCGAGTCAGTGAGCTTTCACAAGCAACGGTTCAAGCAACAGGTAACAATGAGCATGAATGCATTTGATTAATTGATATGATCTTCTTTTGATAGTTTTATCTATTGTGTGGATTTGGACTCAACAAAGCGTAATGTGTCATCTAGTTTGTTGCTTGGGTTGTGGTGGTATTATCATTGGTAGTAGTATATATATATATATCTCATGGTCTCATTATACCAAATACCACGACAAGCATCATGGTCTGGTAGAGGAAAAAGGCAAAAGGCTAGAACGAGGTCCAATAAGACCTCGCACTCACCGTGCCATGTGATGCCCTGAGGCTGACCCACGCTATGCCACGCTATGCCGCGCCCCCAAACGCCGAATACCCATATTGAAAACATGACTAGGGAAGCCCATCCGATGCATTAGAAGCCCAGTTCGCAACTTTCGTCATCGCTATCCGCAGCCATATCCATCTGTCGCAGAGTTGAGGGGTCTAGAAAAAAGAAACCAATCTGTCAATCAACAAGGCTCTGGACCAAAACCGACAAACACAAAGGGTCCCATTGGGAGAGGAATTATCTCTTCCTCATGAGGACTTACCCGTGCGTAGTTGGTTCCACTCGGTCCACTGCTGCTCGTAATTCTTAAACCAGCTCTGTCCGTAGAAATGGGACTGTTCTGCTTGACGCTGCGACTCGTCGGCCTTTTTTTGTTCGAGTTCTTCTCGTTGATGATTGAGGTTCTCAAACCAGTCGTCGCCGTAGCTGTGAGATTGAGGCTGTTCAGATTTTTGGCGATGATATTCGTTGGCCAATGTATTTAGGTTCTCAAACCAACTATCGCCATAGTTATGCATAAGAGTTGGAGATTGTTCAGGCGTTGAAGGACCCGATGGGCTTGAGGTGGAGCTACCGATGGTACTTCGTCTCCATTCGTCGTCAGCGGCCATCGATCGTTGTAGATGTAATTGTGCCGCGGGTCCTGTTGCTTTGGCGTTGCCGAACAGAAGCTGCTCTCGTGCGCGCAAGGTGCGGTCGTAGCTGGGCCGTCTTGATTGATGGAAATTCTTGCATTCACTGGATGCCATCATGTGGTTGGGGGGTTATGTTGATGTGGGTAGTGATTGCTAGTCTGGGAGACTGTGATTGGTTATTCGAGAATGGTAGTGTCTCGATGCTCTGGTTAGGTTCGATATCTTGTTGGATGGTGTTTCAGTGGAGAGTGAAGAGGGCGAAGGACGGATGGGCTTAAAATACTATGGCCATGATACGAAGCATGTCGGATACCTCTACCCATTGCTGTAGACTTACCGGGGGGGGAGTATGTTGGTGAGACATGAGAGACAGTGACTGCAATGGTCAGTGGTGCAAATGCACGCAGCAAAGTCAATCAACGAGACAATTATCAAGCCTGGCATAGGGAACGTGGCTCAGATCGATTGTCATTGACCAATGGGGAATTCAGGTGTTGATTGAGGATCATGACAAAGGAGAACGAAGGTTGTAAAGATCAGACCACGTTCCAACGTTGTTACCAAGTGCCAAGACGGGTGTGTGTTGGTGTTACAAGGAGAAGGTGCAACCAACAAAAGGCCTCGTTCTTTCCAGAATCGCAACCCCACATTCCCAATCGCCGCGCCTGCCCACTCGTCAATTCGCCAAGTGGCTCACGCCATTTCTCGGAAGATTTGTTCGGCAGAGTCCGAGCCAATATCAGCATATCCCACTGTCCATGCTCCCCTAACCCTATCTTGACCTGGTGACTCGAATTATAAGGTTAGGGAAATAGTGCCTCATTCTCGTAGTCGGTGTTGTCTGAATTCATTCATTCATTCGATCATGATCCGCATCCGCTTCTCCATGGTGACATTTCGTTGACCCATGTATACCTTTTGCTTCACACCGTCAGCCTCGAAAACAGACGCGTGGCCTAGCTCCAGCATGTATCACCTGAGTTACATATGGTTCACATTCCACTTGTCTACAGGTAGTATACACAAGTACCCGTTGTGTTAGAGACATGCAATGCACCCACTCCAGGACGCATATGTGTATATGGGAGATCACCGCACTCCTTCCCCACGCTCTAGAACGCGACACGAGCACGACACGCCAAGAAGTCTACCAACTGTGAGGTAGTCGCAGTCGACTTCCCACCTTCCTTGAAAGGTACATGCACATGTACATGTAGGCAGCCATTACTCTAAGAACTGCCTGGACGAGTACTACTCCAAGCAGCTAGCAAGTCAAACCCTGGCCCAGTTACATCACAGTGACAAGTTCGAATACATTCAGGCCCGCACATGATGATACGAGATACTTTCATTTTCATTAGACTAGTTGTATGCGTAAAAAGTATGATGTAATGTCCCCCTTACCAAAGTCTCCGAAATCGTCACTAGAATACAATCGCGCAGGAGAAATACCTAAAAAGCGACGGCAGACTGCACGCTTGGAAAGCTTCATGTCATCAGAGTTCCTGGGAATGCACCGAGGGCAAGGTTGAGGGAGCCGGAGCGAGCCGGACGAATCGGCTGACTGAGTCGAGGAACGCGGATGAGGATAGCTTGCGTCGATTTCTCTAAGAAGGTGCTGCCCGAGCAGGCTCGCCGTAAGTGTAGGCAGTGTAGATGCCAATCGGGCATTCACCCGAGTCTTGGAAGTACCAGAAGTTGGTGTCGTTGGACCACGTCTTGCCGGCTACGCATGAGCCGGCGCCGACAAAGCAAGGACCGACGTCAATCGTGTATGCATTGCCGGGCTCCATGTGGCTGTTGGGAAAGGTGAGTCAGCAAAGAGATCTTCAGGTACGAGAGCATGTCATCATGTCGGCAATGTCTTGGCAGAAGGTTCAAGTAATTGCAAGTTTCCTTGACCCAGCCGTGCCCTAGGCATGGTGTTGGGGAAAACTCACATTGGAGGGAAATCAGGAAATGGGCCTGGCGCAGGCTGGTTGTTCCATGTGGTGTTGGCATTGGGGCAAGAACCAGGGTTGTATCCTGAGAAGAAGAAGGAGCCTATGGCCGAAATCAGTAGAGAAGAGACTGGCGGATGGAGACAACTCACCACCACCCTCATATTCAAAGTTGGAGGTTTGGAGCTGAGCTTTGGCCGGGAAGATGAATTCGAGTGTACAATTGGCATCTGAACGTTCCACAGGCACGTCAAAACTGAAGATAGATGCGATGTCGTTTGGCGTGAAGACCCCGTTGAGTTGAGGGCCGAACTTCTTGTCTGGTTCCGACTTGGAAATCTGGGTGATGTAGTGAGGGAACTCAAATTGGCCGGGGGTAAGGTCTCGAGGGCAACCTTCTCTCGGTTCCAAGGCGCGTTTGCGAATTAGCTCCCCAGGATATGCGGCGGCGAGACCTGCCAAAATGGCAACAGCAGCGACGGATTTCATGTTGAAGGCAAGACGCTAGCGGTCGGTTGCGATGACAAGTCAAAGAGGGAAAGGAAGGGAAAGGGCGAGAGAACGAGAGACTGTGGTGAAGCGAGAGATGGTTGTGTTGGACAGGGAAAGATCTGGAGAATGGAGAGACAAGTGGGAGCAAGGTTATATTGAAGCAAAATATGAAGATGGAAATGGAAGGTGGGTATTCAAATGGGAGATTGGTTTGATTTGGGGTGCAAACAAAAGGCTTCTGCGTACGGAGTAGTAGCGGCCAGTGACGACTGACTGGGACACGAGAAACCACGAGGAAGGCTTGATCGCAGCAATCGAGGTTTGAAACCCACCTGGCCCGCGTTTACCCAAATAGACACGAGGCTGAAAAGACGGACGGGTTTGCGGCAGGGTTGGTCGGTACTGTGGAGGCTAAAGGCGCCCTGCAGTGGCTTGCAAAGGAGATTTGGCGCCTGTGTGAGACATGGGACAGTAGTAGTAGGTTGCTGTACGGGCACAGATGCGACAAAACAATGTCGCAGTGGTCAGCAGAATGCCAGGCAGGTGTTGCTAGGGACGTGGAGTACGTGAGTACTTGAGTTTGACAACAGCTGGGGCATCAGAAGCCAACGAAGCTTGCACCAGGCTTGTAAAGCTTGAGAGCAGGGCTTGGTGGGCTTGGTGGGCTTGTGACAAGTTGATTGTCGAAGATTCGCTGATTCTAGGGTCAACGGGCAGGGGTAGCGTCACAGAGGGTCCGGGGTGGTGTATGCAAATTTCTTGGAAGAAATCCATTCGTCAAGATTGCGTCAAAATCGGGTCCAAGGATAAAGTGTGGCGTTAGTAGGAGAGGTGAAGGAAGAGGCTCCTGACGATATGCATTCCTGGCACAGACAAATGCTGCTAAAGCGAACAGATGTCAACGTGAGTGGTGAACCAGATGAACAAGGATGGTGATAATACACACTCGATGGGATCTGTTGGGATGGGAAAAGAGAGAAGGATTCTGGAGCGAGGCCACAAGTGCTGTTCTGTAAGTGCAGGTGGAGAAGACGACGACGGCCTGTGGCAGAAAATACGAGGACCAGGACTGATGACTGGACTTGGACTTGGACTGGAACTGGAACTTGAACAGACACGGCAGATTAGAGGTTGAAGGGGTAAGTTTTGGGAATCTTACGGTGGATCTTTGAGTCTTGACAGGCGCATCCAGATGCCCAAGGTCTACCTATCATCTAGTAGCATCACCATAATCCATGTAATTACAATGTCAATAATAACTCTGGAGTACTGGGATGTTGCCCACTAAAGTCGGTGAAGGCATAGTGTTTACAACGGTGTAGATGCTAGGGAATCAGACAACGTTTTCCCGGGCATACTTTGGGCTGGAAGGTGGAAAGTTGAGGCTGATGAGAGGCAAGTTGAATGAAGCCTCGAGACGCGAGAGACAGAAGGCAAGAACGGCAAGGCAAATTGAAGGCGACAAAAATAGAAGCGACGCGTCTGAGGCGCTCCAACCAGCTCGCTCCTACCGTTTACGCGTATTGCATAAAGTCTCCACATGTGGGATCTTTCCAAACTCTAACGCGCTTGGGTGCCACTGGTGCTTCGGTGGCTGCAATTAAGCAACAACAAGAGTTCATCCTCTTGCTTTAATTCTTGTTCTTCGTTCATGGTTTTGCATTTACATTATCATTTTACAATCATGCATCACGCAAGCCCGGACGAACCGCCACCAAATGACTCTGGCGTTAGGCTGAGTGTGGCACGGTACCAAGTCAATCTGGCCAGACGCCAAACCAAACACGCGGTGCCGTTATGGCAGCTGGAGTTCGAGCCAGGGGCCGCGTCATTGTAAAGGAAGTTGGAGTCTTGTAGATGTTGAAATGCATGGTCCAAGTGTTGTGTCAGGTGGCTCCTGCAATCAACCAAGTGATTGACTCAAGCAAACACAAGCAAAAAGAGAGAGAGGAAGAGAGAGAGAGAGAGAGAGCACTGCGCCTGTCGAGGTTACCCAGGACCCACATACGCACAGCACAGTAACTGCCTAGAATATGCATAATAAATTAGCATTTGCCACATTCTATTAAAGGCCTTTGAGGTACAGTACGAGTAATATAACAACAATCAACTTCCAATCAAAATGTATCACCCAACATCATTCTCATATCGCTAGTCTTTAGCGAGCTCAAGATTTCCATGCCGATAGCCGAGCAGCACCCGCTAATCTGACATGACTGGAGCATTTTCTCAGCTTCCAGTCGTAATCATGATGATCCTTGCTGTGTTGATGGCAGCTGCAGGCAGTTTTTCGGTGGCACAAAATGTCTAGGACTTGAGCTACATGGGTACTTACATAGGTCAACCTACCCGACTTGCGGCTGTCCACAGGTGCGACAGGCTCTATCACTCTCTAATATGTCCGATTCGAGACATTATTCAACAGACCAGTCCAACCACAGGTACGTCAAGCACAAGCACAAACGTGGACATTGTTTCTACCCCATGGGCTGGCTATGTTAGGCATCCTTTTGTCTCCAAGTGAGTCCCCGACAATTAATTGACCTGACGCCCTCCACCCACTCCAGCAGATTACTTCCAAGGCGCCGTCGCCATACCTTGCATCATTCATCACGTCGTGACCGCGGTCGAATCCAGAGCGCCAACGCCATCCCAACCATGACCTGGACGGGAAACCTACGGAGTATGTATTTCCAGTCACCAGAAAAAGCCTTCTTAAGCCGAGACCATGACCGGCAGCCCTGGCTTGGCCTTGGCCACCGCTTCACCCTTGCAGACCAGGTTGGCGTCAAAGTCCAACCCCCAACGGTTTGCAAATCCCTCGCAGATCTCCTGACATGACTTGGCAGCTTGACGGGTCCGACACCTTCGATCCCAGTCGCCCGCCTGGATCAGCATGATGCTGTTCTCCACCAGATCCTCTTCGATGCTCATGTCCTCCACCATGTCTCGTACCGACTTCAACTTGCGCGTCGCTGCGTTAGCCGCCAGCCGAAACTCTTGTAGCAAGTCCGTAATCGACCGCAGCGTCTGACCGAGCTCCTCTGTCTGCGACCCCAATATCTGCAGCGACAGAAGAGGATTCTGCTGCCGAAGAAACTGCAGAAGCGAGCTCAATTCAGTTATGTCGTCTAATAAGAGCTCAATCATTTCTTCCGGCAGGTTGAACATCCCACCGTACATGAGTGAGTGGCTCTGAGTGAAGAGATCCCGCGTCTTGTTCGATCGGTAAGTTGCCATGGATGTGTATGCCGTGATAAGGCGGGTCACCCCATATTCGATATTGCTCTGAGAGCGCAGTTCTTTCAGGCCGTGGATCGTTCTCCGAACCGTCCCTCCACCCTCACTCACTGCGTCTTCCGGATTCACACACATGCGCGTGAGATTCTCCAGATCGCGCATTCGTCTCCTGACGATGGGTGGTAACCCATCCGCCTGCTCCTCTGAGTCCGACTCGGGCCCGTAATCCGATCCATCGTATTTAGACTCGTGCCTCGCATGTCCTGATTTCCTGTGCCCTCTCGACTGCCCCTCTTTAGGGCTCAAGGGCACGTTCAAAGATGGTGACGTGCCATCCTCACCATGTGCCACTTGGGGGCTTTGTAACACCATGCCAAATCCGAAATCATGCATGTCGTTCATCGTGTACGGGCTTTGTAATTCGAGTGCTGAATGTTCCTGATCCACCACGCCTTCCCTCAAGCCCTCAAGAAAATTAGACTGATCTTCCTCTTCGCCACTGTTGTCCCAAGCTTCCTCCAGCTCATCAGCTAGGTTGCCTAGCCCACCACTTTCCGTCAAGTGTTCTATACTGCGATTGCTGTTTATACTGGTCCTGCTGAAGCGGCGCTGCGGTTGAGAGAAGGATGGCGGTCTAGACGACTTGGATGACATGGGACGTGGTGTTACCGGTGAGAGGGGTTGGTTGGACGTTTGAGAGGTTCGTGAGGATCGCCGTGAAAAGACCGTGGTGCCATTCGTCGTTCCGCTTGTGTAAGGACTCGAAAATTCGGCGCCCTCGCTGTCGACATTCGAATACGACACTCGGAGCGACCTGCGCTTCCGCGATGATGGAGCAGTCGGTGAGGCCGGTGGAGATGCAACAGCAGTCATTGTCGAATGCAGGGGCTCCATGCACGAATCCGAAGGCGGTAATTTGTTTTCGTTTCAGAATTCTTGAGCGAGGGCTCTATTATGGAGAGTAAAGCATGCTTTTAAACAAAGGAACAAGACCGCTCGGCATAGAAAAAGAGACTGGGGTTGTTGGGTGAAGAATGTTGGCGCGTTGAGTGACGGACTTGTGGTCGAGTCAAAGGGCAAACGACTGACTTCTGTCTGTTTGTTAGTCGTTTCGAGGCTGAAGGGAGAATTAGGCGCGGACTTCTGCCCCCAAACAGTGACTTTGGTTGGTGGGAATCTTGCCTAAAGTCCTTGGCTTGCACCTTAATCTTAGCGGCAGCCTTGCTAAGAATGACTGCCTATTGGTGGTATTTCCGGGGGGGGGGGGGGGGGGGGGGGGGGCCGGGGTGTTGTTCCCGCCCGGACGCGGCTTCCCACCAAACTCTCCCAACTTTGAGGCTCGCGGAGAGCAAAAATTGATATCATTCATCGACGGGCATTATTGAACCATCACGACTGACTAGCCCATCACTTCAGAATCCTCTCCTCGTCGTTTTTTGGGTTTCGTTCATCCCGTGTATCATCATGATATAATCTAGAAGTTTTCCTTACAACGCCAACATCATGCCAACAATCCGAAGAGTCCAACCTTCGGATCTGTTCCATCTAAATCTTTGTAACCTCGACCCATACACGGAAAACTATGACCTAGGTTTCTACCTGACATACCTAATGAAATGGCCCTCTCTATTCCAGTGTATCGAAGAACATGGTCAGATTGTTGGCTACATTATCGGTAAAGTCGAGTCTTCTCCTGCCTCTCTACAGTAAGTCAAGTCAAGTCAAGGACAAGTCACGTCTCACCCTGGGCTGGCGTTGTTTGAAATTGAGGCTCATCGTGATGGCAGGGCTTCACCCCATTTCTTGCCATGGCACGGCCACGTGACCGCGTTGTCAATTGCACCACAGTACCGGAGGCTGGGTTACGGGAAGCTATTGACCGAGGCTCTGGAAAAGGCTTGTAATCAACAAGACGCCTGGTTCGTGGATCTCTTTGTCCGCAAAAGCAATAAGAATGCCATCGCCATGTACGAGAGTATGGGCTATTCCACCTATCGCACTGTCGTCAAGTATTACTCGGACGACCCAACCGGCGTGTCCAAGGACGGAGAGGATGCGCTAGATATGAGAAAGTCACTGGACCGTGACAAAGACAAAAGGCATGTTCGGGAGAACGGAGAGAGCTTCCAGGTCGACCCAGAGGATGTCTTCTAACCAGTGAAAACCCACCATACACCATCATGTAAGGAATATGAGATATTCGCCTCCTCGCGCAATGCAAAAGTCTTCAACAATACCATCAGTACTGCACTCCCATCTCAACTTGCAATCACCCCCCGATTCTTCTCAAAATCGTTCCTCCGAAAACTCATGGGTAACAGCTCCCCAATCGTCTTGACCACAACCTCGCCCTCGAGACCCTCCTTGCCATACATGTAAATCGGTAGATCTCCCGTAGAGGCAAATTCATTGATGAATTGTCGGCACATGCCACAGGGGCTTGCGGGAGGAGTGATATCGGTGCTGACCGCAATAGCTCGCAAGACAGGCATGTCCGGCCGTTTAATCGAGGCCACAATCGGCGCGATGGCACATCGCTCGGCGCAGATCCCCACCGGTGTGCTGGCCACCTCGACGTTGGCTCCCGTGTGGTATGTGCCGCTTGAGAGCAGGACAGCGGCACCAACACGGAAATTCGAGTATGGGCCTGGAATGGTGGTCAGTTGGACTGGATATCAGAGACTGCAACACCTTTCAATGCTGACCGAGATTATGGGCATGCAAATGACTAGAAATGTCGGTTCTGTGTCTGCGAGATCGTGACTTACAGTATGCCTTCTCCTTTGCCTCTATCGCCAATGATGCCAGCTGCGTCAATTCCTCCTTTGACAGAGGCGTCAGGTTGTCGTTTGAACTCATGTTTCTTGCCGTTTGAACCCCCAATAAGTCAGTGTCTTCTTGATTGTAGCTTTGATGGAACAACAAATTCATAGAGCCCAGTGTATAACGTTACATCAACCTTATCAGCCCTTGGGCAGCACAAGCGACGGGAAAACTGCTCGCCGCTTTTATTTCCACTCACCCCACACTCGTCTTCCTCTCCCCTTCCTCTCCCCTACCAATGTGCTTCGAAAGGAGCTGCCAGCATTCATCCCTTGATTTGGAACATTCGAGGTGACTTGGTCTAACTTTGGCCCTGTTGATGACGTCTCATAACCTGTGGTAATGTTTTACAACGGGAAATGCTCTTGCTTCCAATTGGCCACGGCATCCTGTAGTCATCCAAATGCCTGAAAGACCACTTTATTACTGTCGAACCCATCGCAAGACTGCTTTATCATTCTCAAGCCGGTGTACCCAGGCTCCTTCTATTCCCAAAACTCCTCGTCTCAGCAGCCAACCTCACAAACATCAATTCATTTTCCGAAATCGGAGCATTCTTGAAAACTCACTCCCCAAGCCCTTGGCGATACCCCGTTCCATCAAATCTTATCTGATCTGGAGCCTATGATTGCTCGATATACTCAGCGGCCTCGAGGCAGGGACAGTCTAGCAACAGCTAGCACAGAAACGCAGATAATCGAGGACTGATCGACGATGAGATTAAAAGCACGTCTATCCCCCCCCTACCCTAATCCCTAATGATTGTTTGTGAATATTCCCACCTTCCAGGCATCCAAGTTTGCTTGACATCTAGTGTCCCAAGCTATCAATGGCAGTTGAAACAGAAGATCACTCCCAGGACGCAAGTCGGCAGGGTAATGATAACGTTGCCCCGCCTGTCCAACATGGCGTGCTCAAATCCGAACTGATTCACAGTCTCTGGACGAAGAAGACCTTGACTGTCGCATATCTCGGGTGAGACCAGTTCGACACGCTACAATGAACAATACTCATAGCTCCTCGCTTCTTACAGGCTGACCCTGACCACCTTTGTCCTCTATCTCGAGATTTACTCGACCTGGGTCTATTTTCCATACGTAACCAGCGCCTTTAGTAGCCACTCCATGTTGACCACGGCGGGTATTGTTCAGAACATTGCCGACGTTGCCGCATACCCCATCGTTGCAAAACTCTCAGATGTCTTTGGTCGCGCCGAGGGTCTAACCTTGTCCGTTGGCTTTTCCGCCATTGCAAATGCTTTGGCCGCCGGATCCCATAATATCGAAACTTATGTCGTAAGTAGTTGTAAAGCAGACGGCTTGGTTGGCCATCAAGGTCTCTCAACAATCTGCTAACGATCTAGGCTTCCAATATCTTCGAGGCTATCGGAAATGCCGGTTTCACCATCATGCAGCAGGTCTTCATTGCAGACACCACCAAGCTCATTAACCGTGGCATCTGGGCTTCCCTGATCGAGGCGATCTGCGTCATCCCGGTTCTATACATCGGTACCATCATCGGTGAGAGCATGCTCAATCATTCCACCTGGAGATGGGGATACGGAATGTGGGCGCTCGTCGTCCCCGTCATGTCTATACCGCTCGTGTTTACCTTGTTCTATCATCAAAGACGATCCAAAGCCAAGCTGGGCGGTGCCAGTCGCACTATCAGTGTTCTCGGTGGGGTTCCAGCTTCTGCGTCACTGCTTCGGAAATTGGTCCATGTGGTGTGGATCGAGTTGGATGTTCTTGGGGTCTTGCTACTAATCGCAGGGCTCTCGCTTACACTCATTCCACTGTCCATAACAGGGGCTTACAACACATATAAGTGGGGAGACAGTTCGACGATTGCTATGATAGTCGTCGGGATTGTGCTGCTTCTCGCATTTTTCGCCTGGGACGCCAAATACGCCAAATGCCCACTCTTTCCCTATCGTATGGTTCGCGACAGAACCGTCATCGCGGCTTGTGTCCTTGCTTTTGTCGACTGGGTGGGATATGCGACCAGTGCAACCTTTCTCTCCAGTTATTTCCAGGTCGCCGTGGGTCTTTCCCCAGGAAATGCAACCCGTATCGAGTAAGTGGACCTCTTATGATGGAACTTGTCACGGATCAGCTGACCGCATCGTCCAGCAATGCCAATCGTGTCACCTTTCAAGTGGGATCAGTTTTCGTCGGTCTCCTTATGCGTTGGACCAAACGTTCACAGCCTTTTGTCCTAGTTGGAGTTCCCATCGCCGTCCTAGCCCAGGGAGTTTTGATATACATGGTCGACATCAACGGCGCATATCCGGCCAGCGAGGCGGCGTTCGTGACCTCAAGAGTTCTGTCCGGCCTCGGTCGAGCCTTCTTTTCTACAGCTTCACAGGTTTCAATCCAAGCCTCGGTCGTGCAGCAGGATGTTGCGGTTGGTACGGGTATCTTCCTGGCCGCGATGAGTGTGGGTTCTTCGGTCGGTAGATGGTAGGCCGCTCACACCCCGTCCTGAAAGGCCAAATATACTTATTGTGTTTTATAGTATTGCAGGAGTGATTTGGAACCGGTATCTTCCTCAGAAACTTGAGCAATACCTACCAGCCGATGCCGTTTCTGACGCACCAAACATTTTTGCCTCCTTCATCTACGCTATGGAATTCCCCGAGGGAGGGCCTACCCGTGAAGCAATCAATCGTAGCTATCGAGAAACAACCAAGATTTTGGCCATCGCGGCAACATCAATCATGGCAGGCATGCTTATGATCCAGCTGTTCCTCAAGAATATCAACCTGGCAGAAGCCGATGGGAAGAGAGAAGAACAGCTTGCAACTGCCGACGGGTTTGCTCTGGAGAACATTGGTTCCTCCCACCGAGCGACGGCGGCGGATAATGTGCAGCGGGCCGCGCACAGCAAGTCTTGAGGGTTTCCAGGACGGGAAATATGCCCAAGGATAAGAGTTCGTCACAGATCTATCGAATATTCACAGTTTGTCCATTGCGGCCCTCCAGCAATCGTGTCCAATCACCATATTTGCTTGTTAGGCGCGAGCAGATTTCCCAACCCTTGGCTGTGCCACGAGCCGTAGGGAGCAAAAAGCCATGCATATGTGGACAATGGAACAATGCTTTGCGCAAACAGAAGATTATCATTTTGCTGAATTCTTGCATGACATGCATGTATATTTGCTGGTTTGCACTTCTCGCTTTGCTTGGATCTGCTCCTCAGCCTCGCTTGGCTACGTCCTCGAGGAGCACGTTTGCAGCGAGTTTCCCTAGGTTGTTTGACGCCAGGGGCGAGTCACCTGTAAGAACATACCGATCTTGATGGGTTTCACCGGTGATTTTCTCATTGATAGGGATAACGCCCAGCTTGCGAAGTTCCTCACCCACCAACCAAGACATCTTGCCTGGAATGTAGCCAATATCGATGTTGGCACCCTTGTCTAGCGAGTCCGGGAACACATCTATCTTGTATCCATCGTAGATGAACTTGCTACCTTCGGGTTTTCCGATGTTGGCGGCCAGCATACTAGCTGGACCGTGGCAAAGCGTGATGAAGTATCGCTGGTTAGCGTCGGCCCAGCGCAGGATCTTACCCACGATGGGGGAGAATGGAACGTCGTTCAATACGCCGTGTCCACCGGGGATAAAGACGCCGATGTAAGGTGTATCTTTGGTGAAACCATCCTTCCAGACATCCTCTAGAGCTAAGGGATTGCGAAGCTTCTTCTTGTATTTTTCAAAAATCGACTTTACTGCCTCGTCTTCCTTGGGAAATGCCCACATTTCAAATTTGACAGGATTTCCCGACACAGTGGCAATGTCGATGTCGAAACCGGCGGCGTCAAGATGGAGCACTGGTAGAAGCATCTCCACCGGGTGATTTCCCGTCGAGAAGAACTCGCCGCCCGCCATCTGCAAGTATCGCTCTTGTGTGGCTATTAGGAGAATCTTCCACTTCCCACCAGTATAAGCGTTGGGATAATCTGCCCCATCGAAATCGGTCTTTGGAGGGACATATTGCGTCAGCGAGTATGGTGATGGGAACCAGGCGTCCGACTCAGCCTGGTCGGCCACTGGAGTACGGTCAGAATCTTTAGACATGGTGAGGTTTAGCTTTGGGATCAAGGAGAGGAAATGTTTATCAGAAGTAATATCATGCCAGGTGGTGTAGAGCGAGGGGCAGTGTCTATATATCTATTCTTCTTGCTCGTGCTTCAGGACCACGTACAGTTAACAGAGTTCCAGCATTGAACTGTCGCCACGGCGTCTTGGAGAAAGTTGATAGTTGATTGGTGCTCGCTCAGAAGAGGAGAAAAAGGCTATATTGATGACACTTTCCATGGCAAAGTCAAGTGTCCCATCATCAATAAAACGTTCAGCATGTTAAACTCTTAACACTCAAGATCGTCAATTTTAGGCTAGAGGTCTTGACTCAATCGGCTCTTCCCCCCTCTCTTGCTACGTAAGCGGCTGAGTAATAGACAGGCCTATAGCCCTATTTAGTACCATACATCGACTCACCGGGTATCATTTTCTATCCCTCAACCTCTACGGGATTTTCTCGGTCCAGGAAGTTTCGGAGTTCGTGGCTTTGCCAATGCTTCTTCCGATCAATTTTCTTCCTATCTTTGGTCGTTACTCATCTAAGAGGAGAAAACGGCTATATTGATAACACTTTCCATGCCAAAGTTAAGTAGCCCAGTATTAATAAAACGGTCATCATGTTAAGCTTTTGACACTCTTGATCGTCGATTTCAGGCCTGAGGTCTTGAATTAATTGACTCTTCACCCCTCTCTACGTAAGTGGCTGAGAGATAGACAGGTCCACAGGCCTATTCAGTGCCATGTTTCAACTCACTAGGTATCATTTTCTATCCCCAAACCTCTTCGTGACTTTCTGGATGTAGGGAGTTTCAGAATTAGTGACTTTACCAATACTTATTTCGATCGATTTTCTTCCTATCTTTGGTCATTACTCATCTATGCTGGCCGAGCCAAACGCCGACTTCCAATGCAAGTTTGCTGGGCTGATCGTAATGAATCAGATGGGCAGCTTCATCGACCAGAACCATTTCTTGTGCATTCAGAGCCTTTTTCAATCTACCTGCTATCTCGACTGGTAGCCATGCATCGTCGGCGCCCCAGATGATCTTGACTGGTGTTTGAATTCCCACACCCGCATAATCTTTCTCAACATCGCTCACATCACGGTTGTGGGCCTGGACCATTTCCTGCAGAAATCGGCTTGTGCCCTGGCTTCCGTTTGCAAGCCATGGGGAGCTGAGTCTATCTTCAATTTCCTTCGAGATTGGCTTGAACGCAGCGCTCTTGACGTATGCACGAACTAGTCCTTCACTCATATGCGGCGGAATAGCTTCAAATACACCATGATTCTCGGCGACTAATTTGAAAAACGGTAGGCCAAAAGGACCCACAATCACCACATCGATCAGGGTTAAGCTCGCAAATTCGTTCCCATGTTGTAGCAAAAGCCGCATAGAGACCAGACCACCATTATCGTGTGCTACCACATGCGGCCGACGGGGCAAGGTCCAATGTTTAAATAAAGCGGCACTCGCTTCCGCACGAAGGACCAGAGATCCATCTAAATCAATCTGGTCGGCATTCACTGCATCTTTTGTACGGCGATATGATGGTGACATGCCGAATCCTGGATGGTCATAGATATAGATGTGGTACCGACTGCAGAGGCTGGAAACGAGATCTTCCCAGACAATACTGCTCCACGGCGTACCATGAATGAACACGAGAGGCGGCAGAGTCTCATCACCAATGTGTGTCCAATAGATTTGGAAATCATGAGTCGCAGACTTGTGGGTGAAAGTCTGATCGAGGGGGTATTTGGATGTCATGGTTGTAGAGCTGTGATATGATATGATGGATCAATGCTTTTCAAGTACAAATCCAAGCGCCCCAGTACTGATCCAGATATAAGATCCTCAAGCGGAATCTGAAGGGCGTAATGACGTCAAAGTCTTCATGTTGCTCACAACTCTTTGAGACCGAGTACGGAGTAGATGCTGAGTAATCTTGCAAGCCTTACCCGCTCTACATTTCTGGAATGCCAAGGGAGGTTTCTTGTATTCAGTGAGAGGTATACTTGACTGTTCGGACACATCTTTGATACCTGAGTCATGTGACTCGCATATTTTATGAGAAAAGCGCTGACATGGTCTGATCCTTTGACGAGTACTGAAATGGGCCATCCAGGCTGGTGAATCAGGACACAAAGCTAGTCTGTGCAGCGGTGGTATTTAGCACTTGTCGGATCAGTCTTGCTGACCTTGTCAAGCTGGGTTCGTCCAGCTTTGTATGAAAATAGTATTTAACCTCAGCACAAAAATGTTAGCATCGAGTGCTCGTGGCAAACATGGCCAATTAATATCCAGCTTCTGGGATGAGTTTCGCCCACGACCCGTGCATAGGCGTGTCACGAAAAGGAAATAGAGAAAAGCCATGCAGCAAGAAAATCGAGGTAGGAAGCGGTGAGGCTCTTGTGGCTGTTGTATTGGACGGTGAGGGATTCTGAGAATCCCTACTCGTGCTGTCATAGACCTAATATGAATGAGGAGCATGATGTGGTGGTCACCTCACCTATAATACAATGCCTTGACTCGTCCCTGGTCGCAGTGGCAACCCCCGGTGTCTGCTCTTAAGGCTATGGAGTGAGTGGCGCGTAGTAGCGATTCCCCGACTCTCTGGGCATGCTGTCATTTGACTCGAAGCCCGCGGGGACCCGGCCACCCTGAACAATTGGAGATTGCTAAGATGGAACAACGAGTCGAGAATCTGGCCGGCAGATATCCCTCAACAGCGGGGAGTAGAGAGGGTAATCTGAAGTGACATGAAGCCTAACCTCATGCCTGATGCATGGTTTCCCGATGGTGTACATCCGTTACACAGCCGAAAGATGGCTCTTGACCCTTCATCTTGAAGGCCAGCTTGAGCACAATATTTTTACATCGGAGTTCTTCAACTCGCTTCAGTCTGCTCGGGTGCCTTTTTACGACTGGCCAGAATCTCATCGACAACACCTAGCTCAAGAGCTTCCTCTGCGCTGAGGAAGAAATCTCGCTCCATGAGCTTCTCAATCTCTTCTAGCGACAGCTTCTTCTTGCCCGTCAGGTGTTTCTCGTAGATTTTATTGAGGACTTCTCGGATGCGGAGGATTTCTTTAGCGTGGATGGCAATGTCTGCTGCGGTTCCGTAATGGCCCCCGCTGGGCTGATGTAGCATGATACTCGAATGAGGGAGGCAATATCGCTTGCCGGGCGCGCCACCAGCGAGCAGAAGACTACCCATGGATGCGGCTTGACCGAGCACGAGGGTGCTAACCTATTGAAATGTCGTGTCAACGGTGAGGGTCAGAACCAAGCATGCAGGAATGGACATACCTCTGGAACAATGTAGTTCATACAATCGTATATGGAGAGACCAGCCGTAACTGAGCCACCGGGAGAGTTGATGTACATGGAGATTGGGCGGTCGCTGTCGGCCTCGAGGTACAGCAGGGATGCAGTAACCGTAGCAGCCATCCGATCATCGACCTCACCATATACGGCGACGATACGCTCCTTCAAAAGCCGACTGAACAGGTCAGTTGTATGATGTGCTCCACCAACATTCTCCGTCACAAATGGTACTGGTAGCCAACTGGTCGGAGGGGACGATCTCGATGTCGACTGCTGTCGGTGCTGTGATGTTTGTTGCAGCCCTGCACACTTTCTGGCCACGTTGGGACGCGCAGGAAGCCGTGGGGCTAACCTGAGAAGGCTCCGCATCGTTTATGTTGGACGGCAAAAAACCAGCACGTCCGAGAACGAAGAGGTGACGTGAACGATCACAGTCATCGTGATACAAAAGTAATGCCAGCCTTGTCAGTGATATAGCGAAGCATTAAGACTAAAGCGCACATTACCAGCCTTGTGGAACATCAACAAGACAATTACACAATCCTACAGCCTTGCCTATCTTTGTTGATATCTAAGGCGATATTGCAGGGTTCTTAGGACTGGATCTAAGAGGACATGGAAGCCTGGGTGCAACGGCATAACTAACATCTCCCAGACTGATCAGACTGATCAGACTGACCCGCGGCATGTCTCGCCTGAACGTATCCAGATTGTCAAGAATGCCCGTATGATTGCAGAAGATGGATGGAAGCGATCCATTAGGCCTGATCCCGACACCTTTGCATGGACGACCGATCTTCACTCTCGCTTAAGTACAGCCATGACGATGGCGTTGTGAGTGAGAAGCTCGAGTACCCGTGATTGTGGAATAGACTCCCTCTTCCGTACCTTACACATGCCCGAACGCCAGTGCTATGCCTTGGGCACATCTAATTTTTCCGCGATTGGCTTTGGACAAGACATGGTGTTCATCCACTATCGGCCTCCTCTTCTTTGGCTAGCCCGTGTTCCTTCAACAACGCATCGATCTCATCGCCCGACCACAGGTGGTGGTAAATCTTGCCATCTTTCGTCTTTCCAACGGTGGCAAACTCGACTGGCGGAAAATGTTAGCATTATGTCTTGAGCAAATATCATGAAACTCACTCTTCTCGCTGCTCAACTTTGTCGAATCCATTGTCTTGCTTAGAACCTTCACTGCCATGCCACAAGCCTCTTTCAAGTCGCATTCTTCCTTGTAGTCTTGTTTCAGTAGACTCTGAGCACTGGCATTGTTGGCACCGACGCTGGTAGCCTTCCATCCACCATAGTTGCCGCTAGGGTTACTCTGATACAATTGGAATTGGCGCTGGGGGTCCCACCCTGCATAGATGAAGGAAACACCAAAGGGACGAAGACCACCGTGCTGGGTATAACCTTGCTTGAGGTCACACAGGCGCCGCACCAGCTGTTCGCATGGAATGTCTTCGTTGTATGTCAAAAGGTATCGTTGGGCGGCTTGTCGGGCATAGTTGATTAGGATATTGGCATCTGCAGTCATCCCAGCAACTGCGCAGATCATGTTACTGCAGACAGACAAAAATCAGTTCAGGGCTTTGCCTTTTTACAGATCGGGTGGCATACTCGTTCAAAATATACAGCTTCTCGGCCGATGTGTCTTGTTCCAGAAGCTTGCTTGTTACTTTGCGCTCAGCAGCGAGAACGATCCCATCCTGGGCCAAAATGCCAAGTGCTGTACCGGCATGGGAAATGGCTTCGAGGGCATATTCGACTTGATATAATCGGCCTTCAGGAGAGAAGATTGTGGTCTAGGGCAACATGTTAGCGATGGTCCAACTGTCGGAGATGGTATAGCGCAGCCACTTGACCTACTCTTGAATCGTATCTGCGAGACATCCTGAGGGCAAAAGAGGAATAGCAATGACAGGAATTGTTACAATCGGGAGGACAGAGGTTAGATTGGAAAGACGAGAGACGGTAGAGAAGGGAGGTTGGTGGGTTGATGAATGGATGTTTGAATGATTGCGTAGAAGTGGCCGACTTTCCCAGTATCCCAAAACTGTAAGGCAGGCACGATGGATTCACGCGTCGCCTGCGCTCTTTCCAGTTCCTCCTCATCCTTACTCATCCACGCAGCCAATCACAATCCTCCTCCAACAATTTCCCCAACTTCATCATTTCTACCATTGAACATTTCTGCGTTATTAGGACTCTCATTATAGTGTCCAACGAGACTCTGGGGACGGGTGTTACCTCGATTCTTCTTAACCCCGTACCCAAAATGCTCAAATCAACATATCGCCAGGCTGCTCCGAACGAAGCGCTTCCCCCACTTCCTCCAGGTTGGACCGAACACAAAGCTCCTACCGGCCATCCTTACTATTACCATGCAGAGAGCCAAACCAGCACCTACACTCGACCAGTCGCTCCCTCAGAAGAACCACTACAAATCGATTATGGCGCCACCGAACCGGACCAACTTGTCCGTGCCTCCATGCACGCCATGGACGAGTTCCACAGAAACAATCCTGTCGAGCCGGCGCATTTTACTGGAGGGAGGAGTTATCAGGATCATACACGACGAAGAGGAAACCAAGGAGACCGGCCCAAGTCCAAGATACCCATCTTGAATTGCCACCCTTGGGTATTGGTCAAGACGAAGCTAGGAAGGAGATTTGTCCACAACCAAGAGACCAAGCAAAGCCTCTGGAAATTCCCTCAGGATGTGATGCTGGCCGTGATTGAAATGGAACGACTCGAGTGGGAAGCTAAAAAGAAATCCGAAACCGAGCGCGAGGATCACGCAGAACCAGAGCCCAAAGACAAGGCAGAAGCGGTCAGCGTCCAACAGCCATCACAGGATGAAAATTATGACAGCGACTCGTACGAAGAAGTCGAGGTGACCGATGATGAAGAAGACGGTTTCGACGAGTCCGACAATCCTTCCAAACGACCCCGTATCTCCGAAGAGGCCAACGTCACACAACCTAATGGACCTGTCGAATTTAATGAAGACGATATAGAATGGCAACTTGCCCAGATGGAAGGCGACTACGATGACCATGACGAAGTCGACAACGAGGACCTCTCCCAGAATGACGAGAATGACGAAGGTCTTCCCCTCACTGCCGCTGACACAACTGCACTATTCCGCTCATTACTCGACGACTCAGGCATCTCACCCTATAGTGTCTTTGAAAAGGTTATTGAAGATCTCTCTATCGTCGAAGACGAGCGCTATGTCATGCTGCCAAACACCTCGTCCCGCAAGGAAGCTTTTGCTCAGTGGTCGAAAGACCGTATTGCCGAAGCGCAAGCCGCCAAAGAATTGGAACGACGGCGACTGGAAACCTCCAATTCGAGTCTTGCCGACAAAGACCCCAAGATACAATATCTCCGGCTGCTCCAGCTCCAAGCCAGCCCAAAACTGTACTGGCCAGAGTTTCGTCGCAAATACAAAAAAGAACCAGCCATGAAAGACCTAAATCTACAGGACAAAGAGCGAGAAAAGCTATATCGCGAATACATCTCAAAACTCAAGCTAAGCGAATCAGATCGTCGGAAAGATCTAGTTTCATTCCTCAAGGGGGCCGATATACCTAAGAACATTAGCACGCTAGAGGAAATGCCGCTCAACATCCTGAAAGACCTGAGATATTATTTGGTTGATCCACGGAGGCGGGACGATCTAGTCAGGACATTTTTGGAATCATCCAGGTGACAAGGGACTGCCAATGGTGACACAGCCAAGTCAAGAGCCTTGATTGGTGGTAGTGGTCGAGTAATGGAGGAAATTGGAGGAACAACGTAGCGATGACCTCGTGAACGGGAATGTCACAATGCCTCACCATAGCTAAGCCATATTCCATGAAAGATCGACGATGACTGATTATTCTCATTCATCAGCCAAATACTCCAAATACCTAATCACACAATCGAGACATGGAATCTCATTCCCTTGTACTCATGCCTCCATCTATACATACATTCTCCATTTCTTTCTCCATTTTGTTGTCCCTTCAATCATACAAGCTAGTCAAAATGAGTCGGCCGGTTCATTCATTCCACGCAATCCATTTCGTTGTTGCTTTGCAGAGACTTGGCCAGAGAGCAGTGTATTCAAACAACGTGGTCACAAACCACAATCCACGATTGTCATTGTCATTGCCATTGCTAATGCCATCCCATCCCATTCTCGTCACCATCATAATCAACATGAAGGTTGAACTCGGACATAAAAATCATCTTGTGTGTTCTGTGAGCACCTCGTCATATCCAGTTCAATTTCGAACATGCCATCCTTGGGCGACCATTACATGTTCAACAGGGTCAAGCACCATCAATTTTTCTAGATAAGGATCCCATAGAGGCCAAGGGCCTGTATTGCCTTGTTCTCTCACTCTGTTCCTTTCTCTGACTCCAAAAACAGATGCTCACTTGCCCTGCCGGATATTCTGGACGTCTTGCAACATCTTGGTGAGTACATCCAAACGCCTTCCAGCCTCAGGATTGCGTTCGATGCATTCCTTAACGATGACAAATTCGTGTTCGCCGGCGCTGGGAACTTGCTCGCAGAGTTGAACGACCGCGGGCGCTGTGGCAAGCGTGCCTAGGACTCGTTGCGCGTTGAGCACCGCCGCTGAGGGGTATTGTTGTTGTTGTGGAGGTGGGACGAATTGAGCGTGGGGTGGAGCCCCAGGATAGGGACTGGGTGTGCCGTTGACGCCGTTTCCAGTGGGAGGAAGGCTGGGAGCCTGGCCGTAAGGGTTGTTTGGATGGGAATGGTCAAACGTGCCATCCATAGGGGTGATGGGGGTCTGAGCCACTGCTCCCGCAGGACTGTTCATTGCCCCTTGTGCTTGGTTGTGTGGCAGTTCGCTGTTTTTGACGACAATAGGCACCAAAAGCATCCGCTGCGTGGTTGGGTCCGGGAAGTTGTGTTCGATCTTCTTGACAAAAGTGGGCAATTCTTGGCCTTGATCGAGAGGAACCAGATAGATATCCTTGACCGCTGGGATGGAGCTTTGCACTCCCACTCCAAAGCGCTCTTTGGTTTTGAAGTAGTTGAAGAACTTGACAAATTGTGGATGGTCAGGACTACCTTCGGCCGGTTCTGGCATATACACAATGACAAGGTCCGATGTACTGCTGTACTCAAGACCGCACAAGTATGCCTCCGCCTTGCTGGGTTGGATTCGTCCCGCAATGACAACCTGGTCGGAGAGAAGCTGATGATATGTCAGACGGAGGGTGTCGCTTTCTGGAGTGGCACCAGCTGCATATTTGGCGACAATGTTGAACTTGCCCAGACTACCACCGTTGACACTGCCTCGCCAGACAACACCATCTTCTTCAGAAGAATCCTTGGGTGAATAAGGGGGAGATTCGGCTTCCTCATCCTTGAGCAATTCGTCAATGTCAGCATCAGCCTTTGTGCCAGGGCCTGCTGGATCTGGTTGTTGGGCAGGCAATTCGCCAAAGCGAGGCCCGTCTGGGTCACCACCGGTGGTTGGGGAGCCTGCGACGTTGGCAAAGACTCTGTCGATGTCGAAATTGGTCGAGGACTGACGTCGCGTTGAGTCGACTGAGGGTCTACCCTGTGAACTGGCTTTACGATTGGGGCCAGAAAGAGAGGGGCTCTTGATCTTGGGCTCAGGACTTTTGACTTGTCCATCTTCATCCGTAGCAGTCTGCTTTGCTGCTGTAGCGTTTGACGTGGTCGACTCCTTGGCAACCTGTCTTGACTCATCCACGTACTCATCTCCCTTGTGAGTCCGTCTGATTCTTGGGCCCTCTTGTTCGATGATTGTATGCTGCTTCTCCATTTCTTTCAATACTTGAGCGTCTTTGCGCTTCTGTTCCTCGCTAGCCATATCTTTCGGATCCATGCCTGCCAATACATTAGGATCCAGCTCTCCAGTAAGCAGACGAACGCCCAGAGCATGGTTTTTCTTGACATTGAATGTGACTGCGCGCAGTTGGATTTTATAGGCTTCATTTGGATCGCCGGTGCCTCCGGCTTGGATGTGATACAAGGCATGTTCGACCTGCAGTCCAATCTGGGTTGCCACCTCCATAGCACTGGTTTTGGGTGGGATGCTGTACTCTTTCTGTTTGACAGCGTCCTTGATCAGCGAGTCGATGAGCTTGATCAGACTAGTGGCACCACTCTTTCGTGAGGAGTTGGTGAGTTCTTTCACATCCGAAACGATTGGTGCGCCACCGGCAGGCTCTGATCTTGAAGCTTGTCTTGAAGGTGGTTCTGGTAGACTGGGCTTGCCATCTCGTGAAGGTTCGGGTTTCGATCCGTTTGTCTCGGCTGATGAGGTGGCACGAGCTTTCTTGTTCTAGATGAGGATTAGAGGAGGGTTTGATTGAGAGTCTGGAGGCGCAACATACCTTGATCTCAGGGACACTTGGGGATTCTTCCAACTTGCGCTTTTGGCCCGAGGTAACAGCAGGTGTTGGAGCAGGAGTGGTAGCAGGAGTTGGCTTGAGTTCTGGTTCCTGAGGTTCTTGCGAAGCTGAGGCAATGACATCTTCTGTCTTTGCACCGGCGGATTTGCGACCTTTGCGACCTCCTTTCTTCTTTGCCTTTTCGGCCAAGGCCTGTTCTCTCTGCTTGATGGCCTCTTCCCACGGTTTCTCTCCTTTTGCGATGGCGGCGACAAGCTTCTTATGGTTTTCTGGCTTACACTGCTCGCAAAAGTACTTTTCGGCTTCATAATCCTCGGGAAGACCCATACAAGAATTGTGTTGCCAGGCGGCGCAATTGTCGCAACAGATCATGGCGCGGGGCTCATCCTCTTCTTCTGCATATGTCCCACAGACACAGCGGATAACCTCTTCCTGTTCCTCTTCCTCCTCTTCGACAACTTTGGCCTTTGCGCCTTTGCCTTTTCCCTTCTTCTTGGTGTTAGGTGCGGTAGCATCTTCGGTGACATCTCGGTCTTTATTGTGTTGGCCTTTGGTCGCACGACCTGATCGGCGAGGTTCGTCTGCGCAACAAATGAGTCAGTCAGGAGGGAGAAAGGGAGCCCTCACAAACGGTGACAGCACGCCCGCCACCGCGTGTGAACGCCGTGCGAAGTGTGATGGGGAGATTGCTTACCAGCCATGACGGGATAGGGAGCACGTTCCGCACAACGCTACAAAGCAGACCAAGATGATACACTTGTCACCAATCACGGTACATACGCGATCTACGACAAGACAAGGTAATCACAAGAGTATGGCACGGGCAGGAGTGGGTTGGGTTGCGCCTAGGGCGCGGTATGAGGTGTGAGTGATCTTCACAGGGCTGGGTTGAGGGGTGTGGCGGAAATGTGGTGGCCAGAGGAGAAAAATAGGGAAGGATAACTATCTAGGGCAGTTCGAGATAGACACCAGTTGGTGCAGGAGACGAGAGGTGAGGTTGAGGTTCGAAATTGGGAGGAAACAAGAGGCAGACTGAGAGAGAGTCAAGAGAGAGTCTCCAAGTTGCAGTTGCAAGTGGCCCAGTACTATGGCATCGAAGCCAGCCAATCCACGACGATTGCAATCTCAACCCGTCGGTAGACTTGCTCTATTGGGGTGGCCGAGGGAAGCTACCAGAATAGCGGAGGAAGGAAGAGGAGGAGGAAGGAGCAGACGGTTGGCTGCGGGATGGCATCATCATTATTCCGGATCAAGTGGGGGAAAGAGCGCCTTACCGTGCCTGCGCTAACCTCATCCCACGTGACATTTACTTCACTGACACGTGACCATCCAATCTGTTCATCCTTGCCGCAGATGTAGATGCAGATTGGTGGAGACTGGAAAGGTTTCATCAGAGCGCTACTACTGTATGTTTACAACCCCGAGGCAAACAGATTCTCATAGACACGTACTACTGATCACGTTGCAATTCACCTCTCCTACGACTTCACAACCTCACTTTCCCCCCCCTCCAGTCCCCATGACGGACGTCCGAGCCTTACTCGCGGCGGAGCGACAATCACGAAGGATCTCTCATCCTCACTTACAGTACACCAAGTCTGGAATTCTACTCTGTACCATTTGTAATTTGAACGTCAAGTCCGAAAAGCTATGGGATGGCCACCTGCGAAGTGCCAACCACCGAAAAAACGCACTTGCGTCACAAGAAGCGTCGAGCAACCCACTGAAACGAAAGATAGAGGATGTCGATTCAGAATCCCCTCAGGATGATGGCGGACACTCTCCTAGTGCAGCCACGGATGCGAGGAAGAAAGCAAAGGCCAGAGGAGGTGATGGTGTCGGGAACAATGGAGATATACAGCATGAAGAACGAGACGGCTCGGAGCCATCACCAACCTCTAATGAGTTAAACGAGGTGCTAGCAGAACAACCACTTCTGGCAGCGGCGGCGCCCATACCCAAATCTCCCGGCGAGAGCTCCGAACCACATTCATCGCCCATTACCAACCGACCGAAACCAGCGACAGCGCCTGCTGCTGCTGCTGCTGCTTCAGTTGACGAGGACGAGTGGGCAGCGTTTGAACGCGAAGTTGCACCACTGACCACGGAACAGGCTGCACCACCAGTCAGCTACGAAGCAGCCACCATATCAGCAGCACCAGTCTCAGCTGCTCAACTAGCTGAGCAAGCCGACCAGGAAAAGCGAGGACAATTGGAACTACAATATCAAGATGACAAGGAGGAAGAGGAGCGACGGTTGGAAGAAGAATTCCTTGTCATGGAGGAAATGGAAGAGCGCGTCCGCAAGTTAAAAGACAAGAGGGAGGCGTTGCGGACTGCAATGCAAAATCATAACAGTGACGGTGTCGATACGGGCCAGACAATTTCGTTGAATGCTGAGGACCCTGTAGACGGCGGGGGAAAAGTCACGGCGGGATTTGATGATCATCATGACGACGACGACGATGACGACGATGACGAAGAAGATGACTGGTATCAGTAGATACCATAATGAATTTAATTTCGTAACCTCGTCAAAGAACTGGAGTCCTGTGCGCACGCCTTGGTACCCCTTTCCCTGTGCAATGCTTTAGGCCCCGACTGATACATGACTCGCAAACCCTCCGAGAGATGATGAGGTTTCCTAAACCATGAGAAGTAATGGTGTGCGTAGAAAAACCATGCCGAGTCTTCCTCTCCTCCATCACACATGCAGACTGGGCTGCCGAGGAGAAGAAACGGGAAATGAAATAATAAATACGGTCATGCAAAGTCGTCACCCATGACATCCTCAATTTCCACCACGCCCGTGACTTCGTTGTGATCAACAATACCGAGCAAAGTCCCTGGGCGAAGGAAATCCCTCCCCCGACCATGAGCATCCGCGCCTCGCATGTGCAGGATCCATTGGCGACACTCGTCGACAGTTGTGGAGCATAGGACCGAAATCCAGTCAGTCTTCTCCACAACAATGGGCCCAAACTCGTCCTCTTGGTTGGTCACGGGAGCTCCAAACTCGGAGATTCTTTGGATGCGCCGAGGGCCAACGATGTGGGTAGGGGAGGTGCGGACGAAACCGCGAGGTGATCGGACGGCTGTCAAGACCACATCTTGACACAACAGTGGATGTCCCGGTCTCGAGGAAGCAATGGGGACTTGAGAGACGGGACTGGCCATGTCAGCCATTGTCGGTGCGGCAGAAGGTGGCTTGAGAGCTGCTCCAATGGCGCCACCAGGATGGTTGGCAGCAAAAATAGCTGGGGTCTGTAGTCCCGCAGAACTGTGCAACTCGTCGGCAACGGCCAGGGCGAGGCTGTCCCCCAGAGCAAGAGTGATGGTGGTGGATGTGGTTGGGGCCGAAACGCCAAATGACGAAATTTCGGATTCGTGAATCATGGTGGGGAGGAGGATATTGACTGAGGTGACGCGTGACTGGTGGGTGAGAAGGGGGCAAGTGGTGGTGTTCAGATGGCCTGTCATGGCAATGATGGGGATGTTTGGTTGGATATGTGGCAGCAGAGACATGAGTTCCGGAGTCCTGCCGGAGAAGGTGATGAAGATGACAGTGTCATTTGGTCTCACAACGCCCAGGTCGCCGTGCAGGGCTTCGATGGGGTGTAGGAACTGAGCGTGAATACCGAGAGAGACAAAAGTAGCAACGAGCTTTTTTGCAATGTGGCCAGACTTTCCCACGCCAATGAAGATGGTTTTGCCGTGTCGAGATTCCGAGTGGATGATCTGTTGAATGGCTTGCAATAAGGCTTCCTGGGCCACTGGAGATGTAGTGTATAGGTCCTCGAGATGGCCGAGGGCAAGGCGCTCTGTTGCAAGAACGTGGAGGGCCTTTTTTATGGTCCGACTGTCAGGTTTGAAAGTCTTGTCATCGAAACTTTCGGGAATTTCTGGGGGTGTAATAGGAAGAGACTCGATTCTTTCGGGAATGGGACCAGACACAGGCATTGACGGTGTCAACGGTGTTGGTAGAGATGAGTACTGTCGGTAAGACATGGTAGTAGCGGTGGTGGTAGTGCTTGGCGAAAATTGGCCGATCAAGTCACCGTGCTTTCTCTGTCGAGAGTTGTGTGTAGAGCAAGATGTTTAAAAAGGCCTCTGTACGGCCGTTGGTGACCAACCTCTCTGAGGAGATGATTCACAGGAGCAGCGCAGCACGAGATATGTCGAAGCTAGGTAAACCAGGCAGGATCAAGAAGCGTCAGTCAACGGTCGAATAAAGTTAAGAAATGTTGCCACACAGCACAACAAGGCCGGATTGTCAATAACATGACGCCATAGACTTTTGAGAGATGGGAGAGAGAATCACAAGGAGGGCTGGTGCCTAGGGGGCAGTCGACCAGTGCAGACTTGAAAAGGTGTGAAAGTGTGTTTGTAGAGGGGATGAGAAGAGTGGAAGGAGGGAGGATGGTGCTTGCGATTTGGACGGTTCATGATCATGGTGTTGTTATCGAAGAATAGTGGACACTCTCCAACTTATGGCAGGGGTGGGTAAGAGAACGCCCAGGACGCGAGGAGCGAGGAGACTCGGAACCATGGGGTGCCGCTTGGACACGGGTAACTGTACGGAGTATTGCAATTTACGAGTGAGTGACGGAGTATCTGTCCCTGGTAGCCTGGGAGCCTGGGAGCCTGGGAGGTACAGTACTCAACGAATCTAAGCAGACAGAGGCATACGCTCAAAGAATTGCGACAAAGCGGGCGGGTAACACGCGGAAAGGACATGATACCAAAACTGTCTAGCTCCAAAGATAGTATGCAATGAGGTGAGATAAGGTTATGGTGAGTCGATGGAGACTTATGAGAGGGAGAAAAAGAGAACCGAGGGTTAGCCAGAGAAGAAGCCAAAAGCCAAAAGCCAGGAATCCAGGAATCAATCCAAGCACCCACCATGCATCTTCGTACGCATAGTCCTAATTAAGAATAAGACTCATCGGTCGCTGCTACTTACTCCCTATACGATTACAGGTACCTACCTACTTCCTTTTAGTACCTACTTATGTACCTGGGCATTTCCGGTCAGTCTCCAGGCGGTGCGGCACGGCAAAATACCACGAGGCAGGAGATGTGTGTCATCTTTTCCAATCGCTCTCGTCCGACTCACATTCTCGAGCTGACTGGCCCATGACCTGTTCAGTTTCGAGTCTTGGGTCTTGAGCCTTGACCGCTAGATATCCTTTTCCACTTAACGCGGAACCAAGTGGGAAATCGGCGACGGAGGATGAAAGGCGTGTCAATTGACACGAGTTAGGGTTGTTGGCATCGACTTAGAGGGAAGGAGGGACCCGGTTTTTATCTGATACCTTCCCTGCGCCAACGGATTCGTCATCTAGCACCTGCCGTGATCATAATGCAGGCATTCCAAACGTCTTGACTGAGCAAAAAATCAACCTACGGTCAAGGATCCTTGACACGAGACGTTGATACATTTCCCCCGAGATGCGACCATCTTCCCAAAAAATAAAATAAAATATTAGCATGTGTTCATGCGTGGCGTCCTTGTGGTTACACAGGAATTGATGCAGGCATGCAGGGTCGATCGTCGGGAAAAGTCGTACCAAATGCCCCGCTCGCCTAACCATGGTCCACTCACAAACTCAAGTTTGACCAACCGTGCTTAACGCGCCAGGACCCTTCCAGGTACCTTCCCAAGCACGGAGAGGGTGCCTGGCGTTGTTGTACCGCGCGCCACTAATCCGTAAGTACACTCGTCCCCTCGCATCCACAATGCACGCCCCTCGGCCCTCTTCCCTCCCCTTGTCTGTCGTTCTCATTCTTCTCCCGTACCACCGGTTTGTGTTGCACAAGGCCCGAACGGCCTACAGCCAGACCACCAACAGCCCGAGATGGGTGCTATGGTGCTGCATCCACCGCACATGCAACCTCGATTACCATCTGTCAGCACCTTGCGCTCAACGCCGACAAGCGCTTCAATCACACTCGAAACTCGGCCAGGGATCAATCTCGCAAACCCTACACCGACCACTCATTACTCATGACTCACCTAGACGTTGGTAGACTCCTCTCTGCATTTCACGGCAGATGTCACACACCTCAACTCCCTTGACTCTCGATAACTTAGAGCACTTGCATCCTGCAGCCTGCCACTAAACACCCCGGCCGAAGACCGGAGCAGGGGGAACATAACTAGGTGTACCTACAACAAGTCTGAGCATGCTACCTTCATGTACCAGAAAGCACCGAACCGGACAGACACATAGACGAATCGATTCACATTGCTCCACCAGCGCCGGACCATTGCCAGCCCCCCGAGATGGGTCTAACCAGACGACCCATCATAAGGGAGCTTGCCGAACAAGGAGCTACCAATTCTGTGGCTCCAGGCGTGCCGCATTCAGGCACCTCAATTGCGCCATTGTCCTTGCCAAGTCTCTATCGCCAGCTTCGGACATTTTAACTGCCGGGTAAGCGTCATCGATCTGTCGCAGCTATCTGAACTTTTGGACATCTGGATGTCTGGACTGGTTCAGTGAGCCGTATCCTTTCCTTTCGGCCTGAGTGCATGAATGACATAGTCAAACATCCCTAACTCGACTACAGTGCAGCCTAACAGCCCCTGTCCTCGAATTTTCCAGGAAGTACAGTGCCTCTCTATCAGCCATTTCATGCTATTCCCAGTGATTTGTGCTAGACCCCTTCCACCCCTAGCCCAATCAGTCCTATCTCTGCCTTCCATGTGCTCCAGCCACTGTCTGTGCATTGCCTCGAGGCCTCACACAAATACCACCACCATGCCGACACACACCGTATTTATGCACACCAACACCTTCTCCCTACTACCTACATAATACTCTGCATTTTATCCAATTTATCTTGGACTTGACCGCATTCTGTTCGAGACGACACGTCAGATGAGGGCCCTGCTCATCCCCTCGACTCTCGAAATACCGGCACTCCATCCTTATCAGCATATCTTCCGTGCCGAATTACCAGCCCACCGCCAGTCGTATCCTGACAATTTCACACATGTCAAGTGGCCAAACTGGGCACGGATCTAAGAAGATGCACTCAACCCTCAGCGGTAGGTGATTTTCCGGGACCATGCGGCCCGCAAGTTCAAGCACAATGCCCTGTTATGACTGTGCAACACAAGAGACTCATAGCATTTGAAAGTTACGATGATAACATTACGAATCCATTCAAGACCCTGGTCTTGACAACATGAGCTTGTCGAAATTTCCCAAGGTGCGACCCCATCCCCGAATTTTATCAGACGATCAGGATCGTCCCTGCGCACTTGACCCTCGCAACAATGAATGATTTCAGCTTTGCAACACATTGTCGCCATGTCAGGTCCACCGCCTGACAGGTCAATCTGATATTCTCTTGTATGGAATAACCAATGCTCTTGAACAAGACTGGACAAGTGAAACCTGGCCATGCTGTGGAAGATGTTGCCACCTGTCCCCTGTTTCTACAGCCTTGCACGTGACCATGGATCCACCTACTGGAATTCCCAAAGCACCACGGAGATGCCGTGACGGGACGTTGCTTTGGACCCAGAGCCAGGGATTTGCAGCGCACCTAAACCCTTTTGACACACCTCCATGCAGGTATGGCACCGCTACCATTGCCGAAGCATGCACCTCTCAAATGCCGGCATGTGTTTTGGATGAGCCTCTCTAGCAAATTTCCTCAAAATGTTTTCAAATCGTCTGCCACTGCAAACCGGGCTCGGGTCTTTTCTTTGACATGCTCCACCGTCAATCCCTCAGCCACTTCGGTCAAAGTCAGCCCTCCTCCACCGAGACGATCTACCTGAAACACCGCCAGTTCGGTGATGATAGTGCTGACCACTCCCTTGCCGGTAAGTGGAAGCTCACATTCGTCCAGAATCTTGCTGTTGCCGTTCTTGTCTGTGTGGTACGTGCAGACCACAATTTTGGTCTTGCTGGGGTTGCTGACGAGGTCCATTGCACCTCCCATACCATTGAAGGCCTTGCCGGGGATGATATAGTTGGCAAGATCACCACTTGCCGACACCTGTAAGGCCCCTAAAAGGGACACATCAACATGACCTCCCCGGATCATGCCGAATGACTCGGCAGAGTCAAATGTCGAGGCACCAGGCACCAGCAGAACTGTCTCCTTGCCGGCATTGACCGTGTCAGGATCTGCATCTTCTTTGGTTGCTGGATAAGGTCCCATGCCAACAATACCATTTTCTGATTGGATCCATACCTTTGTCTGTGGCGGCAGGTATGACGGGGCTAGTGTTGGGATTCCGACTCCCAGATTGACATAAAATCCTTCGTGCAATTCTTTTGCTGCACGTTGAGCAATCCGATTGCGCTTTATGGCCTCCTCGCTGGTATCTTGGGTACCATCTTCGGATGGAGCAAGAACGAGCTTCTCAAAGTGCTTTTCGGACGTGGCGGGAACGATGCGATCAATGTAGATACCAGGAAGATCGACGTGATCCGGGTCCAGCGATCCCACGGGCACAATGTTTTCAGCCTCGACAATAGCCAGCTTGGCCGCTTTGGGCATGAGCACGCCGTAGGCTTTGGTCGTGGTACGGAAGACACAATTGCCGGCTTCGTCAGCTTTCCATGCTCGGACAATCGCCACGTCTCCTTGGAGTGCTGTTTCCATCATATATGTCCTATCACCGAAAACCCGGGTCTCTCGTGGTCGTCCAGGCTCGACCACAGCATGCTTCCCTGTCTGAGGATCTTTGGGTCCAAGTTTATGGGGGATTCCGCCGGTTTGTATCAGCGTACTCACGCCTGTCGCTGTGAAGAATGCAGGGATACCAGCTCCTGCTGCTCTCAGGCGCTCGGCGATGGTGCCTTGTGGGCAGAGCTCAATGGCCACTTTGCCGTCGTGGTATTGCTTTCCCAAGGGCTTGTTGTTGCCGATAAAGGAGACGATCATGCGAGCGATTTGCCCACTTGTGGAGAGCTTTGTGAGGCCATGGTCTCCTGCGCCGGCGTTGTTTGAGACCACGGTGAGATTCTTGGTTCCCTTTTTGCGAAATGCGTCGATCAAGGTTTCTGGAACACATCAGTGATAGTTTTACGTGGTGAAGAAGTTGTTTATACCTGGAACACCGCAAAGACCAAAGCCGGAGCTCAGCACGGTAGAACCATCGGGGATATCTGAGATGGCATCGTCTGCACTTTGGTAGATTTTAGACCCTCGGTTCCGGGAATTTATCGAGTTTATAATCTGTTCGGCGGGGCTCTCTTGTTCTTGACGAAGGGCTCGAGAGGAGGTGAAAGATCTTGGTCTCGATACATAAATCTGTAAGCAGTGACTCTGTTTCTTGCTGCATGCGATCAGAGGCGAAACTGCACGCAATGAACGCTGGTCTAAAAGGAATGACATGGTCGCTGCATCTGGCTTCACACGAGCAATGAACGATGCTTACGACGAGCGCCTCACAAAGACAAAGACAAGTGACGGTTCTTATCCAAACATTCAGATGAAATGCGGAGTCAATTCGCAAGAAGATATACAAACTTGGGGAACGAGGAGTTGGGGTACATGGTGACATCTTATGGTGGGATTGATTGGTGGGGCCCAATGGAGGGTCTCGCGGGATCGTCAGCTTCGGGAGTTCATCTGACGCCGAGTGCGGAGTTTACCAAGACTCTGAGGGCGTGGGGGGCTAATGTTAAGACAAGACAATATATTGATGAGTAAAGAAGCATCTGGTGGACACACTGGGAGTTCCAATGTGATGAACAAGAACTGTCGGTCGATATCGAAAGATACAGAGTAGGTCCCCAGTATGCAGGGAAAGCGCGAAGGAGAGGTTTGAAAAGGTAGGAGAGGAAAGAGCAAATGAGCAAAATGAGCATGTGGGTGTCGGTTTCGTAAGGAAGGCACAACCAACATCTCCCTCCTCACACTCGCACCTTCCCATGACTTGTCTCCTTTATGGCAGACCTTGCCTGACTGTCGTCCTCTCATTTAATCCCCATGCGTCTTTACTGCCGTCATGAACTAATTGATCAAGAGTTTCAGACCGTGTTTCATGATGGTCACGGTGACCCGCAGGTTTGGACTTGGACTTACCTGTTGCTCTCCTCATATCACGGGCATACTTCTCTTGGAACGTGCCTTGACCGGCCCTATGCATCACTGCTGTGTTGTCCCAAACTACCAAGTCACCTGGGTTCTGCCACTCGACACTGAGCACATACTTGTCTTGGGTAGCATGGTCTAGCAGTTTCTCGATCAGCTCAGTGCCCTGTTGTTCTGGCACCCTCTCGTAGGGTTGTTGCGATGTCGGTACAAATCTACTCGACCGCGGTGTCTTGTATTCCAGATGATGCAAATGATGGGCAATGTACATGGTTGGTCGGCCGCTGGGTTCATGAGTTTGCAAGATGGAGTGTCGGCCGAACGGGAGGTCGTTGGGTTCCACATCTTTGAGGTACGGACTGTCTCTTGGCGCCGCCTTCTTTCTCGAGTGCATAAGGCTGTGGGCTCCGATGTAGTCATTCTCTTGCAACTCTGCTCGAATGTCCTCAGGCAGTTCGTCGTATGCAGCTCTTGTGTCTGCAAAGTCGGTGTTGCCTCCATGGCCTGGAGGCGGCAGTTGGTGTGCCCGCAGCAGGCTATAACCTGCCCGTCGTGGGTTGAAGCTTGAATCAACGTGGAAGATGGAGTTTCCCTGGTGGATGATTAATTCCACTTAACCTTTTGTTTTCCTGCTCGGCAAGGGAGACGAACCAAGCCCATATGTTCCCGCCTACTCCCAATCTTGACCAAAGACCCATCGTCTTCGAGGTTACTGACATCGAACAACTCATCGAAAGGGAGTCGATTCTTCCTGCCCATTGCGATATACGGTTTGATGTCATCCAGTTCACCAAACTGCGCTGCAAAGGCCACATGGCGGGCGTCATCTAATTCGGCGTGCCGGAAGACGAGTACTCCATACTATATGATACTCGAGTCAGTCGCAGGCACCTCGTGGTCAAAATCCGATTTACTTTGGATTGTGGATGGATGACATACATGAATTATCGCCCTCAAGATCTCATCAAAGACATATTGCTCGACCGGTTTAGAAAAGTCGACACCAGTTACTTCTGCTCCAAATGTTTGGGCCAACTGAGTCACCTTGATGTGCTGGTACTCTGTGTCTGTGGCGTGTGGCATTTTGGTGATTTGGGGGCTTATCGTGATGGTTTTGGGCTTAGATTGCTACCAATTGTGAGTTTAACATGGGACACAAGTCCCTAGGTCGATCAAGTTGGTGGATGGGTGGTCGCTTGATGTAAACAGACTCGCGTAGATAACGACGGATCGTGGTTCTCCGACAACGGTGTGATACCTCAAAATCAAATCTCCATTCCACAGGGATCTGACTTGTGGGATATGAGGACCAGGTTAGCAGGCTTCCCTTCCAAAATCTTTTCAATCGTAATACTGATGACCAGAATCTGTGTTGTATTGGACGTTCGTTTGCTGGGTGGAGCATATAAGCAGGTTCGAGACTACTTAGTATTTTATATGCAAATTCACCTCTTGTGATGAAACCAAACAACCCTCTTCCTTTTGGGGGGTTTGCCACACATGGCATGCACAATAACATGACCCCCCAACCTCCCTCCCTGTCCCTCGAAACTATAATCTCTCTTCCACTACAAGCATATTGCTCTTAGAACGGATTGGAGAAACTTGCCTCGGGAAGTCGGCAAAAGATCAAGATTCTGGACATGCGGGGTAGCGTAACGTCTGTTTGTATAGCCTGGGGGGAAAGCCTAGTATGCCAGCATTGCCTGGAGGGGATGTTGATCATAGGGACTGATTACATTATAGGCGGAGAGATCCATGCTCGAGGAGAGGAGGGGGCCGAGAGGGGGAAACGGGAAGGGAAGGGAGGGAAGTGAATACGATGAACTGACTGATCACCATTGCAAGGTAAGTATGTATCTAGACAGGAAGTCCGCCACTTACATACCTGCCTTTAATATCTCATAGTCAGCGCCAGCGTCAATATTATTACCCTCACTGCAAGATATACATATGTACAGATAGTAAGCATAACACGTTCAACCACATTCATCAACCCACACTACGTCGGCGAGGACAATATATCTTGTGTATATATATATATCTGCATAAGTAGCTGAAGACCTGGGGAAAGAAAGTGTGGAGATGTGGGACGAGTGGAGGTATCAGATACAACATACTGAAGGTACAATAATCACTATCACATTGACGATTCAGGAGGAGGTCGATGATCGATCATATCGACCATTTTCGCACCACGACGGCCATCACATGGAGATATCGAAAATCAAACATCAAACATCAAACATCAATGGATAGATCTGTCGCCATGCATAGGTATTTAGTTATACTTGTACAGCACTTCACTCTTGCTTCTACCAGTCGACTCATCTACCTATCCAGTACTTGAGCAGTCGGTAGCTCTTCTCATTGTCCCGTCCATCAAAATCTTCTTGGTGAATGCTGGACGGGCCTTTCATATCTCATCATCTTATAACCCCCAGAACCAACATGCCTCCGCCTCCCACGACGAGGCCGAGGGGCCCCTTTTTCTTCCAAACCCTGAACTCCCCGGTGTCGCTTCTTGAGTGCTTCGCTCAAGAGATGTGGGTCCTTGGCCTGGCCAGCCTGAGAAGACAGACTCGCCTCTCTCAGGGATGTCCTGCCTCTAAGAATGCTGATCTTCACGCTCTGCCCTCACATGCGCCTTCTAGTCCAGAATGGTGATTGTTACAAACTTTTCCCCTTGTCGTCCTAAAACATTGGAAAGAAAATCCCTGAAATCACAAGGCACAATCGTGGATGCCAGTGGGGCCCAGTTCATTGTAGTCGCTTCTAGTGAGAAAGCCTTTGGAATTTCCTTGATCGACAATAAAGACCACCTTGGCTGCAACTTGGGCACCGAGGAAGGAAGCCTCTTCCATTCCTGATACACTGGGGTCTTTCCATTCGGGGAAATAATCTGGAGGCTTGACTGTCTTGATAGACGTGGGTACCTGGCTGAATCCGCGATGGCTGTGCTGCATGCTAGGATCCGGCATCATTTGACCGGACACTTGGAGATGTTGATTGGGTTGCATCATGTTCTTCGTTGCCGCTACCAGGAGAGGATTCACCCCATGCCCACCGGCAGGATGATTGGGATATCCTCCTTGGCCTGGGATCGGGGTATTGGTACCAGGAGTTGCAACGGGGGTGGTGAAGTTCGAAGGTAGTTCGGAGGTGAAGATGGTGGCTGTCGAAGGAGATAGTACATATCGTGCATTGAGGGTAGTAAGGAGAGCATGGGTGAATCCTGTGATTAGGTCAATGACTTGCAAATATTCGTGCGAGAAAGACACTTCTTACCTCTTATCCGACTGCCGTTGCCCAGAATGATCAAGTTGTCCCACAGAGCAGATCGGGATTGAATTTCAGGAACACTGAGAACGGTGTGGTGGATGGCTTCCGCAATAGTATCCACGATGCCATCCGCATAACCAGGTGCTGGAGTTGCAGCCATGAATCGCTCCAATCCAACTTCTATTTCGCGTTTTCGCTTGCGAGCTGTTGGTACGGCTGTTTCGTCTTCTGTTTCTTCAATGGGGAGCAGTTCCACGTAGGTGAAAGATGCACGAGTCTTTTCGGAATTTCGTAACCGAGCCGGTTTTGGAGGCTCCGCTCCACCACCCTTTTTCGCTGCGGCTCTTTCTGCCTTCTCCTTCTCTCGCTTGGCAAGTAGCTCGGCGGCATTATCACGCGCGACGATTGCTGCAACGTCAAGAACTCCATCATCGTCTTCGTTATCACCATTGCCATTTTCTTCACCCACCGCAGTTCCAAATCCTGGTCCACGAGGTACCTGGCCCGGACGAAGGCCCTCAGAATCTCTGATATTAGATCCTGAATCTAGGGCACCTGTCGATGCAGCGGCAGCGGGGTTGTTGGCTACTCCATTCTCGGTAGAAGTTGGTAACGCATAACCTAGAGGAAGAATCTCGCAGATTGGACTCCGTTTCAGTTGCTCGGCCATATCATCAGTGAAACCCCGGTCGGCCAACAGCTGTTGTAGCCTCTTCGTCATTGCTTCGCCACCAGTTTGGGAAATCGCCACACCGCGACCAGCATCGTTGATTTGAAAGTCGGTCACCGCAGTCACATCGCTTTTACCATGACCAACATCAACAACCAGTGCATTTGGAACTCCGTACGCGTATGCGGCAGTCAGAGCAGCATCCATGAGGCAGAACGCCGGAATCTTCCAGTTCTCAAATACATACTGAGTGATCATCTCCTTATCACGGCTTGACCAACAAGGCTGCGAGATAAACAAGACCGGCATGTGAAAGGGAGGAGAAATCATGTTGTAGATATGCGACAACAGAGCAAAGAAGCAAGACCAATTTTCGATACGGCCATCTCGAATAGGATAAACCGCGCCTTCAACCGACCAGTGATCGTCCTCGTAGACTTCTGTGGTTTCTTCTTCGATTTCTGCAGGGGCTTCTTCTTGAGCGGCAGTTTCGCCATCTTGAGGTACTTCAGGTGGTATTTCTTGGGTCGCTTCCTCAGGTTCTAACTTTGGCGCGTCGGGTAAGGTTCCTTCTGGTTGGTTTGCCTGGGGCTCTTCCTGGACTGAGACGGGGACGTCGGCCTCAGGAGCAGTCGGTACGTCTGCCGGGGGAGCCTCAGGAGGCGCCTCCTTCATTTCCACATCGGTAGAAGGGGCAACGTCACCATTTGGGATCTCAGGCTTTGATGCTTCGCCGTTGGTGGAAGGTTGGACTGGTTTCTGAGTCGTTACAGTCTTGGTTCGGATCTTCAAAGGCTCCCATTCTCCAGGGTTGATGCCAGGGAACATGCGCGTAGGAAACCGAAATCTGGGAGGGGTAAAGGACTCTGGAAGGCCTAATTGCGCGGCGGTGATTTGCGATCCGGGCGCGATGATCTAGAAGATTGAAGGATTAAGGTCAACAACTGCGTTGGGAAAGAGGCTGGTTTGAGGGAACGGGGTTGCATGAGACATACGAGAACATGCTCATCCTTGAAGGGAGGCATTGCCGCTTGGTCTGCGACTGCGATCACAGCCAAGCAGAGTGTCGACCTTGGATGGGACTGGAATCGGGAAGGGTAGAGTGAACTGATCAATGAAGCCGCGCCGACCAGACAAGCGAAAAGCGAATCTGCGACACGCGATGAAAACCGCCAAGATATTATTATCACGTGACTAAATTGTCGATTGGTCGTTCCGTCGTTCTGCACGTGCGCGGATGTTGTCAGGTCAGGGTCAGGGTCAGGGTCGGGACATATCATGGGCTTTGAGAAATCTACTCCGTACGTCTTCTTGTCAATCAGTATCGAAGCATCAATTAAGCCATGGGGAAGCCTTGATTAATTTTAAAATCTGCTTTTGCATTTCATCGTATAGAGGATAGCCTCATTTGTCAACTATCTTAATGTGCTACTTGAGCCGTCGCCAAAATATCCTCTCTAACCGTAGTACTAATGTTACATTCTGAGTTAACGCCCTTCCACAGCGTAGAGCTCCTGGCCACAGCCGGGTAATCAACCCCGGCCATGATTTTCAACGCGTCCAAACCATCACTATTGGTCGACACTTGATGTCGGATCTTGCGATGTTCTCTCTCCAACCTGATAATGACCCACTTGATTGTCATGAGACTCGACCATGTCCACCGACGATCGGGGTCCTCAGCGAAGCCATCCTCGCTAACTACTTGCTGCAAAGCCCGGTCTGTCGCTGCCAGTAAGAGGCGCGCCATGTGTGGGCTGCATGTGAGTAGTCGGCTCAGAAGCTTCATGCGGAAGACTGCCGGTCTGGTCGGTGTCGAAGGCATCGAAATCAAAGAATGAATTAGTGGGAAATTGGTCACAATGGAAGAAAAATCCTGATCCGTTGACGTCATGGACAATTTCTGCGCCAAAATCTGGAAGATCTTGCATAGCGGCCAGAGCGTTGTCGTCGAGAAGGTTTGAAAGATCGTCAAGGTCTGAAGCACCTGTAGAAGGTAGCTGAGCCCAAGCTGGGAGATCTGATCGGATGACACCGCTGGTAGCTTGATAGCCCATGTTTCCGGCTGACACTGCAGGTCACACAATATCACGGCAGGATATTGTGTCAGGCCGGAAACATTAGGGAAGCTGGAGAAGGGTGCCATCGGGTCAGCAGAGGCTGCTTCCGAATGTTCATGGATGAGGTTGAGTTGAGGGGCCAGAGCTGGTGACTCGAGCTTGAGGGGCGATGTTGAATCTGATTGAACAAGAGTAGGTTGGGTTTGTTCGGAGTCAGAGGGTGAGGCGTATAATGAAGGAGCGGGAGAGGCCTTGTTTTGAGGAATTGGCGTTGATTCTCCGTTGGCCAACTCCTCGTGTTCAAGTCCAGGGGTGGGGAAATCTGCCTGCTTGCCAAAGCGTGACTCGTAGCGAGCAAGCAGCTCCCTCAATGAGGCATTCTCCTGTTCGATTCGGATTTGGCGAACTTCGAGGTCGGCGACAGCTGCCTTTTGGCGTTGTCTGGACTTGTCGGCAGCCCTTCGGTTCCGCAGGATTCTCTCGTTTTTGCGTTGTTCCTTCTCCTCGGCGGTCTTGGCTCGCTTGCGAGGAGGAAGGATCTGTTTTATTTCAGGTACTGGCTGTCCCCATGCTTTCCGCTTCTTCTTGGATGAATGATCTGATGGTGCAGGGCTGGTTCCTGATTCTGATTGGGGTGGAGGGCTTGGATATGGGAGGTTGTTGTTGGTGACAGACATTGAGTCACAGGTGCTAGAGGGAGAAGCGGCGTCCATCATGTCGTAGCTGTCCACGGTGTCAAGATGACAAAGACTGATTTGTGAACGTGTGGTCCCAGAGGTGGGAAACTTGGGATGTGTGATGCTTGGGTGACTGGATTTATTGGGTTGAGAGACAAAATGGCCTACAATGACCACCTGTCCTCAAGGTGGACGCATGACTGGACTGCCAGGCAGTGAAATGAATAGTGGAGAGAGGCCTTCAGGGTTGGAATCAGATTCGAGATAGAAGATGAAGTTTGAGAGATGGGAAAGTGGCTCGAGAGCAGGCAACCAAGATAAATAAAGGCCAGGTGTTCAGATCCAGGGGGCGAGGGATGATGAGGGGCCATTGGGGCTTGGCACAGTTTCCCAGAGATTCTACCAGAATGCCACGAAATGTCCACGAGTGGCACCATCAGCCAAGTCCTTACAGTGACTGACTGCATCACTGCATGTTTGTTGGGGCCGCTTGGGCTCAGTGGCTCAATCGGCTTCCGTGGCTCGTGGGTCTCAAGGGCCGTTGGCCCCCTGGGCTTCCCTGTTTGACCTTAGGGTCGCTATTTCGGTCCACCAGTCAGCTCCTTTGATCGGCCTCCATGAGCAGCTCCATGCCTAATTCGACCGCCCCTGTTGCACATCTGGACTGCCTGAAGGGATCTCAAACCCCTGCTGAAGGCGCCATCCTTCAGGCGGTCGTCATCCGCTCCACACTTCGAGCTTCTCCCTTACTGCATTTTGGTTTCAGCCCACTTGAAATTCTCAGCTCAGCCTCTAGACCGTCGTGACTGTCTGGAACAGAGTCTCTGCATCAGCCGCAATTCAGTCATCTCCCCTTTGTCCATGAATGTTACATGTGTCAGAATGGCTTCACTGTGGTGCCACCACCAACCTTGACACGTGCCAAACACACTTTGACCACTGTCAATTATCATGCAGGGGAATTCCTATGCCAACAAATACACGCATGCCCTCGAACGCTCGGCTTCGAGACCATTCACTTACGTATCTAGCTAGTAGTATGTAGAGAGGTCGGGTAGTTGTTCTTATCTGCCGGTGATCGGACCTCAATCTGCCCACCCAAAGAGCCACTCTCATGTTCAATCAAGACACAAAGAACAATAATACGGGAGAGATGCAGGTACAGTCAGCCTTCATTCCCAATGTATTCCCACACGGGTGTCTTATCTACTCCGTACGGAGGATCTCGGAATTCTACTAGTCCGAAGCCATCTTATCGTTAACCGCATGGTGGCTGTTGTAACTTTTTGTTCCTGATATTGCTACATGAATCCACGATGATCATTTATTCTCACTCAAGGGGTATCTCGTTCAGTCCAGCATCTAAAGCAAGTTTTTCTCTGCTTCCAAGCCGTGACATGTGCCACTGTCAACCACCCCCTCACGCCACGCCTGTCAAACAATCCAACCGATTCTTTGTTGCCTCGGACCACGAGCATCGTAGGTTCATTCTTGTATGGACGAATCCTCCGAGAAGCATCGATCGATTTGTTGAACGCGTCTCAGTTGTGTTGGACGTTGATGGGCGCGTTGAGGACGCGTTTCCGCATCCAATCTGGATCATTGTACAGATTTTCCTGGTATATTTCATCCACCACATCATTGACAAAATCTTCCACGATCTGTTCTTGATATCGTTCGCCAATGGGCCGTGCATCCGGGTATTGCGGGCCGTCCTGTTCATGTCCGTACCACCACGGCCCGTCGAATTTGCATTCAATGGCACCTCCCGTGTAATGACTGATGGCTGGATAGTAGCCCAGTAAGCCGTCATCCACGTCGCCGTTGCCAGTGACAGTCCTACTGCCTTTGTCCACGTACGAAGCCGGAGGTAGAAAAGCAAAGAGATGCTCCCATACAACTCCGTGATATTTGCCATTCACCCACAGCTCGATCTTGCTCCCGGGCAGTGTGCGGAGGTGGGCAAGCTCGTGGTTCGGGTGCGGGTCTGTTAGTAGATCATATTTCTTGCCTGTCTCGGGGTTGATAGATTTGTTTTTGGAATTGAGTGTTGGTCGTGTCAGATCGTTACTTGGTGTGTATTCGGGACATTCAAAGTAGGTCATGCCGCGGTGAAGGAAGGGGTTTCGATCTCGGATAATGTCGTGCGCCGATGGAACTGGAATGCCCGGCAGAGGCTTGAGTGAAGCCCGCAATGCCGTCTGCGCGCTTGAAGGCCGATATTTATCGTCCTTGACCTTGACGGCATCGCCCTCCTTAAGTTTCGAGCCGGATTTGGCCACCTTCTTCCCTCCTCCCGTTTTCTTCTTGATATTTGCCGGCCCACATTTGAGATGAGGGTATTCGGCAGGGTTATATGTGCCTTGGATAACCTTCTTCTGCACCTCGAGTGGAGGGAGGGTAATCATTAGTCCGACAACATCACCAGGAGAAAGGTCGTCCGGATCTCTGCCGTTTTCGCCTTGCATGTGATACATTAGAGTGTTGAAACGCACACTGCCATACTCTCGAGCCCGGCCACTTCTCAGAATAACGGCATAGCTGTATGCATTGCCCCCGAGATTCTCACTCCAATGATGCTCTCGGCGGCAGAAGCCAACTCTGAGACCACCACGGTTGGTGGCCGATCTGTCCGAGTTCTGAGTATCGGCCAGTGCTCGGTCGGGCTCTTCTCTCCCAGGAGGAGCCTGGCTGATGACCTTGGCTTCGAAGAAGAATCTGCCCTCTCGTGCAAAAACATTGGCTCTCGTTGTGTAGCTTCCAAACTCTCCAGTTTTGCCCAACATGTCTTTCGTAAAGGTGTTGCGGAGATTCTCTACGCCGCATTGGGGATGGTTTTCGTCGCTGAGGCGGGCATATCGCGGCGGTGCTTCGTCGGCGTGGAAGTAGAACGATTTCGGATCTCGTTTGGCGCGAATATAATATCGCTTTTCTCGACTCTCGATGCTGTGCATGTCAGGTCCATTGCTCTCTGCAAGAATGGGTTGGAGAGTAAACATACTGTGTTCCCAGTGAATAAAACTCAACTTTCTGACCATCAACTGTAAACTTTGCGTGATCATAGATCTTTGGCACCTCCTTTTGGTCTTGGATGAACTTGGGATCGTTGGGCGCAACATAGGTTGGAAGGGCTACGGGCTTGTCGTCTTCAATGCGGTCAACTTTTGGAGACACCAACTCTTTCACCTTTTCGCTAGGTTTCTTCTCCCGGTGACCACGTCCAGATGACTCCTCCATGATGAAAGGCCCGGTTGACTGCCTGCGCGTGGACTGGGCATAGGTCGCGTGGGAAGTTTGTCGACAGTATTTCGGTGAATCGCGCGTAGGCATGTAGTGATACAATATCAGAAGTTGGATCATCCGGGTAAACTTCGGACTTCTCAGATGCCGCAGGGGACAGAAGTCCCTTTGTTGATTATTGTGAATAAATTCACCACCCGTTCTATCATGTCATGTTTATTTGGATGGCTGTTGCAGCCTTTACGATATTCGATGGAGACAACACAATGCATTTTGCCTCGTTATCAGGCCAACAATATCTTGAGACATCTCCTCATGTAGGCAAACGCAGCCAAGAACGTACCTAGAGGAGTTGTGTCCAGTCCCAATCCGACCAGGCTAAGTACCCATCCCTCGACTAACCAACGTGCAACCACACCAGCCAATGCCAGACCACTGGCTACTTTATACCCACAGTTGAGGAGAATCAAGAGGGCCTCGATGTTATTGAGAAGGACTGCCCAGCCCACGTAATTTGTTGCTTGGAACGCGAACCCGAATGGATCCCCATCTTTGGCCTCGGTTGGCCAGATTACTAGCAGAATGGGAAACAACTTGGAGCAGCTCGACACGAGGAGGGCGGTGCTGATGGCGCTGGGGCTGGCGTTACCCGGTCGAACGGTATCTAGAATCCTGGTATCTTGCTTCGTGTCTGGTGACATTGTCGGTGGTGACTGGGTCATGCTTTCAGGTTCTTCTGCCGTTTCAACAAAGACACGAACCAACGTTCGGATGATGCCATGTTGGGTGACTGTGGCCAGGACGTTCATGGTCAGGAAGAAGATATATTGAGTGAGGATCGGCCATTGGGTGAGTCGAGAATTGGGATGGTCGCTCCCATCTAGGGGCCCGGCCCTCTCAATACGTGCCCATGTAATGTAGACGTCGAAGAGGACCAGCAGTGTCCCGAGTCTGAGAATACTGGGGTCGAATTTATTGTCTGACCGACCCAGTCGATTGAAAAGGAGGTGCCGGTAGACCTTTGATCGATCAGTAGGTTCAGGCCATGCCGGAGAGACACATCCTCGTACTCTCCAAGGCGCCTGTACTCACTTGTGGCTTGATCAGAACGAGATCAATGAAAAGAACAACAAAGTCATGTTCGACATATTTATCAGCGAACTGCTTGCAATTGGGACATTGTGTGAGACGGACACCCTTGCCCAGCGCTCGATCGTCAGCTTTGCTATAAGTGGTGTACAAGTTCTTGACAGGAGTACTACAGTTGATGCATATCGGCATCCCTGCTGAGAATTGGGATGTTGACCAGCGATGCGCTCGTGAGATGAGAAGTCAACTACTTGTTGGGATCGATGGGAGGAGGAGAGAGAGGCTGCATTTGAATAATTAGTGTTGTGCAGTAGATGACCACGGCGAAGTATATGAGACATGCTGGAATTCAATTCGGCGGGGCATTTGCCTTGATCGCGTGTATAATTGTCACGTGATTAATCTGCTGGTTGTTCGTCTCTCTTCGAGTCAACTATCGACTCTGCATGTTGAAGCATCTTCTCATCTCATCTCATATTGGCATACACAATTAATTATGATCTACCAGCATTCAGCTATCGATCAATCCCTTTCGAGGAAGCCGCAAGAGCCTGCCTCACCAAAAGTCTGCCTTCGCACGTCCCTCCAAGTTTGGGACAACGGATTCGAACCATCATCCTTGCTTGCCAACTGGCCTCTAGTCCCAATAAGGCGTAATCTGCGAATCCCACACGCTTCGAACCATCATCCTTACTCGCCAACCAGAATCTAGTCCTAGTAAGGCGTAATGTGCGAATTCCACGCCAATCCCGCCCACTCCTCATCTCCTCTAGCCAACCTCTTGTCTTCGACAAGCTCGTCAACGTCCAAAGATGATCGCGCCAGTGGGTCGGGTTGAAGCATTCTCCAGTGTCCTAATGTCACATCTCGTGCCATTGTTTCGATGCGGCGTATTGAGCGAACAACTGCATCGGCCCTCTTCCGTTGCACAAAGTCTGACCTGACCCTGCGAGGTGGGCAAATAATATGTATATTGGGCGTTCCCCTTTCAGCATCAAATCTCGTATGGTCGGCAGTCAAACACTGCAGTAGCATTCTGCATCTGCCAGAATGATAGCCTCGTACCGATACTTGCGAAAGAAAAGACGACAGCGCCAGCTGTCCAAGGCTGAAAATTTACAACTGGACACGACTGGCCAAAACCCGTCCTCGACAGTCACTAATGGGTCCCAAAAGAAAAAGAAGTGCCCAGTATGTGTCAAAGAAAAGAGTGCTGCTAGAAAGTACCGGTGGAGGATTATTTTGTGCCTGCTGCCCGCGTTCCTCGATGCCAGCTTAGACTTGACCGTCATTGCAACCGCATTGCCGCGCATCGCATCACATTTCAGTGAGTCTCGTAAAGCAAGACAACGTCTGCCTGCTAATCAATCCTCCAGACAGATTCAATCAACTCAGCTGGATTGTCACTGCATTTTCATTAACCTCAACGGCTTTTATTCCTGTCTATGGCCAACTGGCCGATACTTTCGGTCGATTTCCCACCATAATGTTCTCCGCCATGGTGGTGGCCACAGGCAGTGTTCTCTGCGCCTCGGCTCCTGTATGGGGAGTCTTGCTCCTTGGACGATCACTGCAGGGAATTGGGGCTGCTGGGGTCCAAAATGTCACAATCATCATACTTGCCGACAAGGTGACGCTGAAGGAGCAGTCCATCAACACAAGCATCTTCCAGATGATGGGCGGGGTCGGCTATAGTAAGTCGAGGGCCCTTTGTGGGTTACAAAGCCATACTGATTTCCGACTCCAGGCATTGGGCCAGTCATTGGTGGATACCTCACCAACGCCTCCTGGCGCTATTGTTTTGCCTTGAGCTGTTGTCTCTCTGCAGTTAGCATGACGGGCCTTTTCCTCCTCCGAAACGAGCTTCTGCCGGGCAGAATCACCTTTGAGCCGACCTCAGGTCTCGTGAGCCGAATCAAGGTCCTGGGGTCTGGCCTTGTGACCCTAGACTTTGGAGGAATTTTCCTCTTCATTGCTGGTGTCGGTTTGGTGATCCTTGGCACCGCCTGGGGTGGTTCAACGTACCCATGGTCATCTTCAGCTGTAATCGCTTCTTTGGCGATTGGTGTGGTGATGATGATGTGCTTCGTCGCATGGGAGCTCTCGTTGGCTTCTGGCGGGTTCCTTCACAAGCGTCTACCGAGGACGACTCCTATGATTCCTGCAAGCATTCTATCGGCGAAGGATGTTTCGCTGGTTTGTTTTCTGTCGTTTGGCAGTGGCACGGCACTGTTCTCCGTCTTCTACTTTGTCGGAATTTACTTCACCTTGGTTGAGGGATATCGAGCATCGCATGCTGGAGAGCAACTCCTCTTCTATGTTCCTGGATTAGGGTTCGGTGTCATCTTCGCTATTTTCATCTGCAACAAATGGCCACGACAGACCTTCTGGCCGCTTTATATTGGTACCGTTATCGAAACCATCGGTATTGGAGTCATTTGCTATGCCGTTCAAGCCCGTCGGGTGCCACTGATCAATGGGATGATGTTCATTGCAGGTGCAGGTACCGGTATGAGGTTCATGCCGGCAAATCTCCACCTCGCAGGCATGTTTCGTAACCAGCTAGCAGCGGTGTACAGCCTCTTGCGCTTCGCCATGCCATTTGGTGGGACTGTCGGTCTCACCATAATGGGGGCAGTCTTTCAGAACAAGATGTCTGCTTACTTTGGCACTGCCATCAATGGTCAGTCCATCGATTTGCACCAGCAATCATCTTTGGAGGTCGTTTCCGAACTTCCCGCAGAGGAGCAGGCCATAGTCCGCGCTCAAGGAGCCAATGCGACGATGTGGGCCTTTGTTTCGATATTGCCTCTCCTGGCCATTACCGTTTTCAGTACCATGGCGCTTGGAAACGTCTGGATCGTCGCTCCTCCGAAGAAATCCCAGCAAGGGGCGGATGAACCTGCTCCGCCACCACGCGAGGATGGCAAGTGTGCGCAACATGCTGATGAAGAGGTCCAGGAGGATGTTCCAAAATCTACAAGCGTTGATATACTGGAGGAAGTGTTTCTCGTTGCTTTGCTCCGAGGAGACGTACAAAGGCTGAGAAAGAAAGGTCCCGAGGCTCCCCAAAGGAATGTGGTTTCCACTCAACCAACGACCGAGGACTCAGTCGTACCGATAGCAGACAAACAGCCTTCGAATTCTGGTGTAGACGACGCTATCGAGCCTCATTTGACTGAGAAATGAAGCAATGCCGTCATGCGACACATGGGGGCCTCGTCCCACCGCATCGAGCATGCAGGGGGTCACATGCTGCACAGCGACAGCAAACATTCCAGAGACGTCGTGCACCATGTCTTGTTCCTTTCTTTACAACCACCTTTTTCGTTTTGTCTAGCGATTCGAGGCCCATATGAGGCCTCCATACATATACCCTGATACGAACACGAATACAACCACTCCGTTCTAGACTAGACTAGGGCAAGGCCGAGTCAGACCGCCGTTTCCGAGAAGTCTGTACCATACAGAGCAAGTAATCGTCCCAGCAGCCCAGGCTAGCACTGTGGTGTGTTTGCTTCGTATTTTCCAAGGTTGGTGCCTGGGAGTTTGCCCATCCTCCGACCTCGGCCCATCTCATCGCAACTCTCGGCGCCTCGGACGAGGTGGATCTTTTAGCTTATCCCCCGCATTATGTTCCTCTTCCGCTCGATTTGTCGCCTATCACAAGAGTTTTCGTGACGACACAAATCCACTAGCGGCATAGAGATCGAGTCTACCGCTCTAGTGGCCTGCACAAGAAGACTTCGCTGCCACATGCAGAACGTCGCTGAATCTCCTAGGAGCCGAGGATCGATGGTGTACGTGTAACAGCTCCACACATGGGATTCAGCCTAGCCATGAGAGGAAGTAAGTCCATCCCAGATCCTACTATCGACCTCGCGCTGTAATAAAGTTGGACTGAAGCTCCGCGTCATTATGCCAATGGGTTTCCCCAGACAATCAGTGCACGGCAAGCTTAAATGCGAAAGACCGCCTCCTCATCTGGCGGAAGTCGAAGGTGAGGTCCATAGCACTGCACGTGTGCCATAAGGATTTCAACAACCATAGTACAATCCGGGTAAGTCCTTATCGAGTGTTGTATATTCTTGAGGTCACCCATGGCTCGACACATATACACGCTGGGTTTGATAGCAGCCCTACAAGGAGTTGTTGTTGGTCAAGGGACACTGCCGCAAGTGGACTTAGGCTATGAAATACATCAGGCCATCAGTCTTAATGTGAGCATTACTCGAAGACTATGAGGACATTGAGACATTCAATTGCTACTGTCTTGGTTCTTAGAAATGTCTCCATCATTATTTTTCAAGAAGTACTTTTTGACCATGTACACAGGAAACCACTCAGCTTTACAATTTCTCCAATATCAGATATGCGCAAGCTCCCGTTGGCGAGCTCCGGTTTGCCGCTCCTGTGGCACCAGAAGGAAGAAACGAGACACCTCAGAATGGCAGCGTGGGCAGAATCTGCCCTCAAGCATATCCCGCTTGGGGTCTCATTGCCACAGAGTTCACACGCGCATACGTGACTGGCAACTTGTCCTCATTCAACTTCACCGAGTCCGAACAAGAGCTTCAAGCCTTGTTGGCGAGCGGTGTGAACTCATCAGAAGAGGAACCGGATCCACGCATCTCTGAAGACTGCCTTTTTCTCGACGTCATCGTACCGAGGACCATCTTTGATAATGCTAACAATCTTCGGCGTAAGCGTCAAAATGCTGGTGCTCCTGTGTTGGTCTGGTATGTGTTCTCGAAGGCCTTTTCAACACCACCTTAAGTCCATGTCTGAGATCTAACACTACGTGTTCCTGCAGGATCTACGGCGGCGGATACGTTGCAGGGGAGAAGAACAGCTATGGAAGTCCGGCCGGGCTGATCAACGCGAGTCGAGCAGATGGAGGGGATGGCATCATCTATGTCGCAATGAACTATCGACTCGGCGCTTTTGGATTTTTGGCTGGGCCTTCGCTTCAAGCAGAAGGCGGGGTCTCCAATGCTGGGCTTTATGATCAACGCCTGGCTCTGGAGTGGGTTCAGGATAACATCCATCTTTTTGGTGGAGATCCGAATCAAGTCACCATCATGGGAGAATCTGCTGGAGGTGAGTTCAATTTTCAAGGAGGGAGATTTGATTGCTCCCATTTTCAGGCAGGGCATATATATACTTACAGACAGTCCACTGACCACTGTGTTTTCGTCCATGTAGGTGGCTCAGTCGAACATCAAATCACCGCCTTTGGAGGTGAAAGAGGAGTTCCGTTCCAAAAGGCCATTGTTCAATCTCCCGGTTTCGCACCTGTGACGTCTCAATACACCCAGGAGAACACGACACAGGAGTTCCTGGCTCTTCTCAACGTCAGCACCATCGCCGAGGCACGCAATCTGTCGTCGGAAGCTGTAATCCGGGCCAACGCTCTCCAAGTCCTCACCGCATCATACAGCAACCTGGTGTATGGCCCTGTTGTCGATGGAGTCTTTGCACCATCTCTCCCGGGCCTCGCACTGGCACGAGGCTCGTTTGCGGAGAATGTGAGCGTCATGGTCGGGCACAACACACTCGAGTCACCTTCATTCAGCCCTCCTTTCGTCCAGACGAACGAGGAATTAACAGACTTCCTGAGCGAGATGTACGCCAGCGCGCCGCCAGAGGTGGTCGAGACCTTGGTCACCGAAATCTACCCAGCGGAATATAACGGCACGCAGCCGTACTCCAGCGCCTTGGAACGGACTCTGCTCATCGTCCAGGAAGGCAGCTTTGTGTGCAATAACGACTATCTCAACCGCGGCTTCGACAACCAGACGTATTCGTACATGTTCCAGGTCCCGCCTGCCCTCCACGGCCAGGATGTTGCATATACATTTTACGACGGACAAGGGTCGAACCTGGCATTGGGGCTGCTCGCGCCCGTGGCACAGGTTTTCCAGGCGATTCTTGTCAATTTCGCAAAGAATGGTGATCCTAATGGTCCTGGAGTGCCTAATTTTCCGATCTACGGCGAAAACGCGACCATGCTGGCAATCAACGTCACGTATATCGAACCTCGGCCTGATAATACTGCGAATCCTCGGTGTGCCTGGTGGCAGAAATCACTATTATTCTAATAATTTTAGTAGTAGTAGTAGTACGAAGGGAGCACTTACCTAAGTACCTTGGGTACCTAGGTAAAGTACTACTACTTACCTAGTAGGTTAGTAAGTACCTAAGTACCTACTACTTAAGAGTGCATATAAATTCAAAGACTCCTTTATAGGTACTTGATCCCAAGCTCCGACTCGGTCTTGATCCGCATCAAATTCAAGTACCTAGTTCTTAATCAGATCAGATTAGGTTAAATCCAGGTTTAAGCTTAGAGGGAAGGAAGGAGCATCAAAATGCCTAAAAAGGAAGGAGCTACCCAGCGTGCCTGCCTGCTACCGTGCCACTAAATCTCCCCATGGGGTTTAGTCTCTAGAATGCTCTTGGCATTATGGCCACGAGAACGGAGCAACTACCAAAATGTCGAATAATTCGTTCCGATAGCATTATTTTATATAAAGTACTAACTTACTAAGTTAGTACTTAGGTAGGTATCTAGAAGTAAGTCCAGTACTACTGATTTACCTGGTATTTACAGTACCTACTACTGTATTATTATGTCTTCATTGTTGTCTCCTAATCAACAACAACCTTTCCATCGGCCCACGTGGGCTTCACCGTTCGACAAACTCCTTCATAGTCAAGAAAAGTTTGTCTATTTTGATCCAGCAAGAGATCTGGGGTGGTCCAGAACATGGTCCAGTTAGTATCAGGAATCTTGAAAGTCCCCCTGGATCGTTCAAAATACCACTTATTAACCGGGTTGTCCTTGCGACTGCGCCAACATACGCCGTTGGGGAAACATGTTCTCACCATGGCATTGAAGACGATATCTGCTACACCACCAGCACCTTGGCTTTTCTTGAGCACGGCAAACTTGTCGAGATAGGGGACCAGGCGGGAATGGTCATTATCCGAGGCGCCAGGAGGAGTTTCCCACGTGAGAATGGCGCCACCTTCATATTCGCCCGCGATGATTACTCCCGCAATTCGATCATTAACCCGTCTCAGGTATGCTTCCACATCGAGTTGACGGTTGAAGGAATCGTCCACCAGATAGGTGAGTCGTTTGAGATCGATGCGCGGATCAGTGAGTTTGAGTCGAGGCGTGCTTGTGGCCTTCCAGACTTGGGCATCCGGGTGGGGTAGAATGATCAATGGCATGCCTTTTTTTATAAAGGTTGACATGGTTGTGGAAGAGGAGGAGGTGTCTTGGGCGAGTCTTCCACTAGGGAGGGAGGACGAGTAGGCGGGCTTGTCGGTCAGTAGATTGTGAATGAGAGGGTTCTTTTGTCGTCTGGTGCCGACGGAGGATATTGCTTTGGTGGGCTCCTTGTCTATGTTGGCGGCTGCGGCTGGGGTAGTCAAGAGACCTGAAGAGGTATGAGGGAGTAATTGTAGAGCATCTCGGAACATGCGTAGGTTGCTCGCATGTCTCACCGAGACTTTGCCATCTGTTGAACTTCTCAGTTCCTCTTGCAAGGCAGAGTACTCTTGAGACAGGTTCACAAAGACATGTTTTTTGTCGATTGATTTGGTGCTTGGGATACAGCCTGTTTCATCCACAACGATGATACGGTCGACAGAGATGGGCTTCCATGTTGACTGGGCTTGCTGGTCAGGGGTAATGGCTCGGGGTTGGATATAACCCGAGAGTTCTCGAACCAGGGCAACGAGAGCCTGGTCGGCAGTTATGTTGATGGCCTGATGGGTTTGGTCTGAGTAAGCAATGGGCACAACAACGGGAATCCTCCCTCTTCTCAGCGGACGTGTCAGTAGCCTTCGCATGAAGACACGCGGCCGGCCATCCGACCCGAGGCTCAAGGCGTTATCAATGATCCTGGCACCAGATTGACTATAGCTCTCTATCGCAGAGACAAGTCTATCAGCTGCAGCTGAGACCTGTTGGCGGGTTGGGGGCTGGTTTGAAGTATCCGATTCGTCGACAACAACGCAGGGTGCCATGCTCAAACGAGACAAGGATGACAGAGTCCTAGCAATACCAGCAACAATGGAATCCGACATGGACGTGATGTTGCTGATTTTGATGAGGGCGACATGCAGAGTCTCCTGTTCTTCCAGAGCAAAATCGATGTTGTCCTGGTTGTGAGAGAAGATGGGACTTTCTTCAACTGCTCGTGCCCGGCCAAACAAGCCACCCAGGTTGACTTGGGTTTGGGCAGGGCGAGTAGCAGGGTTGGTAGGGGTGGCTGAGGGTACGATGGCTTTCTCTGGGTTCTTCAGCCGAGTGATGTAGGCTTTGGCATCTCTTTTCGTGGCAGCAGAACTGAGGAGGCTTGTGAAGAATTCTCTATTTTCCAATCTGAGTCTTTCTCTTTCAGCCGGCCAATTCCTTTGGTGGGGTGGCTCAATGGGATGGCGGGGATGGGATTCATGGTCAGGGCTCTGGGCTGATTGGGCTGAGTAGGTGCGTTTCTGAGAGAAAGTAGCGGGATGTGATTTCAAGAATGCCCTCAGAGCATCAGCAGCAATGTTGTGTGGGGGTGGGTGCTGGTGCTGCACACAAGCCCTTGCCAACGCGGCAGACATGATGGTGGTGAGGGTGGTTTGGCTTGAGTGTTCAAGAAGTAGAAGGAATGACTCATGACGAGGAAGTCACTGTGGTATGCATTAGTTTCAGGTCATGGTGAGGATTCTCGTGTATACAGCGGACATCGTCGAAGCGGCGGTGAGTAGGAGGGAAGAGAGAGCGAGAATTAGCATGAGAGAAAACAGAGAGACAACGAGTGACGTGGAAAGTTGGAGGTGAAAAAAAGTGACAGATTTTGGAAGCGAGAGATTCTGCCAGATGGAGTCATAAAGCCGTTGAACCAATGCCCGAGAGGAAAGATCTCACCGCCTAACCAACGATAAGGAGGGCCGAGGGGCGAGGAGGCCCTCGGGGCATTGGGGGACACCCGGGGCATCCTCATCAGCATGGGCTCGGGCCGATAAACGGGGGCTATTCAGTCCGGTGGGCCCCAACCAACAAGCCTCTGGGCTGCAAGCTTACTTAACGTTACTTATCATCACAACCCATTGGTCGCCCATACGTGGGAGGGGCAGCTGTTGATTAGACCCTATCAGGCGGGTACAACGTCAAACTCAACCCCGCGATAGAGATAACTAGGTACCCAGGGTACCTCAGCCTGGAAGGGAAATGGATCATTCCCTACATTGCCTCTATCAACGGTAAAAGCCCCTCTAGAGGCATCAACACAATGTCAGTCATGCAATCTCTGATGTACACAAAACAACTCCAAGGATTCTCCCACGTGTCTACCACATGTCCTGGAAGATTGAGGCATGCCCAACCACGGATGCCCTTCAGTGCCTCTTGTAGGCTCAAGGTTGTCTTGCCAAATCGTCCGGTGTCTGAGCCATCCATGCGATACTCACCGCCGAGCAGCCCCAGCAGCTTATCCTTCTCCTCAGACGAGAGCTTGTATACTTTGCCCCCAGCCATCTGTGCCTTGTCTGGGGCATTGCTGGGCGCATCCACCCCAGGTGCCAGTACAGCAGTGACCAGACTAGGATAGAGGTTGGAAAGATGGGACAATGCTCGCTGCACTCTAAGGTCCTGGTCTGGGGTGCTGAAAGTCGTGGAATCTGCCCCAAACACATCTCCTCCCGTGTCTACCGCGATGATCGTGTCGAGGGTTTGGTGCTGCGCCATTACGGCGCGGAACTGCTGCTCAAGCTGACTCCTCTCGTGTTCGTCAATGTCCTCGCCCTCCTCTCCCTGATCCAGCACAAGGTAAATATCCTTATGGTGACCAACGGGCACAGTCTCAAGGTCTCGACCTTCGCTGTATGTCTCTTTGGTGACTCGATATGTCCCTGGAACTGGGCTGTTGTTTAGCATCGCTTGCCCCCCATGTTGATGAATCTCTCGCCTGATACCCATCTTACTTCCTTTGGCACCCTGTGACCCAGTCCTCCAAGTCCGTGTCGACACCACAAGATTCATTTCTTTGCCACTGGCTCTTAGCAAATGACCCAAAAGACTGGCGCTAATAACGTCAGAACCACCACCGCCTCCAATCCCTGCATAATAACGGCCACTGCGAGTCTCGCCTGGAAGTAGCCCACCCAAAGAATCAAGCACAGGAAGATGGTCGAAACTCATTGGCACCACGAGCGTCCAGCTTGCTTCTAAAACCCCTCTCCTGCCCGCACTCTGTTGTAAAGTGACCTCACTATTGCAGTAATCATAGCCATCCACAATCTGCTGTGACAATCGGCTGACATCCATGACAGGATGGGTCAGTAATGCTTCATCATGAGGTTTCTTCCGCTGTGCCAATGACCGGTTCTTGCACACGAAAATATGACCAGCATCATAGACTCGAGCCATTGTAAACAACGCCTGTCCAACATCCATATTCCCAACTGTTTTAAGAAGCTGCTCATGACCTTCTAATTGACAGACTGGGTGTTGATTGGGCAAGACACTGTCGTCATACTCCCGACATACCTGACGCGCAAGAATCGTCCTCACATTCTGATGCAGATGTGACAAGGCTTTTTCAATCTGATCTTCAGATCGTTCAAGACCGTCCGCGAGCAGAGCTGCGACCGTCAATCCTGTTGACTCTGTCATTCTTTCCCAACTGCATCTTCCGGGGCGGGGGGCTCTTGGGAAGACCTCAAGGATATGTATATAACCTAGGAGGGTGAAGTGATTTCTTCGAGTCGACCTTTCGAAGGCTTCCTCGTTCCCAAGTAGCAGTATGCTCGCCCGTAGAGGGAAAACATACGGCGGTCCATAGATCTATATATGGCAGCGTTTGGGCCTCACCGTCGTTAAAGTGATTAAACGAGGATCTCCTGTAGCAGGTCATGTGTGGAGGCAAACGAGACTCGCTAGCCAGAGGAGTGCCGGTATATGAGCTAGAAGAATGCGAAATGCCATTTCAACCCTGTCCCGTGACATCCCTATTCCCTTGCTCGGCATGAAACACCTTATACTGCCTGTCCATCTCCGGCTTGACCACATTGATATTGACCTTGCCTACCTCCATCGCCTTGTAAAGCTCATTGGGATGGATCTTGCCTTCCCCTCCAAACAGTCCGAGGTCAACACGATGCCGGGACGAGTGTCGAAGGGCAAATACTGCACTGCTTCTCCCATTCGGATTCCCAACCACGCGATGGATACCAGTATTCATCGTCCTACTCGACAGCATTCCCAGCGTTTCACTCACCAGAACCGTAGCAGAGCTAGTGGTAGCGGGAGCATCGATCCAGACGGACCTACCATCCAGAGATTGATCTCTGTCCAGGACCTGTAGCCCATGGCTGTCTCCAATACACAGAGTCAAAAGCCCAAGATCTGTGTGCGCTTCTGCATGTCCCGATGAAGGCAGATAACGGAAGACGCGAAGAAGAGTATTTGTCATCTGCCGGTCAGAGTGTGGCATGCTCAGCGTGCCATCGAGGATATCGTCCCAAACCGAGACGTCCAGCTCGCTAGCTCGTGCCACATCACAGAGAATCCTATATAGAATCCTGGCACTTTCTTCCCAAACCACAGCTGTCATTTGCTCGAAGTGTGCCGACTTTGTTTCGTGCGCATCGCTGTGCACGTGCCGACGGAACGTCACGTACTCCTTTTCGCCTTCAACCTCGTAATAGCCATACTCGGTGCCCCGGCTTCGTGGGTACTCTTTTCTCTTGACATCGTTGCTCTGACTGAAGAAAGAAGTCGAATGCTGAAATAGTTTTGTGAGATTCACCCCGAGCTCGGTGGGTAGTTCGATTTTAATCCATCCCTGGTTCGCAAGATCCACGAGTTGGCTCTCCGTCAATAATGGCGGCGGTCCAGATGGCGGTAGGGCGATGCTACCTTCTTCTACCATCGGTGGTCAGGCTATCTTTGGGCATGCGGTACGTCTGGGTGGCCTTATGCACAGATAAAAGCGATACTTAGTCTTGTTTAGCTACAAAGGACCAGAATATTCCCACTGATGATGTTTGCCAACATTGGCGACGTCACTCAAAATTGTGGGGACCAGGGCAAGCGTAAGCACCCTAAGCCCTGAGCAAGTTAGTCGCCCAAGACTCTCTGCTCATTCGAGGACAGTAATATCGTCTCCTTCGTCCCGGGTTCGTCGAATCTACAGTGTCACTATGCAAACGAATTCCCTTGATCATGTGCGGACATTGTACATGCTAGGCCTCGTCCTGATATGCTATTGGAACGGATCACCCGCGCTGAGGGGCCCTTAGCCAGGCCCGCCGCCACGGTTTCACCTCCATGACCTCCCTCGGCCCCTCGGTTGTAGCTATTGATTGACCTACAATTAGCATGCAAACGCGTAAGTCGATCTCGTATCCCCTCAGAAGACCGGTAATACCCCATATACAACGTCTCCTCGGCCCCGGCCCAACCATACGTGCGGAGTGAGCTGCTGGTTCTCTCCCCCACAAACTCGCCTTGATGAGCTCTTGATCCTTCACCCGGATGAGAATCTGACGCGGGGAAACCCCACATCGGAAGTGACTTCATTTAGTGAAGACGTTCGCATTGAATGGGCCCATCGCTGCTGGAACCGTGTTTGTGATTGCTCAACGAGTCCAGGTCGTGGGGCTTAGGCCAACCCCGTTCTGCCGCTACAAGATATCTAGGTATCCCTCTTTTATCTTGGATAGTGAGATTCTTTGCAGCTGTCTATATAGTGCCCTAGTCAGATGAATCAGGGTCTAAACGCTTTATTCCAACTTTGGTCAAGCTCTGGATCAGCTTCGCAGGATGGCAGTCATAACCTCATCGAACACACTCAACTCGCTAGCCGAGCAGTTCCCTGTGACAAAGGGGCTTGTCCTCCTCGGCACCATTTCTATCTTGCTGCTTCTTGTGCAATTTGTTCGCAGCTCAAGTGCAATCCCCAAAGGCACATCTCTCCCACCAGGGCCCAAGGGTATGTGGTTGAACTAGTAGTGGCCTCCTTCAACCGTCGAGTTATCCTCCTGACCTAGAACAGGGTACCCAATCGTAGGAAATCTCCCTGACATTCCCGCAAAACACTCCTGGCTTCAGTTCAAAGCATGGGGAGACGAGTACGGACCGCTTTATCAGCTTCGCCTGGGAGGCAGTACACATGTTGTCATCTCCTCCGAGAAGATTGCAAACGACCTCCTCCGAGAGCGTGGTAATAATTACTCGTCCCGAGAGCAAAGTGTCATGGCAGCCGAGTTGCTGTCTGACAATCTCCGACCTCTCCTTCTGCCCTACAATGGTGCGTCATCTAAACCCACTAACCTGCTCCTGAGCTGTCTGTGGAGTGGTTTGTTAATTCCTCTATTCCCAGACCGATGGCGACGGGGTCGAAAGGTCATGCACCGACTCACAATGCCTGTGGCGGCGGCCTCGTACGAGCCGGCTCAGTCGCTAGAGTCGAAGCGTCTGCTCTTCAACCTCTTACAAGATCCCACACGTTATCAGGAAGCTTTTGAACAGTACTCAGGTGGATTGATGTTCAGGATTGGATATGGCAAGCCTATCATCACTGGAAACGAACTCCAGCTCAGGCGTGTTCTCGCTGTCACTCACAACCTCGAACGAATTGCGTCCCCCGGGGCTTATCTCGTTGACATAATACCCATATTGAAATATCTCCCCAGCTTCATGGCTCCATTCAAGAGAGAAGCGGCACGTCTGCATGCTGAGGAACTCAATCTATTCAAAGAATTGATACAAGACGTCCGAAATTCCATGGATCACAATGAGGAAATTCTCCCATCCTTTGCACAGACGTATTTGGAAGAACGAGAGAAAGCCCAACTCACCGATGACGAAGGTGCATACGTGATTGGGACGCTCTTCGAGGCCGGATCTGGCACAACCGCTGCTGCCATGATGAGCTTCTGTCTAGCCATGACGCTGTTCCCAGAGGCCCAGAGACCCATGTGGGAAGAAGTTGACCGAGTATGTGGAGATCGAATGCCGGAATTCGACGACATTCCCAACCTACCGACTGTACGTGCCACAGTGAAGGAAGTCCTGCGTTGGCGTCCCGTCACCGCCGGAGGCGTTCCACACCTCCTCACCTGCGACGACGTTTATCAAGGTTTCTTCCTGCGAAAAGGCACCATTGTCCACGCAAATCAATGGGCCATCCATCGCGAGCCGGCACTATACCCAGACCCAGAGCGTTTCAACCCGGATCGATGGCTTCGTCCAGAGTATCCCACCTATAAAGAGCCACTGTCCAAGTTTCCATCGCTACAGAATTACTCCTCCTTTGGCTTCGGGAGACGCATCTGCCCGGGTATGAATATTGCAGAGCGTTCGTTGTTCATCTTGACTGCCAGAATAGCCTGGGCGTTTGAGTTTTCTAGGAAATTGGATGCCAATGGCAACCAGATCCATGTACCTGACTATGACTACGTCGTTGGGTTCAACACCTGGCCGAACAAGTTTCCTTTTGAGTTGGACCCTCGCAGCGAGAAAAGAAAACAAATCGTGATCGATGCGTGGAAAGAAGCGGAGGATTCGGACCGATTGCGTAGACAGGTTGGATAAACCCATCGACAGCGGAATATAAGACACAGAGGCATATATATATATTTATATATAAATAGATGCAGTCTTTAATAATTCATGTAGCGGTCGCCAGAGCTGGTCTTCTTGTCTTCGCCACTAGCAGTAACACGTTAAGATGATGCCCAAAGTGACATCATCAGGGGTAGGACTTCTTTTGAATGTCGATAACCCCTAACCTCAATCAATGGAGTTATATTGTCTGCAGCGCAACCATGAAAGGAACACGACGTTCTAACAGGCATGACATACATAGAAGCTGTTGGCAATTATCTCTGAAATCGCTGGATGCCACCCTCGGTCCGCCAATAAGACTGTCCACATTACCCATCTAACGACTTGACTACATCATGACTCGGATCCATGACTCGCCAGAATTGCGCTTCCATTTTCCGGGCCCATACAAGTCCTCTCAATAGACAGATCGCAGCAAGGGGAGAGGGAGACCATCAAGGACTGATGATATGAAAATCTGCAACAGAGTGCCCCTTTTAAGGCAAGAAAACCTGTCTTGAGGGCTTACATAGACCAGGTATGTGACTAGTGCATTGGATGGCATCAATTTGTCGCTCCGTCCGTCTTTCTCATCTCGCATATGTAAAGTGCAAGCCTTGTCTGCCCTCCGCCTTCTGTTCTTGTATCAAATCCACAGGAAGAGTATCAACATCTTGGTCCAAGCCTCAGAGACGTCTCAGATCACATTACGAAGCCATGGAAGCCGTCAGAAACACCATTGCAGAGAACTTTGGTGGTGCCGCTCACGCGGTGGCTGGCAAGGACAGTCAATTCGATATCAGCAAAGACGTGCCGGACCTCAGCGGCAAAGTGGCTCTCATCACCGGAGGCAGCGAAGGGATTGGATACGCCACAGCATACACGCTCCTTAAAGCGAAAGCTGCCAAGGTCTTCATCATCTCTGTATCAGAGGAGACGATTGATGGCGCCATTGAGGAGATCAAAGAGCAGCTGGGCTCAAAGTATGCGGATCGGGTCGTCTGGCTACAATGCGACACTTCGGACCTAATTGCGATTGCTGAAACGGCAAAGAAGGTGCGGGATCAAACGGATCGCCTAGACATTCTGTGCCTCAACTCAGCTCGGGGGATCATGACCTACCAACTGACCGATTACGGGGTCGACCGGCATATGGCGGTCAATCATATCGGCCACGTCGTCTTGACATCGCATCTCCTTCCGTTGTTGAAGGAAACAAGCTCCAATGGTACGGTCAGAATACAGATCCAGGCCTCCAATGCACATCAGGCGGCGAGCAGTGAGACCAAGTTTGCCTCGTTGGACGAACTCAACACCGACCTGGGACCTCAGGAACAGTACGGTCGCTCCAAATTGGCTGGGATCTTGTACGCTCGCTACCTCACCACACACTTGAACAAGTCACATCCTAATATCCTCATTAATGCCACTCATCCGGGCTTCGTTGAGACCAAGATGTCGACCGAAGATATCCACGAGCCTTACCCAATCTTGGGTTATGCCATGGACGTGGGCATGAAACCTCTCAAGAAGGACATCTGGATGGGGTGTGTGTCGACTGTATTTGCCGCCACAGCTGTCACGAAGTCTGGCCTGTACATTTGCCCACCGGCGGTCGAGGAGCCTGGAAACAATCTCTCCCAGGACTCGGCAGTAGGAGAGCAATTGATGAAATTGACGAGGGAAATTGTCAAGGACAAATTTGGTGCGCAGAGTGTCGAAAAAGGGTGTCCGTTGAAAGATTACTAGAATTGTGGTAGCTTGTTCGGAACCTAGTGTACATATGTTAAGAATATAGGTAAAAATCTCGTACAGCCCTCCACTGCTGGTGTCTCTCCTGCGTCCCCATTCTCCTGGATCCTCTTCATTCGCTGGCTGGTAAAGCATGCCGTGAACAGGATCCGACCTGCGTCCCTTTTCGAGCATCATTGACGCCACCTCAAATCGGCCATGAATTTCATTGCAGCGTAATATGCAATATACACCATAGGAATTGGCGCGTGAATCCGCTCGCCATTCGGTCTTGCGGTGAGATTGTATGATAAGGAAGTTATCCTTCCGGCAACCCCTGTTTACTCGACAATCTTCTTGCGGCCCAGGTTCAAGCCAATACCATGGTTGTAAGTAAGAGTACCACCGATTTTTGCGCCGATGATCAGGAAAGGGAGAAGGACAGCGCTGATGATAAGGTTGGTCTGGGTTGGGACCTTGCCAACGTTGATCACACCCTCTTTGTCCTTTCGGAGATACCACGAGTAGATGTTGGCCACGAAAACCAAGTCATTGACTATGGCATGGGTGATGGTGGCCTTGATGCGGGGCACCATGGTAGATTTGGGCTTGCCACTTGCATCCTTCTCCCAGGGGCCTCCATTTTTCTTGATCATTCCCACGAGTTGGACGTTGCCAGACATGATGGCTGGGACGGTCGTGATGAGACCCGCGCAAAGGAGGAAATAGCCGAAACGGGTGATGTCAAGAAGAGTGGAGGGAGAGTTGAATCGGGAGGTGATGAATTCAGGCTGGATCCAGGTTGTGGTCAAGGCATACAGGATATCCAAACCCCAGGCCAAAATGTTGAAGGCAATGGGAAAATGGACGATGGCAGGGTGAGCAGGATGGCTGGAAGACAAGGATGTTAGTCATGATCAGCCCATAGATGATATTGCACAGTCGAGGCCACGTACTCTGTATTGAACTCTGGGACCGGCTCGCCAACCTTGTGGGCGAATTTGCCCTGAAGTTGAGTACTGTAGCCCATCTTGAAGATAAGTGTTGACACAAACACGCTCGATGGAGGATAAACAGTGAAAAAGGGAGAGGATGTAGAGAGAATGTAAGAAAAAGAACGTCTTGAAGGGTCAATAGGAGATGAATTAAAAGATTGGGCTGAGGAAAGAGCAAGTGCGACCGAGTGCAGGTGGTATAATTAGAAAGGAGTAGGAGCAGAAGCAGGAACAGGAGGACAATCCTCAGGTAATGAGGGATTGCTTGACGCGTGATTGGTGGACAAGCCTCAAGATGCGCGACGCGGACACGCTCCACCGGGTATGAGGGGCTGCCGTTGGGGGCGATTGGTGCCACGATTGGAGGCCGAGGGGCCCAGAGAGCCACTGGGGTTCGCCTAAAGCCACCAGATGAGACCAGATGAGACTAATTCGGACTCCGATGCAGTACAGAGGAAGCTGAGCAAATCACGTGGAAGACCAGAGAGCTGACACATGGAACTTCCCTAATAATGACGGTGTGGAAGGCGCCCCTGATGTCTCCCTGATGTCTCTCTCATCAACCAGTAGCAACTTCCAAAGGTGTAATCAAGCACGTGATATCGCACGTGATATCAGATTCAGGAGACTATACTAGATACTACTAACTCATGTATGTATTATCTCCTTCACAACTTCGCTCGACTCAATCCCTCAATCGCCTCTCTTGCTCCTCTTTCGCCAGATCGCACGGCTCCGTCCATGTATCCTTTCCACTCATACGCAGTTTCGGTCCCAATAAAGTGCACATGGCCATGAGTGCTTCTTAGTTCAGCATCATACTTGGTCATAACTCCTGGAGGTGATGCTGGGCAGGGACAACCTTGAGCCCATTGATCTCGGAACCACTCGTGTTCTGTCACCGCTATGGGTTCTGGCACATACACGTATCGACCAAACATTCGTCTGATGTGATCCACGATCGCCTGGAATCGATCTTGTTGGGACAATTTCGACACTTGGCGACCAAAGTCTCCATTCGTGAAGCATGTCAGCGAGAACTGTCCTTTCTCATCGTTGCTTGAGTCTCGGGTTGTGGTGATGGGGCCTTTGAATGACATGACGGCTCCTGCCAGGCCTGCCTTGCGCCACCAAGGCTCAGAGAATGACACCATAACCTTCAGCGTATATCCATGCACATTCTGTTTCCCAAGTTCCATCTTTGCTGGCGGCAAGGGAGGCTCGAAAGCGATTTCTTTATACAAAACCGTTGGCACCGAAACAATAACTCGCTTGCACCTAAAGTCGCCTCGACCTGCCGACACAATCAAACCCTCCTGGGATTGAGAAATGCGACGGACTGGTGAGCTGAGAACAACCGATCCAGTGTGCAACAGATCCGCAAGACCAAGTGACATGGATTGTGTGCCTGTATGCCAATCAGTAAGTGAGAGCCAGTCACAAATCTCCATCCCTCTTACCTCGAATAAATCTCAAGTATTGTCCTCCATGCTTGAAATCTGCTCGCATTTGCAGCAGTCCACCGGCACTCTTGCAATAGTTCATGAAATAAAGGGCACTGATTTCCGATGGCTCAAGGCCCAACAATGCTCTTGTCCACAATTTCACTGTTGCCATCGCTGTCTCTGATTGGGTGTGCGATTTTGCCCATTCCTCCAGTGTGATTGTGTCCAACTCACCCCCACTCGAAACCGGATTCCGTATGTCGATTTGCTGACAGACTTTCTCTGCTAGCTCACGGATAAACACGAGATTCTCTATACCGTTGGTCTCCGCCACTTTCTGATCTCGAAGTCAGCCAGGAGATTCCCAGACAGGTAGGTCAAATGTCATCCTCACCCCAGGGGTTCCGCCATAGTCGAATAAGCCAAGGCCGCCATCTAGGTCCTCTTGCACGATCTTGCCTACCGTGTTCTGCACAACCAACTCCAAACCCAGCGAAGTTGCCAACTCATAGATCTTACTCTGGTTTGTGTCGTTGATCCATGCAGCGCCAACATCAATAAATTTGCCCTGGCCAAGAGGATCAACTGAGTAAGTCTTTCCACCTACGCGGTCGCGAGCCTCGACCACGACACAGGAGAACCCGGCTCTCTGCACTTCGTACGCTGCCTTAAGCCCACTCAACCCGGCACCCACGACTACAACATCAACCGTTCGCTCGGGTTCCTGCCGAACTGCAGCATATGCTTCAATCTCGAACTTCATCTCGGGAGAGGCCAAGGCCGGGACTGGCACCAATGTCGTGGGCGGCCGATGCCCGTTCAGAAATGCCTGTAGATGCTTAGTATGTCGACGACGGTTCGGATCGTAGTCGACAATATAGTAAACTAATTTGTAGATATCCGTTATAGTCGCGCCCGCGGCTTCTAGTGCACGCCGGAGATTCTTGAGTGCCAGGATCACTTGTTCTTCCACATCCGTAGGAAAAACCCGGTTCTCGTCACACCCGACCTGTCCGGCTGTCGCTACTATGCGGCATGGTCCGTTCGTTGTGGACGCGTGCGAGTAGATCGGCCGCGAGTCGAAAAGCTGATAAGGGTCGATGGTCTGCACGCTTGGTGTCGCTTTGGCATATGGTGACATGACTATCTATCTCTTACAAAGATAAGTGATATACAACCAGATACAAGGTCTTACTCGGAAGTCTTCTGTGGCATCTCAGCCGTATAATTCCTATTCCTCTGGATCTTTGAATTCCACAAGAGAACTTGCATCGTTCAAGATATATCAAAAGCATCGGACATGGTCGTCTTGAGAAGACTCTCTGCTTGCTCGCATTCCCCGCTTGATCCAATCAGGGTCGTGGTTGTGTGCGGAGATGAACTCCTCGGTGCTCCCGCTTCGGCTACGCCGTCGACTTGTCTCCGCATTTGTGGATAAATACAGTATCCCCAGCATGTGAGTCCGGTTGAATTCTTGCAAAGGTTGTACGATAGGATTATTTGAGAATATCAAAGGCTCGAGAAAGCAACAGAAAGGAGACCATGGAGGTGAGGCCACCTCACATGGTATTTGCCACGGCGCTAACATGAAGAGGGCAATATCCTGGAGATTAATATTACTTAGAACCCAGATAATCGAGCCAGCAACGTTGATAAACGACCATGAAACCCCAGATGGCCTTTGGAGTCCTCCCCAACTACCTCGATTTCCCTAGGATGTTTGGTGTTGAGTATCATCGGCATCGGTGATATGACTCAAACCTTTGTGCTCACCAGCGATCAATGGTCGTTTGGAGAAGACATTACGCTCCCAGCCATCGAGCTCGCTCACTTGAACTTCGCGGACCAATTCGTACTTTCCGAATCTCGGCAGCAAAACTGCCCAGACGAGCCAGTAGACACCACCTGCGGCAATGATACCCCAGCCAACGATGCAGTGCAAGTAGTAAGGGAGGTCGTTGTAAACGCTCTGACCGTCATCAGGTGGCACAAACGGTGCAAAGACGAGGTAGAGGTTACTGACAAAGAACACCAGAGTGACGGGAATGGTCGCACGGAAGGGCGGGTTCCATTCCCAGCCACGTGGGTTCCAGTACAGATACAGCAGTCCACCAGCGACAAAGACATTGACCACCGACAGCGGGTATGTGATGACGTTGAGGATGAAGTTGTATGCGTCGCCCGGTGGTGGTGCCAGCATGATGATGATGGATACCAGCCAGTGCTCAAATAGACCAGCCAGCGGTGCGTTGAACGGTTTGTTGCTGGCCCAAAACCTGGAAAACGGCAAGATCCCTTCTCGTCCAAGCTCCTGTACAAGTCGTCCCTGGGAGAAGATGACGCTCAGAACATTGCCAAAGGCTGATAATGCCACAAACACCGACAGTGCTCTTTCGGCGGATTCTCCAAAGACGTTGCGGAAGAAATTGGCGGCAAGGATACGACCCGAGGTACGAATTTCTTCTTTGGAAACAGCTGCAAAGTAGGCAATCTGTTTATCATCATCAGTCAGTCGCCACTGGCACAAAGCATTTCTGGAATCTTACATTGACAAACATGTAAATGATGGAAATCGAGATAATGGCAGCTGGTGCAGCAATCTTCAGCGTTTTGACCGGATTTCTAGTCTCGCTCAAAGCATAGTTGGCATTGGTGTATCCAATGTATGACCATATGACATTGTAGATGGCATTGACAATACCATAGCTTGTTGATGTCAGTAAGAACTCAGATATGGCTGACTCGAATGCACTCACGCGCTGCCAGTGGTTCCTTCAAAGGCATTGCTGAAGTTGTCGGGCTTTGGCACTTTGAGAGCACCTCCTAATGCCGCCTGGCCAATCGAGACCACGTTAGATTCTGCATATCTCAAAGTCACAATGTGTACCGCGGAGAAGACTCACCCATCCAGATACCACAATCAAGAGCACGATCAGCAGCTTGATCACACCAAGCAAGTTCTGCAGTCGAAGGCCCCACTTGAGGGCCGTGCCATGAATGATGAAAGCCGTCGTCACACAAGCCAAACCAACTCCACGCTGGTTGAATCTGGTGACTTCGACACGGGCAGCATGCAGGATGTATTCACCGAAGACGACAGAGTTGGATCCTGCCCAACCAAGCAAGATAACATAACCAGTATAGAAACCCGTTGCCAGGAATTTGGGTCTGCGGTAGACGAATTCGAGATAATTCTTTTCTCCTCCGTTTTTGGGAATAGCTGTCCCAAACTCGAGATACACCGCCATGCCAGTGGCAGCAATGATCATGCCAATCACCCAAATGAATAGACTGAGGCCGACACTGCCAGAAAGGAGGAAGATGGTGCTGGGGGTTGCAAAGATACCAGTTCCCACGATCCGGTTGAATATCAAGAAGAATGCCGAAAATGTGCCAATCTGCCGCTTCTCCTGTGTGAGCTGATGGCGAAGAGCTTCAGGAGACCCTGGTAAAAATTTCAGTCAGAGGGTAACAAAGTGATATCTCCGCCTGATGTACCATCATTCTCAACCTCTCCAGAGCTCCGGTCGTGGGTCGATTTCTCAGACCATCGCGTCACCGGATTGTTGGTCGCGTACGAGCGAAGTTTACCGAAAGCCATCTATGGCACTTGTGACCCTTTTACAGCCTTTTCCAGAGCAATGAGAAGTAATGTATAGTTCCAAAGATGGAGTACATCAGCTGGCAGCCGGGGGTTCAAACATGATATATAGTCGCCATCACAAATCATGGTCATCAAGATTCGGCATCAGCCGAACAACCTGACCCTCACCTCATCCAGGGTAGTATTCCAGGGTTGAAAATTTGATGTCTCATGGCCACACCGAATTCACAGGGGTCACTATGAATGGCGGTTGAATGCAAGAGTGGAATAAGTAATACGACCGAGGACTAATGGGCGCCCTGATGGCTAGGCAGATGTAAACGTTGCACATCCTTGCTCATCCATGTTCAATAAGAGGCCTTTCTCGATCGCGCCATGCTTGGTGCAAATTCCTATGTTCACCACCATGTCCAAACCTCGTAAGGTTGCTTCGAGTGAGTAATGGAAACCTGAATGTGCCAAGGCTACCAGTCGCATCCGCCAGAATCACGCGGCCCTCGCCGCCACCGGTTCAGAGGACTGAAAAGGTGAGTGGATCATGGTCAGCCTTGCATTGACGACTACAGCCATGTGGAATTTCCGCTGACAACCGGGTGGTGGGCGACTGTGGGTGCAAATCAGGGGCGGCAAGTGGTGCTAAGAGCGATTGCGTGATTGACAGGGAACATGAGTTATGCGCATTTTAGAACGGTTTCTGTGTCTCGGCACCAAATTATCGCATGTAGAATTGTTGACAAGAAAAACTTGCCTTTGTCATTTTAGTAGCTTCAAAATTCTCTATGGAGTGATGATGATGTCGTAGGTGGCCACTCCAAATTCTCCCAGGCTCGCCAAAAATGATCCTGAAATACTTTCAAGGTTTGGCTCCTGTCGCGAAAGGGCGCTGCTGTGACTCCATGGATGCTCCATATCTGATCGGCGAATATCTGGATTTCTGTAGTGGAGCGTTACGTTCTGACTACAAGGTACTTTGGATGGTTTACATCTCCCTTCAAGTTTTCAGATCTGGTACGTGCATGAATGTTGAGTGGAGACGCCGTGTACATTTACTGGTATTTGATATTCGACCGATTGATGAACCAAGTTCCAAATAATCCAGATGCGTGTTCGTGAGCAACTTCGATTGTACCCAAAGTCAAGCTACGGATTCCACCGTCTCGGGATTAATGGCGTGATGCAGTAGTAAATTCAAGACTTTCTCGAGCATCAGTAGCAGTATCGTATCACGGAAGTTATTGAACGGGTGATAGGTGCGCAGTCGCAGGGAAGCTGCCATGTGGTCACACGAGTACTTGAGTAGTTTGGTGCTTGATACTTACAAAGCAGGTTTACCAGCATAAAAAGGCCAGGGGCATTAGCAGTAGGGAGTATGGTCAAAATCCACAAACCGAATACGATCTGGCACAGCCCTAGACTCCAGGAGAAGGGAGGTTCGTTGTTCACAGTCCATACCCCCAGTAGCAGGAAGTCTCGGCATATCCTTGCTGAAAGTAAGTCATTCGTCCCCAATACTAACACGAGACAAAGCCGCCAGATGCCTCACCAAGTAGTTGAGCTTGATGTATGGAGTGATGACTGGATTTGAGCTGCAGGATAGCCAACCAGACTCTGATGGCAAACAGAAGAAGCCTGATCATCACATATACGACTTCTTGGCTCCGAATGGTGTAATATGTCTTGGCTTGAGAAATTGACCTGCTTCGTACGGACAATCCGATACCACCTTGATCTGGGGAGGTCTAGCCGATAAAAGAAAAGAGACCAAATCCTCCATGAGGTGGAATCGTTAGTCGAGCGTTAGCCCCTATCGTCGAAATCTTGCTTCAAGTTTGAACTTTGATAGTATTTGAGACAGGCACAATCATATTTGATGGAGTGAGAACAGGAAGAGGTTCTAGACTAGAGATCAAAGATGAGGGAGAGGTAGCACAACAGCATGCTTATAGACAAGGAGAGAATGAACATGTATTGAAGAGGGGAACTTTGCACAAGGCTGTCAGTCCATATTTGGATGCTAAAGGAAAAAAGAAACTCCGAGGTTTTCCCGGAGCGGAATTTCTTCTCCCCGCATTTTGCATCAAAATATTGTCATCGCCTTGACTTCGGTGGCAGACAGTACAGTAGAACAACAATTTACCATCAATGGGTCTGGCTGCAGTCTACGGTCGAAGTTGAGCCATATGTCATCTCATCCAGGCAATCAAGGCAATCTAGTGTTTTCTTCCAGCCTCGCAAACACACCCTAAGAACGATGGCAGCATCACCAACGTCGAGTCTTGACTCTGTCCTGTCCACTTCTCTTACGCTTTGCGAACGCTTCATTTCGTCTCTCAGCCCTGATGGCCTGGCTGATTCGCCCGCTGAAGTCCCAGAGGCCCCTTCTCCACTACCCTTGTTAACAGCCGCGGCTACGGCTCTCCGCGCACAAGTCACCAAGATTTCACTGCTTGCAATTACAACCCCGTTCACTCCTTCCGCCCTCATCACCTGCATCCTCCCTTTGAACGAATCCATCCTGACATCATTGGTGACTGCGGCGCTTCTGATCACACCTCGAACATTTACTCTGGCCTACTCTTCCGACTGTCGTTACAGTGCTTCAGCTGCTCTGAAGGAATTGCAAGGACTCTTGCGTCTGGTTGACAAGCGTGGCCAAAACAAGGACCCGAAGACGGAGGTGTCAGAAAGCGAGAAGAAGAGCTTTACAGAGGCGACAGGTCGAGTGTGGGATTCCTGTGACAAGCTGAACGCTTTGGCTGCTGAGGATGTTCCAGGCTACGTTGTGCGCAAGACCAAACAGTGGCTTGAATTGATGAAGGACGCGGTCAAAGAGTTGGAAGAATGGGACCCCGAAGAGGAGTTCGACCAGGATGATCCCTTTGGGCAAGACTTTAGTGACGATGACACCCCCCCAGATTCGGAGGAGAAGAGTGACGAGAACGACAGAGCTGCTATTTCTGCTGGCGTCAAGGACCAAGCGTTGAAAGTCCTTAGCCGCATCCCACAGAGCATCCACGTGGTGATCAAACAGAGATTAGAAAATTCCAGACCCTCGCCAAGATTGTCGGCAGAAAAGGTTACTCAGCTGGGGACAATCATGACGCAAACCCGCCAGATATCCGAGTTGATTGACGAGTCAGCAGAAGGAATGTACCTAGGCGATCTCGAGCTGTGTTTGAAAAAGGCTGGCGAAGCTCGAGCTGTCACAATTCAAGTTGTGGAACTGGTTGTGCCCTCCGACTCGGACGAGGAAACCAAAGAGGACAAGTACATCAAGAGGGCATTGGAATGGATCCAACAGGTCGACACGCGAAGAGGGTCGTCTTCAGCAAAGGCGAGCAATGAAGGTGCAAAAACCTAGACCTAGAACTGATTGATTTCTATGATATGGTAAACGTTGGATACGTCAGACTGGTCGCGATCGGTCAGACAACCAGGTCTCTTTCTCGATCCTCAGCGATCTCTGGACCCAGAGCACAGTGATCCAAATCCAAATGCCAGCCCAAACATTTGGTGCACCCCAACCGACTCCATAGGCGATATCATCGGTAGTCAGCCAGATCGCCGCGATAATTGCAGCTCCGACAACGATGGCTGAAATGGACCAGAACCACAGCAGTTGCAACATCAATGCTCTGAACCTTGGCGATGCATTGTATCTTGCCATGGCTGCTTGTCGATAGCGTTTGCCTCCCCTGCCGTCAACAGCACAGATGTCTTCCATCATGGAAAACGTCAATGGGGGACATATCGAGTTCTTGACGTGAGAGCTGATTCTGAATCTCATTAGTCTCCAACCTCGTTGGGCAGCCACCCCATTGATGAGAAAGATGGCGCCAAAATTAATCATGCCGACCGGCATTGGTAGAGCCAGGGCTTTGACATTGGGGTAGTGTGGAATGCTGAAGATGATGAGGATAATGGTCATGACGGTGAGTGGCATTGCCATGACGTGTTGTGCACTGTCGAATCCCCATCGGGCAGCGCCATAAAGTGGTCGAAATTCGTCGGACTTTTGTACCAGGCGCCAACCTCTGATGCCGACCTCGTAACCGCTGACGAAACCAAACAAACTGGTGATGATGGCGAAATAAATACCTATTGCACAAGTCAGCTCGATACGAAGGGTTTTCCGGGGCCACGGATGTACATACCCGATCTGACATTGGTTCCTTGACTAAAACCGTAGTAGAAGGCAATCGGCACAAAACAACACTCAGCCAGACATAAAAAGGTAAATATAAAAAGAGCTCGTTTATGGTGTCTGAGGTTGAAGGGCAGTTCTGGTGGGCCCTGAAGATGACGACCGTCCCGTGCCGTGACCGAATTGAAGCGAGTGAGACTGGTTTCAGTTTCTGGGACGAGCGGAGTCGTAGTCAATGTCGTTATGTTGGAAGCCGTGTCAACACCACTAGGATCGGGGTTTGGAGGTGACAATAACGAGTCATTGACCTTTTTTTCTTGGTCAGAGAGGATGTCATGGCTTGCCTGAACTGATGACGGCCCTGGTTCATGCAGCGGCTTTTCATTCTGAACCTTTGTCGACATTCTGAGCTGCAATTGACGCGAGGTCAATGTCGAGCTAGATGCAAGTCGACATAAAACGAGCGACGACGACAATGAAAAAATGGACAACGATAGACAAGGTTTAATAGAGAACAGCTTTGCAATTCTTGGAAACAGCTGGAAATCTATGATGTTGGCGTTGTGACAGGTCACAGGCATTTGAGAGTTATGTCAGGTCTGGGCCGACGCAAATGCCGCATCTTGTCCACGTCTTGGTATCTTGGTATCTTGGTATCATGGCGCAGCATCAACTTCTTGTATGACTTTGTCCCGATTGGGAATAGAATTTGACGACGTCATGACTTGAGGACTTTCCAACCAATAGCAGCACTGGAGCGACCTCGCTTTCGGCCGTTTCAGCCACAGTTGCGCCACAGATCGGCAGTTCCTGTGTGGCATAAATCCAACGCCACAATTGATCCGCCGAATACCCAGATCTTCTGATCTTCATGTATAAGCAACATCCACCTAATCAGGATGCCACTTCCTAAGGGTTCACACTTATTGTGTTGCTGGCGTGAAATACAGTGAGCCAATGATCTTGGCCTTCTTTTCTCGTACATTTGATGACAACTCTCGGGAGGTGATTAATCCTCAACACGTCGTCTACTCCGTAAATGCCGGCTTTTCGCGGATGAATTATTTGTCCGTGCCGACTTTGGCCGAATGCTCGTGATTGGACAATTGGTCACGCCACTCGTCGTTGGCCTTTGACCCTGAGTCTGTTCTAGAACGAACCCTCGGTGCCCATGGTTCTCTCTTTTATATTGTTTGTTCGTCGTGTCGTCTTACCCAGAGGGATAACATCTAAGAAGAATTCATCTTCAAATCACCTGAGATATTGCTCTCTCCGTCGCTTCTTCTTATCTCGATGACTGTGCCTCTCCACTAATGTGTGTCGTCGCCATCACAAAAAAAAACAGGGGGATGATTGCCATGACAATTTCCATGATCTGGATGAAAGTAACGGCCATGGTGGTAATGATATGAGCCGCAATGATTAAGAACGCCCTCCCAATTTTGGATAAGATCATGCCGACATAACCTATTATGAACAAGGTGATTGCTATACTCATCCACGTAACGAAAGCTACCATAATGTCCGTCAGCCATCCACAAACATATTCGATTGTATAGTGGACCATGATACCAGTGATGCTCTGAAAAACCTGCTCTGAGAAGGCGTCGTAGAACTGATTTACAGGATGACTCATGGCTGATGCCTAGTTTTTTGGCCTTGTCGTGGAATTTGTTTCGGAAACAAGACCATCATCTGCTGTTAGGGTATTGTCCCATGTTGGTACGGTTGAGACAATGAGAAAGATAATCAGGACGAAGTCACACCCTGAAAAAAAGCTATTCACAGGTCACTAGTTACGCAAAAAGCCAACTTCAATCATTACTTGGATGTGACGTGGTGATATCATAGGTCAGTCACTCAACTTCAGCCTACATTATGAACACACATCACCATGTCAAAGCCTCTACTCATCATGTCCATGACTATCCTGCGAGGGAATTTCTAGTCTCCTAGACATACAAGCCATCATTGAGACCGTCGAGCCGCCTGCCTTCCATTCCTATCGACTGGCCTCTGAAACACCACCAGCTTTGTCTCTGCCTGATATTTCAATTGAAATACGAGCCCCCACCGATATCAAACATCTGACCAGTGATGAACCCTGCCTCAGGGCTGGCAATGTACATGATAGCATGAGCCACATCTTGTGGTAGACCCACCCTCTTGACACACTGCTGAGCCAGCATCTTTGCAAACAATGGCGCTGCGTGCTCGCTGCATTGCGTTCTCTCGGTCGCAATCAAGGTTGGAGACACGAAATTTGCTGTAACTCCCGGACCTGTTTCAGTCGCCAAAGCTCGCGTGAACGCTGCCACAGCTCCCTTGGATGCTGCATACACGACTAGACCCGGCTCAGGCTTGATGATGGTCTGGCTCGAAGTGTTGATGATTCTCCCATATCCTCGTTTTTGCATGTGCGGCAGTATTGCTTGAGTCAAGAAGAAGCAGCTGTCCATGTTGACCTGAAATATTTTGCGATACTCGGCCAAGTTGACTTGTAGCAGTGGCTTCGCGGGATATATGCCGGCTAGATGGGTGAGGATGTCCACCTTCCCTAACGTAGCGACAACTTCGTTGATGGTCTCATGGACCTGTTTCTCATCGGTAACGTCACAAATCCGATGTGACACGACTCCACCTTGAGCCAATAACAGCTGCTGAACCTTTTCGACTCCCTCTTTGTTGATGTCAACGAGCACGACGCTCGCCCCTTGCGCTGCAAACAACTGAGCTACCACTTGCCCTATACCCTGCGCCGCACCTGTGACAATGGCAACTTGATCTTTGAATTTCTTTGAATCTAACACCACCTGGGGCTCTGAAGACTGCGCTGGGTTCATTCTGGGCTTGCACTAGATTTTTACTGATCGCGATTTTCTTGCAGCGAAATATATCCCACTCTGGGCTAGAGAAGAATTACTTTGATATTATATATCAGCCCTAACATGCTGCAAGGTGCGTTGCGAGACAATTATCTCGATTTCAAGTGAGGGGTTTGCGCCTGCAAGGTTGATTGGATCTAGGATGTTTCCCCCTCTTTGGAACGGAGGTGGTATTTGGCGGCGTTCCGTATCTTTGAAGATCTCCTTCATAAAGCAGCGGATCACACTCAAGTCACCAATGGCTGAGATTCAGGCAAGTGGTCGATCGCGAGCTGGGTGGGTCCATCAGTATCGTACTGGGCTACTCCAGGTGCTATACAACCATCCATCGCTTGTCTCGTGTAGATTACTTGCCATCATATACTTTCAGACCTTGGCCTGACAGTCTCACTTCTGACACCGATCTGTTGCAGACCAACGACATTAGCTTGACAAGACACAACAAGAGCAGGACGGGGACAACTCACCAATCCAGATGAATACCTGGCAGATGCTCCGACATCTATACAGTGACCTCCAAGTCTTCTAATGAGCATCTTCCAGAGATACCCTGATTGTTCTACACGGAATCCTGCTCGCCCAAGTGAGTCGAATCGACGAAACTCGGCATCGACAAGTCGTCTTCTCCCAAGGTAACGTGGACAGCCGTATCACGACGATAGGCAATCCAATGACCTGCCGATCCGCATCTTCAATCGATGAGCTTTTGTTGTAAACGGAATCAGGCCATTTCCGGTAATGCTCCACGGGAAAGACAGGGGCCCGACCTCGCTGGACCATAGTCACCGCAGCTGGCTTTCGTGGCCAGACTTCATGAGAGCCGTGTTGTTGTCATGGTTCTCCAATGGGAGTCGTGCTCGCCAACGCCACCACAGGCAAGCTTGTGATAACGTTGATATTGGCGCGCCCAGCCAATCCGCACCCAGATCTTCTTAGAATGGATTGGCTTGTACAGCACAGCTTTAACACCCAAGGCGGAGACAAAAGCCACCGGGATGCCAGACGAGTTCCCAATGAGAGAATCCTTTGTAAGACGGGAGATTGTGGCAAGTCGTCCTTTCCATGCCAAAGTTGGGAATTGTTTTGATGGAGACCTACATATTGTATTATCATGAGTGTTGCCTTCGCAATCGACCATAGGGTATGGAGTACAGGGCTTCCACGTGCACCGTTAGCGGGTGATGTGCGAGCCTAGCTGATCCCCCGGTTTTTTTGCATGCGTCCTTTCTAAAGAGTGTATTGATCAGCTTTCCCTCTCCCTCTTCACCGCCGTGAGACCATAATTAACATCGAGCTGCCTGTCTCCCGGAGGGGGCACACGTAAACACATCTCGTCGCCATCAAACCACTCGGCTCGTTTTCCCGCTTTCAACATGATAGACCCACCCGCTAATAGCGACGCTGTCTGGAACTAACTTCGTGGCCTTGATATACTTGACATCGGACTCGACGGCGCTATCAACTTCGGGGAATGGGAGGAAGTCCAAGTTACGGGACTTTGCCTCGGCAGTAGCATCGGGGCTAGATCAACGTTATCAGGGGAACACGACCTCCTAAGGGTCCAAGGCTTCCCTACCCCAGATTTTTGTCGACAAGAGCATAAGCGTCCTCGTTTGTAAATGTCAACATGCCACATCCTGTATGCTTGACCAGAACAATCTCCTGAGTGCCCAGCAGCTGTTGAGAAATCACAATGCTTCGCAGTGCGTCCTGTGCGGATGCTCCGGCCTGCAGTTCTCGTCAGCCTCACCAAGCGGTAGGAACTTAGATGAACGAAGAATCGCCTTCTCCGAGTCCACGCACGTTACGGATCACATGGGCGTCCCCGAGCTCGATTCCAAATGCTTGTGCGGGATCAATACGTGCATCCATACAGGTCAGGACGAGATACTTCTTGGCTGGTGGGAGGGCAAGATGACCCTTGGTGAAACCAGACGAGTACTTCTCTGACGCTGCTTCGACATTTTTCTGGATCTCAGACATTCTTATTACTGCTCGGTTTCGAGACGTTGGATGGTCAGCGTGTGGTTAGGATAAAGTTTCTTCGAGGTAAGGCGTGAAATCGAGCAACAGGCAACGTTGTTCTTCTCCCTCCATTCCAAGAACTTGGACGAGAGGGGTCGAAATATAAGCGATTCCGACCGGAGCATCTCAATGCTGTATTAGTTTCTCACTCGATGGCGTGCTCAAACGATGGCGAGTGCGTAGTCCAACTGTGGCTAGACATGTTCGCCTATCAGAAAACCCACCTCCGAGTGGTTGGTCGCATGGGCCTCCCGATCAGGTGTGGGGTAATTTATGAGCAAGGCTTTAACGAACCACACGATCCCAGGTGTCTAGATGGTCACTTGGCCTTTGTGGGTTGAGATCTAATGCTTTTGGCCAGACTGAGAACGCGCGATCAACGATGTGGCTCCGCACATCGGAGTAAATTTTTCCAGACATTGGTTCCACGACACTGCCATAGCTCACAAGGGCTTTATTTACCGTCCCAAGCGATACATCCACGGACCATGTCGGTGGGAAAGAGATAAGAGGGAGGTCTTTGTCCCTATGTGGACCGCCTCTCATGTAGTAACCGCTCCCACCGTCGGGTATGTCAGCATTGGTAGAGCAGATGCTGCTACCAGATTGAACGCCATGAAAATTGCCATATGCGAGTATTCACATGTAGCTGAGCTCTAGCGTAAGCAGTACATTAGAGAGTTCCTGTCCATACTCACTGTTGTGGAATTATAACGATTGGTTGCTTGAGCATTATTCTCTCTTCCTACCAGCAACGCCGAGTGGCATGCTCGTCCATCACAAATCTCTCTGCTTGGAGGTATAGCTTGACAAAGATTTCGGATTTTAGCACCAATAAGCTCTTCCATGAAGGTTGCTCCAGTCGGCTGCTTAATTACCTCGATTCTCTGTATCGTCCTCGTCGAAGTTTTTCCTCACCCCTCGGAAAGTAAGCCCGCCAGTCGAGATTCTGACCAAAGGTGGCATGACTTTGTCAGGTTTGAAATTGCCCTCCGTTCGATCTTCGCCCTTCTCCGGCCAGAGGATCTGCTTATCAATAATAGCTTTGACCATGCTTCCAACGACCAGCAACCACACCACAACCAACAGGCATGTTAGGACGCAGCCGATAATTTTGAGAGCCTCAATCTCGAATGAATTTGCGATGGCAAATGTTGCGGCGGTAAGAGCTGTCTGAGGAAAGACGAAACTAAACCATGGCATGGAGAATGGCACACGGTGCTTCTCCCTGAGACAGACGATGTTGGATGCCAAGCTAACAAAGAAAAACCACCAGGCCAGCCCCCATACCCAAAGTGAGAACCAGCTGACGGAAACTCGTAAGATCTGAGCCGCAAGCTCGCCGGGCACCCCGATAAAGGTCGATCCAGGAGTTTTTGCAATGATGCCGGGTAGATTCATGACACAGTTGAGCATTCCACTGACCGTGAACGCCGAAGGGCCGACAGAGACAAACATGCCAGGTCGAAGGGACTCGACAGGAATCTTATGCGAGAAGAGTCGATATACATAGGCCGAATAGATGCTTAGAGAGACGAGGAAACCAATTCCTTGGAGTGTGCACCCACCAACAATGACCTGGATGGCTTGGCGAGGATCAGACAACTTTCCAGACAGTGCCCCAGCGTGAGTTCCAATGATGAGGAGGGGATAGGCTGGGAAGATCCAAATTGGAGTCATGCGATCGAGGGTGAACGATTGAGATGACCAGAGAGTCAGATAAACGGTTAGACTCAGGCAGAAGGAAAAAGCCACGTTGATCCAGTAAAGAACCAGCAATGTCTGGTTAAGCCATTCACCGGCACGACCGCTTCCAAATTCCGTCATGTCAATCAACAGTGTACCCCACGATACAGCAAAAGCTGGCACAAAGAGCGATTCAGTGGGATGAATCAGGCTTGCGAAGAACATGTGCGGATACATGATAAATCGGGTAAGCATCATTGCCCAGATGATGATATAGCACACCAGGGTGAGAAGGAAGAAGGTTGTTCCAATGGCGTGCTGTCCGTTGAACGGGTATGGGACTGGTGATAAATAGTCAGCAACCGTTTTCTTTGTTGTGCCGATGCCACTTTACCTGATCCTATGGCATTTGCAAGACCTCCAGTGGCCATAGTCAATGTGAACCATGCCCATGTTACGTGTTGAACCCGTTGGCCCCAGGTCAGGTTCTTGGGTTCATCGGAGTCTGGACTTTGGTTCAAGGGTGTCGACTGGTGGCGTCCATTGCTCTCATCGACGGATCGATCTCTCTGCTTCGGTGATAGGTCTCGGTCTGCATTTTCACCTCCGCTTGAATCCCATGTCCTTGTAGGCCTCTGCGACCGTGATGAACCGTCTAGTGAAGGCGGCTTTTCATGGATGGACGAGGACGTACGGGGATCCGGGGGCCCAAAAGGTTGATGATCGTGCATTCTCTTTCTTCGACTTCACCATGACATTAATGATCAAGCCTGCGACGTGGTGGGCATAATTCGACTCAAAAAAACAACAAACGTGTCTAGTTGCCCAATTCACCAAAGGTTGCACGTTTCCTGTAGCTGTAATTTGGCAGATTTTCCCACATTTATCCTTCAAAAACAAACCTCGTCATATCTCATGAGCCGAGCTTGACTATGCCCCACAATTCCCATCATCCACGCATCCTCACAACGCCAGGACCAACCGTTAGGCTTGCATTGGCTTACTTCACAGCTGGGCACCGAAATTATTCTTAGGTGAATTCCCTCAACATGACAAGGCATGCCGCTTTGCCGTGTCCGAGGCCAGCATTTAGTCCTGCATGGCTGACGCGGGGAGTGCGATCTTGGTATCCGCCATTGGCCCTTTTGAATGCGCGTACGATCCATGAGTGCCTCATTGAGTGGCAAACCTATAGACTACCTTACCCAGGAGCCACTGGCCCACATCTCGAGATCACGTACTCATTGCACCCCCGGGACCCCTCTTTCCCCTCCAAAAGAGGGGGCTCGGAAGGGCCCATCACGTGGCAAAAGTATATGAACATATTTTGTAAACACCATTTTGGCCCTCAAAATCATGCACGGGCCTGTGGTCTAGGGGTATGGCGTTCGCTTCGCATTATTTATTAACCTGCGAGTTTGTGAAAGGTCCGGGGTTCAAATCCCCGCTGGTCCAACTAGTCAATCGAGCCATCGATTTATTTTATTTTTGGTCGATTTCTCTGGTAGAGAACAATAAGCAAGGGTAACCGAGCGTCGAAATGCAAACTTGAGGAAGTCTCCCCGATGTTTTTTGCATTCATGATGAGTTGGGGGGAGCTGGTGGATTTTTTTTGCTGGTCGTTGTGGAACAGGCTAGGGACTCCTAGCTAACCGGAACCCCAAATTCTCGACGCTGTGTAGAGTAAACAAATATCTAACGTACCATTATGTTGTAAAAGAATGGCTTACGAGTAGTTGCCTCCGTGAAGTTCCGGTGTTTGAAGCAAGCTATGGCGAATTGTCAGCATTGTCAGAGCATGGGGTACGAGCCCTGTCAATGGTCCTGGACAGTTGAGAAAGCCTCTAGAAATGCATCCACATACTGTATGTCACCAACATGAAACGATACATCATTGCTCTGGAATCACTTATTCTCTTCCACGGCGTTCCAACCACCTGCATTCAATGTTTTCTGCTTTACTGATATCCCCCGTCTTATAGACCAGCTTTCTCGGGTACCGGCACAGATTTCTAGTCAATTGAACATCAATCTGCCGTCGTGGTCGCGGCAGCAAGTGTATCTGGCGGCTCACCCTGCTCGACCCATGAGATGGGAGCTTTCAAAGGGTCTGTGCTTAATTGACAATTATATGTCTTTACTTTTCCAACCGTACTATAACACACAACAAAGGTGAACGTGGGCTTTGATGGCTACGAATCAGGACGAATACCTCCAGTCCATGACATTTTCCAGACACTACCCATCCGAATAGTCGTCGATGATCGTTGTGTACCGTATCCAAACACAAAGGGCCACCCCCCATAGCAGTAGGATGAACGCGTATGCAACAACACAACCATCCACCCAGTAGATTATGCTCGTTTCAATATAGGTGGACAAATGACTCGGGTGATTGGCCTACAACCCTTGGGCGTCGTTTTTCTTCTCATTGGACAAAGATGGCTGTGAACAGCGAGATTTGGTGTACAAAGTTTGGCGACGTGGCTTGTATTAAGGACGAGCCTGGTCGAACCAGGATAGGGCTAATTCACTTGTTGCCTAAAGCCCGAGAATCTGCTATTGATCAACCACGTTCGTGAAAGGAAGCCCACACCACCGGCCATCAACCCACCGAACTAACTCGGACAAGGGAGGCTTAAATACCAAGTGAGAACTCAACACCGACATCGATATCCCGTGCCATCTTGACAATCTTTGAGAAGTCGACGGCCTTTTCGGCTGCCTCCTGCAAGTCTGTGATGGAGAAGATCTTCAAACCAGAGTTGTTCACCTGCTCATATGTTAGGAGATTGAAAAATGTAGGTGAGCTCTCAGATATGGACTTACCAACTCAGCAGCCTTTTCCATGTTTGTGCCTTGCAATCGGCAGACAATGGGTAACCGGATGTTCATTTGTTGAACGACGTTGATCAGACCTTGAGCGATGGCGTCGCATCGGACAATGCCACCGAAGATGTTGACAAAGACGGCAGTGACCTTCGGGTCGCTAGTGATCAACTCAAAGGCACTCTTGATGGCTTCGGGAGTAGCTCCACCACCGACATCGAGGAAGTTTGCTGGGGCACCACCGTTCAACTTGATGATGTCCATGGTAGCCATGGCCAGACCGGCACCGTTTACGAGACAGCCAATGTCACCGTCGAGCTTGATGAAGTTGAGGCCATATCTAAGTAGATGTGAGAATTGGAAAGAAGCAAACAAGGGTAATTGTGGTCTTACTCGGCGGCCTTGACTTCATCAGCATCTTCCTGCGAAGTGTCTCGCCAGCTGAAGACTTCCTTTTGTCTGAATTCGGCGTTGTCGTCGAAGCCCAACTTGGCATCCATGGCCAAGACTTGGTGATCGCTGGTCTCGCTGAGGGGGTTGATTTCGATCTGGGTAGCGTCCTTTTCTAAAAAGACCTTGTATAAGTTCTGGATGGCATTCTTGGCGTCCTCGATGCACTGCTCGCTGAAGCCAATTTCTGTGGCAATCTTTCTGGCAATGTCATCAGTGACACCCTGGTTGATATCAATGTTGGTGGTGATGATGGCATCGGGGCTCTCTTTGGCCACGGTTTCAATATCCATGCCACCTTGGGCGGAAGCAACAATGACGGGGGCTTGTGTGGATCGGTCCATGAGGATGGCTAGGTAGAATTCGCGACGAGCGAACTTGCGCTCACAGATGTATACCGAGTTGCAGATGCGGCCCCGGGCTCCGGTCTGTTTGGTGACGAGATTGTGACCGATCATTTGACTGGCAAACATCTTTGCTTCCGTTGGCCTATTGAGAGTCAGCGGCAAGGCTTAGGCATCAGGGAGAACAAGCCGACGCACGAATAGATGACACGGACACCACCTTTCAGGCCATTGTCAAAGGTACCCTTTCCTCGACCACCAGCAAGGACTTGGGCTTTGATGACCATATCATCTCCACCTGTGATTGTCAATGAATGTTCAACCGTCATCTTGTAATGTGCATACCGATTTTCTTTGCAATGGCCTCTGCCTCCTCAGGTGTCTTGGCCACCTCTCCGTTGGGAACTCCAATGCCATACTGCGAGATGATCAGATCATTGAGGGAATCGGATAGGATCGTAGAATGCGTACGGTCTTTAGCAGGTTTGCAGACAGATATTCATGAATACTCAGATTCCTCCGCTGCTGCTGTGTCTGAAGAAAAGAATTCCGTGTCACTGGAGCCTGTTTGTATGTAGAATCTGATCAGTATTCATGTTTACCTGTGTGGTCGGTCGTGGTTGGGGTTCCGTCGCGACAAACTTACCCTTGCGGCTTTGAGTGCCGGACCCAAGCTGCGACTTCCCAATCTATACATGATGCCCACGAGCCAGGAGAAATGTCCGCGGACGAGTGAAAGAATGAGAAGAGAGCGATGGGAGAGAAGGAACAGTTGTGGAATAGAATAGGAATCCGGATATCTTGAGGATTAAACAAATCCCAGGGCAGCCGCAGCTTCTCCGTTTCTTCTCCGTTTCGCGAGCTCGACAAAGCAAGCGCAGCCGGTGGAGCTGGTCTTGGTGAGCAATGAACATCCGCGGCTCCTGCCTTGACTTATGTGAATGCTCTATGATTGGCTCATCTCCTCATTTCTTGGCATACGTACGGGATCCCTTACGGAGGAGTAAGTAGCCCAATATCCTTAGCGGGTTTCAAAGTACGGAGGAGTATTTGGAACGTATCAACGTCTTTCAGATCAATTCCCCTGGCATTTCTGGTCTATCGCCATTGCGCATTCCATGCCTCCCAGTGATTCTTATGCGCTGGTGTTCTTGCCAATCCCCATCGCTGGACTTCTTTGATTTCATCCTGAATCGGGCCTTCTATGGGTCTCCATAACTCAAAGTCGATCACGGTGCTAAATAATCAATGGAGTTGTTCCATTCGAAACGAGGAAACTGACTCACCACGTCTTTGTTTCACGTTCCCAGAGGACATTGCGTAGGGCACAGTCTACTGGTTCTATGCCCAAGGAGTAAATCGATCTTTACCGACTGTCAGGCGTCATGTTCCGGGACTGACGGTATTTAGGTACGCACCTCAAAGCAATCAAAAACTTTCCTGTGATATCTTTGCGCTCGTCGTCCGGCATGCCCCAGAAGTACAGGTTGTGGAGCGAATCCCCAGGCATTTTGGTCATTACCGTGAACGTTAGATATCCACCTGGAAGTGGGCCATGGGGACCTTGCACCGCTTCTTTGTAATCAACTAGGTGAGGTGCATATGGGTTATTGATGTTTCGAAAAACCGACAAAGCCTTCAGTTCAGCTCGTGTGGTGTTACTGGACGTTGCCTCCGTAGTGGCCTCCGGGTTTGAATTTCGCTCCGGCACCCTGGTCTTCACGTCAATCATGTCGCCCATCAAGTGGGAAGCAGTGTTCGCCTTGACCTGGCTTTGATCTTGATGATATATTCCAGCGAATTCACCTCATCATCCTGGACCCGCTTGCATGTGAGGACAATCCGACCCTCCGCGGGGCTCCCATCGTGACAATGACGAAAAGTAGTGATGGGCTGTAAAAGTTCGTAGCTTACTCCTGGTGCAAACTCAATCGTCTTGGGCAGAAATGCTGGTAAATGGACATTGGCGTCTCCCATATCGTAGATGGTTCACTTGGTCAGTCAAATCACGTCATGAATGTAATTTTGATGTCCTTGAATCAGCCAGCATGGTCGAGGACGATATAAAAACGATAATTGTGGCGAGACTTTCTCTCCCGTCTGACTGTTGTGTTGAAAGCCATCTCCTTTGATGCGAATCGAGTGGGTAGTGGTTGGCCTCCTTGGATAAGCCACGAGTCATTGGGGCTGCAAGAGCACCAATCGGTCGATTCGTGCCTGCCTTCAACTCCGCATCGCCGTTCGCTCCTTCCCCTCACTCTACCAAACAAAAAAACCCAACACAATCCAAACACCAACACTAGCACTTTTGACATTCACCAATTTGTCCTTCAGCTCAGTCTTCCTCTCTTTAACAAGGAATACACAGAAGGGATGGCCGAAGCCTGATCCCCCACGTGATAATGGGCCCCACCGCCCCAAAGGCACCCAAGGTCAGCCCAAGCGACCTTGCGACGAATGAGGCTTTACTGGCATATGCCGATGCGTCGCGATTAGCAAGATCATGGCTTAGCGCAGGCTCAACAACGAGCGACCACCAAGGAACCGACCAAGAAGCAGAGCCACAAGAAGATGAAGCTCTCAATGGTCTAGAGAAGTTCACTCAAGAGGGATATTCAGACAAGTGAGTAGACTACTGACCTACAAGCTTCCACCAGTCGAAAGTCGAGTCTTTGAGGAATCTTGCTAACATGTCATTTCGTTCCTGCTATTTAGTGGCGGTGTAGGCTTTGTGGTGTCTCCGTCATCCGTCGCCAATGGCTCTACTGCTGGCACTGGCTCGACTGGCCATGACGCCGCAACATCATTTCTTCGAACTCAGATGCTTGGCAAGAGTTTCCGATCTCAACAGCAACGACAAGGCCACAATCCAAATTCCAGACAGCCAAAATGGAACCACCGGGGCAAAGGTGGTCAAATTGATGATGACGACGAAAGCGAATCGCGCTCTCACGTTGCAAAGTCAAAGCCGAGGCCACATCAAAGGCAGGAGGCACCCAACAAGGTCGTCAATCAGCATGCCGAATCCTCAAGCGATACAATTGCCAATCAATCCCACTCTAACCAATCAGACGAGTTGGGTGGAGGACCCTCGACCTCTGGTGTCAACTTGCCAGCTTCACCATCTACTACGCCGGTGTCCAGAAAGAGGGCCAAGGCAAGCTATCTCGACGAGATCCTTGCACAGCGAGCTGCGAAAAAGAACAAAAAGGCTAGTAAATCAAGTTGAAGCCTACACATACTTTCTCGCCTTGTCAAACGGAGAATACAGAATTCTACTCTGACGGGAAAGTAACAAACTCTCAAAGAGGAATTGATATTACGAGGCCTTGGATTCTTATATTAGCATCCACACACGATAGACCAGAGGATATCTGTGGGCGAAACACGGTCCGGGGAAAACCTGTCAACCGCACGCTCTATCTGATCTTGTTTGATCCTGGACACCATTGGAGCATCCGTGATGAATTCATCGCTCCCACGTACAATCCATGTCCTGATAATTCATTCCCTGCTCCAATTCCCAAGGGTATCAGAGAAGACATCCAGCGCCGTCAGCCCAATCCTGCACATTATTATCCTTCACCGAGCCAAATGGAGCCGTTTCAAGTCGTCTGCGAGCTCACAGCTCCAGCTTGCTCTCTCTTTCCCAGTCGGTGGATGCACCCATATGTGCATTGGGGACTGTAAACCAAACAAACCGACATGCCGCACCCTTGCAAAATCCGGTCCCTGTTTGAAAGGTCAAAATTCATGTCTACAACAAATCGGTCCACCCGTGTCGACCAAGAGATATGGGGGACTCCAGGACCAATATTTTCTTAAAAAGGAGATCGTGTCATTGAAGTCGTTTCCGTTTTCGGTCTTCGAGGGGACCATCATCTTCATTGTCCTGCTCGGCCGTTTCTGCTGGGTTTAATAAGGAATGTAAGGTGGCCATGCTGCCACGGCGGGTGTTAGGAGCGGAGTGGAGCTCAAAAGTGCTGCGGGGAAATCGACTTCCATTAGCAAAGGAAACATTCTCGACGCCGAGCCCTGCAGGGGGAAGGTCCGAGGGTGGTGGTGGGGAGGGATGGCGAGCCGCCACCGTCTGCCGACGAGGTCCATTGATCTCATACTGGGCTAGCTGGTCTCGAATCTGTTGGTCGCCCGAGTGGGGCGGATGCTGAGGTGACGACGGTTGCCACTGTACCGACGAGTGTCCCGACGCGTAGGGCGAACCGCCGTTGGGGTTTTGATTGGGAGCCCATCCGTGCTCTCGTATATCGGCCGATGTGTGTCTTCGAGCCAAACTGAGAGGCGGCGGGGTGGTGACCGAGGCCAGAGGATGCACACTCGTGGGCGGTTGGGGTGGCAGCGCTGGGCGGCTGAACCCGGGTGAGGCTTGAGGCAAACTGATAGAGCCATAACGACGAGGAGAGGAGAACTGGGGTGGAATTACAGGCACCGGAGGCCTGAGGCCAACATGTTGGGGCTCGATCTGGACAGAAGATCTCCGGCTATCGGCATAGTTATAACCCCGCGGTGAAAGTGGCGGCTCGAGGGCGGAACCGGCGGGAGGGTAATATGGTGGCCGGCCGTTTGTGGAGAGTGGGTCAGTGGGAGTATCGAGTCCACGTAGCTGTTCCAATTGTCGAGCGACATCCTTTTGCATCTGAGACGCTTCTGCGTAGACGGAACTTTCAGCCGAAGATAGGGTCTGAACAAGACCGGCAAGGTGCTGAATATGGAGATGACATCGACCCAGCATTTCCGACTGAGACTGGCAGCGTGTGCTCAACATGGCATTGACATCTTCCACACGCTGGACGCGGGCGTGAATATCGTAGAAGGCCTGTTCGAGGCCGCTCATGCGCTGGTCAGAATCCTGGGGTAGGATGTCGGCCGGAGTGCCGGGCTGGGAGGGGCCCGGTTTGGCGCCAGAGAAGGAGTCGCGATGAATCAAGGTATGTCTAGAGGCACGACGCTTAATGTCCCGTAAACCCATGAGATCGCCCTTTTTAAAGCTACCATTGCCGTGCTTGAATTCCCACAAGGCTGATTCCGGATTGCCGGTGTGGAAGACATCGCTGACTTTATGGAAGCCGTACATGTTGAGCTGACGCACAAATGAGGAGATGTTGGTGTGTTTAAAGTACTGGGCGAGAACTTTTGAGAATTCGCTGGAAGGCGACATGACAAAGCTCTCGTTGGTGTTGGACCAAGCAATGAGGTGTTTTATGGATCGATCTTCGAGCATGCTGTAGAGTTTGTGGATAAAGGCTGTCTGAACGACTTTGGGCCCTTGAGAGGCTCCAACGGCACCGGCGGTTGCAGCGTTGGAGGCTGACGGTGCGTTTGGATCTTTTCCTCCATTGGACATGGTATTGCCTGGTTCCATGTCAGGGCTTGTGCCCCCGTGGCCGCTGCCAGGAGGGCCCATGTTTTGGTTCGCTGGGGATGTGGCTTGCATTGAAGAGTCGTCATGCGACGAGATAGGCGATGTGTCCATGTTATTGCTGGTATTGGTATTGCCGTTGCTGCTGGCGTTGCTGTTACTACTGTTGCTAAGGCTGGGGTGTCCGTTCTGAGGAAGAACGGCCATGGAGCGCGAGCGCTGGGAGGGGTCAATTGGGGAGGATGAGCCAAAGGGATTTCTCAATGTCGACTGGAACATGGTACTCATGGCGGATTGGGGAGGTATTTAGTCTGCAGGGTTTATATCCAGATGTCGCAGGAAGTGAAAGGAATCGCCCACTACCTACGGAGTTTGTGAATCGCGATGAGGTTGTCGGTTGGGTCATGTAAAGGCTCGATACTCTCGGCGCAGAAGATGGGTCGCCCCACACATTGGTATTGTATCAGCAATCTGCCAGGACTGTCGTAAATGTGGAGGGGACCGGATGAGGATGAGACGAGGGGAGCGAACGAGGTAGAGTAATGGCGGCCGGCGGCTGAGCAACGAAGGACTCGGGTGCAAGGTAGGACTCGAGTGGAGGAGGGTGGTGGTATGCGAGAAAAAGAGGTAAAGGTGGTTTGGAGGTCGGAAAGGAAAGACTAGCTTTCGAGTATGGTGTCGGGAGGGAATGTCGTGGTGTCTCGGTGTCAGGTGTCGAGGAGTGCGCAAGAAGGGATGGAAAGGTGGTGGGCAAGGTGTGTGAGGTGTGCGAGGTGTGCGTATTGTGGAGGAGGCTGAAATGGAAATCTCAGGTCGCGCAGGAGGAGTGGTGTGGTGTAGTGGAGGGAGATATGGTAGGAGGAACAGACCCTAAGAGAAGAAGAGACGGCGAACAGTTCGAGATGAGTTCAAAAACCTGGGGGCGATGGATAAATGGCAGGACGGAAGCCCGAGGGACAATGTCAGTGCCAGTGCCAGTGCCAGTGCCAGAACCAGTGCCACAGATGAGTAAGTAGTGACAACGAATGAGGGCCGGCGCAGGACTTGAAAGACCTGGGCGAGAGGCGCGCCAAAGTCAAAGCCAAACAGGTGCAAGTTGCACCCGAGTACTAAGGACTAAAGGCAGGTGGCAGGTGGACGAGAGTTTGCGGCTCTGGGGAGAGAGGAGCGTCGTTAACGAATGACAAGCGATAGCACACGCGGGCCCGGGTTGTTCCAGAACAGAAAGGAGAAGGTGTGGTTTGGTGTGTGGTGGAAGCTCTGTTCCTCCAGAAGAATAAATGGGGGTTTGGGTTGGTCCGTGGGTAGGCAAAATACGAAGGTTTAAAATTGCAAGAGAATCCCCATCGATCGGACAAGAGGGATGGGAGAAGAGAGCACAGAGGACTAATCGTCGTGCGGAAGTCGTGCGGAGGGTTTATGTGTACATGATGGAGCAATGAGGAACGTGATAAAGAGGAGATAATTGACGTGGTGTGGTGGGTGGCCAGGACCGGAATTCCTGGACTAGGAGGGGGATCCAGGTGGATATTGGATATTCTCAGTGTTCACAAGGGACCAACACCGAAGGGCGGAAAGATGGCCAGATGGCTTGGAAGGAGGGGGTCAAGACTCAAAGGCCAAGAGGGGATCCTGGGGGGTAATTATTTCAGATTGGCGAGTGGCAGTAAAGCCATGAGAGGCCATGAGGAGCCATGATTTATGATCCATGGGGGAGTAGATTGTATTAGAGGCTCGATCAAAACATTTTACTGCGCGCAGAATGATGCCAGAGTTGACCAAATCTCGCCACGACCCAAATGAGTGCTTAAAATGACTGACTGAGGATTGATTCTGCAACCTCGAGTATCAGAGAATATCGAGAGTGTTAACTAGAGCCGGCACCCGGGGGACAGGGATCAAGCTTGGAAAAATATCAACAGCGCCCATACTAGTACCTACGAGTTTTTACTATTGTCCCCAAATCCCTCTTTGGTTAGAGCCGTAGAGGCCATAGCCCACCAAAACTCCCTTACTTATGCCTCCATACACCACCTACAGTAGATGCAAGACACCTTGAGTGCTAGTCAAACTGGCTGGAAGATTCCCCCCAGGTCCAACCAACCAAGTTAGGATTGAATCGGTGGACAACGAACAATAGACGGGGATTAGGCATCTGGACAAAATTAGGGGTGCTACCTACTGTGCCTTCGCATAGGCATACTCCGTGCCCAAGGGAACATCCCTGGGAGCTGGAGCTGGTTAGGCTCGCATTTATGATTTGATCATCGACCTGAAATGATGCGGAGCTGGCTCGCACGCGACGCGACACGCAGAGCAAGAGACCAAAGATAGACTTGGGGGAATTGGTTAAGATCCATGAATGGCCGCAACTCACAAGGGCATCTAAGTCCTAGAGTGCTGAGGATGCAGTACCCTCGGAATTGTAGATTGTGCAGATAACGAGTCTTCACTGGCTGATGACGGTGGCGGACGAGATCCTCCGCTGGGACATGTACGTAAACTCCATCGATTCCATCCTTGCACTTGCAGCTCCTGCCGATACCCAAGAAAGGCGCTCGGAGAGTCCGCAAGGCAATCATAAAAGTGCAACCGCCTATTGTTTCATCAATCGACATGGTCCATATGTGTAGACAGTTGCCGAGGGGCAGGACCCCCTTCCCTTTCGGCTCAACCCATGGGCTTGTTTCGAGGGTGGGTACAGCAATAACAATCGGAACTTGTAAAAGATGTTGAAGCCTGAAATCCCACACAAGGTCCTTGAACCCGCCAAGACGTACCCCTCGTCCGCCTTCGCTAAGTAGCGACCTACGAGTACATCGGTAGGTAACCTAAGCCTGACCCAAACACTGCCAGTCAAAGATTTGATCCTACCTGGAAGCCTCCAAAGGGCCAAGGTACCTTGGTATTAAATTGATCGGTGGCTAACTAAGGCGTCTCATTCGCTGATTAGCAAGTTATACCGATGAAGATCAGTCCATAGCCAGTATCAACGACGTCTCATTCAACTGACAAGGAAACAACTCGCAAATTGTACTTGGCCGCAGCCAAGAAGAAGCCTGGCTGGCGTTAGTTGGCGCGCTTCACCGCGAGTACATACAGCATGCGTAGGTGCCGATCAGGCCCATGCTTCAAGCATGGCAGGCATGGGTAAGGTACTGTTCAGGCACGTGGAAAGGTGCATGTTGCTACCTGTTTACAGTATAAGGTAGAGTTGCCAGTTGCAATAATTCGGCCCTCGGTCCACCATAATGGGCATGGTGGGCATGGGTGTCCCCCTCCCCTCATCCGAATCCTAGGGAACTCTAGGCCACAGGAGCGTCTGTGCGTCTGTGCCTTTGTGCCTATGCCTCGCCTTCTAGACTCTCTAGCATCTATGACCCATGACCATCCACGCCCCCGCCTTCATATACCTTGACACACGGATTTGTCCCCCTCCGACCATAGCCGGCATATTGCACAAGCTAAATAATGTTCAGTCTAGGTCTTCAACAGATTGAGTGGTCCAGCAAGAAACAGGGTCATTATTCGGTAGTCTGTCGTCTATCGGTTGGGTAAAGATGCCCTGTTCTTGGCCCTGTCCACCTATCGGAAACTGCCTCATGGGCTCTACCGAGTACGGGCGATCTGCAGCCAGAGAAAAGGATCCATTCATGACAACTCGTAAGCGAAGCAAAGTGCACTATCAACTCACCATCTGAAAATCGGGCCTCATGGTTGCACCAAGTTGATTCACCCAACCCCCAAATCTATTGGTAGCTGTTACACCGTGCCATTACTTCTACACTATGTCGGCAGTGGAGGTTCATCAGGCAGTTGACCCCAATGAGTTGTTCTAAAGGTAGGTAGGTAATTACCCAACTTTGCACAGTCTATTCTCTTCGAGCAGGTCCTAGACCCCGACTCCCTGCGCTGTAGCCCGAGGCGCCCCTCAGCCCACTATCAAGGTTGGGATGGTGGGAGCTTGTACCGCCTAAAAACCATGATTCATACCCCACCCATCCGAGGATAATCGACGCCATCTCTCCCCCCAGTCACCCCAAGCGCCCTGCCTCTACCACTCTATCAAGACACACGGGACTACTTTGCCCCGCCCGTTGTGATATCTGGCAGCATGTCCACTTGACTGTCACTAAGAAAGGAATAATCGACGGTACTGTAGATGCCAGGTGAACCAACCTGTAACAGTTCTATCGATGATGATTCCAGAGTTGAGTGGAAACCAGACAGACTACTGACTAGACTGTCATTGACGGATACCTGCTTGACCTTGATCTGCATTCCAGGCTTACAGTGGCTCCTTAACATCCCACGGGCATGGCCGACTCCCGTGGCATGGCGTGTCCCAAGGGAGCGGTTTTGAACAATGACTGGTCATCCCCTTTCCACATAAATCCATGTCCATGCACGTCAAATCACGTCCTCTCCTTGAACACGAGCATCAACATCGCCAAGTGACACTCCAGAAGAACCTCGTGCTGGACTAATATTCAAGTCGTGTATTCTACATCGTGACTCAAGAATTGAATCCCCGCTGAACCCGAATTTTGCATTGGCTCGTTATCCACCACCAGACGGGGTTCAAATCGGAGGGGGACCTTAGACGTCGTACTCTGCCAATGACAATTACGTGCCTTGAAATCTTCACCCCATTGGATCCTCCATCTCTGATCAAAGCTTTCTGTTGACAATTCTTTACGCCCCGTTGGGTTTCCAACATGTCTAATCATTGATTCTGTCCTACCTTTGTGTCACCAGTACCATCTTGAACACCCGTGACAGCACTCAACCATGATTTGCTCATTGCCTGATGTCGGAAAGCAATGTACGTGATCCTTTCGGCCACCGTCCAGTTGCGTGTAGGTTGTCGCAATGCTCCTTCCATCTTATTGAATCGGTCTGTTTTGGCTCGGACGTGCCTTCTCCTTCAGGCTGTTGCCTGTTCCTCCGTCCGACACCTTCGTGATCTTTTCGTAACCCTCTCTTGAGTTGCTTGCCCGTCAACGATGTATTGATGAACCATCTGGCAACGTCTTCCCACCAGCAACGGACTACGAAATCCATTTTCGCATCACCATTTCCTGACCGCCACTTCTCTTGGCTGTTTGCGACTGCGATATCGAAAATTCAGAATGCCGTCACTCAGTCTGCCATGTCAGTAATCGAATCCGGACGAGCATGTCAATATCTGACAATGTCTCGAACCATAATGGCATGTGAGAATGATTTCTATCATAAGTTGGTTTGATCCTAATACGGGAATTCTGGTCCGAAATCCCGTGACCCCGCATCCACTACAACGTTCTCGGTAAACCTGCCGCTCTTAGTTTCCGATTGTCCCACTCAATTTTCCGTCTCCAAATCTTTTTTGGAACATCATTCCAAGCGCAGTGGATTTTCTTTGGCGACAACTCAACACCGCCCTTTCCACTGAGACAGTTACTTAGTCCCTGTCACTCGCTCACCCGCAAACTGTCCGCTGGTATAACGACACTTCAAGAGCACCCTTGCCAACATGTCCGCTGCAGCAGCGGCTCGACGCCACAATCCCCTCGAACATGACATTTCCACCGCCGGTGGCCGTCTCCGGACAAAGTCAGTTACCGGCAAGAGGAAGTCAAGATCTGACGACACTTCCAGCCGCGGAGATAACTACATCGATGCTAGGTCCTCGAGAAAAATCCTAGCAATTGCCCAAGACCTCGCAGACGAAGAAGCCGCCGATCAACGTACTGCAAAAGCCGTTCCCTCCCCGCACGCCGCTTTCGGTTTTGATTCCAGATTTGCTGGAGATCACCAAGACGATGATCAAGATCATTACGCCGAAGAAGATGACTGGGCCCCCGACCAAGAGGAAGAGATTGTCATTGACGAAGACATGGACCCTGAGGAATTGGCTGTCTACAAGAAATTCCTTAACCAAGGAGAAGATCTCGCCGATTTTGCTCCCAGTCTTGCAAATCTTTCCACCGGCCCTCGATCTCATGATCTTGACGCTACAACGTCACCTGATCTTGACAACGCCGAGGGACAGCCGACCAACCTCACAGAATTGATCCTCCAAAGGATCGCCGAGAAAGAGGCCCTCGACGCCGCCCGCTCCCAAGGACGAGAGCCAGCCTTCGTCCCACCTCCAGATGCCGTGGAAATCCCCGCAAGAGTCGCTGAGACCTTCACCAAAGTCGGTCAGCTGCTTTCTCGATACAAGTCTGGCCCATTGCCCAAACCATTCAAGGTCTTACCTACCCTTCCACAATGGCCTGACCTCCTGTCCATCACCCGACCAGATAGCTGGACCCCCCATGCTGTTTACCGTGCCACCAAAATCTTCATTTCTGCGCCTGCAGCCACCGGTCAATATTTCTGCAACGAAGTCTTGCTCGAGAGAGTACGTGAAGATATTCAAGAGACCAAGAAACTAAACGTCCACCTCTACAATGCCTTGAAGGCCACCTTCTATCGACCCAGTGCCTTTTTCAAAGGGTTTCTCTTCCCACTGGTGGAATCGAGTTGTACCCTTCGCGAAGCACACATCATCTCCAGTGTTCTCGCCAAGATCAAGATCCCTGTCCTTCATTCCGCTGCCGCCTTGCTTCGCCTGTGCGAGATATGTGCAGAACAGACTAGTAACATCAATAGTGAAGCTGCGGGGTCCACCAATATCTTCATTCGCATTCTGCTGGGTAAGAAGTACGCATTGCCCTACAAGGTCGTCGATGCTCTCGTGTTCCACTTTCTACGATTCCGTGCTTCCAAGGATCCTAACAACGGCGACGACATGCCTGGTCTGGGCAGTAAAGAGGCTAAATTACCCGTGTTGTGGCATCAGAGTCTCTTGATCTTCGCACAGACGTATCGAAATGAAATCACAGAAGACCAGAGAGAGGCCCTTTTGGATCTTTTGCTGGTTCGAGGTCATAAAGAGATTGGCCCAGAGGTCAGGAGAGAATTGCTGGCCGGTCGGAATCGGTCGGGCCTAGGGCCAACCGGGGAGGATGGCATGGTCTTAGATAGACCTCCCACGCCTCAAGATACCAGAGACGACGGTGATGATACTATGGATGTGATCCAATAACCAACCTGGAATAGAGTATCTTGTTTGGAAGTCTAGCGATGAATAATGATTGAATGAAGGCACTTGTCACCCAAAGTCATTGCACATATTGCAACGTTTCCCTGTCTCTGTTTTTGCATGTCTCTATAATCGTTACTATCATTTATGTGTGCGCATACCAGGACTCGTATCAACACAATCGCATCGCACTTTCATCTCAAGATCTCCCACCAACTCAATGGGTCGAGTTCCAGGGTATAATCATCGAGAAGAGCATATTCTGCATGCGGCACGTCCTTCTCCTTTTCTGCCACCTCCACAACCGGTATACCAGTCTCAACACCTCCATCGACACGACCGACCGACCCCTCCCTCGAATTCCGCTCCAGGATCCCCGACCACTTCTCTCTAGCCGCTCGATCGACTCCCTCTGAGCCTAGAACTCGAGGGTGTAGACTCGACTCCTTGAGTGCTGCATGTGTCACCATCCTAGCCATTCCGACCAACTTTAGTGCTCCGCCATCGATGCGCCTGACGATAAGAGTGTGGGCCAGACCTTCAAACTGGCAGATCAGATCCCCGACTTTGGTTTGGCTACAGGCCAACCCGATTCGAGCTGGATCACAGCCTTTGCCAGGTCGTGATTCGATGATCACTTTCGGTGTGCCAAACGGTTGCGGGTCCTGGGTCACATGGGTTTGTTTGTCGTGTCGACATTGTTGAATATATTCAATGGGGATTATGGGGAGACTTGGCGAAGAAGTGGTCGTGGTAGGAATGTTATACAGCGCTTTCAGACTCTCCGTTGCATGTTCTGCCACCCAGACAACATTATCGATCATGTCCGACGGTAGATCCGCCCGTACCACGGTAGTCGGGACGCGGCTAATCGGAGGACTCAAACCTACCATGTCGGCGGTATCCAAAGGAGTCGTCGACCTAGGACTTCGCCCTGGTGCTGTTAACCCACCGCCAACCGCTCCAGACGTCGATGTCGATGTCGATGACGACGACAGACGACTCCCTAGAGGTTTGCGTCTTCGTACCTCGTGTCCCACGTACCGACTCCAGTCTACTTGCTCGAGTCGCTGCCGTAGGTCGCGGATGCTGGTCCAGCTGGGTAGAACCTCGGAGATGACGTTGATGTAGTCTGGTTTTAGCGGGAGCATGTACGGAGACAGCCTGGCGTTCAAAGCCAGCGGCGAGCTGGGGTTTGGTGGATTTGTTGCAATGTAGTTGATGTAGGATGTGATGTCGCCTTGCACTAATCCCAGTGATCTTTGAGCTAGAGCGATGGCTAATAATGGAGAACGGTCGCGTCCTAAGGCGGCCTGGGCGAGGAACTTGGATACCTCGAGATAGACCTGGACAATATGTTTGGAGTAATCCGGTCGAAGAGCAGGAACCAGTGATGATGATGATGAAGATGAAGATGATGACGGTAACGTATGATCTTGCTGGCTCTGTTCCGTCGGCGCAACGCAATCGTCAGCAATTCCCAGGATTCCATAAATTTTATCTCTCCGCTCGGTGCACTTTGAGTCGTGGAACTCGGTAATCAATTCCTCCAATGTGCAAGTGGTGTGGAAAATTCGACGGGTCGTTAACCTCACCGGCAGACTCTGCATGACTTGAAGGACGAGAACGGGAATCACACATGAGGACATGGTTTGCAGCTCGCGAATCGCTCGCATCACGCTTTCAAAGTGCTGCCATTCAAGCCGGGCCATCCCACACCATACCTCGATCTGACTGGCCTGCAGGAACTCCTGGATGATCCATGTCCGCGTCCAGTATGTGGCTCGACATAATTCAAGGAGGTTGGTCCATCGGCTGGCGGTTGCATCGTTGATATATCGATCTCGAAACCATGTTAGATTAGTAGTGTTGCTGTTACGTCCATCGCCTCCTTGCTTTTTGGTAGTATTGTTCGATTTAGTTGTAGTTTTATTTGATCCCTGACCAGCACCGCTGGTAGTTGAAAGAGCCATTTCATGGATGAACTCGAGAGCCCGTGCCTGTCTGCGGTCATCGCTAGGTAGGCCAAGCCAGACGATGACAAGCGAAGCGCCTTGATAGATACTTCCCATGAGGTTGACATGAAAATTGCGCTCGTCTAGGTTCTTCTGGTCGATGCACAAGGCATCAATCCATAGAAATCGACTCTCTCCTTGCTGTCTCAAATGCCACAATAATTTCCATAGGTTCTGGCGAACAGCAAATGGCCGTCCATTGACTCGCACCACTCGGCCAGCATCCTCGGAACTGCCCCATGTATACGACACTGCAATGTAGGCCGGTCGTCGTGAGATGGCGTACTGTGTGATCCGGAGTGAAATTACGTCGTTGCTGTTGAGTTTGGTGTTGGTTGCGGTGCCTTGGATTTGAATTAATCGCATGAACCCACCCGCTAATTTGAGCCGCTCATGTCGATATTCATCCATGCTGCCGGTTCACCCCGCCATGGGCTGGCGTGGGGTGTAGAAGTAGACGTTGATCACGATTGTTGCCAGTGCACCGTCGTCCCTGGGGAGCCTCCCTTTATACGTATCCAGGGGCTCTCGAATCTATCACCGCAAGCTCACAACCCAACGAAGGTCCGGGGATTGAACGCCGTGATCAAATGTTAGATGTCGATATCATCTGCCGAACAAGAGATATCAAGCAATTGAAAAATTGAACGTTCTTTGACAACTTTCATGAAGATATTTTTAGCCCAAATGAGGATTCCCAACATACAAGGTAGCCGAAGGGGCCGCTTTTGCAGGTGAATGGAAACAAGTAATAACCTAATAGGATTGGTTCAGGACCTTTTTGGGGGCGGTTTTCCAGCAAGTAGCAATGACCTGACTCGAGATCGACGGAGCCGTGAAAATAGACCCGGGTAACCATGATCTGAAAATTCGATATCAACAGTATTGATGTCCATGTGTATTGTACAGCATATAGGGGTTTAGTAAGCTGTCCCTAAGTAGTTCGTACGACACCATCGTCCAGCCTCGAGTTTCTCTGATAGGTCGGAATGGCTGGTCAGAATGGCTGAAACAGTCCTAGAGTAAATTGGAGTAAAAGTGGTAAAGGCAATTTTGTATCCACATGGCGGATTGGATCAGGAGTTGATGGTAAAGATGTGCAAGGAACAAGCATTCTAGTATTCGAAGGAAGTCTCTTCTCGTGGAATGGACGTTTGATTGTGCTAGAGTCAACCAAGGGACTCACTTTTACCTACACTGAGCGGATGTTCGTGATCTATTCAAATTCTCTATGTTGAATATCTTTCATTGTGGCATTAGGTTCGAAACCACACGTTCGTGAGCATTAGTTTCTAATCATGCATGACTGTGGTATCTGTTGTACAAGTGGTGTCCATCTAGCGACCTATACTCCTTGATCGGTGCCGAAAAGTGGCTTGGGATATCTTGGGGTAATAATCATCATGATAAATTTGCCATGAGATGCGGATTTCACAATCTGACCGCCAAAGTCTTAGGCTTGTCAGTTGCAACAACCACATTGCTGTCAAAGTCGCTCGTTGCTCTGCTCTAGGTATGCCATAGCCGCGCGTCGAGAACGAGAGGCCGGGTCACAGGCACCAGCCGAAACATATGACAATGGCCCTGGTAACAGACATATACTGTGGAAAAATTCTTGATGGAAAGTCGCTTTCATCTTGTGAGATATCATAAGCTCGATCGTATCACAAGGTCCACAGTTCGAATCCACGCGTCCTCCAACGATAGTATTGGATCATGGGTCATTCAAGTATCGGGTCGCCAGACCTGATCCGTATGTCATGACAGTGTTGGGAAAGTCGTTGAAACATCACATCGGCTTGACTTTGTTACTGTTGGTCACAGGGCGAGCTTGATGAAATTGACTGAGGAGGCCCTTGGCCACATAAATGACCTCGTTGTCGTCTCCGTACTGTGCAATCACTTGTATGCTAGTAGCGAGTTCGGGTTTCCAGGGGTAGTCTGGGTGAATTGGTCCTGGAGTGGAGATGGAGGGTAGGCCTGCTAGACTTGCTGGAACGGTGAAAACATCATTCATGTATGACTCTGTCGGGTTGCTTGAATCGAGGTATTTGACGTGGGGTGGTGGAGTCGGTGCGGTGGGACATACAATGAGGTCTACACCATTTTCGACGCCAACAGAATTGTTTCGGAGCGGATTGGGCATTCGAAAGACCGAGTCAAAGTCGTTCTGGACCATACGACGAATCTTTTGAGCTTTGATGAAATAGTTGTCCATTGCTCCGGCGCTCAAACTGTAGGTTCCGAGAAGGATGCGCCTTCTCACCTCAGGCCCAAAGTAGTCGTAGCGATGCGCGGCATAAAGGGTGTTGTCATCTTCGGCCGAAGGTGACGTACGTTTCTGGCCGTATCTGACACCATCGTATTTGGCCAGGTTGGAGGATGCTTCGGCGGTGGCGAGGATATAATACGCCGAGAGGGCATGTCTTGTGGAGGGGAGAGAGATGGGGACGATTTCGTGCCCACGCGACTGCAAAAAGCTCAGGGTCGCAGTCCATGCCCAACGAACCATTGGATGCATTTCGGCAATGTTGTACTCTAATGGAATGCCTATTCGCCTTCCTTTGGACTTTAGTACCGGATTCCCTTTCCATCTACCGAGGTTTCGCAACGGTCTCAGAGTCTTCGGAGATACGTATGTGATCAAACTTCCTTGAACTTTCGACCGACGCTGATTCTTAACCTCCATAATTCTTCGACGCGTATCGTCGTTCAAACATGTAGGATCAAGAGGATCAGGAGAGTCAAGAATGTCTATGGGATTTAGCCAATGATCAAGAAAGGGTTGTGGAGAGAGTCTGGAACGTACCGTACATGAGATGGACGTCCTTTGCACTGCGGGCGATGATACCAACTGTGTCGAGAGAATTGGCATATGGGATCACGCCATAACGAGATATCCTTCCATAAGAGGGTTTGAATCCGACCAAAGCCATATAGGCAGCGGGGAGTCTGACAGAACCACCCGTGTCTGTCCCAATGCCGTAATGGGCCATGTACTCGGAGACGACCACAGCGCTTCCACCTGAACTTCCACCGACAGATAGCGCATCGCGATCAATTCCATTTGACATGCGTCCAAAGGCAGAATTGAGGGAGTGAGAGCCCATGCCAAACTCGTCCATGTTTGTTTTGGAAAGGAGGACCAAACCTGCCCTTTCGAGCCGCCTTGTGACAGTGGCATTTTGGTGAGGCTGGAAGGTACGCAAAATGTTGGACGCAGCGGTAGTGGGTAGACGGTTGGTATTGATATTGTCCTTGACAGCTACCGTGTAGCCCTCATTAGCAGAAAGTAGTTTGTCTTTGTAGAATCAAGTTAGTCGAAGGGACAGGTTGTGTAAGGTCATGGGTTGTGGGACATCTCACCGAAATTTTGCCAGTCTCTTGTGCTTCTATGGAGGGATTGAGCGGTTCGTCCACGAGTCAATAACTCCTTCTGCGCGGAGAGGATTTCGCTGATGGTGGAAATATTGGGATTTCCATAGTGTTCGTTGACTTGAGAACGGTTGAGGATTTTCTCAAGCTGTTTAACTAGTTGGACCTGCCTGAAGTTGCGGTGACCCCGGCCGATCCTCATCAGCAAAGACTATCGCCTGAGGCAGATGTTGGAAGCAACGAGAGAGGTGGTCTGGCCCACAGGGCTTGTGAAGATGGGCGCAGTCTGGTCATCCGACCAGAATGTCATAGGAATGAGGATGTAATTGGAGATTTGAGATCACGTGAAAAATTGAGATAAGATAAGATCTCACCGCTGAAGTCGAACATTTAAACTGCTTCTATTTGCTGTTTACTCCGCAGTATATCTTTACGAGCATATGATTGAACGTAGAAAGCCGCTACCCACTAGTGCCACTAAACATCGGAGTAGTCGTGCTAGTGCAAGCATGACATAATTCTCCAAGAAATGTGCAACTCTCCTCTTGGACGGCAGATAAATGGAACGAGTCTTTGGGCTGCAATTATCTTGTCTGCATTACTATTCTTTGACATTAATGATTCCCCCAAGAAACATATAAACCCAACCCTCAGAAATGACGGTGCCTGTTTGTGCGCGAGCGACTGCAAGAGCAGCTTCGCGGAGTGTCGTCTGTCAAGCTATCAGACCTGCAACTCGGACAGCGTCGCTCTCCAATAAGGTGTTGAACCAGTCGAGAGCTATAAGCAGTTACGGGTATACGCAGTCGAAAGCACTTGTCTACTCCAAATACGGCGAACCGCAAGACGTCCTCAGTCTCCACGGCCATTCCATCTCTCCAGTAGCCGGCACCAGCGTGGTAGTGCGAATGCTGGTTGCCCCAATCAACCCTGCCGATGTAAATCAGATCCAAGGCGTGTACCCTTCAAAACCTGAATTGACTACATCTCTGGGAACGTCGGAGCCATCGGCGGTGGGAGGCAATGAGGGCGTGGGAGAGGTCATCAGCATCGGCTCGGGGGTCAAGAGTTTGTCCAAAGGAGACTGGGTTATTATGAAGCATACATCACAAGGAACATGGCGCACACATCTGGAAATCGATGAGAGCAAGCTGTTGAAGATTGACAACAAAGACGGTCTCACTCCTCTGCAAGTGGGAACGGTATCGGTCAACCCTTGCACAGCGTACCGAATGCTCCTCGACTCAGCCAAATGGGACTTCCGGGGGGGCGAGTGGTTTATACAGAACGGAGCCAATAGTGGTGTTGGAAGGGCAGCCATCCAACTCGGCAAAGAGTGGGGATTCAAGAGCATCAATGTGATTCGAGGGCGAGAGGACAAGGAGGCGGAGCAAGAGCTCAAACAAGAACTACTGGATCTGGGAGCGACGCAAGTGGTGACAGAAGAAGAGCTTCAAGGCCGAGGTATGAAGGATCAGATCAAGGAATGGACAAATGGAGGTCGCGAGCAGGTCAAGGTTGGGTTGAATTGTGTGGGAGGGAAACCAGCGACAGCACTGGCAAAATTTCTGAGCCCTGGAGCCAGCATGGTGACGTACGGTGCCATGAGCAAGCAGCCTGTCATGCTGCCGGCTTCGTTGCTGATTTTCAAGGAGATCAGCTTCAGTGGGTTCTGGGTCAGCAAATGGAGTGATCGCTATCCAGACCAAAAAAAGCAGACGGTAGAGGACGTGCTGAGATTGACGAGGGAAGGGAAATTCAAGGACATCCCGGTGCAAGAATGCAAATGGGGTTGGAAGACGGGCTTGGAGACACTTCAGGCGGCGGTTCAAGGCACTCTTGGAGGCTTCCGGGCAGGCAAGGGAGTTTTCGTCTTTGAGGAAACCTGAGCAGATGTTGTTTGTCATGTAAAAGTAGCATCTGACAGGGTTTCATTGCGCGTGATACCATAGTGTACATAGTGTAGAAATGATTGATATGAGTAAGTCGATTCATAAGGTCAGTATATCATGTGTGGTGTAAGCATGGATGTCAGCGGCAGGGCTGGCGTGCTTGGGTAATGTTTTAGGCATTCAATGCCCAGGGCGGACACTACATAGGTAGGTAAGGTACGTACCTAGGTACCTTAGGGACCCCTCGACCTATACCTAAAATACCGCACGCTGCCCTAATAAAACACCTGGGCGTGCCATGCCACCGTATATCCTGGGTCTTTGTACCTCAGCCGTGCCTTCCCTCCAATGACAACCCATCCCATCCCACCTTCCACCATCTCAACTTCCCAATCTGCTGGGAAGGTGCGCTGGATTTCCGCGTTTCAGCACCTTCCCTCATCGCTTAGTACCGTAGCCTGCTTCTGCGACTGCGTCTCTCAGTCTTCCATGCAGTCATTGTTGAGATTTACATCTCTCGTCTACCGCCCACCATCCACCGTCCAGTCTACGGTCTCGGCTCTAACCGAATCCGTGACTTCTGTAAGCCCAAAAGGCGTGGGTGAAGTCGTTTCCTATCTTCTTTTTCACCTGGTCATCTCATTCTGATTTCCCCAGCGATCAGCTATTAATGCTGCTGACCCGCAAGGCAAAAGTAAGATCCTTCAAATCTTTTCAATTGTTTCCTCAAAGAGTTCTGTCAAAAGCCTGGAGTTGTTCCCCTTTGGTCAAGATGAATGAAGACGAGTTTCGAAAGGCTGCTCATGCGGCGATCGAGGACAGTAAGTACCCTTTCCATGCATGACGTTTCATTGCTCCTCATCAACCTTGACCTACACTAACGAACACACCACTGGTCAGTCATCCAATACAACAAAAACATCACAGACTTCCCAGTCCTACCCACCATCAAGCCAGGTTATCTAGCACCGCAGCTCCCCAAGTCTGCACCTGAACATCCGCAGACATGGTCAGAGATTCAGCCCGACATTGCCTCCAAGATTGTTCCCGGCGTCACTCATTGGCAGTCTCCCAACTTCATGGCCTTCTTCCCCGCTAGTGTCACATATCCTTCCATGCTGGGTGAACTCTATTCAGCCGCTTTCACTGCTCCGGCCTTCAACTGGCTCTGCTCACCTGCCTGTACTGAGCTTGAGACCGTTGTGATGGACTGGCTCGCACAGGCTTTTGCCCTTCCAAAGGAATTCTATTCCACCAGCCCAAATGGTGGTGGTGGAACCATCCAGGGCTCTGCTTCCGAGGCCATTGTCACATGCATGGTTGCTGCTCGTGAGAGATATCTTCATGCTAAGTGCGATGAGGAGGGGTTTGCTCCCGAAAGCAAAGAGAGGGAGGACCGGATATCGTCTCTGCGTGCCAAACTTGTAGCCCTTGCATCTGACCAGACTCATTCAAGCACTCAAAAAGGCTCCATGATCGCCGGTACCCGTTTCCGCTCCATCCCCACCAAATTCTCCAACGAGCTTTCCCTCCAGCCAGAGGAGCTCGAAGCTGCGCTCGAGCAGGTCAAAGCTGATGGCTTGGAACCATACTACATCACTCTCACCCTCGGGACCACCTCAACCTGTGCCGTCGATGACTTGGAAGCCCTGGCGCCAGTCTTCAAAAAATATCCCAATCTCTGGGTTCATGTGGACGCCGCATATGCAGGCGCCTCCCTCGTCTGCCCCGAGTTTTCCGACAAGTATTCGGCCTCGATGATCCACGTGGACAGCTTTGACATGAATATGCACAAGTGGCTTTTGGTCAACTTTGACGCCAGCTGTCTGTTTGTCCAGAACCGAAACCATTTGACTCGTGCACTGAGCATTTCGGCCGCATACTATGTCAATAAACACAGTGACAGTGGTCTCGTCACCGACTACCGCGACTGGCAGATCCCCTTGGGCAGAAGATTCCGCGCTTTGAAGATCTGGTTCGTCCTGCGAAGCTTTGGCCTGGAGGGTCTTCGAAAGCATATCCGTAACAGTGTAGCCATTGGTGAGGTCTTTGCAGAATTGGTCCGGCAGAGAAGCGACCTATTTGAGCTGGTCGTCACTCCTCGTTTCGCCTTGACATGTTTCCGAGTCAAACCCGACATTATCTCTACGACGAGTACGAGTGAGACAGGACAAGACTTTGTGTCTTCGGCTGCAGCTCAGCAACAGAAAGACCAAGAGGCCAATGCCGTCACCTTAAGAATCGGTGATCTAATCAACGAGCGGGGACAGGTATTCTTGACCTGCAGTTCCACCTCGGGCAAGAGCTTCATCCGTGTGGTCAGTGGCAATGCCAAAGCAGAGGAAAAGTACGTCAGGAGTGCTTTTGACATCATCGTCAAGACAACAGAAGAGGTCCTTGGTGAAAGACGCCTTGGTGGTAAGACGGTGGCGAATGGACACGCCAAATAGACGACAGGACGAGATCTCCGAACCAGTAGCCGACATAGCTTCCGAAATGGAGAACTCTTATGGGAATCATGATGATAGACTTGTACAGCTACAAAAAGATGAACATTGAGGCCGGACCTTGGTCTTAGGCATGTATGATAGGAATGACTTAGAAAAGATGGTGAATCAGCTAGAGTATCGGTATATTCCGTAGTCGACCAGACCAATAGTAATCGAGGTGTTCATCGAGACCTTTTGCTTACTCTGAGGTATGTTGACGCAAGGATGACTCCTCAGCGGGCGAAGTGTCAAAGTGCTCTTAATCGAAAATGGTCATAACCTGCCACCCCTGTCTGTATACTCTGGAGTATCTGATATACGTCGAATCATTCGGGGTTTTCTGCTGATCTCCTCTGCACGCAGCACTACCCAGAGACAAGCCCGAGGCGCCCTCTAGGCACCCGTGGCACCGTAGGTCGCCGCCCAAGGACCCTCAGAGACAAATGCTTGAGAGGGCACGGGGGGCCGGAGGGGCCGTTGGGGCGACGGCCGTTGCCTTGGCCAGCCACAAGGGATATTGAGCATCAAGCCGAGCAACGAATCGACATACATGGCTGGCTGGTATCTTAACTACCTTGGGAGGGTGTCCATGATGCTTCTGTTAGCATGGGCCTCCACACGTCTCTACCACGAGCCAGAAGTGCGTACTTTCCTGTTTGCCACTGGAACATATTTCGCTTATCTGATGAACGCCTTCTTTCCCATCGCGGTCTACCCCGCCAAAGACGCCCCTAAATGGCGAATTGGTGCGAAACTGTATCTCGGTTTTGCGGTGTTCTCAACTTTGTTATTCATCATCATCTACTTTGCGTTCAAGTGGGAAGACAAGAAAACCAGGAACAGAAGCACGGTAGAGGAATAGAAGCACGGTAGAGGAATAGAAGCACGGTAGAGGAATAGAAGCACGGTAGAGGAAGAAGGTGCGAGGTCAGATACGCTAGAACCGCCATCGTCGCCTGCTGTCGTTGTTTTGGCTGACCAAGGGGCGTGATATCTAAGTCAGTCGATGGGCAATTCAGGGCAGTACTGGTATGGAGGGGTTACAGGAGAGATCTGCGTACGAAACCCAGTAGAAGGGGGCTTTATGGTTGTTTGCAATCTTTCATATATGAGTTTGCTTTGCTTCAGGCGAGGGGAAGCAGAACCTTTGAGTTCACCAGTGTAGAAGCCTCCAGGCATACCGACGACAGTAAATGCAGCCTGGTTAAGTACTGTAGTAGGGGTATTCTAGGTGCCCCAAGGGCCCGAGGGGCCCCTCGGGCTATCTCTTAGGCTTGTAAAGGACTCTGGATCCCCCTGCCGCCAATGCCCGTGGCTCCTTCCTTCCCTCTGCCCCTCGTCCCTTCCCCCACGTGCTCAACTCCAATAATTATTTGTGGCAGGCACGCGTAAAGTGCTGCGTCGACGCGTTCTTCCAACAAAACCTCAACTCACCACGAACCTCACATGCACAACGGCGCCGCATCGCCACAACTCCTCCTCAAGGCCCAACATGTCACAATACCCCCCGGCGGATGACTACAGCGATGCCAATCGAGCCTTTTTGCAGGCAATGCTGTCTTGCAGCTTTCTGACCCTTGAGTCCGCCCGGCCACTTCTCGCTGCCCTTCAGTCGTACAACGAAGGCAAAGAGGTCCTGCCAGAAGATATCTCGGCCGAAGATCTCAATCGATATGTGTCCCAGGCAAACGACAAAGTCTCTCCTCTCGACCTCGAGATTCGGACCACATTTCATCAGAGAACCAGAGAAAAGGTCTATGCTTTGGTCAACACAACCAGCGATGCCATGACTCAGTTAGCCACTTCCTACACCCCCGATGAAATTGCCTTTGTCAAAAGAATGCTAGACGAGATGTTTGACGGGAGACATAATACCACTCGAACCGAGGCTATGTGCCTCAGCGGAATCGACGCCATCAAACTTGGAAGAGCACCCAACAATCGACGGGAAACTCAGAATGCGGATGCAGACAATGCAAACACCCAGTCTTCCCTTGGCTCGTTGAGTCCCAAGGAGGCAGAGACTCTTCTCGACAAATTGGTGCAGGAAGATTGGCTAGAGAAGAGTCGAGCTGGCTTCTACTCCTTGAGTCCCCGTGCACTCTTAGAGCTGAAAGGATGGTTGATCGACACATACAATGAGGATGAGGATGGCGAGAAAAGAGACAAGATCAAAACCTGCTACGCTTGCAAAGACATTGTCACCGTGGTAAGATTGGCCTCCACAATTCTGCTTCTGAATCTTAGCTAACAGTGTCCGCTCGCCATAGGGCCAACGCTGCGAAAACCGTGATTGCCCCTGTCGACTGCACGACATTTGTACCCAACAATTTTGGCGGGCCCAAAGAATGCAATCATCGCATCGCTGTCCACTGTGCAATACCTTGTGGGAGGGTGATCACTATGTGGGTGAAAAGGCCATTACTACCTCGGCAAGCTATCGAAATAGCCGTCCTCGTAATTCCACCGGTCGCCCGCGACCAGTCACCACCAATAGTGATGATGAACGATCAGCAGATGAGGAACATTCGTGAAGGAAACAAACCACTTAAAGAGAACGGTCAGGTACGGCAGAAGATGGGTATCCTCTCCGCGCCAAAAATCACACCATACTAGAGGTTGACAGCGGCTGTGGCACCAGCCACGAATCTCAAGCAAGGCACCAAGGTTGCTTTGCATGTCTTACCCAGCCTTGGACCGTTGGATGTGCCAGCGGACCAGGATGGAAGCTTAACCAAGGCGAGAGCTAGGGCCATGTCACCCACACTTTACCCATGAATCCCCACATCCGTAAGCGAGCAGGGGCATCTAGCGCATTGAGATGGTTCGTCTCCTCAAGGTCATGTCCAATCAACTCCGGAGCTTTCACTGGATATTGACCGACTCTCCGCAATATTGATCCCCCGCTCGCCATTGCAATGACGTTGCATCGATGGATTCGCATTCATCGACGCGCATCATGTCCAAGGTACCAGAGGCAGAAAGCCAACTTTGCTCTATTGCCGCACATTTCCGATTCGATCGAGTGACTCGAAGGGACTAGGGAGTTAGGCAAACTTTCTGGCCACGAGACACTCCAGATGTCTTTCAATGTAACTGTTTGTCATACGCATGCAGTCATACTTACCAGGGCCGAACCGATCTACATTTTGGTATTGCGTCAATGGGGTGAGCTCACTTACCCCCGATAACTATGAACCTGACTCTTTTGTTCTTCTTCAAAACAACCCCGAGATTTCCATTGGGTTGCCAGAACCACACAGTCACAAGCTCCTCCGCGGTAGCTTCATCGTGAGCGCATCTCGTCGCCAGCGTCCCGTGCGCCGGTCGATTTTCAAGAGTGAGATCAGATCGTTGCTCATTGACTAGGCTTAGACCAGAATTTTAGTTTGCGACTGTTCAGGTTGCCAATCTATCTTTGTGGGCGCATCGCCGAATCCTGCGACGTTCTTTACTGACCACTTGACTAGCAGATGCGGTACAAGATGAGATCTTTTCCGGTAGCTATTGCTGCCATGGCGTGGATGGCATGCTTTACTCGAGCGCAGTCTGGCAACGACTCGACCATCTATGAGACTCGATTCGAGAATGTCACTTGGGACGCGTCAAATTGGGTTCTCACCACCACCAATTTGGACCAAGGTCACTACCAATCTCGTGCAATCGCCGCAAATGGCTACATCGGCATCAACGTTGCGTCTCTCGGCCCTTTCTTCGAAGCCGACATCCCAGTCGATGGCGACAACATCCAAGGATGGCCACTTCAAAATCGCCGTCAGAGTTTTGCTACAGTGGGAGGATTCTGGGATTCCCAAGAGACCACAAACAGAACCAATTTTGAGTGGCTGTATCAGTATGGCTGGGACTCAGTCATTAGTGGCATTCCCCACTGGAGCGCAATCATTGTCGACTTGGGAGGTGATGACTACCTGGACGCTTCGACCAACAGCTCCACCATCAGCGATTTCACATCGAGCTACGACTTTAGACAAGGCTTGCTCTCTTGGACATATACATGGACCCCTGCAGACGATACCTCTTTCAACATCTCATATCAACTCTTCACTCACAAGCTCTATGTCAATCAGGCCTTTGTTACCCTGAACATCACCGCTTCAAATGATACAAATTTAACCATTGCCAACGTCCTTAACGGTGATGCGGCCGTACGTTCAACCCCGGGAGACAAAGGCGCCCAAGATGGACTGATCTACACATCTGTCCAACCAGATGGCATTACTAATGTCACTGCCTGGATCTTTGCAACCCTGAATGCGACTGGAGCCACTGCCAACGCAACCGAGCAAGCCACACTTGATCGACCATATGTTGGTAACAACGTGTCCTCTGTTGCTACCGGGTACAATGTCTCTCTGGAAGCTGGCCGAGTAGCCACCTTTACCAAGTTTGTCGGGATCGCCTCCTCTGATGGATTCGACTCGCCTCGCGATATTGCCAGAAATGCAGCCATCAATGCAACAGACTCGGGATTCGACTCGTCGCTCCAAGCCCATGTTGAAGAATGGAGAACACTCCTTCCGGATAGTTCTATTGACGACTACTCATATCCCGAGAACGGCACGCTACCTAATGACGATTTGATTATTGAAGCTTCCATCATTGCCGTGGTGAATCCCTACTATTTGCTTCAAAACTTGATCTCGACCAATGCTGAACTTACGGCGGGCAATGCTTCTATCAATAGCCACAGCATTTCAGTCGGAGGGCTGGGTTCTGACTCATATGCTGGCCTTGTCTTCTGGGATGCCGAAACCTGGATGGCTCCTGGACTGGTCCCAACATTTCCATCAGCCGGCCGATCTTTCGCCAACTACCGGGTGGAAAGGTATGGACAAGCGCAAGCAAACATCGACACCGCATATCAATCATCCAAGAATTCGACCAATTTCACTTCCGACGCCGCAGTATTTCCCTGGACAAGCGGGAGATTTGGGAACTGTACCGCGTCTGGTCCTTGTTGGGATTATCAATACCACCTTAACGGCGACATTGGACAGTTCTTTTCGAATTATTGGATCACCTCAGGCGATACGGATTATTTTGAAGACTCTTTGTATCCCGTCTACGACTCGATCGCGAGTCTCTTTTCCCAAATTCTTGAACCGGACGGGGACTTCTATACGGTCAAAAACATGACGGACCCTGACGAGTACGCCAACCACATCGACAACGGCGGCTTCACCGTTGCCATCATCTCCAATCATCTCAACTATGCCAATCAATATCGCTCCTATTTCAACGACACACCCAACGATACTTGGACGGATCAAGCCGCTAAAGTGCAATTCTCCACCGACGTTGAGGCCAACATCATTCTCGAATATCCGGAGCAAAATGGCTCTACGGTTGTCAAGCAAGCCGACATCATTTTAATCACGTTTCCTCTCTCGTATACCGGTCAGAACTATACCGCTGAGCGATCTCTAGCAGACCTCGACTACTATGCGGCCAAGCAGTCAACCGATGGGCCCGGCATGACATACGCCATGTTCAGCATCATTGCCAATCAAGTCTCGCCGTCAGGTTGCTCTGCCTATACATATCAACATTACTCGTACTACCCTTACGCGAGGGCTCCATGGTATCAATTCAGCGAACAGCTGCTGGACAGCTACAACGACAACGGCGGGACCCATCCAGCATATCCATTCCTGACCGGGCATGGCGGTGCCAATCAAGTGGTTCTATTTGGGTACCTCGGCCTTCGCTTGATCCCGGGATTTACGCTCTACATCGATCCAGCCCTGCCACCTCAAGTACCCCAGATCCGTTACCGGACATTCCACTTCCACGGTCATCCGATCACGGCCTTCTCGAACCAGACACACACGACACTTTCACGCAACAGCTCGCTGGAGCCAGCTGAAGGCGCAGTGCCGAACGCAACGTTTAGTGAAACCGCGATCCCCATCGTCGTAGGTGGACTGGGCTCGGAAATCTTAGGCAACTACAGCCTAGGACCAGACTCGAGCGTAACGATCGAGAACCGCAACTACAGCAGTCTACGCACGACGGCCGACAACCTCGTGCAATGCGTCCCCGTGACATCGCCAGATGACTTCTTACCCGGCCAATTCCCCATCGCGGCCGTCGACGGCGCCGCCTCCACCAAATGGCAACCAGTCTTTGCCAACAAGTCCGCCAGTATCACCATCTCCACCGAGCCTGGCTACACGGTGCGTGGCCTATACTTTGACTGGGCTCAAGCCCCTCCGTGGAACTACTCTGTTTACTTCCACAACTATACGCTGGATGACCCATCCAGCACGGATGTCAATGGCACAGAGGGTGTTTTACTGGTAGCAAGTGCCGATGGCGTCATCGAAGCCAAGTATGATGAGGAAGCCATCTTCAATATTGAGCCGATCCAAGCCAACATCACCACATTGAATTTCACAGGTAGTGGTGGATCAGGCAACGAAACCATCGTCACGGCTAGATACGCTACATTGCAAATCTGGGGCAGTCTAATCAATGAAACCCACAACGCCACTTACCAGCAAGGCGATGGTGCTACTGTAGCAGAGTTTGGAATCATTGTCGACGGATTGGATCAAAGTCAGAATGCCCCAGCTCTTCAGAATGCTACGTCCTCGGCAAGGAAGAGTAAGAGAGAACTTGGGAGGCGTGCGGGTGCTGGCGCTACTGGTGGACGTCGTCGCCGTCACAATGATCCTCTTGCTGGGCATTATGATAATATCGAGCGGGATTTCTTGCTGAAATTGGGTAGGATCAGGAGAGGTTCGGGTCTTGATTAATACGAGGCTGCAGAGCAGGTAAGAGCTGACTGGATTGGAGATGACAGAAAGGATTTCTTGATCTATTGATTGATAGGAGACAGGCCAATCTGGCGTTAATACGAAAACGTCTCTAATTCTAATAAAATCATGAAAAACATCTGTGTCGGTTCGTTACCATGAGTGAACTTGCAGTCGCTATTTGATACTATACTAGTAGCGAATGAATGCGAAATGTGACGTCGCGAATGCGTGCATATGACACATTAATGGCGCATGCATCCTGGCGATGTTTTGCATGCAGCAAGCTTTTTGGTGAACCCTCTCCAGATCTGGTCCAGATGGTTGAGTCCGATGCTAGGAAGATGGAAGTTCCGCCTTGATCTAGAGGACCTCATGCTTCTTTCCCCCTCCGCGCCCCTCTCCCTTTTCCTTCTGCCGTATGGGAAGATGCATGGGCGCCGTCCTGCTCATGGTTATGTATTGGCGGTGGGAGAGTGTGCCGCCGAGACGATTGCTTTTGTTTGCATTGCGCATATCATCAAGTCTTCCAAGGGGCGCCGTTAAGAAGTTGAATATTGGCGAGTTGATCGCGTGAGATTTGATGTAACAGCCTGCCATCCAAGGAATGTCGAGATTGAGAGTTCTGATGGTGTTTCGCTGGAGCCTAACCATAAAAGGGTGGCAGCCGTCGGTTCTAGGTATCGGAGAGTATTCGCTCAAAGATCAGCCTATGATGTGTCTGTTGCTGTGTAGACCGCGGTGATAGAGGCCCACAAGACTGGTATTGTATCGGTCCAAAGATGTGTCGAAATGAGGTTGATTGCCATCATCTCATTGAGGTTCCGAAACGCTCTCCATTTTGCCACGGGCTTCACCGAACAACGCCTCTTGCATGCGCTGGAGTTCTTCGCTACCCATTTTGTCAAAGCCGCCGAAATTGCGCATCTTTTCTCCACGACCGACGCGCTTCTTCTGGACTTGTTGCCACTCGCCAACCACGCCACGGCAGCCTTCGATGTAGCTACCAAAGCCCAGATCCGTTAGGGCTTGCTCAACGTGTTCGACAGAGATGGTCTTTTTGGATTCCTTCTCCGAGATTTCGTTGGACTCGGAGGAGAGCATGCGCAAGAACTCGAGGGAGCAGGAGATCAGTAGGTCGCGCGCTGGTCGGGTAAAGGTCATCTCGCCCTTCTCGCCAGACCCACCCGCGATCTGTTGGCGGTTGTCCGGAGGCAGCTGGGCGAGGATCTCCGAGATGATCTTCTGCACCGTGGCTTTGGGAAGACTGAGGTCATCAGCGCCTGAAGCAAGAGGAGCAATTAGTGGTAATCCCAAGACAAACGTGGTAGCGCATACCTCCAAATTCTTTATCGGACATGATGTATGGATGAGATTCAGAGGTCGAGATCGGGATCAGATTGATGTTGAGCTAGATGTGATTGCAGCGACACAGGATGTGGTACAACCCATGGAACCAGCCCACAAGAAAAGATCGAGGGAGGATATGGCAGGGGAATATATACCTGAAGGAAGGAGCGTCCGTGGCAGGCGCTATGTGATGAATCTTTGCCCCACCTTCCTTTCTGCCTCGCGAGTCATAGGTCGCCGGAAACGGAATAGCGTGTTGATCTCTTGGCGCAGCAACTCAGTTTTTATTTTCCTCAAACCTCTTCAAGTCTTTATCATTAATCCCAACCAACCTTGACATGTCGTTTGTCAGTTCCATGCACTTCTCGAACCCTTTGAGGGTGTAATTATATGATACATCGTTGGGCATGGACTCTTGCATGATAAGAACTAACAATATCAGACACCACCTTGCCTATTCACAGCATGATCCAAGTTCCCCTGACATGTTCTCACAGACAGGTCGAAACAGCACTCTGTTGGTCCTTCAGCTGACTCGAGCACTCATTGAACTCTATGTTCTCTAGAGTAAGTCATATCCCTCACTCTCTATTGCATTTCTATATGATGAACTTTCGTGTCGCCCCTATCATACAAAGATTTGAACATGGTGATTACCTGTCCTAAGCCAAACGGACCGGCTGATATTGGAACAACATTATCAAATTTCCTTAAAAAATGTCTACCCGAACCTGTTTGCTGACTTTGGAATCAAGAACAGGAATGTCTCTACCCTTTGCCCTTCTCATCAACATAATGTTCATTGCATTTTCGAGTAAGTTTCAACACACTGCCTACCTGACACAAAGTGATGAGCAAACAATTTTGTACTATCAAATTCGGACATTCAATGACGAATAAATTTGGTTCGATTACCTGAAAATATCGCCAACCCCCCTCAATTTCTATAAGTCTGGCCGAGAATTATATTTCTAACCTTTCTTATCAGTCGATCTCGCTGCTGTTTTCGCCTCCTCCAACCTGGAGATGAGCTCGGTCAGTCACACTCTTCCATATCGTCTGATTTCTATGATGAACCATCCACTCTTCCATGCTAAGTATGAAGATCTCGCGATCTAATGCTTATAATTGTGTATTCATTTTTCATCTTTCGCCTGAGTTCTCTTCGCTCCGACACTTGTATCCATCAAGTTCTTGTCAACATGCTGACGACCCAAACCAGGAATTCTAGTTAGGTCTCGAACGTCGCCGCCGCCAAGTTCCAATGTACCACATTTGGACTTTGCCATAGTGAAATCACTCGGACTGGAAAGTCTCCAACTTGGGATCGTCCCAGCTGAGGAGCAATGTCAGCACGTTTGTGTTTGTTCAGGCACTTGTTTCATGACTCACCTCAGGAATTGGCCTGAAAGCTCGTGGGGTGCTCCGATGACCAGCTCAGCGATGACATGCCCTGGCTTCTCTGGAGGTAGCAATTTCCCATCTCGTTTGGCACTGACGAATTTCTGCTGGTCCTTCGGGTCCATGTTCTTGAGATACTTGTCTCGAATATCCCCCTGCATTGCAGTGTCAACAACACCAGGCCTGATGGAGATGCTTGTCACGTCGGGTTCTTCGCTAGTGAGAGTCATTGCCAGATGGTTGACCGCAGCCTTTGTAGCCCCATACGCTCCCCAGGAGCTGTATGCGCCAGTAGCTGCGCCAGATGATGTGATTACAATTTTGCCTTTGGCTGGTCGTAGAAGCGGCAATGCCGCCCGTGTCTGATTGAATTGTGAGTACGCTAGCAAGCAGGTAGCAATATACAATACAACCTCGACTTACCAATACTACCAAACTTGTAACATTGATTGTAAACGTGCGATCCCAGTCCTCTGCTTCAACATCACCTATTCTCTGACACTCCCCGAGTGTACCGTGATTGAGCACCAGACCGTCGAGCTTCCCGCCCAGGTCCACGTTTTGCAGAATCGACTTGACATAAGTCAAGTCCGACATATCGCCCTTGGAGGTCAGGACACGGTCGGGAAATTGTGACTTGAATCGCTCCAAGACATCGCTTTGACGGCCTGTCAAGATCAACAAGTGTTGTTTGTCGGACTTAAGCAGATGATTTGCAACTGCCAGTCCAATTCCCGCTGTCGCGCCAGTCACCAGCACGGTGCGAGATTCGGGATATTGGCTCTAAGTAAATTGTTTGGTCAGCGCCATATGGAGTCTAGAAATGGGTGTTCACCGGTGTGGACATACCCGGTGTTTTGCGGTGGCCTCAAGAGACCCGCCGAAGGATTTTGACATGATGCTGAAGGTCGAAAGGAATTTTGCAGCAATAGAAGATTGTGATGACAGTGTCGTGCAGGAGTAATATACAAAACTCCGTGACAATATATCCCGAACGACCGAGGTTTTTCCGGCAGAGCAACTGATCATGAAGCTCACCGAGGTTGAGAAGCAAAGTCGAATCACGATAAAAGAATCAACAAAGTCCGCACCGAGGAATATCTTGCATCATTCGTGTATAAGTCCTAATATATGGTCAGTTCGTAGCGAATGGATAAGACTTTAAAACGTGGAGGGGAGTTGACGTCAATCTCAAGTGCAATTGTGCCAAATCCCGCGGCCATTTTGTAGCGAGGTTTACGGTTCACGGTTGACGGACGGAGAACGCCGAAAGTGTCCCAGAAAGGCCGTAAGCATATGTTCTCAGCAGGCCTATAGACAATGATGAACTAACTGACTGAACACAACGAGACGTTCAAGAGTAGCACGTTCGCCAAAACCTGCCTGTGAATGCACTCTAACCAAATGTCTACCATCATTATCGGTGGCGGTATCATCGGCCTATCCACTGCCTACTTCCTGTCACTCAGCCGGCCGGTCACATCCTTTTCACAGATCCATATCATTGACTCATCTGCCGAGCTGCTTGCCTCGGCTAGCGGATTCGCAGGTGGCTTTCTTGCTCTGGACTGGTTTTCTCCACCCGAGGCGGAACTGGGCGCACTATCATTTCGATTACATCGCCAGCTGGCAGAGAAGCACAGTGGGCAGCGACGATGGGGCTACGCTGGCAGTCATGTCTACAGTCTCGGCGTGGACGATCCAGGTGTCAAGGCGAAAGGAAAAACAGCCAATTCCGCAGACTGGTTGCTGGAGGGAACCAGTAGGGCGAATGTGGCGAGAACAGACTCAAAGCACGATGATGTCCAGGGTAGTGTGACGCAAGGCGAGCCTATCAACCCAGATGGATCACCTGCAGTCTTTACTCCGCAGAGAGGTGGCTCCTTGGAAACAATTGCCGGGCCAGAGGAATGCGCTCAGATCGAGCCGAGAGAGTTGTGCGAATTTCTGCTCGAGGAGTGTGAGAAGCGAAACGTCAAGGTTCATCTCTCGACAAAGGCTGTGGAGTGCCTTGTGGACAAGGATGGCCAGCTCAACGGTCTCAAGATCGAGTCACAGGGAGCTGGGTCTGAACTGGAATGTGACACCATCGTCCTGGCCGCTGGCGCATGGACTCCGCGAGTTTTCAAAACCCTCTTCCCCGACAGTACGATTCGTGTCCCGATTGATCCCCTGGCTGGACACAGTATTGTCGTGAGGTCACCTCGCTATAAAGCACCATTTATTGACCCGTACAAGCGCAAGATCGGCGGCGACGACAATTGGCTCTGCTACTCCATCTACGCCGCTCCAGGAAAGCACTGGAATTTTGCCACTGAAGCATATGCACGGCTTGCGCGTAACGGTCAAGCAGAAATCTGGCTCGGGGGTCTCAACGACGCCGACTTACCTCTCCCAGAACTTGCAACAGACGTCAAGGCCATGATTGACCGGCAGAGTGTCAATACGGTCCGAAAAACCATAGTCCAACTCACCGGGCTCGCCCGTGAAGCGAGCGACTTGCATCAAGATGACTTGGAGACGGTGCGAGAGGGTTTGGGCTTCAGACCAGTCAGTCGACGTGGGAGACCAATTGTGTCCAGGATAAAGGACGAAGACTTGGGAGGGCTGACAACCGGCCCAGGAGGTGTTTTTATCGCTTCCGGTCATGGGCCGTGGGGAATCGCCTTGTCTCTAGGGACTGGATTTGTGGTGACTGAGATGATTGAGGGTAAAGTCCCTAGTGCAGATGTCAGTCATCTTGATATCAGATGAGGGATATTTAATCAAAACCCCCAGTCTACCTATAATAATATGGAGCATTACCATTCTATTGAGGCAGTATTGATTTTCAATATCCCAGATCCAGCTAAGAAATAAACAGAACAGCGGCACTACGCGGATAGAGGCGGTTGCACGGCCCAGACACGGTGGAATCCGCCCCCACCACCCGCTCCCCTAGTATTTGACCGTGTAATCATTCCCTGAGCAGGCCATCTACTATTTTCCCTCGGCATCAATCTTATAGTTGGAGTTGTGCGGAGAAGGTATTGTATCCTCCAGTCTTCCCTTTCTGCCACCTGGAGGTCGTTCTAAAATCTGTACGTGTGGCGAGAAAGAGACGCGATACTTGCTGCAGTATGCGAATGGACTAGACTATTAGACTCGACCGAAGAAGTACTACAAGTATGCTGCCGGTCCTCACCTTGCGGTCTCTATCAAGGCCATCGCCCACGCTTCTCAGACGATCATTATCAAGTCTTGCAACCGCACCAGCAGTTCGCATCGTCGAGGTTGGACCCAGGGATGGACTTCAGAACATTAAAAAATCCGTTCCTCTGCCAGTCAAGCTGGAGCTCATTGAGCGATTGAGCCGGGCTGGAGTAAAAATTATGGAACCCACCTCGATTGTGTCGCCCAAAGCCATCCCTCAGCTTCAGGACAGCCAGGAACTTTTATCAACAAAATCCATCAAAGATTTGATTGCGCAGGAGGGCACAAAATATCCAGTTCTTATCCCTAACCTGAAAGGACTGCAAATAGCAAAGAAGCTGGGTGTCAAGGAGATTACAGTCTTCGTCAGTGCCACGGAGGGGTTCAGTCGTGCCAACATCAATTGCACCGTGGAGGAAGGTTTGAAACGGGCTGAAGAAGTTACCAAAGGCGCTGTCCAATCAGGCATGACAGTGAGAGGGTACTATCCCACTTCCCCCAAAGTCGACTGTGAAGAACCATGCTGATCATACTTCTAGAGCCGTCTCTTGCATCTTTTCTGACCCTTACGAAGGACCTACCGACCCAAGTGCCGTTCAGAGAGCTGTGCAGCGGCTTATTTCAGCAGGCTGCTATGAGGTTCTCCTCGGTGATACGGTCGGGGTCGGTTGTCCCGACGATGTGCGAAATCTCATGAAAGTCCTCCTGGACGCGGGGATTCGAGTAGATCAGCTCGCTGGCCACTTTCACGATACTTACGGACAAGCTGTGGCTAATGCGTGGGCCGCTTACGAATGTGGCGTGCGAACTTTTGATAGCAGCGTCGCAGGCCTAGGTGGATGCCCCTTTGCTCCGGGTGCTAAAGGGAACGTGTCCACCGAAGATCTGGTCTATTCCTTCCACAAGGCTGGCATAGATACTGGAATTGATCTTGCAAAGCTGTCTGAAACCGGCCAATGGATCTCATCCGTGCTACAGGGCCCAAACAACAGCCGAGCGGGCCAGGCAATCGCAAGAAAAGCAGCCGCCTCATCAAGCAGTACCAAAGAGGAAGCGTCATCGACCAAGTTGAAGTGGGAACTGATTGACCAGCCCGAAGGTCTCGATATCCTGAGGTCTGGTGCAAACGTCAAGGTTGTCCTCCGCCGTCCGCGGAATGGCAATGCTTTGACAACAGAGATGGTTTCTCAACTCCAGCGATACATTAAGCAGATCTCAACAGACCCCACGATATCACGCATCATTTTGACTGCCGAAGGAAAGTTCTTTTGTACAGGAATGGACTTGAGTGGCAACAGCAAGATCGATAAACCCGGGGCTGAAGGTCCCACTCAGCATGACATGTTCACAGAGCTCTTCCAAACCATCTCAGACGCACCTCAAGTCACCATCGCTGCAATCAATGGACCGCTCTACGCCGGAGGCATCGGACTAGCTTTTGCGTGTGACATTCGCATTGCCGTCGAGACAGCGACTCTCACCGTCAGCGAAGTCAAACTTGGTCTTTGCCCTTCCATCATCTCCCAATACCTGTTGCGTGAATGGGGTCTGGCTTTCGCTCGCGAGGCGATGCTCTCAGCCCGACCCATCACCATGGCAGAACTCAAATCCATCGGATCCGTTCATGTTCTCGCCAAAGATGCTTCGGATTTGGACAATCAGCTCGACGCATACCTGGTTAGCCTGCGAAAGGCAGCCCCAGGAGCCTCGGCGTTTGTCAAGAAACTTGTCAACGCTGCATGGCAGAACCCCGGCGGTATAGAGCAGAAGAAAACCATCAAACATGTATTTGAGACCATGATGCTGCCAGGCACCGAGTCCGAAATCGGGCTTGGTGCTTGGAGGAATGGAAAGAAGTCGATCGATTGGGACACTCTCAGAGAAACTCAGTCTAAACCCAAGCTATGATGACTGTGCCCACCGAAATTGAACAATATCCACCACGGACCGCCCATTACTCAGCAAGGAGCATCAACATGTAGTCGAACCCCCCTCAATCGCCTTCTATTGACAGCTATCCACGGTGGCATTATCGAGCAATCTTATCTTTACAGCGTTGTTTGACTCTAACAACATGGACAGGACCTTGTTGAACATATCTGGGTCCAAGTTTTCAAGGGCGATGCTGGTATTGGCGGCGTTCGAGTCTGCCACGGCGGCCTGTTTCTGAAAGTCCACCATATTGTCTGTGTCGGGCACATAGTGGTCGATAGGCTGGGACGGAGGGTCCCAAGGTTCATCCGGACAAGAACTTGAGGTTGCCACCGAGATCATATCCGAATACCACGGCGAGTTTGACCCGAATGTGTCCACTGAAGAAGGAGCAACGCTTGGAGTACCGGTGTACCATAGCATATCCCTCTCGAAATACCTGTCCATCTCTCTGGGTTGTGGCCACACAAAAGAATCATCGAGAGCGACTGAGTTTTCCGTGGGTCCAACCTGTTTATCAGACAACTCGAGCGAAATAGGATCCCAGTATTGTGAGTCGTTGCTGCTGGTTGGTACATTCATGTCTTTGTCGGCGCAGGAGGCTTTGGCGTTCATCTCAAGTGTTTGTCTCTCTCGTTTCTCGAGTGTCACATATCTAGAACGCGCTCTTGTTAGACAACCTAGATTGACGCACTCGCAAGACGCACCTGTTTTTGATATCGGTTGGTGAGCGGCCTGGGAATGACAGCTCACGAATCATGGACCACTTGCGACCATGCTGTCCCACTGATTCGATAAGACGTGCGTCTTCGACCTCATCCCATTTACTGTGGTCGATGGCTGGATCGAGATAGTGGTACCAACGTTTCGCACACTCTGCACCTTTGTTAGTTACCGCCCTTGACCGAATGGAATTCTATAAACGTACGATCGGCATGGCGAGTTCGCATCATTGATGCTACCGTTGTCCATCTGTGGCTATTCTTAGAGGCGATTTGCTTCAACACCATGCAGCGATGCACGTACCTGATGCCGACTGTCGCCACAGCTTTTCGCAACCGATAGTCCTCAGCAGGACTCCAGGCTCCCTTATTGACATGACCACCTATTTTACTCCATCGCTTCCTGCAGTCTTTATTCGATCTTCCCGGAAGGGCAATCGCTATTCGGTTCCAGTCTTTGATTCCGATGCGAGATACTATAATTGGACTGGTCAGTAGCCGGCCTCGGTTGCTATGACTTGGAACACTACCTTCAGCTCTCAATATCTGGTCTTCATCATCTGACCAGCGAACTGGAATACGGTGTTCATAAGCCATATCTGACAGCGCCAGCAATACGAATTGTCTTAAATTTTGAGAAGGCGAAAACAAACGACGCCTTAACCGAACCTTGATGCTGACTGCGATGCATTTTTGAAGCAACAGCACTGGCACGTGGTAATACTATATGAAGTCATACTCCTGCCATTGAGGTCAATGACATTCCTGACCCAATCATGTCCCCAGGCTACGCAAATAGCACCTATGACTTGTCGCCCCTTTCCATGACTGCACAGCAATCGACGGTCCAAACGATGGGGACCATTCTAAAAGTCGGTACCTGACAAGGCACAGGTGCCGAAATTTGGGTCAAAAACATGCCTTAGACCGCCTTATACCTGTGCATTGCCCACCACTGTCATACCGTGACAATTCAGCCTGGCTGGCGCGTGGATGATGGTCCAAGAATCTACCTGTCATTGCTGACAGCTCGTGTGCGGGCCACTGGGCCGTGGATCGATCGATTGGTGAGTCTAGGATCGGAGCGTTTGGAGAGCAACTAGGGCCTCCTGTTCATGAACAGCGGCAGCATATGAACGCTCAGAGAATGTCGTGGGGGGGGGCAGAAGGCTACGGTTGGACAGCATTTCAGTAAACTGGTATCGCTTTTTCTTGTCTGAGAGACCAAGGCGTATCGTATCGTAGTTGTTCTTTTCGTATGACTACTTTTACGAGCCTGCGGCTCAAAAGATTGCCAACGTAACATGTCTGGGGGCTTGTTGAGGCCCTTCTGAGGAGTTTCCATTCTCCGAAGCATAACCGGTGAGCGCGGTTGTGTAGCACCACTGCCACCTATTTGGTGACACAAAGAGCCTTGATTCATCACTCTCACCGACCCCTGGCAGGTAATGTGCTCAATCCAGCAGACAATCCGGATTTGACCAGGCGCTGCATCAGGTTTTATTGATTGACTCGCGCTGTCCGCTCCTGATCATCAATGCTCTACAACATGTCGGATTACAAGCCCCAAACACTGGCCCCGGAGCCAAAAAAAGCATTCTTCATTCCTTCGATTGATCTCAAGGCATACTTAGAAGACCCAGAGTCGCTGAGTTCCCAACATTTGGTGGCTGAAGTGCGAGCTGCCTGTGTCACCACAGGCTTTTTCCAGATCACGGGCCATGGTATCCCCAAGGAACTCCAACAGCGACTCTTTGAAGCAGCGGCTGCCTTCTTTGAACTCCCATTCGAAACGAAGAAACTCCTGGATGCCAAGAACAATGTTGGACGTCGGGGCTATGATGTTCTTGGGTCACAGTCGTATGAAGCGGACGTACTTCCTGATCTGAAGGAGGTGAGGCCGATCTTATCTGTGTATTAATTGGCGTCAGCCACTGACGGCTGACAGGGTTTCTATATGGGTTTGGATATTCCTCCCTCGGATCACAGAGTGGTGGCCCGAAGATTCTTCATGGGGTCGAATGTCTGGCCCCAGACGAAACGCATCGCACCAGAACAGTTCAAGAACACACTCGAAGAATATTATCGTGCAATCTGGGGGCTTACCATGACCGTCCTTGACTTGATTGCTCGTACCCTGCCACACGGGCCTCATGTGTTTGATGAATTCAAATCCAACGACCCGATTGCGCCCTTGCGCCTGCTCCATTACCCCCCTGCTCAACCAACCGAGAAAAGACAGCTGGGCGCATCTGCTCACACCGACTTTGGTGCTATCACTTTGCTGCTTCAGGATGGAAACCCGGGTCTATCGGTTTTAGACGAGGCGACCAACACCTGGTACGATGTCGACCCTAATCCCGATGCCTATGTCGTCAACATCGGTGACATGCTCTCCAAATGGACTTCCGATCATTACAAGAGTAGTATCCATCGAGTCATCAATGCCACGCCCAATCATCGATACTCTGCCGTCTTCTTCTTCGATGGCAATCTAGATTGTCCACTTGCACCCTTGGATGGGAGCCCTGTCAGTGGGAAGGTGCTGACCGTAGAAGAGCATATGCTGACGAGAATGCGGGAGTCATATGGTGGGAAGAGCGCCACTGGTTAAAGTGATCCCCTACATTGCTACTTATCCCTGGTCAAGGATATTGGACTCATCATATTGTACCGTCAATCTCCAATTCCAGATGAGAGCTTCTTCGTAATGAGACTCGTGTTGATTCGTGACTATTACTAGATTCATAGTTGACCCCTATTCTCTTCTCTTGGGTCTCACAAGAAGGCCAGTTTGATGGACGAACCAACGGTTCTGGACCTTCCAGGACCATCCAGCCTTGTCCACCGACTGAAACTAGTTGTACGCTTGTCAGCATTGAGGATAATTGACAATCTTCTTTCAGTGTTACGCTTACATCGTATCTTTGCAAAAGAGTAGGGGTAACTTTGTAAACCTCCAAGAGGGCAATAGGTTTTCCGATGCAAGAACGCGGCCCGGCGCCGAACTGGTAATTTTCAGTCGATAAAGGTATGAACAAATGAATCAGAATGCTGACCGTGAGTAAGGAGTTCTCCATCTGTCTCCTTGTGGAAGCATCACAGAACCACCTTTCGGGCCTCCATGAATTGCTGTCACGGCCAAAGACGGCTTTGTCGCGATGTACGACCCAAGCGTTCATGCCTACAACCGTACCAGACGGTAGGTACTGGCTGCAGATGGTAGCGCCTCCTTTTGGAACCACTCTCTCAAGGGGTAGACCAAATGGTGGATGCAACCGGCTTGCTTCCTTGATACAGGCATCCAGGTAAGGCAAGGCTTGCGCTTCCTTCCAAGAAACTATCGTAGACAGCTCCCCAGCCAGTCGCGCAGTGTCAAGCTCACTCATAAGAGCCTGCATAGATTCATGATTCGTGAAAAGGTAATAAAATACTGCACGCATGAGTATGGCCGTAGTATCGCTTCCAGCCGTAATGTTTGAGGTCATCCACGCTGTCAAAGCCCTGCATAATCTGAGATCAACACGTGACCATGAACCTCTAGCATATATCTTTGTACCTACCATCGTGGTATCAGTTTGTCTCGGTCCAGGCATTGGAGAAATTGAGACAAAAAGTCCTCAGGACCATCTCGTAAGGGCTCGCTATCATTTTCCAAACTCGTCGTCCGCTCCCTAATCCTTCGCAACCCGAATTCCACAACTGGGTTTGGTTTTGTAACGGAAACTCTCTGACGCAGAGGGTTCTTGGTCCATAGCCAATCAACCCAAGGAATTTGTGTTACCTGCATCAGTCAGACTCGGACCCAACAGACACTAGAAGAAAAGAAGGATTGACAGGTGCTGCCTTGTAGAAGTACGTCCATATCGAACGAATTATTCCGTCTACATCCATCCCAGTAGCCAGAAAACCAAGAGGCCGAGAGAATGTGAGGTCTCCCATTACATCAAAGGCGAAATAGCGCAACCATGTTCCTAGATCACAAGGCAGACCTTGGTCGGCGAAGAGCGTGTCCAGCCTATCGATGAAGTTTTGCAAAGTGATATCAACGAACGGCTCCAAAGTTAATATCTTCGTTGTTGAATACATGGCAGCCACAGGCTTGCGCAGTGTGCGATGCAGTCTCTCATCCTGGGTGGCAAAGATTGTAGGCACCGGCCTGCCCTTTGTGTAGAGGAGGAGTACATGGTAAAAGTCAGACTATGTTGTGTTTTAGCATTACCGGAGTCGCGACAACCTGCGAACGAATATACCTTGACGAACCTCCCCCCAAACCCATAGATCTTGGAGATTTCGGTGGCGTCCCCAACAGACACCATGTTGGGTCCGAAGCGAACCAACTTTCCATACCTTTCATGGAGCGAAATATGGATCTCATGGGCTCGATCGCTCAGAACCCACAATACCCGGGGAATGTTGGTGATTGAGGCGAGAAGGGGCCCAGGAACATCGCGAAGGTTCCGCTTTCCAATAGCCAATGCCCCCAAGGAGATTCCGAGGACCACAGAACACAGGAAGTAGATCATTTCTGGCTTGATCAGCCTCAGTAAGCCCTGTTCCTAAGTCACTGGGCTGAGTGTATCTCTGCGAAGGCGGCGCTGGGCACAGGAAAGCCTGCAACAACGTCATAACCAAACATCATCTTGTCAGGTCAAGTCTCCCGAAGCTAAATTTATCTAGGCAGCCATAGTTGAACATATCATATGGTGGGGAAGGACATTTGACATTGGAATGCTGGGGACCCGAGTCCCATCGTTGCCTGTGGCTGGATTTTGGCAGACAGTTGTACTTCTCTACGATGCAACATCTCGCGGTATTGGCCAAGATTGGCACCACCACTCAATTGAAAGCTATACTGAGCAGCCCCAATTACCACACGTTCAAAGAGCAGCGAGGTGCAGATTTGGTCGGAAGAATACTCGCGGTTTCCGAACCAAGTGTCAAAGAGATGGAGATTGTGCCCCGAGTATGATTTTGGAGACATGGGGCGGCTAGCCCGTTTCTGTCACACAAGGCTGAAGCCCCTGGACGGGGGCCTGAATACGACCTCACGCGTGCCACCATCCGGACCCCATCTGCTCTTTTGACTCGACAGTCAATGGCCGACTCACCCTCAATATAATAAAAGTGACGAGTGAGCCTGCAAGAATATGCAAGCCAACACTCATGTGCATTCATAGTTCTTCTCTGTTTGGCTGCCCTTGCTTAAACTGCATCTAGTGCCTTTCTAATAGGCTGTTGTTGTTCACCAACCTTTGATTTTCTTCCCAGGAATTACTGCGAGGCGTGTTCTAGATCGCAGCAAGACTGACCGCCTTGACAAAAACTTCCCACGGATTCCAAACCCAACGGCCTTCCTATCACCATATTCCACCACTCCCCGAACCAAACGCAGCCATGTCTGCCCAATCAGAAACCTCGCCTGCAAAGCAGACGCAGGATGCCAACACTCCGAATCAGAGTTTGCCCATTCACGAGTTTGAGATCAAGGACGACGAGATCGAGGTCGAAGAGATTAAGGGCATCAAATTGTTTACAATCATGCTTGCATTGTGTCTAGCCGTCTTTTGTGTTGCCTTGGATAACACCGTGGGTTTCCGCTCCCAACCCCAGACCTTTCCCTTGACTAAAGAATTCCTAGATCATAGCGACAGCAATCCCCCACATTACAAACGAGTTTGAAACTGTTCAGGATATTGGTTGGTACGGGTCGGCATATTTCCTAACAACTTGTGGTCAGTTAGATCCTCCAACTTCCCCTCACATATACTAACCAACGTAGTTTGCCAACCAGTTTTCGGCACATTGTACAGCTCTTTTGATTTCAGAGGCACCTTTTTGTTTGGGCTCGCCATGTTTGAAATAGGGTCCCTAGTCTGTGGAGTTGCTAGAGCATCTTCAGTCTTCATTGTGGGGAGAGCCATCGCGGGGCTCGGGGCTGCTGGGATCATCTCTGGTCCTTTAGTATTGATTGCAAGAATTCTACCAATGAGCAAGCGACCGCAGTTCAGTTCATTGATCCTATCGATGTGGGGATTCGCATCCGTTGCAGGCCCATTGGTGAGCAATATCTGCCAATCGAAAAGATTCGAATTCGGACTAAATCTACTTACAGATGGGTGGTGCAATGTCAGACAGGGCAACGTGGAGATGGTGCTTTTTCATCAACCTACCAGTCGGGTGAGTATCCCTGTACGAGATCATTGGGCTCTTTCTTGCATGGCTAAACATTTCTGCAGTCTCATTTCAACGGTTCTGATCCTCTGGCTCTTGCATTTGCCCCAGACAGACAAGCAGATGCAGCTCTCATTCATAAACCGAGTTAAACGCATCGATTTCTTGGGTATGGTCACGTTCATGGTAGCCACCATCTGTTTGCTCCTTGCACTTCAATGGGGTGGAACAGCATATTCATGGTCCAATGCAAGGATCATTGTCCTCTTTTGTATGTTTGGATTTCTAACAGTTGCGTTTGTGGTAATTCAAATTTGGAAGGGAGATGCCGCAATAGGTGAGTCCAGCAACCCGATAAATGATCGGATCCCCACTAATGGGTCGCAATAGTCCCACCTAAAGTCGCTGGACAACGATCCATTGCGTTTGCCGCCTTATTCTCAGCTTGCTTGGGTGGAGGATTCTTCTTCTTCGTGTACTACATTCCTTTTTGGTTCCAAGCGGTCAGCGGAGCCAGTGCTACCGAGTCTGGCTTGGACAACGTTCCGCTTATGTTGTCACAAGCCATTGGCACCGTCGTTTCTGGCGCCTTGACCGCCAGATGGGGTCACTACATGCCCTTCGTCATGCTTTCGGTGGTCCTAATGTCGACAGGTGCAGGGCTAATCACAACATTCTCGATTGGCATGCCTGCGAGTAAATGGATTGGATATCAAATCCTCTATGGCCTTGGAGTTGGAGTTGGGTTTCAGCAGCCACAGATTGCTGTACAGGCCATTCTCTCCTCGGATCTAATTGCGATCGGAATCTCTCTGATGTTCTTCACCCAGCTCCTGGGAGGTGCCGTCTTTCTTGCCATCGGCCAGAATGTCTTTGCGAATCGACTAGTGGCAGAGCTGAGTGCCAGTCAAGTTCCAGGGTTAGATCCGATCATGATCCTTGAGTCGGGTGCAACCGAATTTCGCCATGGCCTAGGCCTCCAGGCCGACCAAATCCTTGTGGTTATTCAGGCATATGCAACAGCATTGGTTGCTTCCTACAGAGTGGGACTAATTGTCTCTTGTTTGGCGATGCTCGGAGCATTAGGTATGAAGTGGAAGTCTATCAAAGGACTGGCGACGATTGAAGTTGGCATGTGATCTTCACAGCACAGTGTTCATAGAGACGATAGAGGTGTGGGGCGAAATTTGGTTTCACTATAGACTTTGTTTGTAAGATTGGGAGTTACTTGGACTTCGGAAAATGGGTCACAAATCAGGCGGGTGAGGAGGGAACGAACACTTTCGGAGCATCGAGGGATCTTGCGCCGTTTGTACAAAGGCTTGAAATTCCCTAAGGAGGGACTTTACGTTCACCAGTGTGAAGTAACAGGCGAACAGAGTCGAATTATTTGTTGGATAGATTAGGTATCAAACACGAACTGGTAGCACAAGGTTAGCCCCGAGAGCCCACACCGCTCGTACCGAATCTATGTCTTGTGATCGGGGCTCGACAAAGTTTGCCCCATGACAGCTAGCTAGTTTATTAAGATGAAAGTATCTAATGAAATCTTTAGATAGCATCTGTGTCGAGACAAGTCAACTCGAAATTAGTCTAGAATCAACGGGACACCTTCCAAACATCATAAAATAACAGTGGATCAAGCCCTGAGAATGCATTTCTCGAGATACGTCAATAAAGCGATTGATCCACATCGGGGAGCATGCATTCGATCTTTACCAGAGCTTGTTGATTACAATTCAAAGGAGAACAGCTCCTATTTGTTTTGCATTCAAGGAGAGGCTTCAGATGGCGAGAACGAAGGGCTTCAGACAATATCTCACTCTGAATTCCAAAAGGCATGCGGACGGTGCGCTGGAAACCTCGTTTGGTCGATAGCCGAGATTGAGCTACCTTCGCAACAGCAAGGCAGGGGTTTCGTCAAGGGGAGGCCAGTTGCATTATTCATCAACAGTGATGTTGGCCTCCTGATCTACATGGTGGCTTTGATGGGCCTCGGAGTTCCAGTAAGTCTTTCTCGATAGCTCTCAAAGCTGGAGGCTTACAAAAGTGGGTGCTACTATGCTCTGCTCGGCTTGGATCGTCTGCACTTCGACATTTGTTGTGGACAACCAACGCATGTGCTATTATCGGCAGTCGTAGACATCGCAATGTCATTGAGACCGCATTGCGGGACTTCCCAAACGACGTTGATCCACCTGGACTCTATATCCAGGAACACTATGCAACATTTTTGAAGTCCCCAGGTCAGGTTGATGGTCCGCCAGAGGTATCTTGCCAGGGACATTACATCGACGAGACTGACCGAAATGTTGTTATCTTACATTCATCTGGAACCACTGGAATGCCCAAGCCCGTGTACTGGTCCCACCGACAGCTCATGTCGTTCACAACCTGCCATGCGTTCAGGAGTGAAAGTGAGGCCGAGGCTCCGAATATGACCACCCTCCCATTCTACCATGTAAGAATTTGGCGGATTCGGTATCGTTGATGCTTTTCGCTTACAGGTGATTATACAGGGCTATGGTTTGCTTGCGCCACTCCTATCTTTTGGGGTGGGCACCACACTGTGCATTCCTAATTCTCACTCTGTTCAACATCCAGACTCAGTGTGCAAATTTCTCCAGCTCACGCGAGCCAAGTCCCTGATGACAGTGCCATCAATTCTCGAAGGGATATCACTCCTTCCCCGTGGGCAAGGTGTCAAGATTCTTGCCACTCTGAACTTTGTCGCTTTCGGAGGTGGTCTGTTGAAGGAAAGCGTTGGCAGTAGCTTAAGTGCTGCTGGTGTTAAGCTTCTGAATCACTATGGATCCACTGAGAGTGGACCTCTGACTCCTATCTTCGTACCAGATGCCCAGTATGACTGGCACTTCTTTCGACTCCGCAAAGATATCGAAATGGGGCTGACGGAAACAAATGGAGAAGGAGAAGAGAACACAAAAAGGTACACCCTCAAATTACGCCCACATGGATGGGAAGTCGACTTTGAGCTCCAAGACGAGCTTGTTCGCAATCATGACAGCGAGGAACTTGAGTTCGCTGCCGTGGGTCGTAAGGATGAACTTGTTGTCTTGTCCAACGGTGAAAAGATGTCACCGGAAGTAATCGAAACGTACCTCAGTGGCCAACAAAATATCGCCGATGCGGTGGTATTCAGCAACGAAAACTCTGAAGTTGGCGTCATCATCAAACCTTCCATACCAGTCAGTAAAGCAGAGAGACGAGCTTTCAGAACAAGTATCTGGCCATGCATTGTCGAAGTCAACAAGCTCACCGACGGCTTCGCTCAGATTCCATCCGAGCTCATGGTTTTGATTGTCCCAGACGAGATTGAGCTTCCCAGATCGGACAAAGGTTCTGTGTTGAGAAGAGAAGTTTATCAGCTTTTCCAGAGCGACATCGAAAAGACCAACGCATACGTAAACGACGGCGAGGATGATCCTTTTCCAAAGCTTTGCTCTCAATCGCTAGAAAACTATATCCAGGAAGTGATACAGACCAAGCTCAATTGGAAAATTTCTTCTCGGAACTGGAGCACGAGCGATGACCTTTTCGAGCTCGGAATGGACTCCCTCCAGGCACTCCAGTTACGTCGCGCGGTCGAACGAGTCACAAGATCATCAGCCAACGGCACAATAGACTCGTCGATGTTGACGATGGACTTCATCTATCGAAATCCTTCTGTGGACAAGATTGCCACCGCACTTCGCGGAGCAAGAGCAGATGTCATTTACAATACTCGATCTGATCAGATTGTGGGGTTTGTCGAAACATATTCAAAGTTCCGTCCAAAATGTCTCCCCAGAGTCCTAATCACAGGAGGGACGGGAAACTTGGGTGCTCATATGGTGGCACAGCTTGCAACAGATCCCGCTGTTGTTGAGGTTGTCTGCCTCAACCGACCCGGGCTACTGAGAACAGGCTTGAATGCATCTGATCGGCAGAAGGCCGCGTTGGAGTCGAGGGGTATATTTCTCGAAAATGAACATTGGCTCAAAATCAAAGTCCTCGAATGCGACACCTGGAAGCTAAGGCTGGGCCTCAACCGCGAAGACTACAATAATCTCGCAACCGATATGACACATATTCTCCACAACGCTTGGTCTGTAGATTTCACACAGCCACTGTTGTACTTCGAACATCAGTTTCAAACGCTGCAAAATCTCATTGTACTGGCCCAAGAAATGTCGTTGCATCGGCCTTCAAAGAAACCACGACTCTTGTTCGTTTCATCAATCGCAGTAGTGGGCAGCAACCCACTGCTCGGCATGGTCGATCCAATCGTTGAAAAGCCTGTGGAGCTCGTTGAATGCTGCAATACCTCTGGATATGCTGAGGCTAAGCTAGTATGTGAGAAGATCATTGAGATGTTCGCAAGTCGATACAACTCATCTGTTGAGCTGGGATACGTCCGTCTAGGTCAAATCACAGGTTCAAGGCACGCAGGAATCTGGTCCACCAAAGAGCATTTGCCAGTTCTCTTCCAGACAGCACAACTGATGGGTCATCTACCAGTAATGGAAGGGGTAAGTATGGAGGGGGAGCATCTTTGAACCGTGGGAAACACATTGCTAACTGGCCTCAGACACTATCTTGGCTTCCAGTAGATATCGCTGCTGCTTCTATCTCGGAGATTATGTTCAGTGACGAAGCTATGCAGTTAGTCTACCACTTGGAAAGTCCCACGAGACAGCCATGGCATGCTATCATTGAGATCATGTCAAGCTTATTGGAGTTGCCAACGAAACCACATCTTGATCTAGGAATTTGGGTAGAGGCTGCACACCATCTGACGAGAGATCGTCCCGACACCTACTCATTCTCACTACTATTGGAATTTTTCCAGAGAGATTTCGTGCGGATGGCTTGTGGACTGGTCACCTTGGATGTAAGCAACGTCCTAGCAGTTTCTTCGTCGTTGAGAGAAAGCAAGGGTGTAATGGGCGATGACCTTGCGTCGTATGTCTCATATTGGAGAAAAGATGGTTTCCTCTTGAGGTAGAGAGGAGACAACTCAACAAACTACTGGAGATCCTCGCTCCCGGTTCATTAAGCTACTCTTAGTATCACCTACCGAGAGCCACATCAATATTTTCTGGCGAAATAGAGTCCTCGGCTTTTGGTCCTGCGGTGACTTTGGGTGTTTCATGACCAAGGGTTCAGAATGCATCGTACAGAATGAATATAAGCTCGATTCACCCGGGCTGGGTTGATTCCCAATTTGCGGGTCCATTGGCCTTATCGGCGCAGATGTTCAGCAATGATAGTTGGAATGGTTGAAAAACCTCTGGATTTCTATTTGAGAGGAGATATCGTGTGAGTGTGAGTGTGTGTGCGTGTACAGGAAAACATGCCATACATGCTTCCTTAGGCAAGTGATGCAAACTTGGTCTCCAGTCCAGGTTTGTCCATCCAGTCATGCACGAAATCAGCCCTTCCAAAACAAACCGTGCTTGTCCAGTTCAAGTGGAAGATGCATGGACGTCATGCATATCGTACCTCTTATCTACGAGGTAGGACTCCTGGCTAGGAAGCCTAGGTCTCTGTTTGCGACACAGGACTGGGACGGGGCCATGCAATCGTTACACTACCACATAAGGTGACTAGACCGCCTGTACAAAGTGTAATTTGCATTTTCATCACACTTTTGTGAGGGCCCGAGTCGGAGAGGCGAACGCAACGCAGTATTTTCCTTGAGGACAGTCCAATGTTTGGTCTGAGCCTTACCGCCAACTCAAGATCATGTCGATCCAAGGCATGGTGGATGCAACCAATAGCGCACGTATACCTAGTACAGCCATGAATCCTATGTTCATTATACTAAGCGATCTCGATCTGATGAGGCTGCTCGACTTACGGGCTCTCCTTAAGTATGAAGCGAATCCTCTAGAAAACCCAGCCTATCATTATGGTACTGTGGTAGTCCGGGTTTATCACAGTCGAGGGATCTCTCCCACTTTGCAAGATGAAGACTATGGCATCCAGCAACGCTCTTCCATCATTGATGGTATTTGGGTCTTTGTCAACATCCATATGTCCTGATTACAGGAGTCGTATTCAAGCCAATGCCTCAATTCGACATCAATTGGCTAAAATCCTAGAAGCCATTAATGAACTCCAAGTGCTTTGGCAAACAATGCTTGACAATGATCCACGGCTGAGCACTGTCCCCGGATCTGAATGTCAGAAGGCACTCGTGGCATGGCTGGATGCCGATGACTTCCCCTGGTCAGATGAGGGAATGCCTAACACGTTCAGCATGCCTTTCACGGTGATGATCCAAGTCTTGCAGTATCTCGATTTTATCCACAAACACGATGGCAACATTAACCATTCCGATATCCTGCGTGGTGCAGCCATCGGTGGCACACAAGGGTTTTGCACCGGTCTCCTCACAGCCATTGCAATTGCAGGCGCCAACGACGAGGAAACTTTGATTGAATCATGCACGGTAGCCATGCGTCTAGCGTTTTGCATCGGAGCATATGTCGACTTGGACGGAAAGTTTGGCTCAGAACAGGTGGACCTGTGTTGTATTGTGTGCAGATGGAATACCGAGGACGGGCATGACACTGTCCTAAGGATACTTCGAAATTATCCAGAGGTATTTGTGCAGCAATCCACTCTCGTTCCTTTGCTGACTGACTCTACGTAGGCTTACATATCAGTTGTAACTGGTGCAACGGATGTTACCATCACCACCACCAAAGAAACTCTGGGTAGTATCTCTCGCGATATGGCTCGTGAGGCAATGATTGCAAAGCAAATCAGCCTTCAAGGCCGCTATCACACTCCTCGGCATGCTGATTCTTTTCAGCGCATCATATCGCTTTGTGATACGCTACCAAGCTTGGTCTTTCCCCCTTCCCACGAACTCAAATGCCCGGTGCTATCAAACTTTGATGCTCAGTTGTTGTCACCAAATCAATCTCTTCATGAACAAGCTCTAAGATGTATCATGGTTGAGACAGCAAATTGGCACTTGACCTTATCTGCGGCAGTATCTCAACTGATAGCAATGGAAACCCCTTTATGCGTAATATTCGGCACCAATGACTGTGTTCCGCCCTCGCTCGCCCGGGAGCGTGGTCTGAAACTTATGAGAATGTGGACTGAGACCTCAACCATGGGTGAATGCAATCCCAGGCGTCAGTCACCAGCAGACGGGCCCTCGGAGTCGATATTCTTCAACGCGCCTGGCTACACGTATCCAGATCATGCTATTGCTGTGGTGGGGATGGGTTGTCGCTTTCCAGGAGCGCAAAACCTTGACGAGTTCTGGGATATAATGTGTGCCGGCAAATCAATGTGCCAGGGAATCCCCACCAACAGGTTTGCTGCAGCTCACCAACAGAGATCCATGTCGAAAGCACAGCATTTCTATGGCAACTTCCTAGATGACGTTGACTGCTTCGACCATCGTTTCTTCAAGAAATCATCTCGAGAGGCAGCAACAATGGATCCCCAGCAAAGACTTCTTTTGGAAGTTGCTTATGAAACAGTCGAGTCGTCAGGTTATTTTACAAACAATTCCTCCGGTGCCGCGAATAATGTTGGCTGTTATGTTGGTGTTTGTGCCACCGACTACAACGATAATGTCGCATCACACCCGGCAAATGCGTTCTCGTCCTTGGGGACTCTGAGGGCATTCTTGAGTGGCAAGATCAGTCATTATTTTGGTTGGGTTGGACCATCTCTCACAGTCGACACTGCATGCTCCTCCTCTGCCGTGGCAATCCACACGGCTTGCAAGGCTATCGAAGCAGGCGAGTGTACAGAAGCACTGGCTGGTGGAGTTAGCATCTACACAAGTCCGTACTTCTATGAAAACCTCGCAGCTGCTTCATTTCTGAGCCCCACAGGACCCACAAAACCTTTCGACGCAGCCGCTGATGGTTATTGTCGTGGTGAGGGTGTCGGACTTGTATACTTGAAGAAGCTATCTGCGGCCATCAAAGACAAAGATCCCATCCAGGGGGTTATCACTGCATCCGCAGTTGCACAGAATGCTAATTCAACATACATCACTGTACCTCACTCAGAATCTCAAGTTGAACTATACAAAAAAGTCTTGAGCCAATCTGCCTTGTCTCCACTGCAGGTGTCATATGTCGAGGCTCACGGCACTGGGACGCCTGTTGGGGATCCCATAGAGATGCAAAGTATACGTCAGGCATTCTCAGGCCTGCAACGACGAGACTCCTTGGCCGTATCCTCAGTCAAGGGCAACATTGGTCATCTTGAAGCCGCATCTGGTGTGGCAGCCTTGATCAAGGTTTGCTTAATGATGCAACATCGTCTCATCCCCGTTCAAGCAAATTTCAACAAGCTCAATCCTAAGATTCCACCTCTTCCCCCGGATCGGATCGTGATTCCTTTGACTACGGACGAATGGAATCAAGAGTACCCAGTGGCATGCATCAGCAATTATGGTGCTGCTGGAAGCAATGCTGCAATCATGGTTTGCTCGCCCCCGTCGAGGAAGCAAAATGTTACCAACAGCAAGAATCGACCAGCAAGTCAGCTCCGAAGAGTTCCTATATCGGTCTCGGCAGCTTCTGTCGAGAGTCTGAGTTCCTATGCTCGAGCACTAGCTCAGAAATGCCAGAAAATGGACGAAGCCTTTCCAGGAAAGACGTTGCTACCATGCGTTGCGTTCCATCTCGCACGACGATCAAACAGAAGCTTTGCCTATTCCGTGTCCACAACGGTCACCACTGTGGCCGAGATGATCGCCTGGCTATATGAGCAAGGCAAATCAGCGATACCGATGGAGACCAAACCACCAGCGCGCCCTGTCGTGATGTTCTTCTCTGGACAGGTTGGGCAATCTGTGGGCGTTGACCGCGATCTTTACGAGTCATCCCCACCACTACGAGAATTCTTAGACCAGTGCGACGGCAAACTTCGATTGCGCGGACTGAAAGGATTGTACCCAGAGATGTTTTCATTTGACCCCAAGAGCGATATTGTGGACTTACACTCCATGCTCTTCGCCGCCCAGTATTCGTGTGCAATGACGTGGATTGCGTCTGGCCTGAAAGTCGAAGCTGTGATGGGACATAGCTTTGGGCAACTTACAGCTCTTTGTGTCTCCGGTATTCTCTCTCTCGATGACGCCCTCGCATTTGTGACCGGACGAGCTAGCATCATCAAGAGACATTGGACTGGGGAAAGGGGTGTCATGATTGCCGTAGAAGGCGATCTGGAAAACATTCAAGCGACGCTCTCCACCCTAGAAAACAGAAACACCAACTACAAAGTCGAAATTGCATGCTATAATGGCCCACAGAACTACACTCTTGCTGGAGACTTGGCTTCTATCGAGGCACTAGAGACACAACTACGCTCTTCCACACCCAAGGCAATCAAATATCGACGTATTGATGTGTCTCATGCTTTCCACTCTCAATTCACCGAAACGATCATTCCTGTACTGAAAAGATCAGCGGAGAAGCTTATCATGAATCGTCCAAATATCCATTTTGAAGCTTGTTCTGACCTTGAGAACTGGCGGAAGCCTTGCGCGGATCTTCTCGCACACCACACAAGGTCACCTGTCTTTTTAAACCGTGCTGTTGAAAGACTGGCAGAAAGATTCGGACCTTGTACATGGTTGGAAGTCTTTTCTCTGTCGTCTTACAGTCGCTTACTTAAACAAAATCTCGCGAACCCAGAGCATCATCACTTCATCACCTCTAACCTGCACAATCACGATGCCCTTGGTAGCTTAGCATACAATACCGCCTCGCTTTGGGAGAATGGACATCCTGCCAGATTCTGGCCCTTCGTTGCCGCACCGCACGAGTATGATCATATCCAATTGCCGCCATATCAATTCGAAAAGACTCGGCACTGGCTACCACTCAGTGTCCTTGGTGCGCACCAAGAAGCAACACCAAAGGATCGCCCTTCGGAGCCCACTCCTTTGTTAACAAAACAACACTCTCCATCAGACCGAGACGACCATACTGCCACATTCTCCGTCAATCTAACGAGCATGATTTACAAAGACTATGTTCGCGGCCACGCTGTTCTGGGGGAACCTTTGTGTCCTGCTCCCCTATACCTCGAGATGGTCATGACGGCGTGCCAGTTGTGGAAGGAAACATCTTATCACAATGGTCAAACAGTCGTCATGAGGGACCTAGTCATCAAGGCGCCGCTTGGAAATGACACAAGCCGTCAGGCCAGTCTGCTGTTGGAAGAAGAACCAGGGAGAAAAAATGCATGGCATTTTCAGGTGTCCAGCACCGCTAGTACAGCTGCTGCACTAACATCCCAGAAACCTACTGTCCATGCTTCTGGCTATCTCGAGGTCGATTTTAGCAACACCAAAGGCAGTGCGACTTTCCAGCGGTACGAGCGACTTGTCAAGCTTAAGTCATTCCTTGACATCCAGAGTAATCGTCAAGCTGTTGCCGTGCAGGGCCCTCTGATATACGACATTTTTGCAAGAGTGGTGAACTACGAACAATACTACAAAGGAGTGAGAGGGATTTGGTCGCACGATCAAAAAGTCGTGGGTGAAGTGACCTTGCTGGAAAAAGCTGCACTACCACATCTCTCACAGAGCAAGCCGCTAGCGATTGACAACTTTGTTCAGGTCGCGGGCCTCCACGTTAACGCGTTACAAGCTCGACCTGACAGCGAAGTCTATGTCTGTACCCAAATCGATGAAGTTGTCATGGGTCCCGAGTATTTCAATAACGGGAGGTCCTGGATCGTCTGCTCCGAGAGCTCTTCCATGGATGCAGGAAAGGTTCAAAATGACATTTTTGTCTTTGACGCTGATAAGAAAACCCTTGTTGTCATGATCTTGGGGGCCGAGTTCTCGAAAGTGTCTACCACTGTTCTCAAGAAGCTACTAGCACGCGCCAACGCAGGCACCGGGCAAGATTTGTCAACTGTATCCGCAGGGAAGACTGCCGGCGCAGATCTGTCGCATACTCCTCGCCGTATTCCTGCGTGTTACAATGATGAGGCAACAAAGACTCAAAGAGTTGATTCATCTTCCTCAGAGACCAAGGCAATCGCTACCATACTTGGAGACCTCAAAGCCATATTGGTCAAAATTGCAGAAGTTCCACCCAAGTCCCTGGAAGACATTACAATTGCGTTTGAAGATCTAGGATTGGATTCTTTGATGTCGATGGAGCTTTTGGGAGAAATAAATCGCCATTATGGTATCACGATTTCCAGCGATGAATTTGCAGAAGTTTCGACTGTTGCACTCCTACTAGATTGTGTCTGCCGCCAAAAGGGCCTGACATCTCAGAAGGCGTCTTCGGGACTCGAAGTAATGAATGAAATGGAAGCCGAAAGAAGCATGTTATCTGCTTCAACGCCACAGTCAGTCACAGAATTGAGCCAGATGTCCACCATAACTCCAGCAACCTCGATTGAAACCACTAGCAATGGCTCGGCGGCGAGTCAAGTTTCCATGCTTTGCTCGATTGTCACCGAACATTTGGGCCTGACGAAGATTCATCAATCAACAAATTTGACCGATGCTGGACTCGATTCACTGTTGAGCATCGAGCTTGTGAGTGATATACAACGTGGGTTTGGAATCGACCTCGATATGAATGATCTAGGGCCTGATCCGACCTTTGGCCAACTGGTTCAGCTTGTTGTTGGCCCTATTCTAACTCCCAGAGAAGAACCTGAAGTGGCAAAAGGCGGCAAGATGACAACCAATGCCCTCGGAACACAAGTCAGAAGGCAGAATGAGCCGAATGGGTTTCTCTCAGGACCACGCCAATTTGATGGCTCAAATTCCAGTGCCACAAGCGATAATGTCAGAGCACAACCAGACATCGATGGCAAGATGAATCTCCATGGCGCACAGCAGTGCTTTGAAGATACGAGATTCGACTTTGATACCTTAGCTGCACAGAGCAGATTCGCCGGCTTTTGGAGGGAAGTGTATCCAATGCAAGCCAAGCTCGTTCTGGCGTATGTGATTGAAGCCTTTGATAAACTTGGATGCTCTCTTGAAAGTCTCCAAGCTGGAGCCGCGATCCCAGCCACTCGACATTTGCCCAAGCATGGCAAATTGCACCGTCAGCTCTTACGGATTCTCCAAGATGCGGATGTCGTGGTCTCAAATGGAACAGGCACAGTTCGAGGAGAAGCAAAGATTGATCCCCAGCCATCCAATTCGATCCTCAGTGAGATACAATCTAAGTTCCCACAACACGTCCAGGAGCACAAGCTACTCAACATCACTGGTTCAAAGCTCGCAGAGTGTATGGATGGCAGCTGTGACGCCTTGAAGCTCCTCTTTCGCAAGAAGGAAGACCGCGACCTTCTGGCCGAAGTCTACAAGAATGGGCCCATGTATGAGACCGCAACCAAGCTTCTTGGATCCTTCCTGGTACGAACTTATGATTCATTATTGGCAGATTTGAAAGGGACGATCGATATCTTGGAGATCGGAGGAGGCACAGGTGGAACCACCAAGTATATTGTGGAATTGCTTACTCGCCATAAGATCCCATTTACCTATACGTTCACCGACCTCTCCAGCACCTTGGTGGCTGCTGCACGGAAGGACTATGAAGGGAATTCGACGATGAAATTCATGACGCTGGATATTGAGAGGACTCCACCTCAGGAAATAATGGGCAAGTTTCACACCGTCATCAGCACCAACTGCGTGCATGCGACACGAAACCTTGAGAAGTCGCTGAGCAACGTCCGAAGCTTGCTACGACCTAATGGGTTTGTATCCTTGGTGGAATTCACACGCAATATGTACTGGTTTGACCTGGTGTTTGGCCTATTGGAAGGGTGGTGGCTTTTCGAAGACGGCCGACAGCACGTGCTTGCAAACGAATGGACGTGGGAGCGAGACATGAAATCTGCTGGGTTCAGGCACGTGTCATGGACAGATGGTGCGAGCGAAGAATCGAGAACACTCCGAATCATCACGGGGTTCTCCAGCGATGCCGAAAAGGACGAATTCAAGCCTAGACCAACCAACTGGAAGCCATCCATCGAGACGTTGGTATGGAATCAGGTTGGGGATACTCTGCTATACGCCGACGTGTACATGCCTTCAGACCGAGACTCTACTCCCAGACCGGTCGGTAAGTAGAATCTATCTGGAGATTCATTCTAGCTATGCTGATATGTTTCACTAGCTCTTCTCTTCCATGGAGGCGGCCACGTGTTGTTTACCAAACGCGATGTCGGAAAGAAACAGATCCAGCTTCTCCTCGACAAGGGACTCCTACCGGTCAGTGTGGAATACCGCCTTTGTCCTGAGGTCAACTTGATCGATGGTCCTATTCACGATGCCCGCGAGGCCGTGCGATGGGCCCGGGAGAAACTCCCTAGAATCGCTTTCGACCATCCTGTTCGTGCTGACGGTAGCAAGGTTGCTGTGGTTGGATGGTCGACTGGAGGTCATCTTGCAATGACGACGGGATTCACTTGCCCGGCGAACAACATCCAAGCTCCAGAGGCGGTGTTGGCGCTTGACTGTCCAACAGACTATGAATCCGATTGTGAGTCGCACTGGCCTAAAGCAAAGACTTCACGGTTCGTGTGCACTAACGAGAAGGCAGGGTGGAAAACTCCCCATCAATTGAGTTGTATGGTCTCATCCCCAAACGAGCGATATGACCTGTACGAAGGAAAAAGGGACAAACCGATCACTGGGTATTATCCACCGATGAATCGTGGAGTCACGGGGATGCCAATGTCTATCAAGGATCCACGATGGAGATTTGTCCTGCATATGAACTGGAAGGCGCAAACCCTACCATTCCTGCTCGAGGGATTGCCTGACAAGCGAATGGACGAAGATGGAGATTTTGATCGAGCTCCGGTCCGTCCGCAACCTCCTCAAGAATTGGTGGCTTCTGTCAGCCCGTTTGCACAGATTGTAAAGGGGAATTACCACTCCCCAACCTATCTTGTGCATGGTTCTGAAGATGACTTCATTCCATGGGAGCAGTCGCAGAAGACGTTTAACGCTCTCCAAAAGAGAGGCATTCCCGCAGGGTTTTCACTTATTGAAGGCGGCACTCATCTGGATGGAATTTTCGAACGGGCTTCGGAACAGTGCAAAAATGCTTTGAGAAGGGGGGTCGATTTCATTTACGAGCATGTTGGGGTTTCCAAGGTGGACTCTGCTTGAGGGCTGGAAAAGAATGGTTTTAAGGGCATAGAGAATGATGAAGGACGGACTTACCTAGAACTCAACTTCCATGAGTTGATTTAATGATATACGACTAACGATTGAATACTTAGGATTCAAGGGGCTCTGGCATCAGGGGTAGGGATTTACTTCATGCGTATGAGCTAGATTAGGACGAGACGATGTAGCTCTCTCTTTTGTGGTTCAAAGATCCATCTCATGTTGAAGCTTGATGGTGCAAAAGGTTCATCATCTCGTTTAGTCGCTAAATTTCACCAAATTTATGACAATGGTCATCATCAACTTGGGGTATCTGACCGCCCTAAACACCAATGGGCCAAACTGTATTGGTTTCCGTTGGCACTTCCATGAAGACGGCCTCAATGAGAACCAAAGGGCTGTTCTTGACTTGATATACCCCAGTAAGACGGAATCGAGGATCTGACTTTTCGAACAGACTCTTCCAGTCTGGCACGGTTCGCTCTAAAGAATTCCAACCTAGTGCTTGGATCATGTCGAGGTTCCTATAAGAATCAGCCTCGACCAACAGGTCACACCAAGAGGCCACTAACCTGCACTGTTTCCTAGTCCACAAGGGGTCTGCATTTTCCGGCACGAAGAATTCGTATATCAAAACTCTGGCCCCGTCTTTCATTGCTGGAACCAAATTCTTGAGTATCTGAGCCGCGTACTTGTCCGCCCAATTGTGGAAAATGAAGCGGAAGAAATACAAATCTGCTCCACGCACGGGTTGCTCGGTGAAGAAGTCATGTTTCATAAAGGATACTCTGTCTTTGAGCGAGGATGAGAGACTGCGTTCTCCTTCTTGCGCTGTTCCCTCCAAGTCTTGAACAATGAAATTGAGATTCGAGGTCTCGCCGGCGAGGGCGATGCTGACGGAGCCATGTCCGCCACCGCAGTCGACTAGAGTGTAGCCTGGCGAGTCCCACCTGTTCCAGGGGTATGTAACAACCAGATTTTGGATGTCGTACATAGATCCTCGGTTGAAGAATCTCATGCACTCGCCAAACCGGCGGGATCTCTCGGAGTCTTTGGCAATGGCATGGTAGAACGAATCTTGAGTCCCAAACGCGTAATTGAATCCTGTCTGGTTGGGCTCTTGCGACCCCGGCCACAGCTCCAGAGCTTCCATGACTTTGGTCGAAGACGGGGTCAGATCCTCAAGAATGAAGCCAGCTGTATCGATAGCACCAGGTTCGTCATGTAGTAGTCGAGATACAGCTGTGTGTTTGACATGACCAGGCCGTGACTCCTCGAAAATCCGATTCATCATGACATGTTGAAGGAACCTGCGAACCAGAACTGGGTCCAGCTTAGTCGCTTGACCAAGGTCTTCATATGAGATGTCGCCATCTCTGGGAACGTGTGCGGCTATCGAGTACTGGTACACAAATCGAAAGCTCAACAGATCTGTGAACTGTGCCACAAAACACAAATATCAGTGCGAGGTTTTTGCAGCGATGCCACTTGGGCAGTGAGGTCTTTTCTAGCTCACAGAGAATAGAACATCCAAACATAGCCCCACAGGGCCCAATGCAAGGTGTCTGAGCTCTTGTGTCTTGTCAATCAGGGCCTTCCGAGCATCCTCGACATCCTCAGGGAGTCGACCCAATGTGTCTTGGTCGAAAGAGGTGGGAAGTCGTCCCGTCAGGTTCGCATGGCGGTCGATTTTGCTTGCACATGCAAGGATGTCTTCGGCGATATCGCTCAATGACATGGTATTCGGCTGAAGTGATGAATCTAGAAAGAAAGAGTGAGAAGCTTGAATGAGAAAAAGGGGACCATAGCTTCGTCGAGTGAGGGTGTGTGTGGGCTCATCAACTTGACTGAAAAGGCTACGACTCTACTCGGGTCCAATGTGGGACGGGTCCCCAAAGCCACGACGTCGACCTTTTTATGGCCGGTCGTGCTTTCAATCTGGCTGGATTTGGGACATGGGGCCCGAAATTCACGCCGGGCTGTCAAATGGTATTGGATGTTTTGTGCATGTCGACAATGCCCCTCAAGTAAGAAATCTGTGTGACCTTGCTGCTCACCATTCACACACACAGCCTGTACTCTAGACACTAAGTCAGCCCCAGACTCAGACCTTGCGTCCATCACCCATGTGATCTCATGCGAGGCGTAGTTGTCGGGCCCTCCATTTGATGTTCATGCCGCTGCTAACATGACACTCATCGACGCATCTGACCCTTCAATGACATCTCATCAGGTATAGTACCTGCTCGATGCGGCAGCAGCCCCGAAGCTTGAAATTCAATACAACACCGCCCCTTTCTGATCTAGTGGTCCAGTGGCCTGCGACTTGGGTCCTATACTGGGATGTGTCGTTCTCTTCAGGCAGTAGTGGAGCCTCAGGTCTTCAGAATAGCAATTTTTCTCAGCCTCCAACTCGGTGTCAACAATGATTGCAATGTCGGCAGCAAGGGATCCTCGGCGAGGGCTGCTGAGACTCGAAGAATAGTGCTCAGCGAGAGGACGAGAGTGAGAGTATATCTTGACCGTGGAAGCCCGACAATAAGTGAGTTTTGATTCCTCAGACCACAATAACCTCTTTCACTATTTCCTTGTTTCCTTGTCTCGATCGCTTTCATCGTTGGTATTGAACAATTTTCGTCAACTTCGTTCACTCTGCTGCTCCACTATTACAGTCACTTTGATAGCCTCGTCGATCAAACAAACAAACAGTGCTTCTTTGCCCCCCATGGCCAACCGCATTCTTTCCCTTGGCCTCCTCATTACACAGCTGGGCACAAGTTATGCCTTCCCAGCACCTCACCAAGGTGTACCACGCTCGCTCCCCGAAAGGCTTCTTGGTTCGTCCTTTGGTATCCCCGGGGACAGAACAATTGACTATGTCATCGTTGGTGGTGGCACAGCAGGGCTAGCTGTTGCGGCCCGCCTGGCCGAAAACACCGACTCCCAGATCGCCGTCATTGAAGCCGGCAGTTTCTATGAGATTGGTAACTCCAACATCAGCCAGATCCCGGCCTACTGTGCCGTGGGCACCGGCAAGACAATGGAAGGTATCAATCCTTTCAATGACTGGGGATTTGAAACCACCCCTCAAGCGGTAAGAACTGAATGGGCCCCTCCATTGTGCTTTGGCACGGCCACCAGAACGAGAGAGACAAACTGACTGGCTGCACCAGGGACTCACCAACGAGACTGCCCACTATACGCGTGGCAAATGTCTGGGAGGTAGCTCCGCTAGAAATTACCTGACATACCAACGGTCCAACGCTGGTGCGTATGATCTCTGGGCCGAGAGGGTTGGAGATGACAGCTATGCATGGGAAAACTTCCTGCCTTATTTCGAAAAGAGCATTTCATTCACGCCCCCTGACTCGCAAAATCGTCCAGCCAACGCGACTCCGGGCTACGATCTCTCAACTTTGAGCAATGGCAAAGGTCCTCTTTCATTGACCTATGCGAGATATGCCCACGCATTCTCGAGCTGGGCCCAGGTCGCCCTTCAAACTTTGGGCATCAATCCGATCAATGGCTTCAACAGTGGCAACTTGATTGGTTCGGCCAACCAGCTGTTCACCCTTGACCCCAAGGACATGGTACGAGATTCTTCAGAGACCAGTTTCTTGCGCAAGATTGGCTTGCCACAGACCAACCTGATTGTCTATCAATCGATGATGGCCACAAGAATCCTCTTTGACGACAACAGGAATGCCGTTGGAGTGGCGGTTAACGGCGAGGGCGTGGAATTTGTTCTCTCTGCCCGTCAAGAAGTCATCCTGTCCGCTGGAGCGTTCCAATCCCCTCAATTGTTGATGGTCTCTGGAGTCGGTCCAGCTGAGACACTCCAGCGACACAACATCCCAGTTATTGCTGACCGCCCAGGTGTGGGCCAGAACATGGAAGACCACGTCCTTGGTGGACCATCCTTCCGTGTCAATGTGGTCACGGCATCCAGCCTGAACGACCCCGCCTTCTTAGAAGGAATCACTGAGCAGTATCTTATGAACCGGACCGGGTTCCTCACTGCAGGAATCGATGACATGCTTGGTACGTATGACGGCCTTCCCGCCCTGACTTTCCCCGTCCCCCACAAATACAGACCTGCAGGCAGAAAGCTGACCAATGACTGATGATAGCATTTGAACGGTTACCAGCCGATATCATTAGCAGCCTGGACCAATCCACACAAGCAGACCTGGCTACACTGCCCAATGACTGGCCTCAGGTCGAATACTTGCCTGCGAGCGCATACTTTGGATACCAGAACAACGCATCTGAAGCACCAACAGACGGGTACAACTATGCGACAATGGCGGTAGCACCACAGGTGATATTCTCGCGAGGGAGCGTCGACATCCAATCTGGCGATGTGATGGACGCGCCCATCATCAACCCTAACTGGCTCACTCATCCAACGGATCAGGCCATTGCGGTGACTGGCTACAGGCGAGCACGACAGTTGTTCGAGGCCATGTCGCCGATTGTGATTGGAGCCGAGTTTTTCCCCGGCACCGACATGCAGATCCAGTCCGACGCTGAGATCCTGGATATCATCCGCAACACCTTCTTCACCGTCTATCACGCCTCATGCACTTGTGCCATGGGCCGGCCTGACGATGCAATGACAGTCATCGACTCCCATGCTAGAGTCATTGGCGTCAACCGTCTGAGGGTCGTTGATGCTTCGTCCCTGCCTCTCCTTCCCCCAGGTCATCCATTGTCCACCATCTGTGAGTACTTTCTCTCTTTGTCGAGGTTGATACCAGACTTTATTTTCCGTGCTGACAATAGCTGCACAGATGCCCTGGCAGAGAAGATTGCCGATGAGATCGCCCATGGGTATTGATTGTTCTGAATGGGGCTGCTGGACGCCATGGCCTCGGCTAACGAAACGTCCATCTCGCGTTGTTGGCATACTGCCTTTTCCAACCTGTCGCTCCTTGTTGCACTCACCTGATCCTTCCGCTCATTTTCTTGGTTGTTTGGGATGTCGATTCACGGAGGTATCTTGCCTGTCGATCGATCAAGATTGTTTGCTATGTGTTTCGCAAATGTTGACCCTGTTGGTTGAACAAGGAGTATATGGTGCTTTTTGTGAACTTGAAAGGAAAATCTTATTGCTGCGTTGGTCATTATAGATCAGCTCGATAGTAGTCTGCTGACAAAAGTTGCGAGTGGGACGAGGAACAGAGTAGAATGGAAAAATTGAGATTGAATCTGGCAAACCATGACCATTTCTGATACACGGTATTGATCTGCATGATTCGACAATGTATGTCGCTTTACGTCTTGAAAAAGTCTTTTCCCACCTAATGTATCTCATTCAGATGCAATTCTAGAATCTGGTGGTACAATATAGTACAAAATGGTCGAGTTTTTGCTGGATTGGACTAGCTGTTGGATCCCTTATTAATTTTGGGAGGGCGTTCAACTTCGCAAGTCCTTGAGTTCCGTCGCAGTCGATTGTCCTTGTTCCTTGGCCAGATGGGTGAATTCCGACCCCCAGCCGTGCGTTACTTGATACCGCAGTCTGGCCGCGGCCCGTCGTCTATCGCTTTCGGTTATCCGTTCTTGAGCTGATTCCCTCTGCGATGGATGATAACGAACGCCAAGTCGCCCTTTCTCAACCTGTGGCCGCTTAGAACCTGGACGGTGCTTATCCGAGCGATCCCGCAACAAAGTCTCTGGAAATTTCGCGCGAATACGGTCTTCCTTCTCGACTTCGAGCCTTTGCCGCCGCGAGAGACCTCGTAGAGAGCTATCACCGCTGATCTGGGCATGACGTGAAGTGATGTTTTGTCTGATTTCAGCCCGGTCTGCAGATTCGACTTCTTCAGAATCGCCAACTTTAGTGCCGTAATTTGCTGTTGATTTGTCTCTCTTTGAAGGGGGCGAAAGCTCATTGACAACCTCAGCTATGTTCCTGGGAACTTGATCCCTGAACACGTCTTTTTCTTTTGGTGACCAAGAGTTTGTGCGTCCCCTGATCCCCTTGACGTTGTTGGTCTTGGTGATAAGCGTACTGAGATAGCGTCGCTGCGCGGTAATTTCTCGGAGAAAGTCGCCTTCCAATGGGCCCAAGCCTTCGTCTTCAAGTCTCTCGTTGACTGCGAGTAATTTCTCATAGGCAGCGAGCAGGGTCTGGAAATACTGTACAAGTTCAGCCACATGCTCCGGCGCTTCTGCACGTTTACGAAGGAGCCATGTAACTCTGACCGTTCTGGAGGTGTCTGCCACTTGTCGTTGATATTCTTCGACAAAAATTTTGAGCAATTGTTCGGCATTAGAGGTCGAGGAGCCAAGCCTGGTAAGGGCGTTGATGATGTTGTTCTTTTTGGGATCGCGTTCAAAGTCCAGATCTCCATTCGGCTGCTTAACCAGCTTTGACGGAGTCATACCGTGTGTTGTTTCGATGGCGACTTGGACGTACTTTTCGAGAACAGTGGGTGACAGGATACGTAGTTCTCGATTGGATCCGTCGGTCTCGGAGGGATCGTGCTTGGCGTACTTGGCCAATTTGGTCTGCATCAGGCATAGAATCTCCGTGGCGGTGCTAAATACATTAGGGTTGTTCTTGTCTCTCATGCATGTGCTCATGGCGATGAGAAAAGTGCCCTTATTCGCCATGTCTGGCCAGAGCTTTTCTGGAATTGATTGTAAAATCGTGAGGGTTTCCTTGCTTGCTCTTGCGATGCGGAGCAGACGAAGGTAGTCGGCGTAGTTGGAAGTATCGGGATAGACTTTGAACGGACCATCTTGGGAAGTGATGAGGCGCCAGTAACGCTTTCCAGCGTCGATCTCCCGCAGAGAAGTGGCAGTGTGAAGGAGCAGTGAAAGAGTCTTATTCCCAGGCGTTGCAAAGACGGAATTGGATCTGGGTTCGAGAAAAGAGTGAGTAGTAGATGAATTGTGCTGTCGCAGTTTGACTAAATCCTGGTCAGGATCGTCTTGTTTCTCTGAAGCATCGTCTTCCTGTGCAAGTCCATCTTGCAGCCGCATTTGATTGGCTTGCATCTTGGCAAGTTTTTCATCGAACGTGGAAAGTCTCATTGTCTGTTCAGCCAATGTGAAGACAATTTTATGATTTTCAGCATCTTTTGAGAGTAGCAGCAAGCGACCCATTGCGGTGACGAGATGCTCGTCAATCTCCAAGTCACCCCTTCGCCAGCGAGCAGTGACATCGGACCACAATTTGCGACCATCTGCCACGGCTTCCTCGAAGATGCCATCGCAGATGGCTGGATCGCCGTCCTTCTCGCCAAGCTCCAGGGCCCTTTTTCGAGCATCGGCAGTGATGGCAGTCAAGATTGTGGTGTATGTGATGTGGTCTGCAGCATCGGGTCCTCGGTCTGGCAAGCGACCGACAACGGCCCAGAGCTGACTCATGTCATGTCCTCGTGCGCACACGGATAGGACAGTGTTGGTATGGATGACATTGGGCTTCACGGCCGAATTGGAGGCGTACATGGAATTGTAGATTTCGATGGCACGGCTGACGGCGCCGCGAGTTTTGTTGACGTTCTGCTTAAATCCATATAAAAGGATGGTGAAAGTTTGGGAGTCTGGTTTGTGGCCACGCTTCTTCATCTGTCAAGGATGGGAGTCAGTGACGAGCCAGTCAAGAGAGTTTGCAAGGAAGAGATGGTAATACCTCATTAAAGATCTTCCAGGCTTGTTTGGGGTTATTTTGGCGCATTAACCAGTCAATGATATGATTCCAACTGACAACGGTGTCGATGACAACGCCAGTGGGTGACTTGTAAACTCGTCGGACCAATTCCAAGGCTGTTGAGATATCGCCGGATTTTAGGCACCCAAGAACATCATGTGTCAACTTGAGCCTGTCAACGTAGGGGGCTTCGATCAGTGAGGTCTCCTTGTTTCCGGAGCGGTCTGTAGCCGGAACAATCATTCGCTTCTGTCGATTGGAGGCACGCGCAAAGGCATCATCGATGGCCATGCGAACCCGAGGGGAACTCTTGTTCCTCTCCCCGAGTTCGAAGGCCGCAGTTCTGGGCTTTGAAGTTGATTTGAGTGTCTTGGAAAGCTCGCGACGGTGGTGACCCTTTTGGATCGAACGGATCGTGGAATGAGGACGGGTGGAGAGGCATATTGAAGAGGGTACGGCGAGTGATAATCTAGAGGTGGTCCTGAGGAGGCATGGGGAGGCCCGTGGCGCTTTCCAGGCACACGCATAACAGGAAAGCATTGAGAACAACGGGCAAAGTCAAGGTGCCGCGTGCGAGCCCAATGACAGACATCAAGAATGGCATGTACGAAGCCACTTGGAATGTTGTCGTCGTCGTTCTGGAAAAAGTATCGCAGTCTGAAATTTTTGGAACAAGGAAAGTCTGCCGAGCCATCTGGCCGTATTTATGGGGTAATTACGATACGGAGAGACGCCCCCACTTGGGTGGCGTATGGCGATTCTATCGAAAGGATTGGTATAGGGATACAACAGGCCATTGCAACTGATCTCTAGCCCCTCTACCCATAGATAGAGAAGACACGTAGCGAACGGCAAAGTAGCATGTACCAAAGTGAGTCCTCTTGGTTGTTAGATTCTGCGGGCACAGTATGACCCGCTGGCTCATGTCGTTGCTCCTATGGCGTGGAATTGCAGCATTCAGGGAGACAAATGTCACCCTAAGTAGACATAAACTACTCATGTACGCCTCCTACGTATTCTACCTTGCTGCCAATGCCAGCAATCCCTAGACAGGCTAGTGGGATGGGCGTAAGTGGCGTACCTGGTGGTGGTCCTGCTCTGGAAAGAGCTTGATGTTTCAACAGCTGTCAGCGGTCTGGGGCACGCGATTCAATGTCCCACAAGTCTGCATCTAGAAAATGGCAAAGGTAAAGTTGGCAGCTACTCCGTAGTAGAGAACCCTCGTAAAGAGACGACATGGCAACAACAAGCTACTGTCACAAACCTTCGGCCGCATTAGGTGATTCGCAGTGGCGGCGGGTCAATCGGAGGACCATTAGGCGAATCAGGTGACTAGCCACCAGAGATGTGGTGGGACATTGGTCGTTCCTTCTTGTAGGACTTTCTTGGAGATCTCTTTCCCCTGGTTGGACAAAAGTGTGAGTGGCAGGCAGGTGTGAGGCTGAAGAGACACAAATGCGAATGCAACTGCCTTATTTCGTGGGGATGTTTACAGTGAGATGATGCCAACCAAGTCCAAAAACCTGTGGATTGACTTGCACTTGTGTCCATCAGAGTGTATGAGGACAACACACGATTCCATCCACCATGGCATTATTTCCTCAATCAAATAGACCCTGGAAGCTAGAAGCCATTAGGCACATGGGTGTGGCCGCTTGGTTGTGGCGATATGTCCTCTGTGGCGAACATAGGACTAACAATGTAGAAAGATACAAGCAACATTTGTTATATCAAGTCTGCTAGTGGGTGCGCCCAACAATGGCAAAGCATCCTATCATCCTATTTGGTTGATCGGAAGAGAGAAAGAACGAGAAAGAAGAGTGAGTGGCACAGATTAAAGCTGCCCTGGTGCAGTGGTTAGAGACACTAGTTCATCAATCTTATTCGTCATCTCTCATTGGCATGGAATTGCTGTAGGAAGGCTTGCGACCATCCCTATCTCGACAAGTACCTCTCTAGGTAGGTAGGTAAGGTACAGTACATATATCCTCACCTAAGGTACAAAAGTACCAGATTCGGGCATGACCTGGTCCCTGACAGGCACCTGATTTGATGCTGAAATGTGTACGAACGCCCGCCCACCAAGGAAGGCATGGTGATGGCCCTGATAAAAGCCAATGGTACGTTCCCTCGTACTTACCAGCCAATTTGGCCAGATTCGGGTCCTTGGTGCAAAGTTAAGGATGGCCCATTGTAAAGTCAGGATGTAAATTCCGGTGCATGATTAATGATCAAGTATTTACTCGTGCTCCTATCAGGTTGTAAGGGCGGAGGTCAACTTACCCTAGATGACGACAACGACCTGGGGAGGGTGGTGACGGGTGTTTATTTAGGCGCCCCTGGGCCCGAGGCGCCGTCGAGAGTAGCGCCAAAGGGCTTGAAGAGCAAGTGACACTGGTAGCCTTAGGGGAGACTGGCGGTTCCTTAATGGGGCGAACAAGGCTGCCAGACAAAACTAACAGGGGCTTTGAGTCTAATCGGTTGGAGTCAAGCACCAACTAGTGAGTGTCGTTGAGTTAAAGCAGGTCCAAACCAAGCCAGGTACGTGTACTTCGTATGCTATGCGCAAGTTAGTTTTAGGGTTGCCACTGGTGCCTGGGGCGTGCTTGTCGCGTGCCTGTCGCGTGCCTGTGGTCTGTCGTAACTCTCGGCCGTTGATCTAACCAGCCTGGGGCTGCGGCGGCCCCCAGAGTGACTGACGACTTCGGGCGCCATCTTAGTGTGGTCTGGTGCCCCTACATCTAGTTCGTAGCACTGGATAGCCTGTGTAACCATACTAAAAGCACCGGCAAGCACTAACTTAGGTGCCACTATGCTGGGAATCTTAGTTCCAACTTGAACCACCACCCACCCACCACCACCATCTTCTCGCCATGTGGTTGACCTACCGCCTTGGATCGTGCATGCTCCCTTGGTGCCTTCGGCCCTTTAGTGCTCAATCCGTCATGTCACTTGCGTACCCCGGTTCCAACCTTAACTTCACGACGATAGTGACCTAAAGAATGAACATTGACATGTTATTCATGTCTATGTGAATGTTGCCTTGTTGGTTTTGAATCACTCCCATTGTTTCTGCTGCTGCTTTGCTGCTTACACCTTGTGCGGGAGTGGCATTGGTGGGTCAGCCCAGCCTGACAAGTTGCCAAGAACAATTTTGGTGTGCTTCTACCGAGGCATCAGGCAAAGATGCCGTAGATGCCATGGTTGCCTACATAATCATACAACAAACTACACGGAATTCTGGCCCTTGATTTTGATGCAATGTTTTAATCTCTAGAATGAAGGCTGTCATACCACTTGGACTTGAGTTTCTTGCAAAACACAACGCCGCAATCTAACCACAGAACCTCCACCCTCTTTCCATGGCAGTCAAATCAGGGTATTTATGCCCTGTTTGTGCGTGGAATAAGAATGTACAAGACTGGTATCAGCCCGGCAGCACCAACGTTGACGCTGGATGCTGCACCTCATCGCTCGGCCCATGCGTAGGCGCACACAGCAGCCACGCCCTCTCTGAAAATCAAAACCCGTGCCAAAAACAATGCATGACGCAAAAAAGCATAACCACCTCGAGTCGCACCTCATCTCTCGATCCCTCTGCCGGCTTTTGCCATGCAGTGCTCAGTCAGTCGATAGAATCGTCAGGCTCGTCATGGAGAAAAGAAAAAGATAGCCCAATTGTTTTCTTGCTTGCAAGCCAAGTCCAAGCCGTCAAGGCACTTCGATCCTCGTTACAATCCTGAGGTCCAACTGCCAATCCCCTGCTCGACGCCTTCAAGATGCCCTGGCCCCGCCCCCGTCACAGTGATCCGGTTGCGCTTCATTATTCTCCACCACTCCCACCTGGGTATCATTATGTAGCACACAGCTCCGCCCCAAACAGTGTTGGAGTGCTCATGTCAGGCCACTATCGCCTGTCCTAGTGTGGCGCTGGCCCCACCGCAATGCTTAATACTGTCTTTGCTGGTAGACTTGGCCTTGCTGTCCATAAGGCGAGTTGGGGTAGTTGTAGTTGCCCAGCTGTCCGTTCCCTTGGGGATAAACCATGCCGCTCTGTGGTTGCGCATATTGTCCCTGGTTGTGTCCTTCAGCAGCTTGATATCCGATCGGTGGCAATGATGGTCGGCCCCCATTTTGTTGGTAGCCCTGACCGGGTACTTGATGACCACCGTTGTCCTGTCCATCTACTTGGTTAGACTGAGCCGCTGATCGTTGGCGGTCATCTTCGGCCTTTCTGGCACTCTCTTCCTCCTTCTTGCGTGCTTTCCATTCTTTTCGGATTTCCTTGAATTCTACAACAATAATTAGCCTCATCCCTGGTCCACGAAGCGCGGGCATGGCGCGACAACAAGGAACGCTTCTATCAGCTGCACCGTGCTCAAAAGCGCGACTTCATACCTTCTGGTGTACGTTTGGTCCCATGCGACTGCATCGTCACATGCGCGTTCAGGTGGTTCAATGTGCCGTACGCTTTTTCACAACCGTTCCAGCCGCACTTGTACATGCGCTCAATCTCCTCATAACGGCGACGGGGCCTCTTGTGCTGCTGCGCACCAGGAATGGGGACAAAGGAATATACCTGCGCGAAGATGACATTAGTTGTGTCCCAGTGGGATGAAATAAATCACATGTTTAACGTACCTGGCCAGGGCGTGACGCGGCCGATGTCTGTGGAGGGCCGGCGACCCCAGGGCCTCCTGGGTGAGGGTAGGGGCCAGGCATGCCGTGCTGAGGAGGGTAGCCTCCCCATTGCTCGTGTGGAGGACGTTGCTGCATATAAGGGGGATGCTGAGGCTGGTAGGCGTGCTGCATGTCTTGACCCTGGGGGTAGGGGGAGTAGGGCGGGTATGTTGGACTGGCTTGCGAAATGGAGGGATCTATAGGCAGGTCCGAGTTAGATCTCTGATGGGAGGTGGAATTTAATGATCCATTTGGATTTCCATGGGGAGCTCCATCTGGGAGGGACAATGACGGACTTGGTGGTTGTGCCATTGCTCCTACGGCTGCCTGGTGAGGCGCGTGAGGGTACTGGCTATATCGCAGCTGGTCTGATGGAAAGCCTGACGAGCGCGCCGACGACGGGGTGAGTCCGTAATCAGACTGAGGGGTGTTGGTGCTGGAGATGTTGGCCGACCGAGGATCTTGGGTGGCGTAGGTCGCGACAGACGACTGATCTGATGACACGAAGTTCAGAAGAAGGTCGCGGGAGATAATTAATGGCGATGCTAACCTGACTGCGCGTAATCGGATGGCCCTCTGTCCATCAAAGGAACTTTAACACTGTGCTCCGACGGTCGCGAAGGAACCAAGGTTTGTGAATGTTAAAAAGATGCTGGCGTCGAGAGTGACGCGAGGATGAGTTGTTGGATCGAATGATAGGTAGGAACTTCACCCAGGTGATCAAATGTCACAGTCCGCAATCCAGCGGCGAGTGACGAGCAATGAAGCAATGCTTAGATCAAGAACCGGTGAATTCTTTATTTCCCAAGGACACCCTTGTGCTTGAGCGAGAGTGGAAAGGCCCCAGGCAAGCTAGTGCTGGTGTGGTGGACAGGATGGAGTTCGATCAGCAACGAGAGGAAAAGTGGGCTGGGGCGGCAGACGTGGACTAGGAGCACGAGGAGGGCCTCACGCAGCCGATCGGCCGGCTTCGCAGTTGGTCCGGAAGAATGTCGATGGGTGATCTCGAAGCGGAAGCAGAAGCAGGGGCAGTAATGACAGAGGCTCCCACCAACGCGAACGGGTTTGGGTTAGGAAGCCCAAGGATTTAGTAGGAGACGGTGTGGTTTTGTGGGCGAGCTAGCTGGGAGCTTGCACAGACCAAGGGCTACCGTCTCGCTGGAGGACGATGGCGCGACAATGGAGGCTAATAAAGGGTATGGAGCTGGGGTGGGTTGGTGGGAAGAAAGAGCAGACAAGCTCGCGAACTAGCGAGGGGGTTAAGTGCTCCTGCTGCTTCGGCCCCAAAACCTCCGTGCCCAGGCAAATGATGCAGTGCGGTTAGAGCCCCAAATAGGCTTTCGGAGTCAACCTGGGCGCGCCAGGCTTTTGAACAATGTTGTTGAGTGTTGCGCAGGTGATGGAAACAGCGGTCGGTCCTTGACAGAAGGGATTACGAACAGGGACAAAAGGGTAGCAGGCAGGTAACCGAGGTCAATGTGACTTGGAAGTTCGTTTTGTCTCGCTGGGAAGTACTCCGTGGAGGGAGTCCAGAATGGACTAGGATGATGGGTCTGAACGAGGATGCAGGATCACAACGCACGCGGGCGAGTGACTTGTTTTTCTTGTCGAGTGGGTCGTCGACGCCAGCGGCTGGTGTTCTGAATAATAGACAAGGTCCAATGGCAGGTCAGAAGGCGAGCCAGGAGGAGCAGCGTGACTGGCGCAGGACAGCTCGGAGCCTGGAAGTTTTCGTCTTGAATTCGCAGATGATTGTAGGTGGTGGTTTTGACTCCACCCTGGAAAGAGGGCAGGATGCAAGAGACGTAGGTAAGTGAGTGAGTCGTGCTTGAGTGGTGACAAGGAAGCCCCTGGTCGTGGTCAAGGTGGCAAGCCCGGAAAATGGAGGAGCGAGTGTAAAGTTTAATGGCAAGCGTGAGTTTATGAGTGGTGATAGCGTCAAAGAGTAGCGCGACAGCGGCAACTAGTGAAAGCTAGCAAGGGTGGCGCTGGTGGGTATGAGAATGGGCTCGGGGACCTTGGTTTCCACTTTTGAACCCAAAGGCTGCCAAATTATCTGCAGGCAAGTCGTGGAGAAGGTGCAATCTTGTGGTCTCAACCCCGTCACGGTCACTGGTCACGGTCACGCCTGCCTGACAGGACGAATGCACGGGCTGTGGCGAGATGAAGCGGGCACCTCGGACACCTTAAGAGGACTTTGGTGCAGGCGGTAGGTGAGTGTGTGAATTGATATGTGATGTGTGGTTAGAGGAATTCTGGTGTATTTTTTTTTTGATTTGAGTTGGTTCGACGGGAGAGGTGAAAGGTGCGGACGACGGACGAGGCAGGTGGATGAAAAGGCTTGGTGTTGGGGCGGATGTGGCAGAGGAATGGACAACACACTAAAAACTGCGTCGATTTCGAGGGATGCTCGAAAGCCACACGGGGCGGGTGTGTCGAGTGAAGCAGACCAAGCAGATGAAGTGAGTGAGTTGCTGTGGTTTGATGGGATAGGCGGTCTGGCCTGCTGAATTGAGACCACAAACAGAGAGTGGTTAGGGGTGGAGTGGTGGGTTGTTGGTGGAAGCGAGAAGTGAGGTGAAAAGGTGGGAGCGTTGATTGGGCACAAGCAGAGGCTGAGGATGGATGGATGGAGACCGGAAGTTGGGTGAGGATCTTGTAGCCTTGGATGCAGACGCAAAGAGAGAGCATGCCAAGTCAAGCAGAAATAGTCTGTGCTATGGAGAGCCAGCGTGGAAATGAGTCAGACAATCTTCACCGAACTTGTTGCTTGGAGGCGAATGAATCAGGAGTACGCATAGTTACGACTTATCAGCCAGGAATGGCTGATGGGCGGAGAGAAGGAACCAGCAGAACGGATGCTGGGGGCATGTGTGTGCCTATTGTTCGGTGCCTATGGTAGGTGCATAGCAGTTACTGGTCTGCTTGGATGCCACCCCACGTACTCCGTATTGTTCAATACACCACGAGCTTCAATTCTTGGTGTTATTCAAGTGGATCAATATGTCACTTTTCTAGACCTTGATACTTATGGAACATGAGCCAGATTCTATAATACTATTGGTGTTGGGGGATAGCCCAGGCAGCAAGGAAGACAGGATGACTGAGAGTGGATGTCAGAGTGAGTGAGCGTGGCGAGTGTCAGGTGCAAGAGAAAGCAACAGTCACAACAAGAAGGCGGGTGAGTGGTTGGCATGAACGGGGTTGTGACACTGCCGCCAAGGCATCTATACAGCTGGCTGGGTGCTCCTCAGGTGCAAGCTTCGTTGCAGGTCAGGGCTGGGGGCGGGTTCCAGGCGGGTGTCGATGGCAACAAGGCCTATCTAGGCCTACAGGCACTATCAGATCGTAGCCCCAGTCAACTGCCCAAGCCTGCCCACCCCTTCCTTTGCGCAGGGAGAGTACGGGGAGTTGATGGTCAAATTGGGGGGCTGATTAGGCCTGAACCCCCAAAGGGGGCGTCGGCCGAGGGGCCTCGGGGCCCTGCAGGAGCGTCTGAACCCCCAAAAGGCATGAATCCTTCAGGGCTGCGGGGCGAGGAGCATCCCTACCATGGAAACTTCTCTTGGAAGTTGTGCAAGGGTGGGCCGCTCGGGTAGGTTCTGACTTCTAACTGTGGCTTGAGGCTTTGTCAGTTGTGTCTTGCAACTCATCGACTCTCACTGGCCAGAGGTTTCTCGTCACTTGGTCATGTTACAGTTGGATGCCTGCACGATTTTCGAGACCCTGGGATACGTCGAATCGCAAGGGTGCGTGTAAGCGAATCCAGTGCATCGACATGTCGCATAGTGAGCCGCTCAACCTGAACCAATGAAGCGAGCTGAGAGATGAGATGGATGTGGGAGACTGGGAGATGAAGGGAGACTGGACTCGAGGGTGATTGCCAGGCAGCTTGACGACTGACCGTGTCGGGTTAGTAAGGTTTTTGGGATTTGAGTGCAATTACTGATGTGCCGGAAGGAGGGTGCGGGTCTCCTTTTCCGAGTGCGAGTCCAGCGCGCGCGTGGAAGAAAGATGGATACAGCGATCATCTCTGTCAAAGCCATTGTAATCTGCCCATCAGTGCCACCAAGCATGCGCATGATTTGCACGGCACATGACCAAGCATTGTCTCAAGAACGATTCTTGATGGTATTGAACGTCGGGCATGAGAATATAGTCGTATTGTGTTGTTATTGTGAGAAATCTACAATGTAGTCATGTGTGGTTCCAAGGTGCCTAGGCACGCTACTGAGGGTGCCTGGGTATGGTCAGACTGCGTAGCCTCGCGGGCCCTGCCATGCCTTGCTTAAGTAGAGCGAAGAAGACTCGGAACATTATTACGATTTTGACGCTAGCACAGAGTTGTGCATGGCTTGCCAAATCAGGCCCACCAGCCGCAATCCATTCCTTGGACATTATGGTGCAAGGCCGAGGCTTTCCGCCTTGCAGGTATCTCCCTACTGTATTGTACGGAGGTACATGTAGTACCTGTAGGTCGTGGTGGCTCCACGGCTACTCGTATGAGTTCACCTCTTCTTGTCCCGCCAGGCGCATGCCGGCTAACCACATCAGGTAATTTTACTTGGGCAGCATGGGTTTGTACATACCTAGGCTAGGTACCTTAGGTATCTACACATACTCCGTAAGAGGAGAGAGAAAACGCATACGCATTCCCATCTGAACGTACCTAGGTAGGTAAGCAGGTTGCTACATGGGCAGTACTCGTACTGCAAGAATGGGTGTTATAGTCAAGGCCAGAGGTAGGTAGCTCGACAGGTACCCAAGGTACTCTGTCGACTGTAGTCAATGGCATGTTCGTAGAGGTAGGTACAGGACTCCGTCCTTCACCTGGAGTGGAGATGGTGGTCCGTGGTCCCTGATGGGCCGCGGGGCCTTTTTACGAGGCACGCTCCCAGCCTGCCGTGCACGTCTGGCATGGTGGCATGCTATCCACCAGGCTAGTCGGCTCGAGAGAAATACTCCGTACTCGTACCCTCTCTTCTCATTCTGTACTCCGTACAGTACCTATACAATCCCTGTTATCCATGACAGGACTGCAGGTGCCACGCAACGGCAACAATCAGCAGGACTGACTTGGTGAGGAATATCATCGTGATGATGCATGGCCATCCCATCTTGCAGATACGGACTACTCCGTCATGCCACCACTCGGGACTGGGGACTCGTCTGTCTTCCGGTGTCGACGTTTCAAATGAGGAGTCTGGATGGAGAGATGATAGCCGAACAACGTGCTGTTGGGTGAGTGAACTCTGCTTAGCACTTTGCCAAATCGGGATTTTCCGGTAGTGCATGTTCTTGGCGTCATGGGTTGTGGAAAGCGCGACTCTCTTCAATTGGTCATCGCGTTTTCCTCCGGCACGATCTACAAGCATTCGTGCCTTCCCTCTCGCTCTTCCATTTTCCTGCCTCTGCACCCTTTCTGCCTTTCTTCCTCCCAACAAGTTTCGCGACTTTCGTCACGGTTGCTGCTTGGCATTAGGCTTGGGTAATATCATACAACGACTTAGGTAATGATACCTGCAACTCATCACCGATCGCGGCCTGCTTGATCGGTAGCGATTCTTGAATCAACTGGCTTTGTCCATGCCCAGCCCACATCCCAGTCGAAGGCCGAGGAGCCACCCCCCTACCCAAACCTGCCATGTCACCGCCCTCTGTAGGTGTGTGTAGGAGGCTGGGACCCACGCATGCCCATGCATACCCATATTGTGGTATTGCTTGGTGATGGTGAACCACGTAGCCTATGACTCTGCCATTTGTGGACATCGCACACGTACCAGGTTACCCTTTCCGATGCTCGATACCCAGGTCCTGACCCGAGTTCGAGTTCGAGTTCGAGACGAGAATGCTGTCTCGGTACTGTACGTCCAATAAAGTCCCAAAAGAAAATAGATCACTTCTTGAGCATGGGCGACGTCAGTCGAGTCCCCTTGTCAGTAGGCAGTTGCATTTGCAGCCTTAAGCACCACAACCACTGGCCTCAGTCGCCTAATCCAAACTCCCGACTGGCCAGTGGTTACTTGTCACCCCAGTCCATGATCCAGACCCTGTAATGTCACTCTCTGATCCCCAAAAGCATGGTCTCTCTACCTTGAGTGTGGTACCCTTTGCATACGAGAGAAATTTCCCGGGAGGACTTGCATTCCTCGTAAGCTAATGTGAGAGACCTGGCACCGTTCATTTCGTGGTGGTGTTGGTTCTTCCATTCTTCTGCATACTTGCACGAATTGACAATGATGATCGATCGAAGTCACTCAACTATTTGGACCTGGCCCACTTG